AGAAAGAAAGAAAGAAAGAAAGAAAGAAAGAAAGAAAGAAAGAAAGAAAGAAAGAAAGAGGGGAAGTAGAGAGAGAGAAAGGAGGATGGGAAGCAGAGGGAAAGAAAGAAAGATGAGAAGTAGAGAGACAAAAGAAAGAAAGAAAAAGGGAGAGTCTCTTCCATCGGTACGGTTTCCTGAGAGCGAAAAGTTGCATAAGCCTAAACTGCTACTGATCGGGGTTTGCGTGCGTTCCATCTATCATCAATCACGCTCAAAGGGCCTTACCTATACGCGTTTTAATTGACTGCGACCATTCGACATAGCGCCTAGTAATCTCGACCAAGTATTGCATTCAAACATGATTGTACCGGCCCTGGGAACGCTACCAAAGCCGCATATCTTCTCAAACATGGCTTGCAATAGAGATCCCCTGCTACCTGTTACATTCGGTAGAGAAGCAAGCAGCCGGACGTACATACAAATAGGTATTGCAGCCGGAGGCTTGCGTGGAATTATCTTTCACTCATGCCATGGGTAGCTGAAGCTATCGTCTGGACGTAAATGTCGAATTAATAATTATACATCTACGTCCGGACGATAGCTTCAGCTACCCACACATGTTGCTCCTCGTAAAGAGGATTGCTAATGCTCTTACCTCTTGTTCTACCGCTCCGTTGTTCTTCGCGCTCACCTCTGTGAAGGTAAGTTGACATAGACTTCAACGACGCTTGCACTCTGGGAGAACACGGAATTGTCACTACTGCGAATGCACGAATAGGTATACGGGAGGTTGGAAGCTTTCAAGTGGACATTTCATGGATTCTCGACCACTATACGCGCCCTACGTACTTGCGAATTCCTCATTTTTGATTCTCCTTTGCCTGATCGCTTGGGAAATATGCCGGGGGTAACCTTTTTTTTCGAACGTGCACATCAGACCAAGTAATCACTCACTCGTAACCACCAGCAAACAGGAAGGTGCATGTCAAGCCATCGTAACAAGTCACTTTTTTGAAAGCCCAAATGCACCCGCCATGTCTAGATATAAAAAAGAGAAAGACCTAAGAAATGAAAACCCGAAACCCCTGCGCATAACCAGCTGCGCCATCCATTTACCGGGTGGAGAAAGCCTTGGTGACGGTGCGCTTGAGGGCGAGCTCCTTCTTCTTGAGCTCCTCGGAGCTGGTGTCCTCGATCTCGAGCTGGGCCATGGCGTCGCTGAGGGCCGACTCGATCTTCTCCTTCTGGCCACGCTTGAGCTTCATCGAGGTACCAGGGTCCGAGATCATCTCCTCGACACGCGAGATGTAGGCCTCGAGCTGTTGCCTCGACTCGAAGCGCTTGGAGAAGGCCTCGTCCGACGTCTTGAACTTCTGGGCATCGTCGATCATCTTCTCGATCTCGCCCGAAGAGAGCTTGCCAACAGAGTTGGAGATGGTGATGTTGGCGCTGCGGCCGGTCGACTTCTCGGTGGCCGTGACCTTGAGGATACCGTTGACATCGACCTCGAAGACACACTCGAGGACGGCGTCACCAGCCTTCATGGGAGGGATGGGAGCAAGAGTGAACTCGCCCAGCGAGGTGTTGTCCTCGCAGTTGACACGCTCACCCTGGTAGACAGGGAACTGAACGGTGGTCTGGTTGTCGGCAACCGTGGTGAAGGTCCTCTTCTTGATGGTGGGGACGGTCTGGCCACGGGGGACGACGGGGGCGAAGATGTTGCCCTCCATGGCGACACCGAGCGAGAGCGGGACGACATCGAGCAGAAGGAGGTCGGCGGTCTCGGCGGACTGGGCCTTGCCGGAGAGGATACCGGCCTGGACGGCGGCACCGTAGGCAACGGCCTCGTCGGGGTTGATGCTCTTCTCGAGCTTCTTGCCGTTGAAGAAGTCGCTGAGGAGCTTCTGGATGCGGGGAATACGGGTGGAACCACCGACAAGGACGATCTCGTCGACCTTGGCCTTGTCAATGGAGGCGTCCTTGAGCACCTGCTCGACGGGGGCGAGGGTGCCGGAGAAAGCCTTGCCGTTCAGCTCCTCGAAACGAGCACGGGTGATGGTGGAGTTGAAGTCCTCGCCCTCGAAGAGAGAGTCGATCTCAACGGTAGTCTGGGTGGCGTTGGAGAGGGTACGCTTGGCACGCTCGCAAGCAGTCCTCAGACGACGCAGGGCACGCGGGTCGCCGGAGATGTCCTGAATGAGAATGATCCTGTCAGTTGTTGTTCTATTTTTTGTGTTGTTTGAAAACACTCATGACGAAAGGAAATATTGGAGGGAGTGCAGGTGCAGGAAGAGCGACTCACTTTCTTGGTCTTGCGTTGGAACTCCTTCTTAAAGTGGTCCAACAAGTTGGTATCGAAGTCCTGACCACCAAGGTGGGTGTCACCAGCGGTGGCCTTGACGGTGAAGACACCGCCCTGGATGTGCAACAAGGACACATCGAAAGTTCCTCCACCAAGGTCGTAGATGAGGACGTTCCTCTCCTTCTCGGACTTGCCGGAGCCGAGACCGTAGGCGATGGCGGCAGCGGTGGGCTCGTTGATGATACGGAGGACGTTCAGGCCAGCGATGGAGCCAGCGTCCTTGGTGGCCTGACGCTGGTTGTCGTTGAAGTAGGCCGGGACGGTGATGACGGCCTTCTCAACCTTCTTGCCGAGCTTGGTCTCGGCAACCTCCTTCATCTGCTCGGTTGTCAGCCTTGCCGCCTAATTTTTCCGTCGCACAAAGGGGTGCTCACCTTGACCAGAACCATGGCGGAGATCTCCTGGGGGGAGAAAGTCTTGGTCTCGTTGAGGTACTCGACCTGGACGGCGGGAGCGCCCTCGTGGTCGACGATCTTGAAGGGCCAGGACTCAATGTCCTTCTTGACGGTCTCGTCGTCGAATCTCCGGCCAATGAGACGCCTGCCGTTTGTTAGCCGCTGTGTCCATCGAGCGGACCGTGGTTGATGGAGCCTTACTTGACGTCGAAGACGGTGTTGGCCGGGTTCATGGCAGCCTGGTTCTTGGCCGCCTCACCGATGAGACGCTCCTCGGGAGTGAAGGAGACGAACGAGGGAGTGGTGAAGCTACCCTGCTCGTTGGCGACTGGAGAAAATTGCGGGTAAGCATCGTGGGTGGGGAGGCAATGGCGATGGAGGAGACATACTGATCTCAACGTTGGCGCCCTCATAGTTGGCAACGCAAGAGTAGGTGGTGCCTGTTGAGGAAAAAGTCAGCACGGTGGACAGCGGGCATTTTGAGCGGGCAGGGCGTCGTACCAAGATCGATACCGATCGCACCGTCGTAGACTTCGTCACTCATGGTTGCTGGGGGATTTCTGGAAAGGTTGCAGGTGAGGGGTGGGGAGGAGAGGAATGCGCGCTCAGCTTCAACCTTTTGTGCTCGCGCAAAATCGAAATTTTGCCTTAGCTAAGGCGGAGCGCGGCCAGAATATCCCTGCACCCGGCCAGCAATCGGCCCGTGCGCCACGCTCTCTTTGCCGACCGCCTTGCCATTTGCTCTCACGTGCCCACCGGCTTTGACACCGAAAAAAAAAATAGGTTTGCTGCAACTCTCCATTAACGCCTTGCGGCTTACCACGCACTGGCACCCCAGCGGCGACGCCGCGGCTCCCGGCTACTTTGCCTCCACCAACGGTCCAACCCGGAAAAAAAAAGTCACCAGCCCCCCCGCCTTGCCGAGCCTCGCTTCCCCCACTATTGTTATTTCCCTTTCTGTCCTCGCCTACTCAATTTTTTGCAAGAAAACAACGGCGAATGCAAAACGCTAATGGAAATGAGAATCCCACTGAAAAGGTCTTTCATCGTTGGGCGAAGAAATAGTTCGACTCCCCCGCTATGTGCCCATTCCAGGAACGCCATGCCGACTGCGCGAAAAAAAGAGGAAAAGAACCAAGATGAACAACATGACCACTTTTCTTTTGTTTTGTTTTCAAAACTGCAGTACTTGAAACCCGTGAACATCTGTGCAGAAGGGGCTTGGGACGTTTTGTCTTTTTCCCCACCCTCCTCCCCTCCTCGAATGCAAAAAAACCGGTCTGCCCAATCCCCGATTTTCCAAATAACCCTCAAGATTCCCCTTCCTTCTTCTTCAGTCCGCCGAACTTGAGTTTCAACTTCAATGGCTTTCTCTCCCCGTCGGGACTTGAGGCTGGCGGGCTCGCCGATGGTGGCGCAGTTTGTGGCGCCGACGCTGCTGGCATTGAGAGGAACGGCTTTGACGGAGCTGGAGGAGCCTGGTGATCGGGACGGGGTGGCTTGCTGTGGTGCGACTCGGGCCGTGGCGGCTTCGGCTTCGGAGGCCGGTCGTGCCTTTGGGGCTGCGAGATCCGCGGTGGTGCGTTGGCGCCGTGCGCCTTGTGTGATGGATTGGCGCGTGGTGCTGATGGCCGCGAGAGAATCTGTCTGAGGCGCTCCGGGTTTACCTTCAGTCTGACTATCTTCCTGCGAGACTTCTTCGACTTGTCTGGTCTGTCTGGTCTAACAGCTTTGTCAGACCTCTCAGGCCTGTCGTGCTTCTCCGCTCTGTCTACACGATCTGATATCGTCGAGCTTGGAGTAGGCGCTCTCGAGTGACTTGGAGTGGGCACCTTCGGTGGTTGCGATGGCGCTCTGAAGAATGGTGATGCCGGCCGTTGGGACAGTGATCCGAGGGGCTTCACCGACGGACCTGGTGTCGGTGGCTTCGACGCGGCTGCTGGAGTAGGAGGTTTTAATATCGTAGATGGGGACGTGGCAGATGAAGGAGCACTGCCACCGCCAGTCTTCAAACTGAGCTTCAGCGAAGGCATGCCATTTGGTTTTGGTGCCGTTGGAGGCGCGATCTGTTGACGTTTGTTCGGTTCGTCTGCAAGCGACGGTCGCCTTCGCTTCTCGGCCGCCTTCTGCTGAAGGAGTGGTGCCTGCTCCTCCTTGATCTTGCTCAATGGCTTCTGCCGGTACGGCATGCTGCGGAAGAAGCGCATCTTGCCCTTTCCTAGATACTGGGCCTTCCAGGACAAGGGTAACTTGAACATGACTTCGAGGGAATTCTTAGGCTCAAACACGAGCCCGCATATCTCGAGTAGCCTGACCCATTCCTTGAGACTGGGCATTGGCGAAGTGAGGGCATTGCGCATCTGCTCCTTGAAAACCTCGTTGTTCCCAAGCTCCGTTTTAAGAGCCTTGATCGCGCCCTCCAGCGTTTGCGTACGCTCGAGCATGGCGGCACGACTATCTGTGGATGTGTCTTGCTCAATGATTAGACCGCCAAAGGCGTGATTCGATGCCTCATTCTTCTTGTCGCCTATCGCGATGCGAGCCAGGCCGCGACCAATCAAGTAATAGAGCTGTTCCCGGATATAAGGCGAAGGGTCGTGAGCGAGTGTGAAGATCAAGTACCGCAATATTGCAGGATGCTTCATCATGTTGAGGTCAACAAGGCATTCCATGGCCTTTAGTCGGACGCTCTCCGCAGCACCTGGCTTGGCGTATTGCAAGAAGTCCAGGATTTTTTGGGGTATTATACCGTTCTCCATTAGGAGACACTGGCATTGGAGAGCAGTGACGGTGACGATGTTCTGGTACGACGGGATCCACTCGTCCAGACGGCGGTGACGCTCAATCTCGTTCAGAGCATCCCGTTGGAAATCGATTTCATCTTGCTCGTCCTCATCGAAGTCGAAGCTGATGGTGCTTGTATCCTTGTAACCAAGTTGCTGCGCTAGGGCGGCCAGAAGTGCCGCCACGTAGTGACAATCGGAAAACTCGTTGTGTGAGTTGTCGTTGAACTTTAGCTTATCAAGGATCCACCTCTTCGCTCTCATCAGGCCCTTGCCGCTCGGTTCGCGCACTTTAGCAATGGCCCGTGGAATGGCACATTGCACAAGATATTGGCTTCTATCCGAAAAGTCATTGGAGCGAACCATGTGCGATCCTGGGAGACAAAACAGCTCCTGGAATGTTTTTTCGAGGTGATAGAGACCAATCCAATTGAGCTCAGTATCATCGATTCGGGGGACGGCACACTTGGCGAGAGCATCTACGGCCAAGGTTCGGATGCCATGGAAATACCGCCGGTCCATGACCGTCCGAGTGAGATATGTCGAGATAAGCTTGCTTGGCCGCTGCCCCGAGAGATAGTGCAGCGCCTCAGCTTGCGCCACCACATCAGGATCCTGCTGCAGCTGAGCCACTAGCATCCAGAGCGGCTGGTTGAACGTGATCTTGCAAATCCACTCGAAGTCCGCATCGACTCTGATCCACTCATACTGCTCGTTTGCCATCTGCTCCTCCTCCTCCTTCGTCCATTCGTCAAAGTCCCACTCTTGGATTTCCTTTTCCGTGTCCAGAACATCCCCTAAACAGTAAAGGGGGATTTCATCTGGCAGCTCACCGTCGCCGTTGAGATCGATTCCTTGCGCGGCCGCCGCTCTCTCTTTCTGACGTCGATTCCGTTTTAACCTAGTGTACTTGGTATTATAAGGTGCGTCAAACCTTGTGATTGCATCGTGAATAGGGATAATGTGATCATAGGGAGTCCCGTCGGCCTCATGGACAGTGACCGTCATTGCTCCAGTGAAAACCCTGGTGGGCTTTTTCTTTGACATGCCGCTCTTCTGTTCATTGATGTCCTTCAGGAAAGTCTTGGGATCAAGATCTTCCGCTCTGCTCTCCAGCTCGCTGCGATCGCCTTGGGTTTGCTTGACGGCGAACTCGATGACAGACTTCTTCTTGTTGAAGCGCTGGGTAACGTAAAAGTGCGGGCAGCCTGCACCATAAACCCACTGTCTCCAGAAGTCTGGGATCGGTTTGCTCTCGAGGTACTTGTCAACAATCTGGATAAAGTCCTCGGTCGAGATTGCGCCGTTTTGAAGCCTTCCGGTCTTCGCCTGGAGAAGCACCTTATAGATGATCTTCGTCACGCCCATCTTCGCCATCCTCTTTATTTTCTGGTTGAGGATGAACATGACCAAAGGTGCCTTCAGTTCCATGAACTCAATCTCCGACGGGTCTACACCAAGATAATCTCCGAGAGCTTGCAAGGAAGGTCGGTTAACATCAAGCTCGACAACTCGGTCAGCCATCTGCTTCATCCTGAAACGATGCTCATTCCTGCCGCAGAGTTGCTCCAAAAAGTCGTCTGACATGAAGTGGGAAAGAGCATAGATCACCCACCAGTCTTGGCTGGTTTTGGGTATGACGTTGATGCCCATCCACTGGAAAGCAAGAGCATGAACCAACTTGCGAGTAACCGGGAAGAGGGGATCCAAAACGTCCTCCGGATAGAGAAGGGAATTGCTGCACATTGTAAGCGATGCAGCATGGGCGATTTCGGGAACAAGATCGTCCACAAAGACGATCTTATAGCTGGTGAAAGGATAAGAGATGTAGGTCTTGCTAAAATGATCGGTTGCCTGCAGATTTGTTAGCATTCGCGTTTGTAGGGGAGAGTGGACGAAGTACCTTTGCCAATGCCATACACGTGTTCCTGACTTCGTCGCTCCTTCCCGGAAGGCAGAAGCCATGCACACGGATGGCGGCCTGACCCATCATTTCGTCATCGTCGCTTTCGCGCAGGTCCGAGAGATCGACGTGCTCGAAGGGACCAACGGCAATCGCGATGTGCTGCGGTAGAACGGCGTTTGCACAGGTGAAGCTAACGGTCTTTCGAGAGGGATCCTTGGGATCGACGATCTGTGACCGTCAGAAACTTTGTTTTTCAATTCAGTAGCATGACTACCTACATCATCAGTCATGTCGCCCGAGCAGACGACGGACATTTCCAGCGCTTTGTCTTCTTCAGACAGGCCGAAATTATCAATGTCGGCATCGAGCATTTGGACGTCACCATCGTCGTGGATGCCGTTGGAGAGGCCGTTCGTAAGTGCACCATTAGGGGCAGAGTGATCATTGATTCCATTTGTTAACGGCAGGGCGGCTTTCCTGAACACGTCACCGACGGTCCTTGGGCACCTGATCGATATTTCCCATGGATAGCGCGCGCTCGCATCGTCCACGCAGGGAAACAGACAGGAAGCCGAGCCAGTAAACTGGGAGTTCTGAGTGTAGACATGAGGATATCTTGTGTCGCCCTCTTCCAGCCCAGCGAAGTGCAAGCCCTCGCGAAAATGCTTGACGTCGTAGTGGATGACGACCTTGAGTGGCGCAAATACCGACCCGCCTGCCGTGAGGTCGCCGAGCGTGCTGAGCGCATCGAGCGACGAAGCGTCCAGCTCCTTGATCTTCACTCTTGGTGGGACGAATATCCAGAGGTTCTCTTCGGCAAGTTCTCCAATGTCCTCTTCCACCTTCTGTCGCAAAACTTTGTGGTGATGGACCGTGCTCTTTTCTGAAAGGTAGATGTGCGAGTGAGGGTCATTGTGATCCCATCTTGCCTCGCGCCCCTCCACCGTGACTTTCTTGATGCGAGCCTGTCGGCAGTGAAGGCGGATGTAAGGCAAGTCTTTTGACTGAGGTTGTACATTTATCTCGGCAACTCCATGCACGGAGCGCGCCAAAAAGTCGATGTCGAGCTCAACCTTTGCCGAGTAGACGCTGAAGGACGGGTCGGATGCCGGAGGGGCGGCGGCCGTGGCCAAGGAGGGAGGGTCGAAAGGACCAGGCATTGTGCCGGTCCAGGTGCTAGCCTGCGATCCTCAGCAGCGATACCCTCCTGCTCATCGCCGAAGTTATGTGCGCATGCTAAGTGACGGTGGGACGCGGAGCTCGAAACGGTCGTACGCGCGGTCGGGCAAAAGCAGGCGAGGACTCGACAGCTTTGTTCGGAAACGGAGGCGCTGGAGGCAGCGGAGTCTTCGGTCGCGCTGGGGCAGAGGGCGGATGGGGTGGCGGCAGAGAGCGTTGGGCGCAGTTGGGTGTCGCAACTGAAGTGCAGTCGCGCGGGTGATGCTGCTGCGATGGAGCCTGTGACGCCGCGCTCGATTCTTGGCGCTCGGGCGGTGGCGCACAGGCGCGTCGCCGCGTCTTCAACACCACGTCCTGCATACAGACTTTCACTCACGTGCTAATAATCAAAGAACACCTCGTCATGTCCAAGTTTCGTAATTGCATGTTGAGCGAACAGCTCAGCTGCATTACAGCAGCCTCGACGGGGAAAATGAAGGCCCTCGGCACGGGGCCAGCCAGAACAGGCCATTCACGACACAACAAGAACAAAGGCATTTTCATAAACGATTACTGTTTTGCTGCGTCCTACAGCCTATGGATAGAGTACACCGCCAGCCCTGCATGAAAACGCCCACTCGATGAGCTCGCCGTTTATTTTCCACAATCGCCCAAGTAAGCTGGAATTCACCAACCCCAAAAACGCCGGGCCACCGTAAAGCATAAATGCAGGTATATCCCATGGGTCGTGACTTGAAGCGCCTCGGTGGAACGCCACATAAAGCGACATGCTGCTACATATGTTCAGAAGCTTATTGTCTCTTCTCCCTCATCATCCGCCGCTTCTTTCGCGCATGCGCACGCAAGGCTTCGGGCGTGAGATATTCCTCAGGAAGCGCGAACTCTTCCTCTGGAGGTTCGGGGACCGGTTGCCCAAAGGCCGTCACATTGCGGCCGTGCCTTTGTTTGCCCATGGCGGCAGCGCGGAGGTGGGGCTTGGAGTAGAATGAAGTGAAAGGCCGCTCGGGAGAAGGAGGCCGGTAAATGATAGGGGGAGGTGGGGGTCGAGGTTTTGGTTGTTTGTTTGACGAACCACTTGCAGAGATGGCTTCCTGTTGCAACTGCCGCGCAGCCCAGGCATCAATGTCGCTGGAATTTGGGGGTTCGCCCATGCTATCCTCTTCGGCGCGTTCGGCGTGCTGATCAGCCTCTTCCTCATCTTCATCCTTCGCTTGCTGGGCTTGTTCTTTCTCAAGCCTGAGTCTCTTTTCTTCCTCTTTCCATATCCGGAACTTATCCACCAGCGCCCTGACCTCGGATATGAAGTAGTCGCGTTTTGGCTCGAATTCTTTCTTCTCCGAATCGGTGATGCCAGTGACACCCATGACACGCAGCCAATCATGGCCAAGAAGCCCATCTAGAAGACGTTCCAGCTGTACCTTCTCATGCATGGCTCTCTCTTTCTCGATATTCCGTAGTTGTTTTTCCTTGCGCTCGGCACGCCTGTGTGCCTTGAAGAAGAAGTCATCGTCAAGAGGATCAGTGGTTATGTGGTGTGGCGTGTGGCGGACGATTGTGGAAAAATCGACAGTTTGTATACCGGTGTTGACTTGGGCGTAAGGCTTGTAGCCATTGAGTGTCGTGGCGGGGTTGGACGATGAGTGGGCGGGGGTGAGGAGTGAGGGCCGCCTCTTCTCAGGAATGGACGAAGGCAGGGAAGAGACAGGTCCAGGGAGGGGGACGGGATCGCTGAGGGGCTCATCGATGATGTGGACGAGCTCGTCGATGTCGAGAAAATCTGGCCGGGGTCAGCTTTGATATCAGCGCGACACGAACGCGTCTACGCACCAGACTTGGTCTCGACGCCGGCAATCACGTCGTCATAGTTGGGAAAATAGATGGCCAGGTCGCTTTTGAGGCGTGAGCCGCCGTCCTGACTCCTCAACGTCCGCTTGTCCTGAGGCTGTGATGTGCTGGTGGGCACTGACAGGCCACCCTGGGCGTCGGGTTTGGGCGTTGCGGACTGGGAGGGCACGTCATCGTCGCGGAGGTCGAGCTGCGTTTGCACGCCGTTGGTCGCTTGTACCAGGCCCCCATGCGGCTGTGTGACTGTGACTTTGGTCGGAGGTCTCGGGTGCTGCTGCTGCTGTTGCTCAGCGCTGGCGATCGGTGTGGCGCCCTTCCTTCGCGACGAGCCACGATTCCTCGTCGCCGGGCGGGGGCCCAGCAGCTTCAGCGTCTGGCCGGTCGTGGGCGTCGCGGAGTCGTCCTGGGACGGCGCGACGGGCGTGCTGGCGATGGAGAGCGCGTCCTGCGACGCGGGCGCGGCTGCGGAGGGCGCTGCGTGGTTCTCGTTTGACTCGGCGGTCGCGATATTTTTAGGGCCTCGACGTGTGAAGCGCCCACTTGAGGAGCGGTTCAATGGTCGCGAGGAGCTGACCATTGTTTGCTGGGGCCCCCAAGGTCATCTTTCTGCTGCCTTTGTCTCAGGGTCACCGCTCTCGACGGGCGTTGTAGAAGCTTGCGAGCTCGGGCGTACCGCGATCGTGTTAGGGGACCCTTCTGAGTTTGGTCGTGGCTGTAGGCGAAGGGAAAGCGTTTCGCAGGGCTCGTCCATTTCACTGCTCACAGTCGCATGCACGCTCACGATCGCCCCGGGAACATTCTGGTTTGCATCTACAGCCGCTGCGCAGAGGCACTGCGGTGGTATTATGGGTCAGAGCGTCAAGCGGCAGTATGCGCACGCCTGCGTCGAGTGGAACGGCGCGTATACTTAAGGTTCGCTCGGCACCTCGCCATGCGACCCAGCGCTGTACAGGCGCGCTCACGGAACGACTTCCTTGGTGCTTTGCAGCAGCAGCGCTGCCTTGACTGAAACCGCACCAGCACCGGCCACCATTTCTGCAAAACGCCCAACACGCCTGCCGACAACCAATCCTGCCTGCACGCATGCTGCTACTTGGATCCGGCACGAGATTGACACGGCGGAAGCCGACTTCACCACAAGGAACACATTTTCCTGCGACGACCAGCCCAGACGTCGCCATCGTGACATTATTGATCTGCATCAGCATGAAACATTGGTGACCTGTGCCAAAACTTGCGCCTAAGAAAACAGGAACTCCTTTAGGACAGGAGACGAAGAGAACTCCGGGTTGAGGAGGACGCAACTGAAGTCGGTCAGTGGAGCTGTTTGATATCAGGCCGTGCATCGGCGGGCGGGGTATGGGTGGCGGCGGGGGCGCTTATGTGCGTAGCCAGAAATGCTGCCCGCATCTCAGACCTGTCCAACAGCGCCGACGAGCCGCGACCTTGAAGCTAGGGGGCATAAGACGTACTTGAGGAAGTATGCAAGCCCTTCCCTCCGCCGTTCTAGGAAGCGCGGGCGGAAGCGGGCTGGGATCGTCAGCGGCTGCTTTCCCGATCGGGGCAGGAATTGAATTACAGATTACGCTCTTCGGAGGGAGTTGAGGCATTGCTGATTCGGCGTGCGGGAATGTCTGGGCCAGCCGCCGTCGAAGCTCGTCAAACTCGGAATACCTGTGGCTGCATTAGCCAGGCATGTGTGCGTCATACATCACGCTTCCACGCGTACCGCTTCCTGATCTTCATGGGCCCGCCCTGTCACAGGATCAGCACGACTGCAGGCTCGGGGAAGAGATGAAACACACATCGAGGGTCTGCACGGTGCAGTTCCAGACGACGTAGTCGCCCATGCCTGGGACGTTGCCGGAGACGATGACATGGTCGTCGATGGTGACGCTCTTGGCCCAGAGGGCTCTGTTCTGGTCGGAGCCCTCTGCGGTGTGGTCCTCGAGGCGGATGGGGGCGGGCCTGTCGAGCGAGGCCTCGCTACCGCCAGATTCACGCCGCCTGAGCCCCGACCAGTACGGTGGAACTATCTGGTGATCACGGGCGGTGGACGCATCGCCGCCGTGCCGGGTAGCGACATGGCCGTTTTGCGTCGGGTGGCTGGGAGTCTCAGAGCCCGTTGACTCCATCCATCCAACTAGCACAAGCCGTGAACCAGGGTGATGTTGATGGGGTCGGGCAGGCAGCAGGCAAGGGCGATGTTGGGAGGCGGGGCGGGAATAGGCTCAATGGTTCAGCAAACGGCGAAGCGGGAATATGGGGTGTTGGACGCGGCAAAAGTAGACACGACGGCACGTGAGGCTGGCCCGCGAGCCGCACAGGCCGCACCACTCAAAGGCGCGGGGGCGGGAGCTGCGTAGAGTGACACTGCTCGTACGGCGATATGCCGGCCAGCGCGCAAACCGGGAGGACTGGAGGAGGCGGGACAGGCCCGAGCGCGAAGGACCGACGCCGTCAGCGCATGATCGGGCATGCAAACGCTGGGCGATTCCATCGCAGTCGAGCAGTGAACCCTGCACGCAGGTAGCGATGCGGGCCAGGCGGAGCGGCGGCGCTGCATGAAATGACAGGCGTGGCGGCAATTGGCCCGCGTTCTTCGACCGCATTCCACCTCGCAGCTGGAGCATGCTGCCGGGCCGCCATTGGCTGCATGGACGACTGATCTCCGACAAGGGTCGCGGTGCAATTCGTGCTGGTCCGGCTGCGGGTGGCATTCGGACAGTCCAGCACCAGCTCGTCCCGAAGCGCGATAAGACCTATTTTGGTGGAGATGGGCCTAGAGCTTATTCTGCACACCATCCATCTCGCTCTTCAGCCGTGGCTCCGTGCGTGCGCTAGCTAGCCATGAGCCTGAGCCTCCTCCCTTTCCATAAATCCCTCCTCCCCGCCTCGTGCGTCTGAAGGGGGTAGCTTCCACCTTCCGTTGCCGAGCTCTTCCTACGTACATCCCCACTGTCGCTACCCGCTGATCACAGGAGGCCCGCGAGTCAAGGTACGCCTATATTGCTGCTGCATTCCGCGCGCATTCCTCCCGCCCACCCCCAAACTACAATTCCCTCGCTCACGCCGTCCTCAGTGCAACTCGGACCAGACTGTTCACCATGCGTTCCTCGGCCTCGACTCTCGCTGTTCTCTTTGCCGTCGCTGGCCTGGCTTCGGCCCAAACGATTGATCCCGACACGGTTTCGATTGAGGACAGAAGTAAGCGTCGCCGACTCCGGGAGCCGCGGACTCTTGAGCTGACCAGCCGCAGACCAGTGGTGTCTTGCCCAGACGTCGCAATGCCCGCTCATCTGCCTCCAGACCAACAAGGATGCGGCGGTGCAGTCCAACGAGTGTGACTCTGTACGTCGAGGCCACACATCCCGCCGCCACGGTAGCATGCTAACATCAAACAGGAGACTCTCCAGTACTCGTGTGTGTGCGCGAACGGCCTCTCGCCGAACGTGACCGAGTACAGCCAGACGATGCCTTACTTCATCTGTACCGAGGTCAACAACCGCTGCGTGGATAGCTGCGGAACCGGCAACAACCAATGCGCGAGTGATTGCCGCACCGAGCACCCCTGTGGAGCGCAGAACCCGACCCGTGTCAACGTCACCACGACCAGCAGCGCCTCTACCGCCTCGGCCACATCCAGCTCAACCGGTGGTGCCGACTACAGCAGCTTTGGCGACGGCAACTCGGGCGACTCTAGCTCCAGCTCTGGCGGCAGCAGTGGAGCCGGTGCCGTGGCTGTTGACCTCGGCGCCAAGTACGGGCTGGCCATGATCGTCAGCGGCCTGGTCGGCGGCGCAGCCCTCCTGTTGTAAGCGTGCGGAGAAACCCCGCGCTTTCGCCATTTCTTTAGCATTCTCTCGTCTTTTGCAATTTCTCAGCATGGTGTTCTGGGCAGGGTATTGGGAATCATCTGCATCACGGTCATTTGGGAAATCTCAGCATCACGGGGGCTGTTGGCCGCAACCTCTCCCTTTTCTTCATGGCATGGCATAATGGATTGTACTAATTGGGCAAGTTCAAAACGACCGAGGATCTATGTAGTGGCCAGAATGTGGCGGCGCAATGTTGTGGCACAGTCCCTCAAGAGCCAGCCAGGATACGAAAAGAATTAATTCATGCCAACAAAATGCGGTATCCGTCCTGTGGAAAATCACTACGCTGGTACGAGACCCTGAGTCCAATATTTTGCTCCCAAAGTGCTTTCCGCGACCCGTTCGGCGACCGCGGTGACGTCTGGGCTCGAAAGATCGTCGGGGGTCTGGGAGACTTTCCTCTTTGATGCATGGTCCCCGCCAACCCGGGCGCAGGTGCCATGCCCATCCGAGCATAGTGACCCGGTTAACCTTATCAGTCGAGCGGAGGAGCAGGGGACCGCAGCGGAGTGGATTGTTTCACTTGAATCATGTCACGCTGCCAGCCTCCCGCCGCACCAACCCCGTGCATCTGGCATCATCGGTAGGCGGCTGCCGGTCGGTTGCGCCAATGGCAATGCATTTCTTGCGCCCCTCTTATTGCTCGTTCATTTAATGCTCTATAGGCCGCCTTTTCTCAACGACACCGCCTGTTTTCCGACACCCCACGTCGTAAATCCCCACAGTCCAGAGCGGTTGCCACTTCGCGATGCAACCCAGGACGCTAGGCTACCGCGAAAGCGATCTGCGAAAAAGAGAACACGGATTCGAATGGCGCTATGATTGAGGCGAAGTCGCACCCGCACTGCACGCGGACATCAGAAGAAGGGTCCATGCGTTTCCGAATTCGCCCCAACCCCCACAGGTAGCAAGCTCCGTTTCTGCGCAAGCGGCCCAGTCTGCGATCATTTCACCCAAAGCCGATGCGGTGGGCACAAGACGCCCTCGACTATCGAATATCAGTCGACCAGGGTCCGAGCTTCCCGACCGTGCTCCGCCATCGAAATTATTGCGAACGGACCGCACTTCCTTTCGTGCCACACGGACCATCCGCAGAGCCAAAATGTCCATGGCCACTCGACCTTGATCAACGCTGCCGCTGGCATCCGCAGAAGAGCATAAGCAGGAAGGAGCACTTATTCGGCATCCTACAATTCAGGAACAAACCATGGTGGTTCCTCATTTGGGGTCTGCCTGATTGGCTTTCCGCCATCTATCGTATTTCCCACCGCTTCCCGAAGAGTGCTCAATATTCTTGCGGACCCCTATTGTGTTTCCCCTTCTCCACAAGCTCGTCTCGAGTGCCGTTTATCGCGCTGGCCGCTCGGACGCGAGACTGTCATGCTAAGGTGCCCTCACTATTCTCCGCAGTTCTCCGAGCGCCGTGACAGGGAAAAAGATACGGTCAGCCAAGAATATCGGTCGCCACTGTGGTGGATCCCTTTAAGAAGAAAAGGCCCGGAGCTTCTGGTGGCGACACAATATGCCACGTGAGAAAGCCGTTGCCTCGATCGGATAGCCGGTAACTTCTGTTTCCAAACGGCGCCATCTAATCAGCAAGCGCGCGGGTCGTGCGGGAAGTTGTTGGTGAGAGTGTGCCCCACTATTCTCGTTCCAGTGAAGGTGTGCTGGCGAGTGACGGCAAAGAGAACGTCGGCAGGCTGTTGAGCGGTAATGACGATGATACCCACGGAATCACTCTCCCACTGTTAGTATACCACGCTTCTTTCTCTCAAAGTGTTGAGCAATGCTGCTACTAATAGGTTGCTTGGCAAAGCCGGTTCTTTACTTTCTAGAATCAGTTGAGAGGCGAAGCACAGCGCAAGCAATGCTCAAGATCACAGGCACATTCGGGTTTCGCAGGGTTCACATATTACGCCTACATTGAATACAAATGTAGAGTGCTTTTTCCATTCCCAGAACCCAGGTACATACAAGAGCGGGGGTATCCTCACATCCTAACTTACACCGGACATACAAACTTTTGTGGAAACATCTCCCTCACTGCATAATTACCCCTCGCCCATTCCAACCCTCGCCGCCAATCCTGACCTCTTCCTCGTGAACACGCCCCCGACTTTCCTGCCCATACCCTCCATTACCTTCTTTAAACACAGATTGCCCTCCGCGGTCTGCCCTTGAGCCGAGTCCTTCCTTTCTTTCCCCTCCTTCTTCTCCCCAGCAGCGGCGTGAACACCGCCGCTGCCGGCCTTCTTGCTGTCCCGCTCCCCCCAGTCCATGTCCAACCGCCACCCCTTGTACTTCGCATAATCCACCAATGCGCCATTAACCCACAGCTCGTGCGCCTCGTGCAACAAGGTCCGGACGTGCTCCCTCTGCGCCTCCTCTTCTTCCTGGTGGGCATATTCGTCGAGCGCCAGCTGGGGCAGCTGGTCGTCGGCAAGCCGCTCGAGCTTGTTCGAGGGGCCCGGCACGTCGACGTAGTCCTGGACCTCGGGCATGTTGGCGAAGAGCAGCGGGTGCTTCTTCGCGAGCAGGTCGAAGAACTCGTCGGGAGACGAGATGGCGGCGCGTTGGGCGCGGCGACTGTGCGGCTGGGCGAACCATTTTTGCAGAGTAGAGGGGTGGGCGTGTTGCTGCTTGTTGTCCGCGTCTTCGGAGATGTATGAAGAGGAGGGCTTGGGGGAGTGGTCGATGAAGCCGTCGTCGTGGTCGTGGGGGTTGGTGGGTGGAGGGCGAGCTGAAGCAATTGTGTTCGTCGATTTGTCCGAGTTGCGGTGATGGTGGTGCAGAAATGGGACTTTGTGGATGATGCTCTCCAGCGTGGTTTGCCGCCGTAGCGGAGGTGTCGGTCTGGCAGCAGCACCTCTTCCGGTTGTGGGGGTGGAGGGCTGTGGTGAAGGTTGTTTCTTCTCGACGACAACAACCGTGGCCGCCCATTCAGCCTTGTTGGGCGGACGGTTCAGCAACGACTGCTGCTGGTCGTCGTTGTCGTAGTAGTCGTCGGCTTCAGAACCGGACGTCACAGCGGCTGACGACTCTCGTGACGGTGGTCTTCCCTCGCGCCACTCGATCACGCCGTAGGGATTCGCGTCATCGTCACCGTGGCCCACCGACATCCCCTTTCTCTCTGCTGCTGCCAAATCCTCAAGAATAACAAACTCCTCGATCATATCGTCTCTTTTCTTCTTCTGGTCGTCCGCTACCGACAAAGACGCTGACGAGGACCGGATAACCCACGCCCGAACACGCTTCGAGAACGACCCACGAGTGGTAGCGGAAGCAGCCATGGCAACGTCAGGCTTCCATTCCTCATCGCAGCAAATGTCTCCCTCCACCTTCCGCTTCGCGTGCCGGATCCGACGGGCCTCTTCCTTGGTATAAGGGGGGCTTCCGTCATCGGCCGGGTCGGGCCTGATGACGACTGTTCTCCGCTCGAGGCTGCGCCTGCGCCTCTCCAGCTCTTCGTCCCCCACTTGCTGCTCTGGCGCTAATTCTTCTACCGACGCTATTCTTCCTCTTCTCAGAACCGCGAACGAAGGCTTCCTCGCACCCTCGGCCAGCACGTCCGTCGACCGGCGGCTGCTGAAGGATGGGATTTTGAGCATCTTGCTGCTGGGCGAGACGGCTGTGGGAATAGCTGGCGATGACTGCGTCCTGGAGAGGCGACGTCGGTGGCCGGTGAAGGAGTGCAGAGTGTGCGGAGAAGAAGGGGACGACGGGGAAAGGGATTGGCTTTTGCATTCGAGGCCGGTGTCGGCAGGAGTGGCAGCGGGAACAGCAGCAGTAGCATCAGCAGCGGAGCGACCCGGCGCCCGAGTCCCTCCTCCTCCTACTAGCGCTGGAGAGAAGGAGTTAGGGCATGATGGCGGGGCTACGGTATCAACTCGCATGAGCACCAGAGTCGCGTTCTCGGGCTTCTCCATGGGTATTATGACGAAAGTCTCTCGCCAGGGGAGTTTTAGCGAGACGGGGGAAAATGAAATGGCCGGGGAGTAACGGTGTTAAATCACTGGGTCATCGCTGGTGGACGCTTGGGGGAGTGGACCACACATCAGATGAGAAGGGAGGATATCGCAGGTTTTTGATGATGTGCGCCGCAGCTCCGTGCGGAATGCGCTGTCCCCGGAAGCCGCGTGGTGGGCTCTCGGACCTGGTGGGGAGAAAATCTCGGGGGAGGTTGTCTCATGTCGTACGACGAGCTGGTGACGCCCCATCTTCTGAGTTTTTCGCTCGTTGCCTGAGGTTTGACCTGCCTCACCAGTCCATGCGCCGCCTCGTCATGGTAGCCCGCCGTCCACGGCGCCCTTGCGGCTCGGCGCGATGCGCTGACGAGAATCCATGGTTAGCGGCGACTGGTACCGACCGGTCCAGTTCCGTTTCGGCGCGGGGTGCGAGGCTCGTTCTCAAGGCCTACCGCGTTGAAATTGCAGCAGTATTCCTGGAGTCGGAGTCATCCGACAGGACAGGAGACGAAATCGGCACGTGATCGTCTGATGATCGCTTTTTGCGGCTGTGTCTCGTCACTTCATCCGCCCTGACTTCTGGGAGATCTTCGAGATCGCCAGAGGGCAGGGTTCGAGGGGGCAGCAGTCGTCCTTTCGGTACCAATGTATGTGCTTCATCGATCGACCCTCTTTCCTGGTTTCTGGTCGCTCCCTGATAAGAAGGTGTGCTGAGTTTTGTGGGACCCGAGTGGATCTGGAACCGGCATGTGAAGGTTCTGCCTGTTGAAGCCTTGCCGGGAAAGCTTGCTTGAGTGCGGGTGATCATTGAGCCGCATCCTGTTGGACGTCAACACTGCAACAGAGCAAGTAACGGCGCCAGTTGAATGCAGGAAAAGCATCAGAATAGAGTAACAGTACTCTCTACTATCATTACAACAACCGCCGAGTCTTATGCTTGGTATCCTTTTCTTTTAGTGCAATGCGAAGATGCAGAACCCCCAAGCCAGAAATGCAAGGCAAAAAAAAAAAAACATGACGGATCATGTCCTAGTCCCCACAGAAACGAAAACTTTAAAAGCCAAAAGTACCCCAAACTTTCTCCACACACCTGAAAATGCAAGAATTCCCCCAGAGAAAAATCATGACTAGCCACCCATTCTTCCAGCCAATCTTCCCTGATTCAAAGAGTACCAACAAGAATAATATGAAGTGGTATCGTATCGCAGTGCTGACGGAGGTATTTGGTCCTTGTGAATCTTTCAAAATCCCGCGAGCTCACGCAGGTTGTCAGGCAGCCAAACGCAAAATGTCGAAAGTAGTCCAAACAGAGAAATCAGATCGAGCGCGGCGTGCGTCTACATGACCACACAGTCTTTGTCATCTTTGCCCTTTTTCTTTCCTTCGGATTGAACGGCGCCTGTTCCTCCCGAAGCAGCCGCTCGGATGATGGCGAGGCGCTGTTTCGCACGTGGCTCGCCCTTCTCGGCCGCGCGAACGTACCAGACGTTCGCCTCGAGCGGATCACGTCTGCAGCCGATGCCCATCTCGGTGAAGTAGCCTACAGCATACTCGGCCTTGGGAAGTCCTGTTGCCATCCCGTTAGAATCAGTGGTACTCAAGAGCTCTGGGAGCCGACTTACCTGTTTCTGCTGCGCGTTTAGCCCATTCGTACGATTCATTTTCATCTTTCTCCAGGACTGGCGGTGCACCAACCAGATACCAAGCGCACAGGTTCATCATGGCATCTGGAATGTCCTGTATAGCAGCACCAGTGTAGAAGTGGACGCTGAGAGCAGGATCCTTGGGACAGTTGAGCAGGCCATGCTCATAACACTCGCCCATTTTCAGGCAGGCCTCGGCGTTACCCAGCTCGGCAGCTTGGGTGTACAGTTGTGCGGCATAAGCCTCATCTTTGAAACAATCTTCGCCATGGCCATGCTCGTGGAGCTTTGCAAGGAGAAGAGGCCCGGTGTTGTACTGCGAATCTGCCGATTCCGAGGCACGCTTTAGCCACTTCAGGCCCTCACGGTCTCGTCGGCCAAGTCCCAATTCTCCGAAGATACAGGCCTGACCAAGGCGAGATGCAGCACCCGGATGCCCCTTGGAGGCCGAAGCACGGTAGAACTGTGCAGCTTTGGCCAAATCCTTGCGGCAGCCCCAGCCATGCTCGTACATGAGAGCTGCGCGGTATCCGGATTCGGCATGTCCATGTTTACTCGCTGCGACAAAGAGGGGGAACGCCTTCTCCTGGTCCGGCTTGCCCTTGTTGAAGAACCCAGAATAGTAGCCGTCCGCAAGGAGATATTGGGCAAACGGATAGCTACGATCCGACAGTCGCTGCAAAATTTGTCGAGATTCCTTGACCATCACCGTCTCGGCGTACGACTTCTTCGCCGGATCATCGGAATGGATGTATTCCTTGGCGGCTTGAACGAGGTAGACGGCAAACTCATACTGAACCGAGGAATCCGGGGTCTTCTTGACGTTGGCCATGTACATTTCCACGGTCTTTTGGGTGTCCAGAAGCGACACATCGTTCCCGACCAGACCGCGCAGAGCACTCTGGGACAGGTCCTGCGTTGGCGCAATCTGCTGCGCGTAAGGGACATTGTTGAGCAGGTCGACGTACGAATGAGGCCTGTTGTCCGGAGACCGTCGATTGGCTGACACCGAACGCGCGTACGGGGAGGGAGATGCGGTAGGCGAAGGTCCAAGCAGGTCGCCAGATCCCGGGGAAGGATGTCTATTAAGAGTGAAGGCTGATGCGGGTCGAGTCAAAGTTGAGCGAGGCTGAGCTAGACCGACACGAGGTCCTGAGCTCTGACCGCTGGAGGAGCCTTGAGAATCCGAGTAGGTTGACTTTGCGCGGTCCCGACGCTCAGCCTTCTTCAGCTTCGCAGGCTGGACATGGTACGGCTGATGGAAGTATTGCGGCTGCTCAAACTCGGGCTCCTCCTCCAGATCCTCATAGCGCATGTCGGAGGCTATGGTATGTCTCTTGAAGTCTTCGGTGAGGACGTCGCCGGCCATGGAAGCAGGAGGGCTGTTGGACATGACGCGGATGTGGGTTTGCCGGTAGGGTACGTCTCCTCGGATGGCATTGGAAGCAATGGAGTCGCGGTACCTGTCGGGCTCAGGGGTCTCGACATCGCGGAAAGTGTTTGAAATGCCGCTTAAGCTCTGCACGGATGTCCTATTGTCCTGGACGGCGTCATTTGAGGGCCCCTGTAGGGTGATGGATGGTTGGCTCTGGTGTCGGTTCACGGGCCTGCGGCTGGGCGACGACGACGGCGAGGGATATGCGTCGGCGGCATCATTGTGGCTAGTCGGCTGGGCGGCCTGGACAGCATCTTGGTAGCCCATGGCCACAGCGGGGACGGCACCTTATGAATGGACCCTAGCCGGCTTGCAACCTTATCTCGACCCTTACTCGTGGGGCGGGCGATAGCGATAGGAGCGCGATTGGATCGTGGCAGATCGGCGACGATATGCGGGTGATTGGGAGGCGGCGATCAGTGCGTCCAGGACGAGTCGCAAGTAAAAAGGTTCCTTTGGCTGCTGGGAGTCAGCGCTGCATGGAGTCGAGGTCTGACAGGCGGCAGCGCCGGAGCGCCGGTGGTGCTGCGGGTATGTATGCGCCGTTTGCTGCAGGGACCACAGGCACACCCGAAGAATTGGATCGGCGGGGTCTTACCGGACGTGAGCGGAGGTCAGACGGCAGCGCGCCTGCTGAGTGGCCGTGAGTCTGCGCGTGTGGGATCAGGTCCCCGCCGAGTACGACGACCGGCGCTGCTGTGCGCTCAGCAAGGACGGTGTTGGGCGCAGGCACCGAGGTACCCAGGCAGCAGGCGGAGCGGAGCGTGCGCGCAGTCTGCTGCGCGGTGGCTTGGGGCCAATTCGTATTGAGCAGAGGCGTGCTGCTCCGCGCGAGTTGCGGTCGGGCCCGGCGAGGAATGAATGGAAGGCACAGGCTTCTTCTAGAAAGCGCGGCCGTGTCACAATAGCTCGACTCGCTATAATCAGGCGCTTGGGCGCGAGGGAGATTATGAGAAAGAGCCGGCTAGTGATTGTTTGTATATGGCTGGGCCCGCCTGTGCCGGGCGGAGCTATATGTCCTCGGCGCAAGGCTTCCAGAGCAGCCGCGGACGCGCACTCATCAGGCGGCGGCGTGCAGCGGAGGCGTGCCCGCCGCCCGTGGCTTGCAACTCTACCCGCAAGCGCGAAGCATTGCGATCGGCCGACGTCGTCATCTGGGCGGACGATTTCGACGCAGAACTCAGCAGCGCGGGCTGAGGACTGCGCCCTGCAGGCCCGCTCCGTTTCAGGCCGCAGGTGCACGTCTGGGGCGGCAGTGGAAAGGTGGTTGGCCGCCAGGAGCTTGCCGAGCGCTTTGGCAGCACGGCGATCTCTGACGCGTGCACTGGACCCTGTCGTCGTGCCATCCGCCAGCACGCGCGCTGTCACGATCTGTCACCAACACTGAGCCCCACAGAGCGATGCCGCGACCGCGTTGCCAGCGGCCAGCCCTGCAGCCAGGTGCCCTGCCTCCCCACCGCCCCCGTGCGCATGCTGCGACGCGTGAAATAGAGAGTGCCGCCGCGACTGCCGCATGGGGCAGCAGCCAAGAGAGCCGCATGGTCGAGCCGGGCAGCCTGGCGCCAGAACAATAGGCTGCGCGCGCGGACCAGCCGCGGCGTCGCAACATCTGAATCCTCTCGCCCAGCGCAATACGCGACGGGGCGCGGGGCGTGCCGAGTTTCGGGTGAGGTGACATTTTTTCTCGTGAAGAAGAGTCAGGCGGCGCCCGGCAAGCGCAAATCCAGCGCCACCTGGTCCAAGAATAGGCGTCTCGCCGCCCTCCATGTCGCTAATCCCGCAGCAAGCGGTGGCATTCAGCCGGCGCCGTCGCCTTCGCAACCATTCGCTGCCGTCAGGGGAACCCTGCACGCTCTGTTGACTACTTCCCCAGGCGCTCCCTGCGAGCGCGTCCTGCTCCAGCCGTGCTCCGGCCCTGCCTCCCCCAGTGCCCGGCCCAAAACAAACCGTCGTCACTCGTTTCTGCCGTGTAACTACTCGACCGCTTCCCAGGACACCCAACCTAACTTTCGTTCCGCATCCACCTCTAAATCTGCAGCGTACTGCATTTTCCAGCGTGCTCGTTCCTCCGATCGCCGCTGTCCTTCGTTATACCCCAGCCGCGGCGCTCTGTCAAGGCTTCTCGGACGGGAACACCCAAGGCGCGACCCCAGCAAACTTGAGGGCTCTGGCCCTGTGGTACGTCACTGCACTCACTCTTCACGCCTTGTTTCGTAGACCACCACCGGAATGCAGGCTAACGCGCAACAGCGCCGCCCAACATGTCGCTCCCGCTCAGGACGCAGCCGCCGTCCTCGCCGCGGCGGCGCGAACAAGCTCACATTCGGCACAGCTCTCACGGCCGCACTCGACGAGACTCGTCTTCCCGCCGCCGCAGGCCATCTGACGTCGAGGCTCGACCATCGCACGACTCGCGCACGTCGCGCGCTTCGAGAACCACCCCGAGAAAGGAACATTCACGCCACCCGTCTTCGCAGAACGCCCTGCCCTCGCCACGGACCCCGCACGCCCGTGAAGAGGACCCAATGATGGCGGCCGGGCAAGAGTTGAGCCGCAAGCGCAGCCTCGTGAGGCCAGAGCGCAGCCGCATCGATCCCGAGCACCCCAACTATCACTACCGTCAGCATGCCACAGGTATGAACGTGCGGCCCTCAACCACTGGCAACGACCCACTTGCGGAGAACCATTACGAGGCCGAGACCGCTAGCTCGGAAAGTACGGATATCAAAACGCTCGCTCCAAGGGTCCAACAGCAGAGTTCGGGCAACAACTACTACACCGAAAAACGAGAGGCCCACAATCGACATGCTGGCGCCGATCGCAGGCTCCAGCGCAGATCCACCCGGCAAGAACCGAGGAAGAAGGACAAAGACGCGAAGGCCCGGGAGCGCATCCGCAACGGGGAGAGACCCCCGAGTTTGTGGAGCGTTTACTGCGCCATCATCACCTTCTGGGCGCCAGGCTGTATTATGCGCTGTTTTGGGATGCCTCAGAAAGCGCAACAGCAGGCTTGGCGCGAGAAGATCGGTCTAATCAGCATCATCATGTTGATCTGCGCATTCGTTGGTTACTTGACATTTGGTTTCACCCAGACTGTTTGCCCTAACGGAGGCCCGATGCGGTTGCGAGTCAACAAAGTTGACACTGGCTACATGATTATCCACGGGAAAGCGTACGACCTCTCACGGTCCTCCCATCCCTGGGTACGCGGAATTCCTGAAGGTGCAAATGTTCTTTTCGATCTCCCAGAAAAGCAGGGCGGCAAAGACGCCAGTTTCCTGTTTCAGAACGTCAACGGTCACTGCAAGGGCTTGATCACCGCAGCAGACGGCTCTGACGTGGTTTCTGAGGACAATGGTGCCGAACTGGCCTGGTACTTTCCCTGCAACACCTTCAACCAGGATGGTTCTTCGGAGCCCAACTTCACGACGCCATATTACCTAGGATATGCGTGCCACACGTCTTCCAATGCCCGTGATGCGTACTACAGCCTCAAGAGCGACGGCGACGTCTATTTTACCTGGGACGATGTGAAGAATTCGAGCCGAAACTTGATGGTCTACAACGGCGATGTGCTCGACCTGAACCTTCTGGAGTGGTTCAACACCAGTCAGGTTTCATACCCCAGTCGCTTTGATGATATTCGGAAGAACTCTGCACTGCGTGGCGTTGACATTACCCGCTCCTTCACATCGTCACAAGACAAGCAAATCGCCAAGTGCTTTTCGGAAATTATCAAGGTTGGCTCTATCGACACCGAAAGCATTGGCTGCATTGCTTCCAAGGTTGTGCTCTACGTATCGTTGGCATTCATTCTCTCCATTGTTGCTGCCAAGTTCGTCCTCGCACTGGCTTTCCAGTGGTGGATCTCCAAGAAGTATGCTGCCGACAAGTCCGGATTGGGCCTCAATCACAAAAAGAGGCAGAAGGAAATCGAAGACTGGGCCGATGACATCTACCGTCCTCCGCCAAAGATTGCCGATCCCACTGGGCCCGCTCCGGTGGATCGCGGCAACAAGCGCAGCAGCAAGTTCTTCCCGTCGACATCCAGATTTACCAGCCCCTACGCAATCGACTCTGGCACATCCCGCCCGGCACCAACAACCATGGCAAGCCAAAACTCGACCGCTCGTCTTATGAATCCCGTTTTTAGACAGGGCAATCGAAGTGAAGGCACTCTTGACGTGAATAGCAGGTCTGGTGGAGGCGATAGCCGCACCAGCTTGATGCTTCCGCCCACTTCTTCTGACCAGCGATACTCCAGCTACATGGGTGAATCCGAGGGCCCTGGCCCGGCAGGCTTCATCCACGAAGCTGTGGTGCCGCAACCTCCTCCGGAATGGCAGCCGTTTGGCTACCCTCTTGCACATTCAATTTGCCTGGTCACCACGTACTCTGAGGGCGAGGAAGGCATTCGCACTACCTTGGACTCCATCGCCACGACCGAGTATCCCAACAGCCACAAGCTCATCCTCGTCATCTGTGACGGTATCATCAAGGGCAAGGGCGAGGAGTTCTCGACGCCGGAGATTTGCCTTGGCATGATGAAGGACCACGCCGTTTTGCCTGACGAGGTTCAAGCGTTCTCGTATGTTGCCGTTGCCGGCGGAGCGAAGAGGCACAACATGGCCAAGATCTACTCGGGCTTCTACGACTATGGCGACGATTCGCGCATCCCGCTGGACAAGCAGCAGCGCGTGCCGATGATGCTTGTTGTCAAGTGTGGCACTCCCGAGGAAGCTAGCAAGTCCAAGCCCGGCAACCGCGGCAAGCGCGACAGCCAAATCATCCTGATGTCTTTCCTCCAGAAAGTCATGTTCGACGAACGCATGACGGAGCTCGAGTTTGAAATGTTCAACGGGATCTGGAAGATCACGGGGATTTCTCCAGACTTCTACGAAATCGTGCTGATGGTTGATGCGGATACGAAAGTTTTCCCAGATTCTCTGACGCACATGATCTCCGCCATGGTCAAAGATCCCGAGATTATGGGCTTGTGCGGTGAGACTAAGATCGCCAACAAGCGCCAATCGTGGGTGTCAATGATTCAGGTCTTTGAGTAAGTTTGCCCGGTCTGTGCGTGCGATCGGCATCCGATTCCCTAACTGGCAGCAGGTACTTCATTTCTCACCATCAGGCCAAGTCGTTCGAATCCGTCTTTGGCGGTGTAACGTGCTTGCCTGGCTGCTTCTGCATGTACCGCATCAAGGCGCCCAAGGGCGGACAGAACTACTGGGTCCCGATCCTTGCCAACCCCGATGTCGTCGAGCACTACTCGGAGAACGTCGTCGACACGCTGCACAAGAAGAACTTGCTTCTTCTCGGCGAGGACCGTTACCTGTCAACGCTGATGCTGAAGACGTTCCCGAAGCGCAAGCAAGTGTTCGTTCCACAAGCAGTCTGCAAGACGACGGTTCCGGACGAGTTCAAGGTTCTGCTCTCGCAGCGGCGGCGGTGGATCAACAGCACTGTCCACAACCTGATGGAGCTCGTTCTTGTGCGGGACCTGTGCGGGACGTTCTGCTTCAGCATGCAGTTCGTCGTCTTCATCGAGCTGGTGGGCACGCTTGTGCTGCCGGCGGCCATTTCGTTCACCATCTATCTGAGTAAGCGGGCCCAGCGCCACGACGTGTAGCGGGAGCTAACGCGGAAACACAGTTGCGATCGCCATTAAGGCGGCAGTCGAGCACACGGAGGCGCCGACGATTCCTCTGGTGCTGCTCGCGCTCATTCTCGGTCTTCCGGCGGTCCTGATTGTGCTCACCGCTCATCGGTGGTCGTACGTGGCATGGATGCTGATCTACCTCATTTCCTTGCCCATCTGGAACTTCGTCCTCCCGACGTACGCCTACTGGAAGTTTGATGACTTCACGTGGGGTGACACGCGGAAAACGGCAGGCGAGACGAAGAAGGGCGGGCACGAGGACGACGGCGAGTTCGACAGCAGCAAGATCACGATGAAGCGGTGGCAGGACTTCGAGCACGGTACGTATGTCCCCAAGGCGGCGCGGACGCGGGCTGACAGTCGGATCAACAGAACGAAGGCTCAAAGGGTCGAGTGTGGGTTGGTCGCAGCAGAGCGCAGGATGGGCGGCGGGTGGCTCGCATCAGCAGCAGCAAGGATACGAAGCGTACTATGAGCATTAATCATCCTGCATGGTGGCGTTTTCCAAGGGCATATGGTTTCTCAGCGCGTCTGAAAGCTGCATCTGGTGGCACCGGGACAGAGTTGATCCGGGGCTGGCGGGGCGTGATTGGGCGGCGGGGCGCGCAGCTGGACGGATTCCGACACGGGCCTTTTTGCCAGCAGCATCTGCAAACGTGCGATGCATGACGGGCGGAGCCGAGCTGACGGCGGCGGGTAATGCGGGTTTTAACGATTGAAGAGACGGGCGCTCGCACGGCGGCGCGGCATTGGCGGGCGCACGTATGTATCTAGCCTTTTCCCAGCGACGACGGAATTAATTATGAATAATAGAGAGCGGGCGTGCGGAGGAGTTTGTGCAGGGGAGCGGCCATATTCGATGCAGCATGCAGCGCCCGGGTCGGACGAGCTCCCGTTTCCAGCGGCGGCCGGTTGCACGGTCATGTGCGTCGGGCGGCGCTGCTGCGCGTGGCCCTGATGGGAGCGAGAGCGTTGCCGGCTCGGCTTGGACCCCACAGCGCTGGCGAGCGCGTGTTAAACGGCCCCGTTACCCAGCAGCGCGCACACGTTGCGAGCAGTAACCACCGCAGAGCCGCGGCCTCGCCTACCCACCCGCCCCACACCGCGGCCGGGCCCCTCGCTCCATCCCAGCCGCTCTTATCGCCTGCGCTGGCGCCCGCAGATCGCACCCCGCGTCCGCGGCGGAGCGCTGCTTCTCGCTCGCCTGTATCACCCGCCGCTCGTCCAATCCCCAGCGCCCGAGACAGATCCCACTCCTCCCAGAGCCCTGGCTCAAGCGCCGCCAGCTCTGTCATGCAGCGTGCCGCCCTGCCAGAGCCAACGTGAACGCCCCCCCAGCATTGTACATACTGCACGTCTCGTGGCTCTGCACATACGCCGTTTTTCGACTTCTTCGCATATTCTTTAGCCGCGGCCCCCCCGGCACGCCTTGGATCCCATCACGCGCTGAACCCCGACGCCGTTCTGGCGCACCATGCCCGGCCCTGGCCATGACCAGATCCCATCTCGCATAAGTCGCCCCTCCTCCCTGCCCGTCATGGCCCCCTCCTCCTCCCAGGACTCTGCATACCACGGCGACACCGAGGCAGACATGGACGCCCTGCCCGACGACGCCGACTCTGACATGGAGGATACGTACTTCAATCTTCCTGCCCCGCCGCCCATGGACACCACTTCGTCGCCACCAGCCGACGAGGGTGAGTTCTCGTTCGCCGTCCCAGCCGGGACCGAGCCGTTAACATCCCTAGCCGACGCTGGCAGCGGGGCATTGCCCGCCTACATTCCCGTGAACCCCCAGTCGGCCTCTATCAGTCTCGGGAACGCGCAGTTCGCCATTCCTCCGTACTGGGAAGACTATGAGGTCAACACGCCTTCGGTGGACGACTACACCTTCAAGTCGGACATCTGCAAATTCATGGACACCTGGAGAGTGGCTGCTGGCATCCCCGAGTACCGGCTGAGCAAGATCGGCTCAGAAGCTTCGAGAGTCAAGCACTGGGACCGCCCTCGGTCCATATTAAGAGAAGACCTCCAGGGAAATCGATGCGACATCCAAGGCATCAACTGGGACAGGCTCGAGACAGTACGAGAGGCCGCCAGAGATGCCCGCACCAGGCTCCATCAGGTCTCTGTGGGTCGCGTTGGCCTGCTTCCGCCCAGAATGGCAAGGAAGCTGCCCAACACGGAGAGCTTCTTCCGCTTTCGGAGAATGAACACGAACCACCAGGCCCTGATAGCCCACTTCCAGCTGCGCAACCTCATCGCAGCAACCTCGCGCGCCGACATCTTCTATGCCGGCCGGTCCAGGGTGATGCGCACTGATTCGTCAGGCGTTTCGACGAGCTGCGTCATGGATCTGACGAGGTCCCACTTCGATTCACTGCACTCGGCAACATTCGACATCACGTCCATGACTGCATCGGAGAATATTCTCATTGCAGGTGGCTTTCACGGAGAATACGCACTAGTCGACTTGCAGTCCGAGTACGGCAGCAAGCCTACCCAGGGCTTCATCACGCACGAGCCAAACGGCATCACCAACCACGTGCACACCTTTGCGAACCGTAGCACGGGCGGCAGCATGGCAGCCTTCTCGTCGAACGACAAGCGCCTCCGTGTTTTGGACTGCACCACGAACCGCTTCGTCCACGACTTTGGTTACGAAGAGGCCATCAACTGTTCCGCCACTTCGCCGAACGGCCGCATGCGCATGGTCGTCGGCGACTTCCACGAAACGCTTATTACCGATGCTGAGACGGGCCGTCCTTTCGAGCGGCTGCCGGAGCACGACGAGCACACGTTTGCATGTGCCTGGGCCGACGATGGCATCCACCTTGCCACTGGCGCTCAGGATTCCAAGGTTGTTGTGTACGACGCCCGTTGGTGGCGGCAGCCACTGTCAATTATCGCCTCGACCATGGCCTGCCCGCGCAGCCTGCATTTCAGCCCGGTGGGTGGTGGACGGCGGGTCCTGTTATCGGCTGAGGCAGACGACGTGGTCAGTGTGATCGACGCCCAGACATTCGACCGCGCCCAGACGCTCGACTTCTTTGGGTCTGTCAGCGGCGTCAGCTTTGTTCCAGACGGCTCCAGCTTCTTCGTGGCCAATAGCGACGGCAAGTTCGGCGGCATCATGGAATTCGAGAGGGCCGGCTGGGGCGAGAGGATGGGCGTCCAGACCGAGCACGAGACGAGCCGATTTGAGAGAGGTGGGTCGAATCTCAGCGGCAGGCGGCCAGGTCGCCCAGTTGACCACAACCAGACCCAGTGGGCGAACGACCTCGACGCCGACGCCAACGCCAGGACGAAGCTGGGTTCCATGGCGCGCAGGAGAAGAGGCCTCGGCCTGGGTGAGCTTGTCGTGTAGACAGGCAGCCCTCCCTCAACATATAATTGACCGCGATACCTTATATTTGCCTTATCACTGCATAACCTACTCAACCGGGACGGGGATTTACTTGACGCAGAGACGACGACCAACGACCGAGACGTAGCGAATGCGGTGTGGCAACCTCCTGTTTTGTGCTCGGAAGCGAAGCGAACATCTTACCTTCGTTTTTTCTTGCTTTTTGGGCGGCTCTCCTTGTGTCGAAGAGCCACCACGTGTGGACAGCATGGTGGCGTTCTTGTGTATTTCTGACCTGCTTGCAGCTGAAGGACAGGGGCCCTTCAGCGTGTTTTGGTCTCGTTGGGCACTGTAACGGGACGGTTTAATTTCTTGTGTCTTCTTCCCTTGTCAGATACCTTGTGGAAATTGCTCCATGACTTCTCGTTTCTTGTGCCTAGTTTCTTCCTCTCTTCTTCTGCTTTCGGCTGGATTCGTCCATGTTGTTTCTCGGTTCCACGTCCACTTTCTGCTCCGTCGGACGAGTGTGTCGCTGCTGTTTTGCGGCTATAATTATTCTTCCTTGTATACCCTGCTGTCTCGGGCGTGCGGATCCCCTCGCCTATCATCTATCTCACTGTGCTTGGGGGAACCCATGCTTAGATTATTTTATAATTAACCATTGGCAACAGCTGGTGCCGAGGGCAGAGGCGAGTTGTATGTACATGTTCTGCATTTGTTTGACAACAAAAGTTTTCAAACCGATTGGCTGAGATGCAAGTGCGTGTATACTGAGACATTGCCTGTAGATACAGTAGGCACCCACGGTTTAACCATGGTGCTTTCTGTTGGGAAGGATCGACGTCGTCTGATCTTCTGAGACATTTGCAAGAAAGAGAGACAGTCAGCAGAAGATGTGGTCAGGATTGGCGCATTGCGGCTGAGGCGGCGGCAATGGAGGCCGTTGCGGCTTGGCTCTGATTCTTTCGCTATGCTGTCTTGTTGAGCTGACGGAGTGAGACGGTCACGGGTGCATCAAGAGCGGAGGTGGTGGCTGGCCTGATTCGTAGGGCAAGAAAGCCGGCCTTTCCCTTTGCTTTTTTTCCGTTCTTATGCGGCCTGCCGCGCTTGATCGGCTGATCTGCACACGGATGGCTTTTCTCCCTCTACGACCGTTTGCTAGAAGTTTTCTAATAGGGGTGGAGTACTGGCCTGCGCCTCCGACCGTCATGCGCCTGAAAGGAAGAGGGTTCCTTTTTTTATCCTCTCCTTCCGCTTTCATGCTGTGGGCTGTACTTCCCATGCTGCTTCCCGTTTGAGAGGCCGGATTTGCATTGTTATGCATAGCTTTGTTTCTTTCAGCTCCGTGAGCATTGCATTGCGTGTGTGTGCGCGCGGACATCTATGTATGTATGTAGGCGCGGCTGGGGTACGCGTGCCGTGGGTTACACACACGGAACCCTTGAACAGCATGCTGGACTATTGGCTGCGTAAGTGCGGCAGCTTCCCCTCGCCGCCGCCCTTTTTTATTTTTTATTTTTTTGCCCTTGATTAAACGCCGGACGATCTGTGCAACGGTCGGCACGGATTTTCTCCTTCTTCCCTGCGGAGTTACACGAGAGGCGGGAGGCAAAAAAAATATTGACGGTGTAACAGTCCTAGAGGGGAGTGGATCAGCAAAAAGTTTGTGCTTGGACCCGAAGTCGATCATGTTTGTTTGCTTTTTTTAAACATCTCTCGCTCGCTTCGAAGCAGGTACGCATGCACCAGCCTCCACTCCAGCTTATCTCGTGTTGTGCGGGTACCGCGTACGAGGAGCCTTCTGCAGGATGGGCCGTCACTTCTTGGCGCCGGATACGAGGGGCACCGTGATGGCGTAAGAATTGTGGGTTCATGCTTCCTTCGTAATCAGCCTTTTGCGAACAGTCATCACCCTTACGTCCTTGTCTGTGGATGTGACCGGGACCAGTCGTCATCCTGCTGCATTCATTTCACACTACGGTGCCTCTGCTTCAGCTTGACCCGCGACTGGAAGACGCGCGGCCAGAAGTTCTCCTCAGCTCATCATCGGGACACGCGTGTTGGCGTAAGTCGCCGCTGCAGAAAGCCGTTGGAGGAGACAGAGTTGAGCAGCTCGAGGCGCTTTTCGTGCTCTTCGGAACAAGTCCAGATCCTCCCCGACACGTGCGGGCTGTTTGGACGTTGCGCCACATACCACGTGGGAGTGCAGCCTCAACCGTCGCCTTGAGAGCCGTCTAGCCCAAAGCCACATGGCCTGGACCTTGAGAAGCATCAACTGTTTCGGGTCTCTGCAGGGGGGGTTGCCACCCTTACTTGTCTTTGTACAATCCCCTCTTGCAGGATGGCTAGCGCGGATTTGTTTTTTGCTCATGTCATGGAATTCGATATTCTCGTCCGGACGATAGCTTCAACTACCCACATATGTTATTTTTCTAAGGCGGAGCTGGAGAGCCCTGCTATTCTTCGCGCTAGCCATCGGCTGCGAGAGGGGGCTGTAATGTCCGCAGTGGTGCTACTGAGCTAGCCGGTTGATGGGTTTCAAGTCAGTCCCTTGTACAGACACACCTAGACATTGAATTGAACTACCCGGGTAAGTAGAGTGTTATATTTCATGCCAGAAAAGGTTTTCTAGGCCTCATCCTGCCCATTTCAAACCGTTTTTATCTGTTGGAATGACCGCACATTTCATTCGTCTTTTCGCTGAAGTCCAGCTTGCTGGATAAACCCGGGCAAAAAAACTGGTGATTTGAGTGTCACGTCATCATACCCTTATTCATTTGCACTATACCTAGCCTTTTGCTCTCTCCCTCAGTCAAGTCAAAGTGCACGTAGCAGAATTCATCCTCTGACACCAATTAAGTCAATTTTCGCTTAGAGAGAGTGTGGACCACTACACTGGCTGTTTTGAATAACCTTTGACTAGAAGCAACAGTCAACATGAACGCGACGCGTGTGAGATATATGGTCAATAGTATCAAAGAGGGGCGAGGTAAACCGGAAGGAGCCATCACCGATGTCTCAAACTACCTCAATCCACGTAATTGCCGTCGTGTTTCCCTCTTGATCTTGCTTTCCCCACCATGGCTGGAGACGCAAATGGCAACCGGTTTTACATATATGCCTTCGTCTCCCTCTCGCACCATTCCCAAAACTTCTCGGCGATACCCAAGCCGCCCTCCTCGTCCTTCCGCTTGATTGCCTCCTCGAGCCCGATCCGAGGTTGCTGAATGCGGCCCCATGGTAGGACGAGACATCCGCTGTTGTCGATGCTGATGTCGGGAGACCAGCCGGCGTAGAGCTCAGTGTACGCGCCTTTGATGGGAGGGTAGAGCACGCCACCCTATTTTATTTTATTGTTAGAAGAAGGAATTGAAGGGAAAGAAAGGAGAAAGGGGTTCTTACAGCGACCACCCGCTCGATAGCTCCGGTGTGCCTGTATAGGTCCGTATACAGGTTTCCAGGGTTCCAAGACTGTATTACGTTAGCCTACCTCTATAGATTCTCCATGTTGTAGCCACGCTGTTGCATTTCTCCCCCTCAATCATGGCCAAAACTTACTACGCTCACGATTCCATCGTCCTTACTATACCTCCTCGCAAACTCAGTGCCAAGGAACAGATTGCCAGACTTGCTCTGCCCGTAGTTCTGCTGGGGGAGTGAGAGCACCTTCGGTGCGCCCGTCTCTTCGTCGAGGTCGACGCCGTGCGCGGGTGAGAGGAGGTCGATGGCCAACGAGGCAGCCCACGTAACGCGGACGGAACCCGGAGGCGACGATGCGGCGGTTTTGCGCAGGAGTGGGAGAAGAAGCTGGGTGAAAAGGAAAGGCCCAAGGCAGTTGGTACCGAGCTGGAGGTCGTGGCCCTATGTGGGGGTGGAGGTTAGCGTTGAGGCTATACGGTGGAAAGAATACAAACCTCCTCCGTCTTGCTCCCCTTCGGCGGGAACATGACGCCGGCGTTGTTCGTCAGCACGTCCAACCGCTGCTCCTTGGCCAAAAACTCATCGGCACTCTTCTTGATACTAGCCAGATGGGCGAGGTCCAGCTGCAGAAACTCGACCCGCCCTTGGCCGCCAGCATCCGGATTGGCTCCTTCCTTGACCGTTTTGATTGCGGCGTTGGCCTTTTCGGCGCTGCGACCGGCGACGTAGACGGTTGCGTTCTTGGCGTACAAGATTTTCACCAGCTCCAGGCCAACGCCTGAGTAGCCGCCCGTGACGATGTGAACCTTTTGAGCAATTGTTAGCAAAGAGAGCAGTCAATGGCATGGGCGAAGGGTGGCAGCAATACCTTGCCTTGTTGGTCCGGCAGCTCCTTCTCAGTGAAGGGCGGATCGGCTATCCACGCCGACTGGGTAGCGATGTTCTTCAGCCTCTGAAACATGTCTCTGTTCAACAAAGGGGTTGTTGTCGTTATGTCTCTCGACTGTGGGGGGGACTGCAGCTAGAAAGCGCACGGTTGGGGTGGTCGCGCTTGATGATGTAATGGCACGGATTTCCCATGCCCCATGCCCGTCCGAGCGCCGTGACGGTCCGAGGCGATCCCGACGCCTAAACGTCGCAAGCCTTTGCCGGGCTTGAGTCGCAAGCAGCGCCGGCCACGTTTGAGCTTTACGAGAACATGTTGCCCGGCGAGTCGTGCTGATACGAGGCACTTTGCTAATCCCTGCACTTTATTCCCTATTCTGGTTAGCGCTTCATAGCACATGCAGCAGCAGCGAATACATCTGGACAAGAGTTTGGAACAGTAATAACTTCTAAGCAAACGGATATGGGACGAAGGCGTCGAATCCTCAGAATGAAGGTGGTCCGGTGTGTATAAAGATGCGCCGTCCCACTTAACTGATCTTGTAAAAGAAAATCGTCATCCTGCCTTTCTATCCCATCCTCGTCTGCCTTCACATCCCACCATGCCCCCTTCTATTTGACACACTCCAACCTGGAATAAGGAAGCCAAAAAAAAAAAAAGACTTGTACATCTCCGAACGTGATCTCTCCAATGTGAAATATCCACTCGACACAGAAATATCGAATATCTGACAATCGAGCATTCTAATGCATCTAGTCCCTCGCAGCTACTCCGTTGCTCCAACATAGACATTTCAAAATATTCGCCTATTCATCATCCTGAAACTTCAACGTCAAACCACTTTCTCCTCGAGGAAGCATTGCCTTGCCCAAGCCCCATGCATTCTTAGCGAAGGAACGGCCCAGGCTCCGGTGCGCATCCATTGCCCGAATGTCATCGTTTGAAAGGAGATGAACTTCTGGGCTAGGGTGAATGAAGGGTATCTCAACTGGCTCGCACATGGTATCTGGCACGGGCAAACTGCCGTTGTTGAAATAATTGCGAATGTATCCGACTGTACACGGCGAGAAGGCAGCAATGGAGCAATGCTACAAGCTCGATCAGTACTTGCTAAATAGGATTCTAAACAATTGAAACTTACCCCTGGCGAATTCTGCGTCAATACTTCCGAACCAGGAAATAACGATTTCATCTTGTGCGCACTAACTTGGGCGTTAGCCAATGATGCAACTATGATATTACAATGGCCAAAAAACTTACTTGATTAACGGAGTAACCGGGTCCGCAGTATTCCCAATCCAAAGGATAGGGTTGGAAGTGTCACCGCCAAACTCGGGCTTGAAATCAGTAAATCTGAACAAGGGCCTGAATTTCCAATTCGCACAGTTCATCCTGTGTCCAGCCCACATGGCACCGACGGTCGGAGAAATTTCATCCAGCTTGCGCCAGTGCTCATCCATGCCGTCCAGGTCCAAGTAATCCTGTGGGTCACCGTCACTGCACATGATAGCCATTGAAGCTTCGCCATCAACTTGCGCGATATCCGTGTCATTTCCCTTGGCAGCGCAAGCGAAAAAGTGCTTGCTCGTCAGGTAGCGCTCCATTTCTCCGTCTTCATCCCCGCGAGCCAAGGCAGCAAGCATCTCAGCCATGAGCGGGAAAGCATGTAGTGGTTCGTAGAGGGCCATGAACATGAAGAGCCTGACGTCGCTCCAGGTGACGATCTCGGGAAACTCGCCTTTGACCTGGATAGGGTTGTGATACATCTTGTCGAGAACAGCCGTGGCCTTGGCCTTAATGTCGACCGCCGACATGTTGTGGCCAGCCAGTGGGCAAAGGGTCGGGCCAGCTTCAGCGCAACGGTCATAGAAGGCTTGCATCGTCTTCTCCGTATCCTCTAGGTTATCAGACCAAAGTGTCTTCATGTAGTTGGAGCCGTGGACTACCCCGTCCAGAACAAGCCTCCCAACACGGCCGGGGAACATGGATGCAAATGTGCTTCCAAGCAAGGTACCATACGAGAAGCCCCAGTACTGGAGTTTCTCGGTCCCGGGAACATAAATCTCTGGCAGCTTCAAAGATGCGCATACTCCGTGTTTCTCGCACATCTCGATTGCGTCCTCGGTCAGGATGCGCCAGGTTTCAGCCTCGCGGTACTGGCCAAAGAGCTCGGCAAGTTCCAGCATATCGCGCGCGACTGATGCGGTCGTGACGTAGTGTTTCACATCGCCATCGTCATCCAGCCCGGCGCACGACGCTCCAAGTGCATTAACCATGGACCAACGCCGACCGAGCACGGCATCGGAGCTGCCCAGGATGCCTTGCGAGTCCAACCGCAGGTTCCATGATTCCCTAATAGATGCGGCGCGGAAACAATGGGCACCAGGAGTAGTGCGGCCGATTCCGCGCGGGTCAAACCCGACGACATCGAAGTACTTGGAGGTCGAATTTTCCGGAGACTCGGATGCTGGATCAACGGGAGAATCAATGATGGTCTGGATAGCAAGTCCCATGGCAGTTACGAGGTCGACTCCAGAGCCTCCCGGGCCTCCTGGATTCAGAAGCACCGGGCCGCCGTAACGAGGGTCGGTGACGGGGACTTTGGCGGGAAGCATGGTCACCGCCAAGCTGACGTGCCTGTCAGGGAAGGTGCCGTTCCACCAGTCCAGCGGCAACTCGACACGTGCGCACCGGAAATCGCGGTAGCATGGCTGGAACGCGAGGTGCTTCGCAGAGGGAGCCTGTGCGAATCATGAGCACATCAGATAAGATGAGAGTGGATGCGGCTGCTTCCAGGGTCCGTGTTGCTTACAGCATCCCACGAGAAGCTTGGTGTTTTAGAAGCTTCGGCGTGCTGGCGCGCACGCCCATCCAGCTCGCTGCCCACGAAAGTCACCAGGCGGCCAACGGTGGCGGCAAAGTACAGAAGGACGACGAGAAGGAACGCGCTGCGGGCTGCAGCGGCCAGCCGGCGGGGCGCGGGCTGGCGAGGGTGGTGCGGCTCGGCAGGCGCGGACGCTTTCATCATGGCACCCGGGATGCGAGACAGCAGAGCGCGAGCGAGGCGGCGGGCAGTCGAGGTGTATGTAAAGGGCGTATCATATCGCAGCTAAAGCGCATGCGCGATAAGGCACGGCGGGCCGGGGGCGGGCTGGGATCATTTGGGCCTGCTGACTGTCACGGCTGCGGTTGGCTGCGCTGGGGATGGAGGCGGCGGACGGCTTGATGGCCGCTGCAACCTGAGCCCTCGGGGCGCAGGCAGTCACGTGCGCTCGCCGGAGCCCGACGAGTCGTGTGCGGTTGATGAAATGATTTTCCGACCGTTTTGGCTCTCGCAGCGTTCGGCAGAGCTGGGCGGTTTTCTGAGCCTTGATCCCTCACCTCCGAGCTGGCCCAGCGGGGTGCGTTTCTCTAATCGCCTGCGTCCGTTGCCGGCGCAGCCCTGTCGCCGTCTGCCCGCCCACAACCAGACTGCCGTGCGACGTGTTACATTTGCGACCTCCCGCCTCTCCCCGTAGCTCCTGCTAGACCTTTGCGTGTGCGGTCATGAGACCCAGCCCACCACCTCTGACTGGCCCGCCAGCCCACAAGCATTCACTGGTGCAAAGGGACGACTTGATAGAGCCCAGACAGTATGCATGATTCCATGGGGTATCATCCCTAGGTACGGGCGAAGAAATGCAAGTTCCAGTGTCTGTTGTACCTTGTCCCGACCATGAAAAGTAAAGAGAAGAGCTGACCAATCCATGTCCTCAATCTTCTTGAAGTCCCATCCTGCGCCAAGACCCCGTGTCTTGACGCCCTGCAAAGAGTGTGGCTACGGGTATCCCTTTCCTCCGGACCAGTGTTTTAGTGAACCGCAGCACGAAGACAAAGCAAAGAGAAAAGAGGCCAAGAAGGACCCTCCATTACCACTGGCCTTGCTGGCCTCCTTGGCCCTGGTTTGGATCCCAACCACCTCCAGGAGCGCCGCCGTACGGTTGCTGACCGCCGTAGCCACCCTGGCTCGGGCCCCAGTTGCCAGCGCCGAAACCTGCGAACATGTGAGAACTGCCCTGAACGCGAATGTCCTTCCGCTGCTACTCACCACCACCACGGCCTCCGTAGCCTCCGCCTGAAAATGGGAACGTTAGCGAGGAAGAGCAAGGGAACAGGCGTGCTTGAGAGTTGACGGCGGAGCATGAAAACTCGGCGTTCAAATCACGTGCCGGGAATGCAAGGAGCGCTGGAGACCGCAGGTGTCGAAGGAGCATATGGGAGAGCCGGGAATCCACTAACCATAACCGCCTCCGTAACCTCCGCCGCGCGGTCCGTTGTAGCCGCCACGGAAGCCGCCGCCGCCGCCGCCGCCGCCAGAGCGGTCGGACGCCTTGTCAACACGGATGGTGCGGCCGTCGAATCTGTAGCCAAGTAAGCGACGACGTTGATCTGAAGGTCCGTCGCAGATGCAGTGGCGGCCCAAGCTGAGACGCTTCACCGCCTTCGGGGACGTCTTGCGACTTACTCGACGTTGTTCATGGACTGAATGGCGGCTTCAGCATCGGATTCCTGCGTGAAGCGGACGAAGCCAAAGCCACGGCTGCGGCCAGTGTCGCGATCCTTCACAACGACCTGCGGGGCGCGGAATCAGTGATTGCCGGCTGAGCTGACAGCTGCAGGCGCTCGTACCGCTTCTTCAACCTGGCCGAATTCCTCGAACTTCTGGCGAAGGGTAGCATCGTCGGTGTGCCACGCAAGGCCGCTGAGATGCTGTCAGCAGGTGCGCTTGCAATGGCGACACAGACAGGCGAGCTTACCCTATGAAGAGCTTCGACATTTCAACACGGCGCAATCCTGGATCTGTGCGGAATGTCTCAACGGAATGCCCTCAGGCGTGCGGCGGGGACGACGAAGAAGAGCAAGAGTGAGGAGGAGACGGGGTCGAGCGCTGCGCGCCAGACGAGAAAAGGAAAGAACAGCAGAGCAGGCGCAGAAGGCAAAAAAACAGGCAGGCGCGACGCGCGGCTGCGCGCGGAGAGGGTCCATGAGAAATGAGGGCTAACGCAGGAAAGAGGAACGGACTTGCGGAACAGAGAGCTGGGCTGGCGGTGCGAGCAGCGAGGTTTGGGTTGCGCGCACGAGAGCAGGCGGCTGCGGGTCGCAGAAAAAGATTGGTGTTCAGAGTCGGACGGACGCAAAGAGGTGGGATGGGAGTCAGCACAGCGGCGCGGGGCAGCTTGTCTGCAATTTGCGCTAGCCGGCAGGGAGATCGAACAATCGCCGCTCACACTCAGCGGCGAAGGCCTGGTGGGAGAGTGGCAGGGAAAGGTGAGCAGCTGGAATGGGGCTTGTCCGTATTATGGATGGGCCCTGCGGCGGATCGGGGCCCTCGCGCGCGCCATTGGACACGCGTGCGAAGGCAGGCTGTGGCGGCCATCCCGAAAGCAGCGAGGGCTCTGGCCTCGACATCCCGTGTTCAAAAGATCATGCGGCCCATCGCTAGCCTGGCCCTATAAGGCCCAATGGCAGGAGTCAAGCACCGGAGCCTGCTGGGGCGCGGCCCCCGCAGCGCGCGCTCGCCGCCTGCGATTGGCCGGCGCGGCGGGCAGCGCGTGGTGGTGAGGGCGCGCCCACGACGGCCATCCCTACGCGTTGCTGGCGCCCGGCGGCGCGGCGGCGGATGAGTGGCCCTCGCGCGGATTCAAGCTTATCGCGTCGCTGCACGCGTGGAGGCTCGTCCTGGCTCGTGCTCGCCGCCTGTGCAAGGTGAGCGCCCTGGGCCTGAGGCGCGCTGCGAGCGATCAGCTGTCGGGCGTGCGTAGTGCGCCATCCGAGAGCCTGGATTAACGGCCAGCCAGCATATGCATATACAGCGCCGTGCTCGCACATCCCTCCCTACGCGAGCATGCGTTTCCTACGTCCTCTTTACATAATACTTGCCAGAGCGCTGCCCTGCCCGCGAGCCTGCCTCGACCTGCGATAACGGGCATCCCCCGCTGCGTTCGGACACACTGTGCAACGCGAGCCCCGCGCCTGACTGGTCCGCCGCCGCCGCCGGGTGCAGGCTCCGCCAGGCGGACGTCCGCCGTGTGTCTTCAACGACGCTCCTCCATGGCTGCTGCGCGCCGCCGCGGGCCTCGGCGGGGGCAGGCCAGTGCTGGCTGTGGCCGCGGCAAGGCACGGTGCCGGTCCTGCGGACGTCCTTAGAATGGGTGATTAATTGACATGGTTGATGCAGCAGCAGCGTTGAGATATGATCTGTTCTCTGCACCGCACCGCATGCGCCGGTAGGCCCCTCTGTCTTTCCATAGCACACACTACTTGGCCGCGCCTTCCAGGAAACACCAGCTGCTGCATCCAACCCACTCTCCCCCTCCGCTCTCCTCACTGCGGCCAATCGCACCCGTCTCCTTCAGCCTCTTCCTGCGCCCTCAGTCCTCTGCCTGCCACCCGCTAGCCGCTGTCACATCGCCCGAGCGTGCTGCTATACCCAGCCTGAGCCGCTGTTACACGGCGCAGCGCTGCCAGTGGAGTCTCCGCCTGGTTCCCGCGTCATGTCCCTCCCGGCTACCTGCTAGCCTCGACCACCGCGCTCCACTCCATGCTGTACAACTCCTCCAGCACGGCCTTCAGAGAGTCGGTGAACGGGTCCTGCCGGCTTGCAGTCCGCTGCTGGCTGGGCCACGTCCATCAGCAGCTGCAGCAGCCAGCCACCGCCGCACATGGACGTCCGCAGGTGGCTAGAAGAGACGAAGACCCCGGGCCCTCCTGCGTCGTTGGGCTTACCGGCAGGTCAGCACGCAAGGGAAGGCGCTCCTCGAGACGCGGCTAAACAGTCATCCCCCAACAGACGCAAGTGCAAGCGGCCACAGAGGCACACCTCTTCAGACAGCTCGCTGCTCTGGCCAGATCGGGCCAATGGCCATGGCCAGCCGGTGACGCAGAAGTCAGGGAATGAAGATCGCGCGCGGCAGCACACTGCATCGGATAAAGCGGCTAGTCACTATTCTTCTGAGCTTTCCGGGTCGGCTGATCGCAGCGAATTTGAGCGGTACGCTCGCAGGCCCCGCCGCAAGACGCGTCCTGAGATATATGAGCCAAAAGCAGGCAAGAAGCGCAGCAAACGGACCCATGGGAGCAGGAAGGACCGTCACGCACCACTAAGAGAGAAAGATCGCCGGCGGACCAGGCCCAGACAGTCAGATCTGGCGCAAACATTCCATGCCAAGAATGTGGCTAAGGACAGATTGACGGTAAGACGGCCTGCACGCCCCGCAAGTTGTCTGCGGCTGACGCAGTGGGCTGTCGGCTACAGTTGAAGCCGAACGAGGGTCTTGGGTTGTTCAAGAAGGGACGCGCATCATCACCTGTCAAAGGACGTGGACGTGAGCCTACCTACCTCGTAGCGCCTTGCGTTCCCGCCTTGCCCTTCTAACGTCGCGAGCAGTGCCTGACCTGGTCTTCTCTGAGATGCGTTTCCTGCAGAAGCAGAGCGAACCTGTGGGTAGCCGGCCAGCAAACGAAACGTCAAGTAAGCGCAAGAAGACGGACATCAGTGTGGGGCAAGAGAACGAAATATCGACATATTTTGCTGCACAACGTCCTGCGTTTGCGGAGAACAACGTCAACCTTCTGACTCTGAAGCGGCCGGAGCGTCTTCCAGAGAACGAACGACACAACCCTCACGATATTACCTCACCCTCCCTCGAGTCGACGTCTGCTGAAGGTCCAGCCGATTTGCCAAAGAGACCATACCTGGGCTTTGGGACACGGCGTGTAGGGTCCACAGCCTCTTTGGAGACAATCTACATACCCTGGTCGAATTCTGGTCGACATGAGAGTGCAGCGGCACCTCAGAGGTCCCCAGGACGTTCTCCGCCATTGCAAGTGGGGGCTGAGGAAGACAATGGCACGCAGAGCTGCCCTTCGAATGCTGCAGTGGAGTCTAATCACGATGCGGTGCATCTGGATGCTTCTGGAAACCGGCCTCGGAAATTGGCACGACCGCGCGCAGCTCAAAGCAAAACCACCGTCGGCACTCGTCATGGCGCAGTGTATTTCCAGAGCGAAGCGCGAGACGATCCAAGCTTCCCAATCAACGTATTACAGACGGAAAGTCCGATACCTCCGTCGTCTCACAAGCATAGGACGGACAAGCACCGTCAAAGGGTCACTGATGTATCACCTAGCCAAGTATTGTTACAGCAGGAGGAACATACCACGGGAACTGACGTCAATAAGCAGCGAGGCAGGCGCCCGAGCGATGCACAAACGAGTAACCAAGCCCGGCTTGCAGCTTTGCAAGCGGCTGGTGATCGCGCTGTCCACAATAATGGGAATGCAGTGATGGCGCAAGGTGCAATTGAGGTCACTTCTGATGCAACAAGAATGCGGGGCCCTCAAAGATCGTCATCACCACTTGGCAAGCTGCTGCGCCAGTGTGATGATGCTTGCCATGACCCGCCAGTGGCGCATGCGCGAAGAGAATTCGATAGTATTGACATGCAGTACGCCAAAAGATCTGTTGAGTTGGAAGACGCTGCCGGCCGGTTAGAAACGCACCGTTCCGCGATGGCCGCCGGTTGGGCTGGAGAAATAGCGGAGACACATCCGGTGCTGTATCAGATGCAAGCACAAGATGCTGCAGCCGCATGTGGTGGCTCCAGTCCCAAGCTTGTCGCCATTGAGGATGTGCGCATGCCAGACAGCGCAACAGACGCGATGGAGAGCGAGGAGTATGAATACTTGGATGATGCGACAGGTATGTATTTGGTCCGAGATCGGAGCGAGGGGCCTTCGGATGAGTACATCTACCATGATGACTACGGCGGATCTATGTGCGACATTGGACTACAGGGCGGCGAGGAAGAATACGATGGAGGGAGGCTGGCCGGATTCTGGCGTCCACATAAGCTGTATTAGCGGTGAAAACATTCCGTCCGCCCGCTGCACGACCCCCTCGCCTAGGCGAAAACACGGCGGAAGGCAGGCGGCGTCGGCGGGAGACGGCCAAGAATACTGCCAATCTTCCCGACGCAGAGCCTCGGTCATCAGCCAACAGAAGACTAGCATATCTGCCACTCTGGGCTCCTGACGTGACGTGCTGGCTGTATGAGCGGCGTGCAGCATTCGTGCAGACGGACGGCGACCCTCGCGGGCAAATTATTCCTTGCGACCGACCTTGGCTGTTGGCGGGCTGTCTCGTGCAGACCGCCCGCCCTGACGTTCGCAACGCTGGCTGCTCCTAATAATCCACGCAAGTTGGCCGCCTCCCGCTACCCCACCACCCTCGACAAAATTCAATCTCGCACGCAGCAGGTAGCGGGACACTTCACCCCCTCAACTACTTCATCGTCAGCATCCACCATGGCCTCCGTCTCCGCCAACGCTCCCAAGGAGTTCACTGCCCGCAAGATCGGCGCGCCGAACACCCTCGAGCACCGCGTCTACATCGAGAAGGATGGCGTCCCCGTCTCGCCCTTCCACGACATCCCTCTGTATGCCAATGAGCAGCAGACCATCCTCAACATGATCGTTGAGGTCCCTCGCTGGACCAATGCGAAGATGGAGGTGAGGGTTCCCCGCCGTCGACCGCTGTCGACCCCGCCGCCAGACTGGCCACGCTGACCCCCTATCCAGATCTCCAAGGAGGAGACCCTCAACCCCATCAAGCAGGACACCAAGAAGGGCAAGCTCCGCTTTGTCCGCAACTGCTTCCCCCACAAGGGTTACCTCTGGAACTACGGTGCCTTCCCCCAGGTGAGCCCCGCATCGCCGTCGAGCGACCCCGCCATCGAGCCACAGCACTGACACGCGACGGCAGACCTGGGAGGACCCCAATGTCATCCACCCCGAGACCAAGGCCAAGGGTGACAACGACCCGCTCGACGTCTGCGAGATTGGTGAGCTCGTCGCCAAGCCTGGTGAGATCAAGCAGGTCAAGGTCCTCGGTGTCATGGCCCTGCTCGACGAGGAGGAGACCGACTGGAAGATCATCGTCATCGACGTCAACGACCCGCTTGCCCCCAAGCTCAACGACATCGAGGACGTCGAGCGCCACCTGCCCGGTCTCCTGAGGGCCACCAACGAGTGGTTCCGTATCTACAAGATCCCCGACGGCAAGCCCGAGAACCAGTTCGCTTTCTCCGGCGAGTGCAAGAACAAGAAGTACGCCACCGACATTGTCCGTGAGTGCGCCGAGGCCTGGGAGCGCCTGATCTCCGGCAAGACCCCCAAGGGCGAGATCTCTCTGTAAGTTTTCCTGCACATGTTCCGCTTGCATCCACGAGCTGACGAGTGCCCGCAGCACCAACACCACCCTCGGCTCGTCGCCTGACCGCGTCGACCCCTCGACCATCAACATCCCCTCGGGCGAGAACCAGTACCCCGCTCCCATTGACCCCAGCATTGACAAGTGGTTCTTCATCTCTGGTGCCCCCACCCAGTAGATTATCTGCGTCGAAGCTTTAGGCGCGTGATAACGTCTGAAGTGCCGGTCCGGACAGTAGAAAGTTGGAACACTTTACATAGCTGTTGTGGAGATGGTATAGATAAAAGAACAATGAAACTCAATGTGAAGAACATCAAAGTCCCTTCCTATGGCATGTTTGGCTTCCCAGTGACAGAACTCCGTGAAATGCAATGACCCAGAATATCAAGCGTGAATCTTTGACCTGTCTATCCCGACAGCTCCTCCTGTCTCGCGAGCAAGCGCGAATGCCTGTTTACTTCCTCCTCGACGTCCCTGATCTTCAGCTTTTCCAGGTCGAGCTTCATTTCTTTGCCGTCCTCTGCGGAGAAGTATCATGTCAGTATCCGATTCTTGCAAGCAACTCGCAAGAGCTAGCCCGTGAACAGTTTCGGACAGCCCCCACGTAGTCGCGACCGTCGATCCTGTTGCACCATTGGATGGACTCATGACATACTAAACTTCAACTCCAGGGTTGTCGGCTCCTTGCTGAACCTCGGCAGCATCTTTGCGTTGATCTTCATCCCGTCCGCTCGGGCATTGGGGGGCAGTAGGGCCAGAAAGTTCCGGGCGGTCTTCGCGGTGCGCATGAAGGGGTTGAACTTGGTGTTCACCTCGGTCAGGAAGCGGGTAATCATGGTGAACGGTCTCGCTGGTCGATGGGGGTGGGCCGACTGCGGAGGTTGAGAGAATGCTGAAGGGCGGGCAGCAAAGCTATTTCTATTTTCAATTTGGATGGTCAGCGGAATTGGAGTAGATCGGAGTCGCCAACGTACGTGTAGAGCGGCGGGGCAGACAGCAAGAGCTCACAGCGGGCGGCGCATTCACTGCTCGTCCTTGCGCTCTGGAAATTGTCGGCGCGTCGGAGTTATCCGGCGGGACTTGGCGTACCGGCCACGACATCAGGTACCTCTGATGACATCGGTTCGCCCTGCCCGCTCTTGTTAGCAACGCATCTTTCCTACCGTGGCCTTGTTACAATGACAACTGCGACCTCCGCGCTCACAACGCGCCTCACAGGCCTGTCTGATCAGAACAAGCAAACAGTTCAGCTCATCCACCGCCTTGCGAAGCTCCACTTTCAACCCGGCTCCACTCCCCTCGACGGCGAAGAGGGCGACGTGCGCATAGAGCTTAGCTCCGAGATCCACGACAGCTTAAAACTTCAAGAGGAGGAGCTTGAACTTTTACGACAAGAGGTCGAGGAGCTCACTACTAGCAGTGCGCTGGGTAGCAGGAAGAAAGACAACGAAAAGGAACGCGAAAAGAGCAGGTTGACCATCCAGCTTGCGCGGCTGGGTGAGGACCTTAAGCAGTGAGTGCCCCCATCATGTCTTAGCACATGACCGGAGAAGGTACTGACACCCTTCTTTTCAGAGCACGAAGCCAATTCCGAAAGGCTCAATTACAAGCCAAGCGCAACGCCGAAGCTGCCAAGCAGAAGGAACGCGAACTGCTCTTTGCCGGCATCCAGGAAGGCAACACCACACCCACCGCAGGTAGAAGACGAGGCGGTACCGAAAAGCTCACGCAGGACGAGATCATCGCCAACGCGTCGAGCGACGTGACTTCTGCTCTGAGACGCACCCACCAGTTGATGACCTCTGAGCTGTCCCGCTCACGATTCGCACAAGAGACACTTGATCAGTCGACGGCCGCGCTTGCAGAGCTTGGTGAGAAATACACAGACCTCAGCACGCTTCTCGCAAATTCAAAGACTCTCGTCAACTCGCTGCTCAGATCGCAGAAGAGCGATACTTGGTACCTCGAGACAACTCTCTACATTCTCCTCACCACCATCTGCTGGCTCCTTTTCCGGAGACTTCTCTACGGGCCCCTCTGGTGGTTTGCCTGGCTTCCTCTCAAGTTTGCCTATAAATTCCTCTTTTCAATCCTCGCAACAGTCGGTTTAGCCGGTGGTGCAGCACAAACGCAGGCCCTCTCGTCACAGGCCGCAACAGCGTCTTCATCTTCTCTTATCATCCAACCTAGCGCATCCAACAAGGCACATCCCAGAATGCCTGACCAGCCGAAACACAACATCCCTGCCGGCGCCGGCGGTGCGAACGTCAAGCAGGGCGATGCTCAGCAGCAGGAGGACCCTAGTCAGCCGGGGAGCATGTCTCAACAGGTTGGGCAGATGGCAGAGCAGGCCGCGAGGCAGCAAGATGATGTGCCGAGGAGGGGTGACGGCGAGCCCTTGGTGGAGTCGGACAAGCCGCGGAATCCGAAAAAGAGGATGTGGGATGAGGGCGTGGAAAGGGCCAAGTATGAGGCGCAGCAGCAGGAGGAGCAGAGGCAAAGAGATGAGCTGTAGTGATTATGCAAAGGTATTCGAGAACTTTTTTTTTTTCTTGCAATTCAGGATATCGTCTACAAAAGGCCCTAGCGGTGACTTGCGTTTGCTTTACATCTGGGTACCAGCCTTCCATGGGCATCCAAGAGACCCAGATGGATCTAACGGTAGGGTATATGAATTGGTTAAGCAGTCCATGTATACTAACATAATGGGGGCGTGGCGCAATGGTAGCGGTAAGCTTCTACAATGACTCAAGCCTACAAAGATATATACTAATGCCCCTCATAGCGTCAGATTCCAGCACACACTGGAGCATCCTGAAGGCTGTGCGTTCAAATCGCACCGTCCTCATCCTCTTTTTTTTGTTTCTTCTTAGTTCGGTGGGGAGTAAGATGCGGCTGTTTTACTTTTTGGTCTGTGTTGCGTGAGTGTGCGGCCGGGCACGGTTGTCTGCTTTGTCCGAGAGGCCACGGACCACCATTGGCTTTTTTGTTTTATTCTCTTTGGCTGGGCAGGGCGGAAGCCGAGGTGGAATAGCAGAGCACGTATGAGTTACCGGAGGATGCTTACATGCATGCAGAAACGGAAGGAGGATAGACTTGTGCATATGCAAGTCATACTTCGGACCGCCCTGCAGCTCAGGCCGGAACCCTGACAGAGGACACGCAATTGCGTAACCGAGCGCCGCGCCACTTTATGTCTTACATTGCTTAGATGTGCCGTGACACATTCGCGAGAGTCTGGTTTCCTAAAGAAGAAATTCTCCATGTCGGCCTTCGGGCCAACGAAGCAGGGCGGTTTGGCATACACTCTACATGTATTGTTCTCAGGGTTCTGCAGCAAGCCAATTTTTCGTGCTACTCTGCTTGTTTCTTTTATATTTCCATATGTTGACATACGAAGAGCCGCGCATAGGATTGACTCAGAATAGAAGGTTTGGCCCCACCTCTGAGTGTACAGTCTCTGCTAGTTTCAACATCCACGAGTCTAAAACATGATACTCCTTCGGGCCTGAGAAGCTTGCATCACCACAGAGACAGGCTTCGCAGAGTAAGCGAGACATGGGAAGGTAAAGCCAGTAAAGATCCGTTGCGTATGTCTATACCCAGTGGGTATTCCTTTTCCAATGCTCTACTTACCCGCTCCTCGAATTCATTAGACAGAAGTTGCAGTTGCAGGGAGTTGATGGACAGGAGCTGGGCTTGCACTGGTAGAATTTAACTTCTAAAATCTTCTAAGTACTTCTACATTTTTTCCTCTGATCTTAGTCTTTTTTCTACCTTTTTTACTACGCGCAGATGACTTTCTCGCTTACTGTTATGGTCCTGACTACACTCTTTCGACCTCCTCAACCACGACTTTGCTTGGCTTGCCCAAGTCATCACCCTCGTCCCCTCCTTCACCACCCACTCGCACCACCGCCTTCCCAAAAGCCCTAGTCGGAGTTTCCTTTTCAAACAGGGCATCCAGTTCTTCCAAGCTCCTCCCCTTCATTTCCGGCACGAACAGCCAGCACAGCACCGTCACCACGACGGTGGTGCTGCCGTACAGGAAGCCGACCTTGGCGCCCAAGCCCGCATAATCGGCATTGACGAGGTAGGGAACGGTGAAGCTGATGACGAAGGCGCAGGTGATGGACAGCGAGTTGGCCAGCATGGCCGTCTTCTCGGCGACGCGGCGGGCGGGCGCCTCGGCCATGGTGATGTAGCTGAGCGGCGCCCAGGTCAGGCCGAAGAAGACGCCAAACATCATGAGCCCCGCGACCAGCGCGTCCTTTTCGGCCTGGTTCGGCGGCGCGGGGACGGTGCCCAGGCCGCCGACCATGTAGAGGAACGTGGCTTGCGCGAGGCCGCCGAAGAGGAGCAGCGGGCGTCGGCCCAGCCGGTCGACGATGAGGGAGGTGGTGAGGGCGGTGAAGAACTGGAGCGTCGTGTAGGCGATCCCGAGCGCGAACGAGTTGGAGTAACCTTGCTGTTGGTAGAAGAGGACGCCGTATTGCGAGGTGAAGATCTGGCCCGAGAGTTGCTGGGCTAACATGCCGAGGATGGCGATACCAGCGCGGCGCTGCCAAAACCCGCACGTTAGTGTATGTGCATGGATGATTGAGGTGGTCGGTTGAAGGAACACATACCCTGTTTGTGCCTGTGAAGACTTCGATCCAGCCGCCTTTGCCTTCGTTGGTGCGCGCGTAGAGCATGACGCTAAGCTCCTCGTTGAGGGTCTGTGGGTCGGTATTCGTGCGGAGCTTGCGCAGTGCGGCCGACGCAGCTTCGGTTTCGCCACGGCTGATGAGCCTGTAGAGGCGGAATTAGCTGTTTGACCAGATGCTTTGCGAAGCCGGTGTGCTTACCATCTCGGAGATTCGACCAGGAAGGGATATGCTGCGATGAGAATAGCAGGCATCACAAATTGAATGCCTGGACTTTTATCAGTCTGAGAAGTGACGTGGTAAGACCGGAAAGAATCTACCTAGAGGAATCATCCAGCAAGCATTGGTGTCGAGTTGTTTGGTTCCGTAGTTGATCAGATTGGCAACGACCTGAGAGAACATGATCTGAATCTGGATCTGGCCTCCAATGAGTCCACGCAGCTCTTGAGGCGCCGTTTCAGCAAGGTATGAGGGGATCATCAACATGCAGATGCCTGGTCATATTAGCACATATAAGAAAGAGCTGATAGAAGGCAGTTTACCTGTCATGAAGTAGCAGGTTATACGCCCTACTGTGAATTGCGCTGCAGTAGTGGCAGCAATCTGCAGTACGGTACCACTTTCATGCAATAAGTATACTGAAAGACAGATTACGTTCAGGGGCTCACATTATGGAGCAGATAGCGATGAACAGCAAGCTCTTCTTCCTGCCAAACCGCTCAGCCAATGGGGCGGCGACCCAAGTTCCCTAGCTCAGAATTGTCAGGGATGGCCAAGTATATGAGCAGGTCGGGAGGACTACAAGGAGCTTTCCAAGATATGGCGTCGAGTTCATGATCGAGGAGAGGTAGGATGGTATACTGCAAGTGCCATCGGCGTCGCACTTTCCGAACCTTCTTTTGAATGCTTTTCATTTCGTCAGCCCTTGACCATGTTTCAATGAAAAACAGCCACTCACGCTCCATGGCCTGAAGACCGCTGAAGACACCGACCTAGGGAGTGTTAGGCAATACAGTGAAGACCAAGGTCACGTTGAGCGTACATCGTAGCCGAAGTTGAACATGGCAGCGCTTGTGTATCTGGAAAGCACGGTTAAGTTGGTGGTACACGCGTCGTCCCATCAAGGCTCACATGGTGACGAAAGCAACAGCAGGCGTGAACAGAGCCATGCGTTGCCTGAAAGACATGGCGCTGGCCTTGTCGGCCGCGTTGCTCTTGAGGATGCGCGGAGCCATCACTGGAGGCTGAGAAGTTGCAGGAACAGAAACGAGGAAACAACAGCAGTGCATGATGACTAGCCATTATGTACAATCGCAACAAGGCAGCGGAAAAGTGTCCGCCCTGGTTTGCATTGATGCCGATCTCCCAAGTTTCTGCAAGATCTGGTCTGGCATTTGCGGTGCTCGGCAATTGAACATGAGATTAGGCGATAGATGTCCCGAATCAGGTCGCCAGGAAGAGTAATGTTTTGAGCAGCTCAGTCCACATCAAGCGCCGACCCCGGGCCTTGCGGGGAAGTGTGACCGTGCTGTCGCAGCGAGACGCGGAGAACTGGGGCTACTGCGAGTCCGGGGGCCCGTTCGGGGAAATCTTCGGCGCCATGCAGCAGGGCATGCGGGTGTCGGCATCGGGCACGGTTAAAGATCGTGCAGCAGCAGTGCAGGCCGCGTGGTCGTGTTGCAGAGAGAGCTGCAGGCAGGCAGACGGTTTAGCACAGACCCTGGAATGAATGAATTGGATAAGATATTGTTTTTCGCTCATGTCATGGGTAGTTGAAGCTATCATCCGGGCGGGAACGTATAATTGTCAATTCGACATATACGTCTGGACAATCGCTTCAATGGTTCACATAAGTCGAATAATTCCTGGCAGATATTGTTAAAATGGACGTCTTCTGGGGATCTGAATTCACCCCTTCTTCCAAGGCCCTGCTATTTCTCGCATGAGCTTTCGGCTGTAATACCCCTCTGTGCGGCTAGAGCGAAGTTGCTTTTTTCATGAAAAGCCGCGATCCTGGCCTATCATCACCGCCATCAAGAGCGCAGACACCCAAATCTTGACCTATCATATCATTAGCACAAACAAACCTAAATTTCCCCGTGACGAGTTTCACATTGGCATTCTGCTGTAAGAGACAGGCTGTACAATAGATACAGCAACGGGGGAATGCTGAAGTGCCTCCGACGGCATTCTAGTGTGCAGCGGAACGCGGCAATTGCCCGCCTGGTGGAATATTCTCGTGCCGGATGGGTCGGTCATATATGGTTTCCTGCTTTGGAAAATAAGTGAGCAGAATTCCCAGCTGAGCCCGGAGAGGCACCTAGAAGACGATACAAGAGGGAAAGCGGCGACTCCGACAGCCAGCAGTCCGAGGTATCCGACAAGGAGCCTCTGGACAATCTGCTTGGGTACAATATCTCCCTCTTCTACCCTGCAACGCTCCGCCGGGCACATAGGCTCTTCTGGAAGGGTTATTCCCACAAGTTTCGCGAGTTATGCCTCGGATTGCTGGATAATAGAGCATCCGTCCGGCATACGGTCCAGTGGATGAGGAGAAGATAGCTCAGGAGATGTGAAAATGGAGGATGCCGTCGATGTGGAGGTGGTGTAGCGTCAGGCGGAGGAACAGAAAGCACAACCCTTCTGATGAGCAGTCGCGACGGGAAGCGACTGAGGAAGCCTCTCGAAAATAGCAAACCATACCTGTTTTCTAGAAATTCTGCATCGCGATCCGCCCGCGATATTGTACTGTGTTTCTGCTGCCTTTTCTTTAGCGCGTCGAAAGCACAAACACTCGAAATTCGACTGCCGGAGCGATTGCACCTGTGAGAGCGCAGTTCCGAATCTCCGTGGTTGCCTGCGGCGCAAGCTCCGCAGCGCCTTCCGCGTTGCGCGTCGCGCCGTGCAACGCGCGGGCCCGTGCGCCACCAAAGCTTCTTCTATAAAATCCAGCCGTCGCGCCCCCAGACCTTTTCTTCTTCAGTCGACTTTGTCAGTATCCACCGCGCCCCATGAACTTTTGCCAGAACGCCTTGCTGACCTGCTTCCTCACAGACTCTTAGAATCACTTCTATAGTAAACGTCTCCTTCTGAGCTCCTTACCAGAGCCACAGAATCTCCAACCTGGCTGATGAGCGCATATCCCCGACACCCTAGAGTGAGGCCTTTGCGCCGGCTTCGGCTGGCGCGGCGATGATCTCGACCTTTCTGGACGTCTTGACTTCGGTCGGTCTGGCTGGGTGGGTGTTGGTGGACGTCTGACAGGCTGCTTTCTCTGGTTTCTTGTGGCTGAAACCTCGCATCGGAGAGTGTTCTTTGTAGACCTGAAGTAGTTTATCGCAATGCAGATTTCGATCGGAAAAGTTGTACCTTCATGAATCGTGACGCGGATAATTCGACACCAACGCCCAGCACCTATGGATGCATGCGTAGAGCCTTCGACGCAAGCGCGAAGTAGGAATGCAAGAACGTGGCGCAAAATGTGATGTGCTCACCGATGAAACTACCTGCTCACCAGAAATGGAGCGTCGGACAGCGCGACAGCGGGAGTGCCACAGCGGTCCAGAGGTCATCCGAACGTCACGACAGCCACATGTGGCTTGACCCCGCTATGACGTCCTGAGTCGTGTCAATAAAGCTCTCGCGACACCACGTTCTCACCTTTATCTTTGACAGCCGCGTAGCAGTGCCCTGCTGTGAATTCGCTCCAAGCTTGCTCCCATACCGATTCCCATTCGAGACATCATTTCCGCCATGGCGAACGCTTCGAGGAAGGAGATCCTCTCCAAGGTTTACAAGATGATCCCGCCCATGCTTGAGAGCTTCCACAAGGGCAAGTGCCGACTCCCGATATGAATTTTCCCATCCTAACTCTGCATCGCAGGCCAATTGGGACGTGTAGCCGTCATTGGAGGCAGCGAAGACTACACTGGCGCACCCTACTTCTCTGCCATGGCTTCCGCAAAACTAGGCGCCGACATGGTACGTTACCACCGCGCTCTGATATATGATTCCGCTAACTCGACCCGACAGTCCCACGTCATCTGTGAGCCCGGCGCCGGCGCCGTCATCAAGACCTACTCGCCCAACTTGATGGTGCACCCGTACATGCGGCAATCCAAGAACCTCGCCTCCAGCGAATCCGCCGAAGGCGTGTTCGACGAAGTCTGCGGCATGCTCTCGCGGCTGCACGTCATTGTCGTCGGGCCGGGCCTAGGGCGTGACGAACTGATGCAAGCAACAGCGGCGCGGGTGCTGCGCGAGGCCCGCAGGCAAAACATCCCCTTCGTCCTGGACGCCGACGGCCTGATGATTGCGCAGAACGAGCCCGACATCGTCGACGGCTACAAGGAGTGCATCCTCACGCCCAACGTCGTCGAGTTCGGCCGGCTGGCCAAGAGCAAGGGCATCGACGTCGAGGGTGCCGACCCGACCACCCTCTGCGAGCGCCTGGCCAAGGCCTTCGGCGGCGTCACCATCATCCAGAAGGGCCCCAAGGACTACATCTCTAACGGCGAGCACACACTCGTTAGCGACGGCGAGGGTGGCCTCAAGCGCTCCGGCGGCCAGGGCGACACCCTGACCGGCAGCCTGGCCACCCTGCTCGCCTACCGCAAGGCCTACCTCGACCGCCTGTGGGATCATGACAACGACCTCAGTCCGAGTGAGTTGCTCGCCCTCGCCGCGTACGGCGGCAGTGCTGTTACACGCGAGTGCTCGCGTCTGGCCTTCAAGGAGAAGGGTAGGGCATTGCAGGCAGGCGACCTGACGGAGCGCGTGCACGAGGCCTTCTTGAACGTCATTGGCGAGCCGGGGTCGAAGGCCCCTTCTAAGATGTGAGGTGGTGCAATGCACTTTTGGCGACGGTCAATCATCCTAAGAGTAGAAACGAGGAGCTAGCATAGCGAAGATAGTAATGAGATCCACGAATATCATGAAGTATACAGCCTAACAAATTGTTTGATCGTGTCGCCACGATACTCCGCGAGCGGGCTCGTCTCCCGCATCTATTGCTTGTCCACTTGGACCCGCAAGCATATTCAGGCTCCTCTTGCCAGTCCTGATAACACAAGCTACGATTTGTTCCGCCTGATTTTCTTCTTTCTCCCTTCCCAAGCCAAATACCGTTTCCTCCAGCTGCCGTCTGGACGCATCCCATAACCGCAATACGCCATTACCATGCCGTGCCGTGCCATGCAAGCAAAGGAATAATAAAATAAAAATGTTCCCGTATCAAAGCCAAAATCCCGCTCGATAGTGCAAACAGAGTCCCCCAATTTACTCGTCGTCATCATCACCCAAACTCGCCTTCTTGAGCTCGAGATCGCTCTGTAAGCTCCTGAACTTGGCCATCAGCCTCTGCTTCAGTAGCGGATTGTTCTGACGTTCCATCTGCTGCCTTGCGCTCTCAACCTCACGCTGGAGATCCGCGACCTCCTCGCGCAGCTGGGCCTTCATCTCCTGCGCCTGCGCGGCCGCCTCGTCGATGTCGTCGTCATCATCGTCATCTTCGTCGTCATCCTCTTCATCCTGCTCCGTCTCCGGCTCGGCTGAAGCAGACGCGCCAGGTGTGGCCACGGGTGTCTCGGCGCCCGGTGTGCCGACGACAGCGCTGGACAGAATTCCCGACTCGCCGCCGCCGGAGCCGGCGGTGAGCGCGTGTTGGGCGACGGCGTGCGCGTCGAAGGCGGTGCCGGGTGTGGGTGCTTCGATGCTGGTGATAGGTTGGTCCTCGTCCATGGACATGGCAAGCATACGCTCCATCTCCTCCGCATCGACCTCCTCTTCGCCTTCGGCGTCGATGTAACCTTCGGCGTCCATTAGGTCGCCCATAGCGTCTTCGTCGCCGACCATTGAGCTGATCTCGTCGCGGTCCTGGCGGTTCGGGTCGATGAGGTCGTACGAAGTGCTGCCGCCAGCCTTAGATGCCTTCTCATCTGCATCGAGCAAGCGCTCAACTTCTTCCTCGACGGCTTCGATGGTACGTGTGCTGACGCGCTTGCGGAAGCGGCGCTTGCGAACGTAGTGCATGGGGGGTGTCAAGCCGTGAGGGTACTGCCATGTCTTGTCATCCACCTCTTTGGGCGTTGGGGCGTCCTTGGCCTGCTCCGGAGTATCAACCCTGGTGTGGACCAGGAGCATCTGGCATATGTCGGCCGTCTTGTACCAGCCGCTCTTCTTCTCCCAGCTCTTCATCCCTTCAATAATACACGGAAGATCCACCATACATGCCGCATAGTGGTGACCTTGGATCGAGACACAGGCACGCCTACCCTCCCTGTCGAAGAAGCGGAAGTGGACGTCCGCGCCGCCCTCCTTTACAGACAGGCCCACCCTCTTCTCGGCAATCGCCTTTTGCAAGTAGTCGCAATCAGGACCAGGCGCCATACGCAGCACGAATTGCGACTCAAGTACCGGATCGGGCTCCGCATCGTCCGCCTCGCTATCATATCCAACACCATATTCGCGCTTCGGCGGCTGGCCCACATGCTTCACCTTGATCCTCTGAACGGTCGGGGTCTTTGGCGCCGCGGACTTCAGCTTGAGGGAGATCGAATGGGTCCGTTGGGCAGGAGGCGGCGCATGAGCTCCCGACGTCTTGAGGGACAGCGTAGGCCTCGATTTCTTTGTCGATGTGGTCGCGCCTCCGGCATCATCTTCGCGCGCGCGCTTCTTTGCGGCCTTGGGAGCGGTGGTGGTAGAGGCGCCTCCGGCACTGGCACCTCCGCCGGCCTTCTCCTTCTTGGGGTTCTTGCGCTTTTTCTGTTGTTCCGGTGAGGTGGTCTGTCCAGCGGGACCCGGAAGGCTTGGGGCGGTCTCGGTGACGGGCGTGTTCGCAGTGGACTTGGGTTTGAAGCTGAGCTTGAGGCCACTGCCGCCAGGCGTGGCGGGCGACGAAGCGGAAGCTTCAGACGGCGGCTTGGGTGCGCCGAACTTGAGCTTCATGACGGGTGGTTTGGAGGGTTTGGATGGGTTGGAGGACGACATGGTGGGAGGTGCGCCGGTTCTGCGACGGAAAATGGGCAGTGGCAGGCAGCGCAACAAGAAGGCGCGCGTGCAGGTGGTGGAGGGCCCGCGGGCAATGAAAGTGAGGACGCGAAGTGACGTGCCCGGAGCAAGGCGCGCCAAGGCGGGCGAGCATTGCTTGGGAACTGCCTGACAGCAGCTGCGCGAGCTTTCGCACCACCCCACAAGCAAACAGCATCCGCATACCACTGGCAATGGCCCAAGAGCTGCACGCCGCCCTCCTTCGCCCGGCAATCCTCCACATCCTGCGCGCCGCCGGCTACCACAGCGCGCGTCCATCCGTCGTTGACGCCGTGTCTGACATCGCCGCGCGGTACATGCTGCTGCTGGCTCAGCGCACCGCCTATCACGCCTGGTCCAACCACAACGATGCCGTCCCTACCATCTCCGACGTGCGCATGGCCCTGACCGACGCTGGTTTGCTGGTCCCGTCTATGACCGGCGCCGAGGAAGCTTGGAAGGAGGTCTTACGCAAGCCGCTCGACGACTTTCCCGAGCGCAACGGCTTGCGCCTAAAGGAACAACGCCGCCGCGATCTTGAAGACACGGCCGACGTGCGCGAGTTCATCGACTGGGTCACGGGTCCTGCCAACAAGGAAATCATGAGAATCGCTGGCTTGGAACGTGATGCTGCTCAGGGTGGCAAGGGCCTCGACGCTGCCGCGGACGCGAACGCCGTGAAGGAGGATTATCTGACCAGTAAGCCTTGCTTTCTTTTGCAGAATCTGCATAGAGTCGGGCCAAGAGGCTAATCAAGCACCAATGCAGCACTCAAAAAGAAGCACAGCAAGACGGGCGAAGAGTCGAGATTTCAAGGCACCGTTTTGGGCATCCCTGCAGAAGACCGACCAGTTCGAATCGAAGGCGGACCTCCGGAATCCATTCACGACTGGATCAAACAGACGCAAGAGAGGGCTGCTGCTGCGGCGAAGCTAGAAAGCGAAAAGGCGGCTAGCAACGGCCACGGAACCGCACCGAGATCACCGCCTGCCGAGAAGGAGGACGGTGATCCAATGGATGTGGAAAGTTGAAGTTCTATTGTTTGATCGTTTGCAAATCATCACATGCATAGCGGGCGGAGTTCGGAAGGAAGTCATCACAATCGCGGTAGGCTTTACACCGCATACAAAAGTCTATACCCCGCTTGGCGTATACAATGGCCTGTTTGAGGCTTATCCACACGTGCGTACGAAATTCGGCGCAAACATACCCTCACGCCAAGGGGTAGCACGTGCAATCAGGAAGATCGCCGAAGAGATTCAATACACCTTCTGGCGTTTTGGGCAAGGAAAGAGAGTAGAGGGACGGTCCGCGAAACATGCGAGCAAGGAGGAATTAGTGTTGGAGAAGGCTAGCCATAGAGCGGCCAGGAAGCAAACAAGGTAAAAGCAAGCTTTGAGACTCTCGTGCTGCACCGACTTCGGGCAACTGAGTAGTCATACAAAATGTTTACGCTCAGCTTCTCAAGACATTTTTACAAATGCGTCGAATGCAGTAAGCTTTTATTATCCTTTCACGGAGAAAGTGGTATTGTTGGTTTTTCGTCTCTCACCTTTCCTACATTACATCGTTATGAATGCACACTTGTCGTTCCCGGCTCGCATTCTTCCTTCAGCTGGAAGTGTTCGGGTAGTTGTTCTTGTCCACGGGGTTCGCTGGTCCTCCTCTTTGTCCTAGCACACCTCCCACATCGACATCGTGCGCCCTCTGCTCCTTGATCGCCTCCCTCAACGGTGCCTGCTCCGCCTTCTTCCTACACGACGTAAGAAACGTTAGCCATCTTCCTTTCTCTCGACTACCCAGCCATGCAAGGAACCCCTCCCACCCAGAGAATGGACAAAAAGCAAGCATAAACAAACGCCAAAAACTTACCTATCCAGATCCATCTCCAACCCAGGCTCAGTACCGCCCGACCCCGTCTTGCCTGCGCCGCCCATGACCGCATCGGCCACGCGACCCTCTCCCGGCGCGGCCATCTGCTCCGCGTCGAGCTCCGTGTGGCGGCCAACATCTTCCTCACGTAGGCCCTTAGCCTCCTCGCCGGGGCGGCCGGGCGCGCGCAAGCCGCGGCCCAGCGACGTCTCGGTTGCCTCGTCGACGCTCGCCGTCTGCTTGGTCGGGATGCGCTGGTCGACGACGGGCGAGTCCGCGTTGCTGCGCGCAGTGACGCTCGCCGCCGCGCGCTCGGCGGGGTTGTGCGTGACTGGGTTTCCAGGAGTGGTGTAGGCTTGATTGAGGGTAGGCTGCGAAGGGCCCGTGGGGTTGAGGTCGTCGGCCATTGTTGCGTCTTCAGTCGTGTTTTCGCGGGATTGTTGTGTTCAAAGGTCACGGAGCCAATTGAAGCAGTGCTCGAAGGCTAATTGTTCAGCGTGTGTGGAATTCTTCGGCAGAGGGATTTCGAAATGAAAGAGCTGAAGGTCTTGCTTGGAAATGAAGTGATGATGCAGCTAATTATGACGTAGGCGGGGCGTACATACTAGCTCCCCGCCCCTCTGGCTCCGCAACCCAATTGGAAAGGACGATGGGTTGATTGGCTAGAACCCGAAATAAGCTATTGCTTATCGCAGCCTCATTTAACATGCATATTTGTCGTTCAGTGGCCAGTTGGTTCACATCCCTATGGTCGGAGCACTTACTTCTTTCCAAGCTATCACTCTGATATTCTCCAAGTAGCAACCAAATGCCTCTATGGACTTTTTGTACAGATCCAAAAGTAAGAAGCCATTCTATTAAAGTATAAGGAAAAATGTGCCTCTAAAGACACCCTCTAATGCCGCCGATGCCTTGATCCATGCCATTAAAACTAAGAATCTTTTTAACCTCTCCAGACTCCGGACCGCCATGCTATTTACAAGTCTTAAGCTTCGCCTCAGTGATCCTCAGCCGAATCGAGGAGGAATATCAGTTAAGCTGGTGTACACTGGATGGTGCTTGTGCGTATTGACTTCGTCGACCAGCTTCTTGATATCCTCCCTCAGCGCATTGACGTTCCGATCCATGGCCTGCACGAGCCGCTCCAGCTCATCACCCGGGATGGTCAGCGCCCCGTCATCGCGTAAGCGCGCATGGCTTGAAGAATGGCTCTTGACATGACCCTTCTTGCGACGAGCGTTGCTGCTGCTGCCCACACCGGCACCACCGCGGTCAACACCAATGTGCTGGACGACGGGCTCATCAGGCGGTAGAGTTGGTGATGCGTGTCCATGGAAAGCGAACATCTGCGCAGGCGACGGTTCCTCTCGCGCAGAATCGTGCTTGGTCTTCACCTCGGTCCTCTCTTTCTCCTTCTCTCTCTCCCTTCCTTCTTTCTTACCCCCAAGCCCGATCTTCCTCATCAACGAGTCTCTCCTCCGCCCTGTCGTCGTCTTCTGCCGCTGTGGTCCTTCCCTCTCCCTAGAGCCACCCTCCTCCGTAGCAAACGTAATGGCCGTTTCCTTCACCCTCCTCACCTCACGACAAACCTCCCACTCCCTTTGATGCGCTCCTTCAAGCATATCGAGCGTCAATTTAGCCAAGCTCTTCAGCTCCTCAACGCGATCGCGATACTTGTCCCTATCCTCGCGCATCCCGTCGACGTGCTCGTGCAAGAACCGGATAACCGAGTTAGCCGTACTGAGTTGGTCGCGCATGTGCTGGATGAGCTCTTCCCTATCCCCATTACCGCCGCCGCCACCAGGGTCACCGCCGGGAGAAGGCGAAGACGACGAGTCTCCCTCTTCATGAATGCCAGCAGACGTCGCCAGTGCCAACGCCGAGGAGTAGTGGCGCGGCTCATGTCCAACGGGTGCGAGGGACGAGTGGAGCGTCGTGGTGTCGACAGGGTCTCGCGGGGGAAGCGGCGGCAGCAGCGACGGCGTCGAAGTTGAGGCGTTCGTAGTGGCTGGCGCCGTCCGCGGCCGTGGAGGGTGTTGTTCGGGGGAAGCTGACGCCTTCCTTCTCTTGTAGACGGTTCGTAGCCTTGTGAATGCCATGGCGGCGCTTCCTTTCTTTCTAACTCGGATTCAATATTGATGTTTTCCTTTGCTTCCGGAGGTAACCAACAGCGTGGAGTTTGTGTTATTTGGCCACGACGACAGGAGGATATTAGGTGTTGTTGATAGAGAGATTACGGTCTCGAGGCGAGATGAGGCTCTCGCGGAAGTGCCGGCGCAATCCTTCGTCGTGAGCGGAGAAGGTAGATGCCGCAAAGACGGGCAGTGCTGTCGATGTTGCGGTTTCGTTTCTTCTTTTCGGGGCCTTGGAAAGAAAAAGAGGTGGAGATAGGAAAGGAAGGTGAAGCCCACAACAACAGAGATGGACGCCTAGATGGGAGTCCAACCACCGGAAGAGCCTCACTCCCAGCCTTTTTTTTCTGCTGTGCGCCCAACAGCAAGGCGACGACAAAGCGTCTCTCGTGCTCTAGCAACTGCGCCCTCAGCAGACGCGTCCACGTGAACGTACTATCGGCAAAGACCGGTAAAAGAGCGGCAGAGAGGTGCTGTTTGGTAGCTCCTTGGGATCGGGCCTTTTCTTCAGATTGGGCACTGGAGGTGAAGGATGCTCTAGGCTTTGGAAACGAGGCGAGAAGAAGTAGTGCGCGAAAGCGGTGAAAGTAGTCCTAAGCGCGCGAGGCGCTGGGCGAAGGACCGACTGATTTAGAAATACTCGCTTAACGGGGTTGATCGTTTTTGTTTTCTAGCTCGTGGGCGCGTACAGCTGTGGATTATACTTACATGGCCCCAACTGGGAAATGCTCGCTGCTACCCCAGTCTGCCCCGGCGGCTGTTTTGCTTTGTCGGTGGCCCTTGCGCAGAAGCATTAGCTCGCAGTCAAACCGCTGGCTGTCACCGGGCAAAAGGATAGATGATTTTTTGAACAACTGGAAATGAAATTGCGCTTAGGTAAATACATTGGCCCCATTGCAGCCCCCAAAAACCGCCGCCACGAGACCAAGGAGCCGGTGTATCAACTGCGGTAACAAAGGAAAAAGGTCGCGCAGCGATGAGGTGGTCTCGAGAATGCACTAGAGGGTTTCCCATTTGAAATCGCCGTTTTGGTCACGCATGCTCTATTATACATCTCTAAAAACGTCACCGTCATCAGCGACGCCCTAATCGACGGGGATGATTAGAACGTACTCCCTCAGTTCCCCTGCTTACAAGAAGCTCTTGGTGAAAGAGGTGACGATGTCCCTCAGCTTGCCCTCGATCTCCTTGCTAAGAGCACCCTCGCGCTCGATCTGGCTGAGAAGCTCCGACTCGTTGGTCTTCAGGTGGGCGAGGAAGTCAGCCTCCCACTGGAGGATCTTGCCGACGGGAACGTTGTCAAGCAGACCGTTGACACCGGCGAAGATGAGGGGAACCATCTCGTTGACGGCCATGGGAGAGTACTGCTTCTGCTTGAGGAGCTCCGTCAGACGCTCACCACGGTTGAGGGTCTGCTTGGTGGCGGCATCCAGATCGGAACCGAACTGGGCGAAGGCAGCGACCTCACGGTACTGGGCCAAGAAGAGCTTCAGGGAACCAGCGACTTGCTTCATGGCCTTGAGCTGGGCAGCGGAACCGACACGAGAGACGGAAAGACCGACGTTAATGGCGGGGCGGACACCCTTGTAGAAGAGCTCGGACTCCAAGAAGATCTGGCCGTCGGTGATGGAAATGACGTTGGTGGGAATGTAAGCCGAGACATCACCACCCTGGGTCTCAATGATGGGGAGGGCAGTCAGGGAACCACCGCCGTGCTTGTCGTTCATCTTGGCGGCACGCTCGAGGAGACGAGAGTGGAGGTAGAAGACACTGGATCCGTTAGCCATTCTCTTCGCTACGTGGGATTTCAAGAGCACTTACTCGCCGGGGTAGGCCTCACGACCGGGGGGACGACGGAGCAGCAGGGACATCTGACGGTAGGCAACGGCCTGCTTGGAAAGGTCGTCGTAGATGATGACGGCGTGCTTGCCGTTGTCACGGAACCACTCACCCATGGAGCAGCCAGTGAAGGGAGCAATGTACTGCAGGGGAGCGGCCTCGGAGGCGGTGGCAGCGACGATGATGGAGTACTTCATGGCGTCGTTCTCCTCGAGGGTCTTGACGAGCTGAGCGACGGTGGAACGCTTCTGGCCAACGGCGACGTAGACGCAGTAGAGCTTCTTGGTCTCGTCGGTGGTGTTGTTCCACCTCTTCTGGTTGAGCATGGCGTCGAGAGCGACGGCAGTCTTGCCGGTCTGACGGTCACCAATGATCAACTCACGCTGGCCACGGCCAATGGGAACCATGGCGTCGACGGACTTGAGACCGGTCTGGACGGGCTGGTTGACAGAGCGACGGGGCAGGATACCGGGAGCCTTGAGCTGAGCACGGCGCTTCTCGGTGGTCTTGATGGGACCCTTGCCGTCAATGGGGTTACCGAGGGCATCGACGACACGGCCGAGAAGAGCCTCGCCGACGGGGACGTCGACCTAGCAGGCATTAGCAACGGAGCGAGATGGGATGTTGGGGCTCGAAATACGCACAATCTCGCCGGTACGCTTGACGGTCTCACCCTCCTTGACGAGACGGTCGGAACCGAAGAGCACAACACCGACCTGGCCGGCCTCGAGGTTCATGCACATGCCCTTGACGCCAGAGGCGAACCTTGGTGGAGGTTAGGAAGCGATTTTGAGAAGCGCCGATTCCGGAAGACTTACTCGACGAGCTCCTCGGCCTGGACATTGCTCATGCCGTGGACACGGGCAATACCGTCACTGCGCAGCCATTGTCAGATAAACCATTGCCCATTGTCGCCGCATCGTGATGAATTGGTGGAGCGTACCCGACGGAGAGGACACGGCCGGTCTCGGCGAGGCCGGCCTCCTCCTGCACACCGCGAATCCTCTGCTCGAGGATGGAGGAGACCTCGGTGGGAGCAGCCTTGGCGTCGGAAGCATAGCTGCGGAGCTGGTTGGAGGCGGCGTTGAAGACGGCCGGCTTGACGGAGGCCTGCGAAGCCCGGAAAAATCAGCGATGCGTCTTTGCAAAAGCTTGCCCACGACGCGCGACGGCGCAGAGCGCGGCAACCACGTCGCTCGGCTCGAGCAATTGATCAGAAGAGATGGATGCAGCAGCTCGAGACGATGCATGGTGCGCTGAGCGATGGCGGCGATGAGGTAGGTTGATGGAGGACGCACCTTCGCGACCCGGGGAGCGGAGACGGCCGCAAGGCGGGTGGACTGTCTGAGGGCGTTCCTGAACATGGCTGCGGTGCTCAGAAAGCTTCTTCCGATAGCTCTGCTACCAATTGAGACGAAGAAGGTGAGTGGAGAGGGGGTGGGATGGATAGAGCTGGTCGGTAGAAGAGAGCAGCAGTGTTCGCAAAGCCCGGCCGGAGCAACCTCTCATCCTCGCTCTTGGCATTGTGGCACGCTAAGCCGCTTAAGTAATCCCAATGTTTACGCATTACTGCCTGCGGCCCGCACGACTGGGTTATCTATTGCTTGACAATTCTCAGGCTCTGCTGCACTGCTTCACGGCAAGCGCAGGGCTGGCATTCGTGCTTCCTGCGGCTCGTTGTGAGTCGTCTGCGTCTCCCAACAACATCTCGCAGCTCTTAGGTTCCTTGTGCCCGCACCGAGTTTTCCCGGCTGCACGTAGGCGCCCGCCCGCATCAACAAGTCACGTCACCCCGGATCTGTAACGGGCGGGGAACCGCTCACAATCTCGCGCCAGATATTTTGGGCCGACAATCTTTCAATTAACCACAGCATTTTACCATGTGACGGGTTCTTTTTTTTTCCCTTCATTTTTCCCCTCTCGTAGGTATGAGGTAAGCATTGCCATATGCACTGATGATGGAAGCTATCTATTGAACATGGCATCCGATCTAATCAGACACCCCCGCTGTTTTAGCCCTCTCTTTACGTATGTAGCCCCAACAATCACCCCCTCCTATCCAGCTTCTCGAGTGGCTTCATAAGATCCCACTTGTACTCCTCTCTCTGCCAATTCTGTTCATCATTATATAAAATGTCTCGTTCTTGAGGACTTTAGCGCTCTTCTAAAGCTGCCTGCAATCAATTATTCCTCCTTAAACTTTCTACATGAGTTGATCGCTTCTTGTAATTTCTAGCTTCGTTAGTATGAAGGAGATTGGAAGTTGAAAAATGAGGACAGCTCGGGAGACGGGAGGCAGGAAGACATCGAAATAGCGGGTGCCGTAGATATAAAAGTGATACAGAGTTAGGCGGAGGAACAAGAAGTATTACTTTCTTATGAGCAGTGGTGACGGGGCACGACCGATGGAGAGGTCGTACAGCAAAATGGAGGGTGCATGCACCTAACATATAGATCGTCTAGCGTGTACAGAGGTGTATTAGACGCCTGCCGAAGCCCGTTTTTTAAGTGCTTAAGCAGCTGTCTGAACATAATTGTAGAATCATCATTCATGGCTTCTACTGCCAACGCAAGTCGAATATTTACTTTGGGGACGAAATTATCAAGTATTACTCTTGAAACCTACAGTGATAAGGGCGTAGTTATCCTACGTTCTAAGACCCTGCTATTCTTTGCACTAGCTTTCGGCTTTGAGACCCATCTCGTGGGTTTTAAGCTATCTCGCCTTGGTCCGTGCTCAATTGTGTATCCGTCCTTACATCATCGTCACGGCACATCGTAGACTAATACCGTACTCTGCTGAAGAGTAGCCTCAATCTGCTTCATTGGTACACAACTATATGAATGCCTATCACTGTCCATGTATTTGATTCCGGGGTTACCTCACTTCTCACAGCCTTGGAAGGAACTGAAAGCCATGCCAATGGATACTGTTCGGCGCACTTATCCTGCCTGCGGTTGGTATTTGTACGATGGCCAATGTGGGGTGTCTCCTTTCTCGGATTTCTGGGCATGCGCATCGCTCGGGAAACGCACAGTCCGCCATCATCCGAGGGGTATTGAACACTGCGGGCAAAGTGCCCCTAGTGCGCTTTCCCGTTCGCATTTCCATTTGCTGCCTTCTTCGATCTCTCGTCCTTGAACTTCTTGATGTTCTGCTCAACGGCCTGGTCGATGCGGCTCTTCAGCTCCGGACGGTAGCCGAAGTGGAAGAGGACCTCGAGCCAGACGAAGAAAGGCGCCAGGAAAAGAGCCTGGACAATGTTGTCGAGCAACGCAGGGGCGCGACCCTCGAACTTTCCGTGGCCGACGAACTGCGCGATCCATGCGACGACGTGGACTCCGATGGCGTAGTAGTTGGCGGTTGGGCCGTAGGTCGCTAGGAGGTGCTGGACAGCGGCAGTACCGGCAAAAATAAGAGGCGCGAGAAGACCGCCGGCTACTGGCTCCATAAGAATGTAGAGGAGGGAATAGAGCGCGGCGAAGGCGGTGCCGGCGTTCAGCGGGAGGTTCGGGATGGAGAGCGCATCAGGAAGAGCGACAGCAGGAGTGTTTGAGAGCTGCGCGCGAGGTCAGGCGCTTCCAAAGCCACGATAGACTTGGGGTCCTTACAAACAAAAAGGCCGTCATCATAATCAAAGGCACACAGGTAATGTGAACGCCGATGTTCACCTAGGATGCGCCGTCAGCACCGACACGGGGGACTTGGGCCGAAGGGGTCTTACGGGGTTGTGGTGGTAGCTCCCATACTGCGATAGTCAGCATAGGTCTGTCGCGTGGTGTGACAGGTACGCACGAAGGTAAGCTGCTTTTCGAGGTTCAGAGCCATGGTGAAGCTGTGGAGTTGGGCCGAATGCGGGGAGAGGAGGTGCACAAAGAGACAGACCTCAAAGGGTTGCTAGATGGCTACATTAAGTAGACGCAGAGCCGAGGCAGGACGGTTTCCGAGCGACGAGGGCGGAGATGTCGCGAGAGCGAGGCCGTGGAAGAGAGCAAGCGAGCAAAGCATCCGGTCCACCCATGTCGTTCCGTCGCCCGGCCCGCCCGCATCCCGTCGATTCGCGCTATCGTAACCCAAACCAGCACTGCCTGGACTTTCTGCCGCATCACCACCCACGCGCGGCGCGTCGCCATCGATCCCTGTCGTTCATTTTGGTGGCTTTCGAGACGTGCCCGGAAGCCGTTTGCGCGCGCACCGGCGTAGCACGCTTGCGCGAACAGCTCCAGGCTCGACACGGCGACCTCAGAACAGCTCTACGCCGCTCACTACCACCTTGGCCTGCCACCGAATCGAGCGCCACCCGAGCCGCCTGCGTACACACCGCGCCCGACCTCTTCTAACCCATCAACGCCGCCGCCCACCATGTTCTTCCTCCACGAGCTCGAGCGCACAATCACGCTGCATCCGTCGTTCCTGGGCCCGAACGTGCATGAGTACATCGAGGACCGCCTGAAGCAGGATGTCGAAGGAATCCAGATTGAGAACTATTACATCATCTGCGTGATGGACTCGCAAGACAAGTCCGAGGGTCGCGTGCTCCCTGGCACTGGCTACATTGAGTACAACGTCCACTTCAAGGCCATTGTGTGGCGCCCGTTCAAGGGAGAGATTGTAAGTTGCACGTCCGCCCAGGGTGCCGTGCAGCAATTGACCCCGAACCTCAGCTGGACGGTGTAGTGTCTGCGGTTGTCGACTCGGGTTTCTTCGTCGAGGTGGGCCCTCTGAACGTCTTCGTTGCATCGAGTGTATGTGCTCCAAATCCTTTCAAAGGCCAGGACGGAGACTAACAGGGTTCAGATGATCCCAAGCTCGATCAAGTACGACGGCAACGCCACGCCGCCGCAGTGGACGGACAATGCAGACCAAGTCATCGAGAAGGGTACGCACATTCGCGTGAAGATCAAGGGTATCCGTACTGAGCTGGGCAATATGTACGCGATCGCAACGATCAAGGAGGATTATCTCGGGTATGTCCACAGCATCCTTCCCCCCAGCGCGATTCCCCTGATTCTAATGAAGTGTAGACCTCTTGGCGGCTGAGGCCGTGGAGCAAGCAATGGGAATTGGAAGGCCGAGCGTTTGATGCAGTCTATACCCAGCAAGGAGGGCACGGGATTTTGCGCAGTGGTGCAAGATTGAGAGCGCCAGCTCCTTCGCAGATGATTCCGCACAATGGTGTACAACACAGCCCTGCGGAGCACTTGTCTTCTCCAGATTCGCACTAGCAGCCACGGCTTTTGATTAACGTGGCAGTCTGTAGGATATGAGTTGAGCATGACTAGGAGGCAGGCAAAGCCAAAAGGCAGAGCGATGTCTTTGATCCTAAATAAGAAGGGTTGGTTCGCCGGATAAGGTGCTCAATAACGGCGTGGTAGCGTGAGCCAATAAAGCAATGTCTTGGCGCCGCTCGCTGTGGGACCGGACGTCCAGCATGCTTCCAATGTGACAGGGTCGTTCCTCCTAAACGTACCTGCATCGTGTCTTGTGTACGAACCCGAAAAACGCTTAAATCCGCCGCCGTTGCCTATCGTAGGATCGCTAGGCGCGCAAAGGGGCGTCCCGGGATGCCGCACGTCGCCGCCGACCCCATCTGAGCACCTCGACCTACTCCACACCCTCCGCGCCGCCATGTCCAAGGAGCGCGCCATAAACGACGAGGAGACGCAGCCTTTGACCAAAGAGGCCGCCTCCTCGCGACAGTCACAGGACGAGGCCCGCGCTTCCGCCGATTCCGACTCCACCACCTCTCTGATCTTCGAAGGCATCAACGGCACCTACGCAAAGGACCAGCTGCCCGAGCCCTACTCCGACTTCAACACCACATCGCGCCGCCAGGAAGACGAGTTCGACGTCGAGGATGGACCATACTATGGCGTGAGGCCTACGGACAAGAAGCTCCGGAAGTGGGTGTGGATTCTCGGCGTCATCTGCATCGCCGGCTGGGTGCTGGCCCTGTTCGCCTTCCTCTCCAAGGGCGCCTACAAGCACGCATCGACCAAGCCGCACGACCCTCTTGCCACGTCTTCCAGAGGCTCGGGAAAGAAGGTTACACTGGACCAGGTGCTGAGGGGAGAATGGAGCCCGCAGCGCCACGACCTGTCCTGGATCGCCGGCCCGAATGGCGAGGACGGCTTGCTGCTGGAGAAGGGCGCGTCGACCAATGGCTACCTTGTCGTCGAGGATGTCCGTGATCGCGATACAAAGAAGCCTGCCGAGAACGCGACCGTCTTGATGAAGCATGGAGGATTCTACGTCGGCGAACGCTGGGTCCAGCCGTACGATGTCTGGCCGAGCCCGGATTTCAAGAAGGTGCTGGTCATGTCCGAGAGGGAGCACAACTGGAGGCATTCTTTCTATGGCCGCTACTGGATCTTCGATGTCGAGACGCAGACTGGCCAGGCATTGGACCCCAAGGATCCCGAGGGCAGAATTCAGTTGGCCTCGTGGTCGCCCAAGTCCAATGCCATCGTCTTCACCCGGGAGAACAACATGTACCTGCGCAGGCTCGATACTGATACCGTTGCCCTCATCACCAGTGACGGAGGCGAAAACCTCTTTTATGGTGTACCTGACTGGGTATACGAAGAAGAAGTCTTCGGAGGCAATAGTGCCACGTGGTGGTCCAAGGATGGTAAATACATTGCATTTCTCCGGACGAACGAGTCAATGGTCCCCACATACCCTGTTCAGTACTTTATTTCCCGCCCAAGTGGTAAGGAGCCGGCGCCTGGCGAGGAAAATTACCCCGAAGTGCGCGAGATCAAATACCCCAAGGCAGGAGCACCGAATCCTATTGTCAACCTGCAGTTCTACGACCTTGCTCAGAGTGAAGTCTTCAGTGTCGACATCACCGACGACTTTGCGGATGATGACCGCCTCATTACCGAAGTCACCTGGGCTGGTGGCGAGCAGGTCCTTGTCCGTGAGACTAACCGCGAGAGCGACATACTCTCCATGAACTTGATTGATGTTGCAACGAGAACGGGCGCAAAGGTCCGGACGGACAACGTGAACGAGCTCGATGGAGGATGGATGGAGGTCTCTCACACCACGACCTTCATCCCTGCCGACCCCCAAAACGGTCGCCAGTCTGATGGGTACATTGACACCGTCGTTCACAATGGATACGACCATCTTGGATACTTTACGCCTTTGGACTCCAAAGACCCGATCCTCCTCACCGAGGGAAATTGGGAAGTTGTTGATGCTCCATCGGCCGTAGACCTCAAGAAGAACTATGTCTACTACGTCTCAACCAAGGAAAGCTCCATCCAGCGCCATGTTTACCGTGTCAAGCTCGATGGCAGTGGCACAGAGGCCCTCACCGACACCAGCAAGGAAGGTTACTATGACGCAAAGTTCTCCACTGGTGGAAGCTACATGTTGCTTTCATATCAGGGGCCTGACATCCCATGGCAAAAAGTCGTCAGCACTCCCAGCGCTGCAGAGCCTTATGAGAGTCTGATCGAGGACAACAAACTGCTCTCAAAGAAGGCACGGGAGCACGAGCTGCCCATCATGTCCTACTCTACCATGACTGTCGACAACATGGAGTTGAACATTGTCGAATACCGTCCTCCGCACTTTGACAAGAAGAAGAAATACCCCGTCTTGTTTCACATGTACAATGGGCCGGGAAGCCAACAGGTTGCCAAGAAGTTTGGCGTCGATTTCTCGTCCTACGTTGCTTCTTCGCTTGGCTATATTGTTGTCACGCTTGATGGCCGCGGTACCGGTTTCATCGGCCGCGCCGCTCGTACCGTCGTCCGCGGCAACCTCGGCCATTACGAGGCCACGGATCAGATCAATGCGGCCAAGCTCTGGGCCTCGAAGCCGTATGTCGACAGCAAGAAGATGGCCATCTGGGGCTGGAGCTACGGCGGCTTCATGACGCTCAAGGTGCTCGAGCAGGATGCAGGCGAGACGTTCAGGTACGGCATGGCGGTGGCACCTGTCACCGACTGGCGCTACTACGACTCCATCTACACTGAGCGCTACATGCACACGCCACAGCACAATCCGGACGGCTACGCTGAGAGCACCATCACCAACGCGACGGCCCTCTCGCAGAACGTCCGGTTCTTGCTCATGCACGGCGTCGCGGATGATAACGTGCACATGCAGAACAGCCTCTGGCTCTTGGATCGCCTGGACTTGGCCGGTGTCGAGAACTACGATGTCCACGTCTTCCCTGATTCCGATCACAGCATATATTTCCACAATGCGAACAGAATTGTTTACGACAGTAAGTTTGCCCCTATTTCCATAGTTGACCCCACGCTGAATCTCTGCAGAGCTGAGCACCTGGCTCATCAACGCGTTCAATGGCGAGTGGCTGCGCACCGAGGATCCCGCCCCGGTACAGGTGGGTACGGTGACTGAGAGAGAGGATGAGTTGAGTGATTAGTTTTGGACCGTTCCGCTACGAATGTATTATTCTATTTTATGGGTATTGGCGCTGGTTTGTTGTAATTGATGTTCATATGTAAGATCCATTGTCGGACATGTACGGTGGAATCTACTGCGCTTAAATGGGAGTGAAAGAAACTTGATCACAAGAAACTTGAAGAATAGTAACCAAGTTACAGAAAAAGACTTCAGCAATTCGGCGCAGTACGGGAAAAGGCGAACGCATCAAGGTTCAGGATGTAGCAGTTTTGAATGTGTAGCCAGCCTCATGTTCTCAATATTCACAGCAAGATGTTGGTCACCAAAGCAAGACACTTCCCAAGTATTCAAAGACTCAAATTTAGAATCTACATAAGAGCTCGTCTTGGCTTCACCGTCTCCCGATCATGTGCGGTCGCAACGGTTACTAGTCACCAGCACTGCGCAGAAGTGCGAGCTCGGCGATCGCTGGTGTCCCTCCTCTTGCCGTACGTCACGAGCGTACGCTATTATTTCCCTTTGTTGGCAGCACGACACGAGCGTGCGCTTCTTGTTGCGTCATCTCCAGCACGACACGAGCGTGCTCTTTCTGCGTTGCTCTCTGCACGTCACGAGCGTGCTGTTTCTGTTTTTCTTCTTGCACGTCACGAGCGTGCTTTCTTGTCGTCTTCCGCGGCACGTCACGAGCGTGCGCTTGTCGTGGTTCGTTGGTCCGCCTCTTGCCGCACGTCACGAGCGTGCGCGTCTTTGTTGTTTTGCCAATCGCTTTCTCGCTTTGAATACTCGAAATCATGAACGCCGGAGAACCGATACGTACGATGCGAAATCCAGAAACCAGAAAGACAACCGGACACCTCGAAAGGTAAAAGGACGCCAGAAGCTTAAGTAATATCCAGAAAGACCAGCTATGACAGGCAACTCTTATCGTCCCGGAACTCGCCCAAATGCAAGGCTTTTTTGTTGTTTTTGGTTGAAAACGAAGTACAAAGCAAAGAAGCTACTCTGAGACTAACGAATCCATAAGAAGTCCAGGAAAGAAGGAGGAAAGTGCCTATGTAAGTTCCCGAAGCTGTGCGTAAGCCGAAAGGGCGTGTGCGAGTGAGGAATGTATACGTCCAAGATCCCGTGTATTCGTATGTCGAGTCAGAAAGGTCAAGGAGGGATGGGGGAGCTCAAGGACTCCAGGAATGGCAAGTGGGCGCCGGTGTGATGATGCGTGGCGATTACGGAGGGTACAAGATGAGGGTCAGAACAAGGGCGCTGTGGCCAGTGAAGAGGGGTTGTAGAGGCGTCGCGGCTCGGAATTGAAGGTCCTCCAGGAGTGATCGGACCTGCGCATGTGAGCAACGAAAGGGGGGCTTCGTGTCAGCAGCAGCAAGTCAATGATCTCTAGGCATTAAACGCGTTTTTCAACGGATAGCGGTGCGCTTGAGAGCGGCCGTAAGGCGTGGCGAAACGATGCGTGGTTGTACAAGGCCGTTAAGGTGAATCAAGGGCAGTTGAGCAAAGGCGTGGTATCCTGACGCGATGACGTGAGGGAGGAGGTAGGGAGGGTGGAGAGCCGACGACGGTATGTACGTCGCGAGGCGTTCAAGGCATTACAGTAGGGGTATGCTCCATGGTCAAGACCCGAACCCAAGTATTAGCGAAACTGAAAGGAAAGAGAGATGGGGATCAAGAAGAGGGCGATGAGGGGTCGAATATATACACAAGGCCGGCGGCCCGTGCGTCTGGGGGTGTGACTGGTCATAGGACTCTACGTATCGTGGCGCCACCTCCGCATGACGTAGCATGATCAGAACGCAGGTACAGTCAAGAGACCTCTAGAGCCGGCCAGACTTCTGCTGTGTTCGCAGCCTGCTTTCGCCACCCTTTTGCTTCGCGTGACCGTCTTGCTTTGCTCTATGAATCCACGCTGGCGTTTCTTTGGCACCTGAGGCCTTCGACTGCCTCCTAAATATATCTCAGTGAGAGCATCGAAAGCCGAATTATCTGACTCAGCGGGAAGAAGCAATTCTTTAATCGAAGGGAGGATTGTGACCGAATTGCTCCGTCATGGTCAGGTAGTCCCAGCTGCGAGTTTCACCTATAGAAAATCGCTCACTACGCGCCACAAGCTATACTCCAGACACTTATTGCTTCACCAAAGCGAGAAGATGCCCCGCTCAAGCCGCTGTGACTGCTGGTGTTTGTCGGCGCGAACAAGTGGTTTCTTACGGCTCGTAGAAGCGAAGTCTCGATAGAGTACGATGGCGCTCTTCCCGCGCGATTCACCAATCAAGTCTCTCGGAATGCCAGTAGGGTGATTGTGGCGAGCTCTTGTAGTAAGTAAGGGATTTCCCCGCACGCCAACCTCTTGGGATCATCAGCCTTCCCTCCAGCCCGTCCCGCGTTCAGCTGCGCTCACGGCGAGCCAGTGGGAGTTGCAGGATAATGCTAGTGCTACGCAGTATTACGTTTCACCATCGATCATGCACAGAAATTGCCTGGCGTGAGAACGGGTCCTGCTTACTATCCAGTGCCGAAGCCCTGTTGCATTCGCAATGCTTTCCGTGCCCCGCACCAATGCATAAAATACATAGCATATCGCGTAAAAACTTTCCTTGACCACTGAGGAGCTTGAATGTAGCCCATTCCTAAAATTTTCGTTAGACAGCTTGAATAAGGGCTAAGCTTGCAACGAGAGAATCCTTGTGTTAACTCGTAACGACTTTCATCTAATCTTTCCTTTTCCCCGACGCCAGGTGATCCGTGAAACATAGTCGACTCTCCGCATAGGCAATTACACTATCTATTAGACAGAACTCTAATAATGTATGTACAATATTCTTCAGTGTACATTTAGATTCCAATTCCAGGCGTCGTCTCTCGTAACTCGTTTCAGCCGCTGGCGTTTGCAAGGCACTCGGGCTTACTAGGATTTCTGGCGCGTCCCACCGACAGACCTCTCTGCCTAGCAACGGCTATGACGCGCTCTGGGTAGTTGCTGATGATGGAGTCGACGCCGTCGTCAATGAGTTTGCTGATGGTGACTTCGTAATCGACGGTCCAAGGGATGACCTTCATGCCAAGCTCATGGGCCTCATCAACGACGTCTTTGGTCGTGAAAGGCGTGTAGCCGGGGGAATTGACGGTCAGATTCGAAGGGAAGCCATGCACGGGGCTGAGCACGTCGGATCCGATGGCGGCGGCGGCGGCGATCCAGTTTCCGTCGTAGTCGTCCAGGTTGAGACCACCGAGCCAGGGGTAGGTGCCGTTGGCGTCCGGGACGACGGTCGTGTCGTCGAGGAGTGCAACGATGGGAATGGCGGGGTGCTGTTCGTGGATAAGGATGAGGGTGCGCCAGTCGAAACTTTGGATGTAGGTGCGCTCGAGAAGGCCGTGTTTCTGCAGGATGGGGATTATGTCGAGGTACTTCTCAACGGGCCAGGTTTGCTCAGGGGTCGTGGGATCGATCTTGGTCTCGAGATTGATAGTCACGCCCTTGTCGCCGTAACAGTTGACCAGCTCCAATACTTCTTCCAGAGTGGCGATCTTGGTGCCGGGGTGGACTGGGGGTTGTGAGCTTGCATTCTCTGATGTTTGGGTTCCGATTCTCGTACGCTCTTGCTGTAAATGATCTTCTAGTTGTAGATCACAGTCCAGACTCTTGACTTGTTCCAGTGTCAATTCATTGATGAACTGGCCAACATAGTCACCGGTGCATTTTGTCGGGTAGATGTAATGCTTTCTCTTCTGTCAGCAGCCAGCACAATTAAGTGATGGAATACTCACATCATGCCAAATCACAGGGATGCCATCCTTGGTGAAGACAGTGTCCATCTCCAACGTGTCGACACCGATCTCCTACTTTCTTTTAGCACCTCTCTACAACACAGAAACGTCGGCCGTACCAACGCGTAGGCGAATGCCTGCCGAAACGAGTTAGCGTCCATCTTCCGCTATCTTTCTTCGCTGCGCCATTTGCTTACCCACAGAGACTCCTCGTTCCTCAGACCCAAGCCGCCGCGGTGCGCCTGCACCTCAATGCGCCCAGTCAAATCGCCCACCGATATGGGGAATGCTGCGGCGTTGCCGACGAGGGCAGCAATGCCGACGGCGAGGGCGAAGGAAGAAGCGGCCATGGTTCAATCCAAACAGGAGAAGGGGTGCACGGTACGGAAAGTCAATGACGCCCTCTCTCCATTTATACCTCCATCGGCTTATCTTTTACCTTGCTCTTTTGCCTTCGCTTTAACCCGCATCATCCGCCGCCTGACGCATCATTCAGCCCGCAGCTTGTGCGCACTCCCACGTACCCCCTCTCCAAGGTAACGAAATCCGCTTAATCGGGTTGCCTACCTGGTCATGCCAAGCGTCTTGGCGGCCTAGATATCTTGGACGAGCGAGTAAGATGGCCCGCCTTGATCTCGTGCTCGCCTTGCTGAGCCGCATGTTTGCCGATTGTGCTGACTCGTACCTGGCCCTATCTCTCGTCTTCGCTCCTTCGCCTCTTTTATCCAGGAAAAAACATTGCCATGGTTAGAGAGAATCTGGCCAGAGTGCATATATAAACGCTTACATCCGACTTACTGCCAAATTGCCGATGCAATTTTTAGGTAATCAATCTCACTCCCAGGATTACCGCAGGCGCGTCGAGTAAGACGGAGGAACGTTCAGACGATTTGAGAATTCAATACCCAAAAATGGAGTGAAGACTTCACAAAGGGCCTAAGCGGTGAATTGAATCTTCTTTGTTGGCGTGTTATGGCTCTTTTAGGTTGCATGGTGCCACGAGTGTTGCATACGGATACTGCAACATTGTCAGCAGTAGTTCTGCAGATAATGCGTTGGCTTGCCCAGATGATCTCTCATAGTGGCACGGAGCGACGAGGCAGGCCTCAAGTGACTAAGTCTGGATTATAAGCGACCGTTGCATTGAAACTTAGCACTGAGTGTGAAGTTACTAGAACCAAGCCGCCTCCCAATTCGCACTGGTCATCAGCCCTTCGTACTGTCGAAGATTCAGAGGCGTGGATGGAGGGGCAGCTCTATCTTCGTGTCCCAGCAAATACCCATCAGCGGTGACCTTGGTTAATCCAAATCTAGGCGGATCAGACCACGTTCTTCTCAAGCCACTCCTCCCACTGCTCCTTGGTGAAGCTGCTGGAGATGCTGTTCTCGACAACACCCTAGCCCTCCTGTTAGCCAATTGGAATCCGGCATCAGATCAAAAACTCACATTGAAGACGACGGTCGGCGTGACGTGGATGCCCACAAGACGGTTCGTCTTGACCATGACCTTGACATCATCCGTCACCTTGTTCCCGCTGTTCAACGACCCATCAGGCCCGGGCTTGTCCGAGATCTCCAACAGCTCGTATACCTCCTTCTCGTCAAGCCCGACACCCGCCGCGATCTTGGCCAGCCTCTTGTACGTATTGTTGCGCGTCTCGTTCACCACCTTGACGTCGAAGAAGTCGGTTTGCTGGTCGAACAGCGCCTTGCTGAAATCGTAGAACTTGGCCGGCGCCAGCCGGAGCACCGCGGCGCCGGCTTCGTGCACGAGCGTCGACGATGGGTGCCACGGCTGGATTTGTTGGCGGAATATTATCTGAAGCTTGGAGTCGTACTTGGACTTGATGGTGGGGAGGACGTGGTCGTAGATGGTCGTGAACATCTTCTTGGAGAACTGTGGCGCAAGCGGCGGATGTCAGCGGGATGGCTCCCCAAAGACATTTCAACGATACTGACCGGGCAAACATAGTCGAGGTCTGTAGACAGAAGATTGGCCCCATTAGCTACTGTTCTCCAAAGGTGGGCGCGGGGCATATACAGAGCTCAAGCGTGTGCACCGTCTTCACGCCAGAGGCGAGCTTCTGGCCGGCGAACTTGGGTGCCAATGACATTTTGCTGGATTGATTTGTGGGTAGTAGCTTTGATGATAGAAGCTGAGAGTGAAGGCGGTTGAAGCCGTTGAAGTTGGGGTTGATTGAGAGATAGGCACTGGAAGCTATTGCACGATCGATACCCCGCCATGACGACAGCGGGGCCGGAACCCTGGGACCACATTCACGCCTTCCTCAACTGACAAAGTCGTATCAGTGAAGACTGAATATGGGGTGACTGTCAACACATTCCTCGGCTTAGCGCGCAAACAATTAGAGTGAATAGCAACAAGCCCATCTTCGGTCGTAGGGTACGCCATCGTAAGAGCTTATTGTTTTGTAAAATTAAGCCCCCGGGGGAGCTGCAGCACCCCAGCGTTAGCAGACCGCGGCGTCCACGGACTTCGCTATAACCAAGCCGACAGGTAACTGGAGCAACTTCTGGCTTTGTTTTGATGTCCCCAGATGCCGCTGTTTATGCTGGAGCAGCGCTCGGACCACACAAAACCTCGCGTAGGGCGAAAAAAGCCGTCAGCCTCCTCCGCAGCCACCACCACCCCAGACGTCAACAAAACAAAAAGATGTGGGAATTGAGCCCAACGCGGGGGTCGAACCCGCAGCCTTGAGATTAAGAGTCTCACGCTCTACCGATTGAGCTAGCCGGGCGGCTGGATCAAGAACCGGAGTGGTTCTTGTGGTTGTTGATGACATTTCCAAATCTTACACTCAATATATACTGTAAACATGCTCAAGCAACACCAAAACACTCAGACAGCACTCCAAAAGACCCCAGAGCATTTCCAAGAGGATCCGGGGTGTGTGGGTGGAACAGGAGAAATTTTTGTCGACTGATTTCCCGAACGGGAAAATCTCGGACATGGTCGGAGAAAAGAAACATTGTCCTGCATCATGCTTCGAATAGAATTGTCACTCTATTGATTAAGCAAGCACCTGGTGTACAGGGGGGTATTGCAGCCCATGGCTAGCGTGAATTTATTTTTTGCTCTTGTTATGGGTAGTTGAAGCCACCGTCTGGACGAGAATGTAGAATTATACCTACGGAATGTTCTTTATCATTTAAAGGAAAAAGGAACTAAGGCATAGTTATAGAGGGGTTCTACGTCCGACCGCTGGCGTATATTTGTTTTTCTGTCTATCGGATGCCTGTTGATTGCTAAAAGCGGCAAATTTCAGTGGATTAAACCAATCACACCATCCACACTCGAGCGCAGCCATCCCCTGTTACCAAGCCCTGTCATTCTTCGCTCTAGCGGTCGGACGTGGAACCCCTCTGTATTACACTCCAGGGCCCTGCTATTCTTCGCGCTAGCCATTGGCTGCAGTACCCCTCTGTAAAATCACTATTGGGAGAGGTCTCTACATCTTGGATATTTATAGAAAAAAGACTGACATCGGGTAGAAGGAAAGATTAGATGAATTTCGTTACGAGTTAACATAAGGATTCTCTCGTTGCAAGCTTAGCCCTTATTCACAAACTTCTAGCGACCGTGGCAGCTGTCTAACGATATTTTTTAGGAATGACTACAGTATTTGAAACCACCCGGCAGGAAATATCACCTGAGGCGCCCTTCCAGATCGTAATAGCGGCAATGCCGTTGGGTGCAGTGGCATCGGCATCTTTCGGCATGCTTGCGGCATCGTCGGCATTCCCAGAATCACTTCGCGCTCTGACCGCCGCGCTCCAATAGCTTCAGCGAAACGCGCCTTGAGAATTATCAATCAGGCGGGAAACACTGTCGTGAGATATCGGGCGGCTGCGGAAGCTTTGATATCATCATGCGGCGACAGAAAAAAGACATAGGACTCATGTATTTATATACTCACTGATGCAACTCCTACAAGTCCCCATCAGTACATCCACGACCCATTTCCTCAGAGACAAAACAATCAAATCCGGAGAAAGGAACTTGATCTATCACTTAAACGTCCATACGAATCGCGCAAATTCGATATAAAACAAGACCCTACACCGAATTCCCCGAAACAACCAACCGAAGCAGAGCCTCCTCGCGGATAACGACATTTCATCTTTCACCTCCATCAGTCGAACCGGGAACCATAAGAACCACCATCAGAAATAAGACAACCTCCTCGGAAAATGGCAACCGCCGCTCTTCCCCGCACCCTGCTCAACCAACTCATCTACGCGGTCAAGAACGCCATCAAGGAGCCCCACCCGATCGGCCGCGTGCCCGTCAGTACCACCCCATACAAAGCCGACTGGAGCCGTGCCTGGTATCGCATCGGCCTGGCGTCAACGCTATACGTGCCCGTGGCCTCAGCCGTTATGTTTTGGCCCTTCGTGGTGCGATCGCTAGCCATGCCTGGTGGCTTCGGCCACGCGTATCACTGGGGCAGGACAAAGGCTTGGTGGGAGGAGGAGCAGGAGTAAGGAAGAGTTGTGGAGTCACGGGTACTTTACCATTTATCGTCCCAATTCCTAAGAAATCTTTTTTTGTTGTCTCGGATTCACGGAGGAAATAGAAAGAGTTATAGATACAGGGAAAACGCTAAACGAAGAAACATAATCAGGTATTGAACGCATAGCAAATCAGTCAAGCGGAGTTACCTTTTTCAGTCCGTATAACAAACGCATGTAGTCAAGTGTCCAAAACAGAAATTCTCAATCATCAAACTCCCATAATCTTGGAATAATGCATAAGCCCCTTTATTCCACCTCCTTTTCAACCTGTATATCCCTCAATCCGAGCTCCACTATGCTGTAGGACCTTAAAACTCCGGCCTCGACTCCTCGCTCCTAAATGTCATGGGTGATGATCGTTTAACCTTCCTTATCCCTTTTTTTCGTGTCATGTGGCCGCATCGACCTTCCTTTCATCGGTATCTGGGCTCAAGAGACCAGCGGCGGCAAAATCCTCAACAGAAGGGCCTTGCGGTATGTCGACTAGGACTGCTGGGTCACTTTTGCGCGACTGCAGCAGAGCGGCGCGATTCTGTTATGAGCAAAATGTAAGGGAAAAGCACAGCCTGTAGGTTCTGAATCGTAGCAAGTAAAAGCGAGCAATGTAAAAATAGAGAACGGAAAATAGGATCAAAAAATAAAGAGGGGCACGAGTCACGAGGCATACGCATTCCGCGTAGGAGTGGTCACCTGCAGCAATCCACGTGCGCGGCCATATCAAAGAGGCATCACACAAGCCCGTATGCAAGGAGACAGAGAGAAATGAGAGAAGCACGGATTGCACAGGAAAATTAGGGGAAAAAAAGGACACTGGATTTACTTGAAGGGAAATAACAAGAAGAGAGAAAAAAAAAGGGGACTCACCTCTTCGCCCTCTCTCCCACTCAAGCCAAATTCCTCCAATACTTCCGTTTCCCTCGCCAAATGATCTGGACTGCTGCCGCTCCTCACTGGCCGATCATCATCACCTGCTCGGTTCCTTGCAAGAGAAGCTGTCGTCATCCGCTGCTGCTGCCTGTTCTCAGGCGACGTGGGCGTACCGTCGATCTCGACAGGCGCGCCGGCGTTGATGGCAGGCGTCGAGGTATCGAGGTGCGGGACGACGGAGCCGCGAACGAAGCGCGGCGTCGTATGATGGTCGGCGACCGGGGGGTTGGCGGTATTGGAGGTCATGCCGATGTGTTGTTGATATCTAAAGGGGTGGGGAGGTTAGAAATGGTGGTGTGGGGTGCTCCAACAGCAAGAGCAAGGCTAGTTCGGGTGGGGATGCGGGTGCAAAGGGCAATGACGGAAGGTGACGGATGGTTGGTAACGGGCCCTAGAGAAGCACACCAATGGTCGAAGCTTACACTTGTATTACTAACCGCAGGGGAGTCGGGAGAGCAAGGAAGAAGGTGTGAACCTCAGATCGCCGCCCGTTCGTATATATATAATTGCAGGCGAGGGCGGGGATCGACAGCAGTGGCGAACGCGCTATCGTTATTTATATACACACATATAGTATCCACACCCTCCGGCGCAGCCCGTCCGCTCAGCTGGGCGACGAGAACACGAGAAAACAAGGCGACACACGGCGGCGATGACCGACCGGTCAGGGCCAGGCCTGTGTTACTGCTGCCTGCCTGCCTTGCGCGCCGCTTCCAGCACGCAGCCGGTTATCTCGGCCGGTAGAAGAGACAGATTCAACTGGCCTGGCCGGGCCTCTACGACAAGCGTGGCTGAGCAAACCATCATCTGGCCAACAAAGCTGGCAGCTCCAGCCGTGGCCCACGCTCCACTCTCATGCGAAAATAGCAGCCGCGTAAGCGCTCGATTACAACGGTGTTTTTTTTCTCTATCAACCTGACTACCGCTCCAGCGTGACGATTGAGGCTGAGCCGCCCGTTGCATCTCCGCGACCATCTCCGCCTGGTCGCACTGCTGACCAAACCCCACCTCTCTAACCATCTCCACCACCAATTTGCCCCGATGAAGAAGAATGTTGCAGTGAAAAAGCAAAAAGACTAGTAGCAACCAAATCATTGCCAGTGCAGCACCGGCTGTGAAAGAAAAAAAAAATCCCAGCAAACTAAAGTACACATTAAATGTTGGCGGTTTGGTGGTATCATGAAAAAGCCTAGGGAAGAGGTCCGCCAACAGACCCCGGTCCCGCGCCCCATCAACGCTAGGCGAAAACGACCAAAAGGAGATTGTGAGTGCACTCGCTGACGGAGTTGGAGAGGGCCAAAGCAGGAAGCAGAAATGCAAGAGAAAAACATGAGAACAGGCGGTGCCTGCATAGATGCAACGCATCAGCGACGGTGGATCGTATGCCGGCAGAATGATCGACAAGAACAGATGAAAATAGGAAACGAAAAAGAAAGTCCCAAATACGCCCGATGCGCCTTGCCGAGAAGCCTGCTCGCTTTTGTACATTCGCTCATTAGAAGTCCCAGAAACCGCTCAGAGCCTTTCTGGCGCCCCCGGGTTGTCGAGGTTGCTAAGAATGTGCTCCGGCGGGATGCGCGCCATGTTGGCATTCTTGTCTCCCATCTGTGTTGGTGCTGGCACGTAGCCTTCACGCGCCCTGCGGATGCGTTCGGCTGCGATGCCCGCCACCACCAGGAGCATGATCAGCGCGAGCGAGATGGCGAGCGCGATGAGCACCACCAGACCGAGCGCGAGATTACCACCTGGAAACACGTCAGTCAAATCATCCCACCCGTCGCCCATGCCGTCAACTTACCACTTGTCCGGAAAACGTTTTGGGGCTTCTCAACGAAGACTTGCGAGAGGCTACCTTGGCCGTTGCTGGCCGTGGTAGAGAGAATGAAGGGCTGGAAATCGGTGCCGTTGTAGACGACTGCAGACGCGTTGCCAAATCCAGGCACGTTGAGCTCACCCAGCACCATGAGAATCTTGTCCTTGTCCAGGTTGTCGTTTGAGTCGTGGTTCTCCTTGATCGAAAAGACTTGAAGGCCGCGGACAATAGACCCTTCGCCGAGCCCATCTCCAACCGACACCCAATCGTCGGCACCAGTGCCCGTGAGCATGACGAACGCCGTGCCGTTCGACGCTGTGCCTGCAACCCAGAACCGAGTTCCGTCGCTGTCGGCTGCCGTGATGGCATCGACCGGCCCAGGAACCTGCTCGGATCCAGGAAGAGTCTTGAACGATGAATCCTTGACAGTGTAAGTCACCAGCGCCGTGGTGTTGTCTTCAGCCGTGAGGTTGCCGCCGAGGAGGAGCTCGTTCTGCGTGACCCAAAGCATGGTCGAAACTGAGCCCGACAGGCCGTTTCCGGGGCTGACCCACTGCCCACGGTCCGTGGCGTAGACGCACAGAGCAGGGCAAGTAAAGGCACCAGCCGAGTCAAACTCTCCACCAACAAAGACATCATCCGAATCCGGCCGAGGAGCAATGGCGTTGACCGAGACTTGGCCACCAGAACGGTCGAGGGCCTGAGGTTGATTGCTGGAGAAATCAGCATTGACAAGGCTGTACGAGAAAAGACCATTGAGGTCCGTGCCGCTAGCATTGCCAGTGAATCTGCCGCCAACCCACAGAGTCGAATCCGAATCCTGGGTAGCAAGGGCGACAATCGTAGCGGTAGCGTCTAATTGATCCGTGAGGCCGTTCACCTGGTTAGAGTCGGAAGTGTTAACAAAAAGGAGGTTGTTGAACTCGGAACCGTTCGTGCCAGTAGCCGAGAAATGACCGCCAATAATGGTAATGTTAAGGCTGTTCTGCTCGTATACCAGACCAGTGACCACGCCCGTAACATTCTGAGAACTTGTCGAACGCTTGGCAAGACCCGAAGAAGCCGACTCTGCCTGGGGCTGGATCTGGATGGGATAGCGTTGCAGGCCAAGCTGTTCCGCGTTGATTAGGCCAACAGCGCCGCTCGCTTCCAGAGCCTGAGACGAGACAGCCCCCGCGAACAGGGGGTCGGAATCCGGGACTTCCGTCCAAGCATTGAGCTGACCCGAAACCGCGATCGCCTGCACATCCAGGTTACGAAGCCAGTTCCCTCTGGAAGGGGACCAGAGAGCGATACCCTCAACGGGGAAAGTCGCGTTCTCGCCGAAAGCCTGAACACCGGTAATGTCACCGCTCACTGCGATGACGTACTCCGGTGTATCCGCTGTCAAGTTAAGACTCAGGGGAACGATGTGAGCAACACTGCCGTTGATACCGGCACCTAGGGGCTTCCATTCGTTGTCAGACGTCGAGTACAATGCGATACCATTCAGACCATCCACCGAGTTTTCAGCCGTGTTGGTGAAGTTGCCGCCAACAAAAAGGTCCGTGCCATTGAGGTAGAGAGCGCGGACTTCAGAGTTGAGGCCACGGTCCGTAAGGCTGACAGTTGCGTTATCTTTGATGGCGAAAATGTGACTGACGTTGTTGCTGGTGAAATTGCCACCAATGTAGATCGCATTGTTGTCAGTGACCATGGCGTTGATTCCCGCAGAGCTACTGAGTTGGGAGCCTGCAGTGTCCACGACAGAGGCCGAAAAATCGTCGCTGACGGTATCCATATTGGGGTCGTATTCAAAAAGGCCATTGAGCCCACCGGAGGAAGAACTCATGAGTTCGAAGCGCACACGTTGGGCGACAATGTTCAGAGGTCCTTGTTGGCCATCGGCGGGTGTGAGAGTGACGGATGGGCGGAACGAATCGGAAATGGCATCCACGTAGCCATAATAGATTGTGTCGTACTTGTCGTAGTAGTTTGTCTGGAACAAAGTCGTGGAGATTGGGGCGCCTGCAGTCGTCGTGCCGTTGGTCATGCTGCCTGTGATGTTAACCTGTCCGCGAGTGTCGCAAGAATCATCTTGTTTACACCCAGGAGTGTACAGGCGTACGGTATAATTGCCGGACTGCTGAATGTTAGGCTGAAAAACCACAGCAGCTGAGCTGCTGTTGACCTCCTCTCCGCTCGAGAAGTTCGCTCTAAGCCACTGCGAGCTGCTTGAGTGCGATGCCTCAACTGCCCAGGGGCCGGTGCTGGTAGCGGCAGCCGAGGTACTATTGCTCTCACAGGTAGGCTGGTTAAAGTCGTTGATGGCAAAAGCATAAATGTCATCTTGGTACAATTCGATGCCAGACAAACCAGCACCGTCGCCGTACCACTCGGAGATATCGATGCGGAAGGCATTCATGCCAACTTGGTTGACGAAGTGGAAGTCCTGGTGCGTGGTGTTGCCTTGCGGAAGAGGGCAGCGAGCATCACACGTGATGTTGTTGCCATTGGAATCAATGTGGGTGAGGTTCATGATACCGCCATCGGGAAGAGCGGTGAAGCGCCAAGTCCTTGTTCCACGGCCATCCTGGTTGGTGTTGTACAGGCGTAGCTTGGTCGGCTGGAACCCAAACTGAAATTCGGCTTTCCAGAATCCCGGTGAGGCGTCCTCCAATAGCCAAACATTGCCTGATCCACCCTGCCCTGCCTTGCAGATGATGTTCTCGGGGTCGCTGAATCCGCTTCTCGTCGAAGAAGCCTGGGTGGTAATGTTTCCAGCTCCCAAGGGGATAACCTGCTGGTCCTTCTGTTTCGGCGTTGTAGTGTTACCGAGCCCATCAAAAGATCCTCCGAAAATGATATGGCCATCAGAGTTCTTGACAATAGAAGAAACGGGTCCATTGAAGCCGGCAAAGGGTAGGTTCGTCCACTCATCCGTCCATGCGAGAGCGTTGGTGGAGTTCGCGGCAGAAAAAGAGCCGCCGACGTACACGATTCCAGAATCCGAGTCGCAGTACAGGCTCTTGACGCTGCCGGTTAGTCCCTCCAACGGGGTGATTTTGGACGTGTTTGGGTTGAAAAGCGCCACACCCTGCGTCTCGACGCCGCCCAAGCTCGTAAAGTTTCCTCCGACGACGATGCCGGTTAGTGAACCATCCTTGACGAAAGAGCACATGGCCTCGATATTGGCATCACCAACGGCGAGGTTGGCGAAGGCGCCGTTGGGGAAGCGCGACAGGACTGCCTGGCTGCCATTCGTGAGATAGGTGTTTTGCTCTTGGCCTACCCACTCGTAGATGGAGAGGGCGTCGAAATTGCCGGCAAGCGCGACGCGGCCAAGCTCGGAAATGTCGATGTTCGGCGAATCGACGGGGTCGAAGGAGACGGCGCGTGTTGTGGGGGCGCCGATCAGGGCGGCTGAGAGAAAAGCGGCTGCAAGCCTACCGGCCGACATGACCGGCGATGAGGATGAAGACCTCATGGCCTGAGCCGGCGGCAACCGGGTGGAGCGGGCGGAGAGCAGTGCGGAGGGCGGTGGTGTCGTGGTTGTGGAGAAAGTCGCAGGGAGTTCAGTGTTGACAAGAGCACGACATGCCGGGGCGGAAAAGCTCGTAGTAAGGTACCCGGATCGCAAACGGGAGGTGATGAAGCAGACGGGGCGGCGGCGAATGGGAAGCGGCGCACAGGGTCGGAAACAAGGCGGGCCCGGGACGGAGGCGCAGGGGAAGGGCTGGCGTGCGACGTGGCGCTGGTAACGAGTGACTGTGGGTGAGAAAGTTCGGACGCAGGAAAAACCAAAGAGAGCGACAGCCGGCGACGGACGTGCGAGTCGGTCGTGGAGACGTGAAGGATGAAGATGGAGTTCGAGATCTCCTCTGCAGCGTGCAGAGTCAGCGGCGCGCTGGGGGCCTTCGCAAAACAGCCTGAGACGCTCGCACCAAGCCCACGTTAGATGAGCTCCTGAGCGGCCTGAGCCACGGCCGACGCGGCTTAACGACCCACTTCGCGCCCGCACGGGGCGCTGTGCCCTGACAGGGCCGCCAGCCGGTGATACGCTGTCTGCTTCTGCAGCCTGTCTGCATCATCGCGCGAGTGACACGGCCAGCGCCAGCACCAGCGCCAACGCCCGCGCGGCCGTTGGATCGCGCCGCAAGGGGCCGCTGTACTCCTCCACTCCACGCTACACCTACAGCTCACTCTATCCCAACCCACCCTGTTCGTACCAAGCGCGCGCCGCTCCTCAGCTCGTGTGCGCGGACATTCCGGAAGCGTTCATTGCGCCGGCAGGGCCTGGCCATCCCTGGCCTGGCCAATCACCGACCCCGGCTTCTCCCTCTGGCGTCCCGCGAACCCATCTGCCGCTGCTGCATGCAATTCGCACGCACAGAAGCCGTCATCAAAGAAACTTTGCCTCAGGCTGCCTTGTGATTGGCGATCTGCAGCTCGGCCGATCTGGAAGCTTCGCTCCGCCATGCTACCAAACCGCCTGGTTCCTGCGTCCTCTTGGCCCACAACATCCTCGAGCGGTGAACTGCCAAGGCCACGACGCCGCGGGAACAGAGACGCGCTGTGCGACGTGTGCGACTCCAGCCCGTCTTGGACTATTGTCATCGCAGAGCCGCCAGCCTTCCTGTACGTCCGACGCAAAGCGGTACCAGAAGAGACTCAATTCGTACTATCTAATAATCCCGGTGGCAGCCAATCGTCCCGCCTTCGCCACCAGTTCGCTGGATATCCTCATTTCTAGCAGCATGTCGATAAACACAGCATCCGCGTGCAGGGTACCACAGTCTCAGATGCACATGTGCTGCACAATCGAGCAAGGAGCGCCACGCCAACCTCTCCAGTCATTCTCGTGAAGTCATTACCGTCGTTGCATCGTAGCAGCATGCTCGCCGCTGGTCTAGATGTCGTTGTAGCCCAAGAACCTCTTCTCGAGATGCTTGTCGGCAACCGCCCACGTCCATGCGCGCCCTGCCTCTCCGCACCAGAGCGCCGAGGGATCGTCAGACTTTTCCATCATGCCGTCCTTGTCCATCTGCTTGATCTCGTGGCCCGTGGTAAAAGTGAGAAAGTGCTCGAACTCAGGGTCCTCGAGCGTGAGGGCGTTGCCTGAGATACCGTGACACAGGCACGGTTCCTTTGTCAAGAGGCCACGCTCGAGAATGCATTCCTGGCCCCGCCTAACAGCCCTATCGATACGGTCCTGCATCTTGGGGAAATACTGCCTGATTGACTGAAGCGATGCAATCACACCAGGGGCGCCGTGGCAGAACTGGACGAGCCGGTCTTTGCCAGGCGGGATGGACGAGGGCCAGTTACCGCTATCGTACTGATAGCTGAGAACAGCGCCTAGGTCAGCTTCCAATTTTGGTGCCATGGCGGGGTCGGTGAGCACGATCTGCGTGATGATGCCAATGGTGCCATGGACCGCACCGAGGTAGGCCTTCCCGTGCCACTTCCACGGGCGGGGAGAGTCCATGATGGCATCGATTACTTCATCCGTGGTGTCGTCGATGAGCTCTTTGGTATCATGGTCGTCCTCGAACGACGCCCTCACTAGCCGCAAGAGGTAGAGATACCCCGCACGACCGTAAAGCCATTCATTGCCAGCGTCTTCGTCGGCAGTCACAGCAGCATAGTTGCAGAGCTCCTTGGCCATGTCGGCGTCCTTGGCAGACGCGGCGCCCAGGGCAAGGAGAGCCATGATGTCGTCGGCGACACCGCACTTCTTGACGGTAGGTCCGGGGTAGCTCTTCATGTGCTGTTGCGCCAGTTCCAAATAGGCGGCGAACCAGGAACCGAGCGGGTAGTCGCCGATGGTCATTTCCGGATAGAGCTGTTGCAAGCGGAAGAAGAGGAATGAGACGCTGATTGGGCCATAGTAGAGGCCGCCGCCGGGCGGGATCCTGTCGGGCGGGTAATCGTTGACCAGGCGGACTAGCGACGCAGTGAGCTGCTTGTAGGGGTCTCGCCGGGAGAGGGGCTGGTCATTGCGGAAGTAGCGCGGAAGCGCCTTTGGCTGCGCAGCTGTGGTCATGGTGGCTGTGGAGTCTGCGATTGACGTACGCCCCCAAATCAAGGGTTTGATTGCCGTTGTGAAGCTACAAGGGATGCCGATCGGAATATTGGGAGGTAGGTGCTCAGCCGGGCCAGAGCTGCGGTGGTGACGTAATGGGACGGCTGTCTAGCGACTGCGACAAGCGCTCCCTTGCTGCTGCAGCAAAATGCTTGGGCCGGCGGGAGTGAGGGATGGAAATGCTCGCAAAGTGAAGATCAGGACTGATGATGAGGGGTAGAGGGGGATTAAAGTGGACTCGGTTGACTTCCGAGAGGGCTGGAGGTTGTCGTTGGGCTGCGGCCCTGTGACGGGATCCCGCCCCGCGACTTGTTTCGAGGCAGAAGCCTAAACCACCCAGCCACTTTCACGGACATCCTTTGTAATTAGGTAGCACCCTTGCTCGCGGAACATCATTTCACCAAGTCCGCGCTGCCGACCATTGCACCGCTGCTCGAGCTACATTTGCATCGTGCGGCGGGCCAGCTCACAAGAACTCCGCGTGCCAAATTTGTATGAGAGTTATCTCCAGGTTTGCATACTTCAGCGACATTCCAACGGATGCTTACATCCCTCCGCACTGTCAGACACGTATTGTTACACGAATCAATACTCCCGTGAGCTCCTTGTCGTTCTTCTGACTCTCTTAGTTTCTTTCTCCTTCACTTCGAGAACAGAGTGCTCCTCTTCGGGCTCCCTCTTCACCCTTTTGCTGACCGCTTTCTTCTCCACCGTCGTCTGCTCGACAGCCGGTCCTTCTGGCTCGGATTTGATCGCCACCTTCTCATCCTTCGTCTCAACCTTTGCCACAAGGCGTTCCGAGAAAGCTTTCAGATCAGCCGTGAACAACACCGAGTGGGCCCAACCCGCTTCTTTACCCCAAAGGCTGCGGAATTTATTTGCAACTGCGTCATAGGTCGCCTTGGTCAGACTGCTGTGCTTGCCTTTCCCAAAACGGTAGTCACGCTGCGCGATCTGCCACACTAAACTCATGTCAGTCATGCACAATGGTCTAGGGTAATCACTTACCATGAGTATCAACCGGCACAGCCTCTCCCCACCCGAGACCCATAAGACAGACGCAATCGGCCACCTTTGGCCCCACACCCTGAAGAGCAAGCAGCTGCTCATGTGCCGACCTGTAGCCCTCGCGGCCACTCTCGACGAATTCTCCGGCCGCTTTGGCTTCTGCACCCAGCACCGGACTCTCGGGATTTCTGAGACTGTCCAGCCAGCCGTCTTCCTTTTCCGTTATCATGACCGCTGTCTGGTACAGGTACTTGGCTCGGTATCCAAATCCTAGCTGTCTTAATTGTTGTTCGACTTTCGGGTCAGTCAACGCCGATGCTGGAGGGAAGTCGTGAAAGGCTTGCGAGCCTACGTGGCCTATGAGTGGGCCATAATTTGTGCACAGCTTCTCCACCATCTGCGATATCCTAGCAATATTGTTATTGCTGCTGCAAATGAATCCGACCAGTGCTTCCCAGGCATCCTGCTTCAAGATACGAACTCCTGTAAATTTCGGTGCCTTCTTTTTGAAATTGGCATCCGCTGCTGCCCATTCTTCGTACAATTGGCCCAGATTCGGCTTCAGATTGAAGTAATGTTGAATAAGTTCGAGGGTGTCATCGGCGTTTGGAGCCGGAGATTCGGCTGTGGAGGGCGAAGTCGAAGGCGGAGGGGTCAATGGGACTTTGGAATGCTCAGGAAATATAGCGCGATAGTGTAGGTGCTCAGGGTCTTGCCGCAACGAGAGGATTCGGCCATGGAGGGCGCACGACCATTCGTCCTCGGCGGACTTGCGCCATCTATCGAACGCACGTTGTCAGCGCGATACGAGATGCAGGTGTACATGTGCCTAACCTAAAGGATTGGCCGCAGCGTAAAGTTGTATTGATACATAGTTCAGTGAGACTTATTGGCAGCCGCTGCCATTCGGTGATGCGCAAATTGCCCATGTTGTAGCGATGCAGGTCGCACGCGAGTGAAAGAGGTAGACGAGAGCGTCGGATTGCTCCCAATAAAGACAAAATTCCGCGGCAATCCGGAAGCCACCTCAAGTATAGAAAGGTTGAGTGGGATATCGGCAGCAGTCTAGTTGTGGGAGGTATGCGGAGAAAGCGATCTAGAGAAGACGCGACCGAAGACGCCACTTGACGCGTTTCGGTGCCCGCGGAATTACGCGCACGCGTTCAGACTATGCTAGTGGCTCTCAGCGAAGGGCATTGGGCCTGCTTCGCACCGGCATTTTTATTTGAACCACGTAGAGATCGGAGTGAGTATATCTATGGCGTTTCGAAACAGGTTCGGGCCATCGCGAAAAGTGCTGTCGCCGAGACGGGCGCGTGTGTAGCAGTCACGGGTACGGGCAGTAAAGTGGAGGCGGTATAGTTGGCTGCCCGAGCGAGCAAGAGGTTAGCGTCGGTTAGGTTTCTTGAGCCTCGCCGGCCAGCATCTTCACTGCTGTCCAGCTCCACAACCTTGCGATCAACCTCAACCACATCCCCTCCTCCCGACCGTCGCACGCGCTTTTACAGCTCGGCGGCCCACCAATCGCGCAACTTATCGCTGCCTACGCCTTTGCGCACTTCCGCCGATCATGAACGGCGACAGAGGTGCGTCCGATTCAGCTTCATTCTTCATCTGCTCAAGATGCTAACTCTACTTAAACAGATGGCGGCCGGTCGCGCGACCATTATGTAAGCTAGCAATAAGTCCTCGACGCCGGCGAAAGTGTACTAACAAACCCGCTGTCCAAGTCTTCGCGCGGAGATCGCGATGACCGCCGCGACCGTGACCGCGACCGACGCCGCCGTTCCAGATCTCCCGGCCACCGAGGCTCCCGACGTGATTACGAGGTAGACACGTACTCTTCCAGCCGTGACTACAGAGAGCGGGAGCGTGAGGACCGTTATGCGGGTAGGGACAGGCACCGCGACGATCGCTGGGACAGAGACCGTGGCTCGCGCAGGGAGAGACGAGAAGATGATGAAAGGCCATCGCGCCGGGACCGCGACCTGTTTGATGACCGCGGAGGACGTGGGAGGAGGGACAGGGATGAGCTCGGCGGACGTGGTGGCGGTGCAGGTGGCGGCGGCGGCGGCGGCGGTAGGAGGAGGAGTGCCTCGCCGCCGCCCAAGAAGAGGGAACCCACACCGGATCTCACCGATGTAATCCCCATCATGGAGCGGAAGAGGCGTATGACGCAGTGGGATATTAAGCCGCCGGGTTACGAGAACGTGACCGCGGAGCAGGCCAAGCTTTCGGGCATGTTCCCCCTGCCTGGTGCACCTCGCCAGCAGCCCATGGATCCCAGCCGCCTGCAAGCCTTCATGAACCAGCCCTCTGGTTCAGCAAGCGCTTCCGCTCTCAAGCCGTCAAACTCGCGGCAAGCAAAGCGCCTTTTCGTCTACAACTTCCCCAGCTCCGCCACCGAGGATTCCATCCAGGACTTTTTCAACCTTCAGCTCAATCATCTCAACGTCATTTCCAGCTCTGACCCTTGCATTTCAGTGCAAATCTCCAAAGACCGCACGTTTGCTCTCTGCGAGCTGAAGACGCCGGAAGACACTACCATGGCGCTGGCTTTGGACGGTCAATCTATGGAGCCGGAGGATGCGTCCAATGGGGCCAGCAACGGAGCTCACGCAGGCCTCCAGATCTCTCGCCCGAAGGATTACATTGTTCCCGCGCAGAGTGACGACGCTGATTACCAGGAGGGTGTCATATCAAACAACGTCAAGGATGGCCCGCACAAGATTTGCATCTCGCAAATTCCGATCTACCTCTCGGAGGAGCAAGTAACGGAGCTGCTGACATCCTTCGGCGAGCTGAAGTCTTTCGTGCTGGTCAAAGATACTGGCACTGACCAGTCGAAGGTAACAACAAAGCCATCTGACGCGTCTCGGATTTGCTCTGTGCTGACACAAACAGGGAATTGCGTTCTGTGAATATGTTGATACGACTGCGACCAACATTGCGGTGGATGGGTTAAACGGCATGGAGATTGCTGACGAGAGCTTGAAGGTCAAGAAGGCATGCGTTGGCATTCAGCAGGCATCCGGGCTGGAAATGGGCGTCAATGCCATGTCCATGCTTGCCGGGACGTCTTCGAATGATGCTGAGCAAGGCCGGGTCTTGATGCTTCTTAACATGGTTACGCCAGAGGAGTTGATGGATCCCCAAGAATATGAAGGTGCGTGTGTTTCAACACATTTGTTTCGGGGCGGCGCTGACAGATTACGCAGAGATCCAAGAAGATGTTCATGAGGAGTGCAGCAAGTATGGCCAGGTCTTGGAGCTCAAGATTCCCAGGCCGCAGCCGCCCAAGGAGAACAAGGGCGTCGGGAAAATCTTCGTCAAGTACGACACGCCCGACTCGGCGCAGAAGGCTTTGCGTGCTCTGGCCGGCCGCAAGTTTGCGGACCGTACCGTCGTCGTCACCTTTTTTGGCGAGGTAAGCTCGTCCCCTGGCAGTGCAATTCCATGAGCGCGGATACTAATGGGAAATAGGAGTACTTCGACGTCGATGCTTGGTGAGGCGGCAGCACATGTCTCCTGGCGACGCTAGCCCGGTCGTTGTTCATTGCGTCTTTGACTTCTGGCAGATTGAGTTCACGGCATTCAGGGGGTTGGGATATAGGTAGCCTCGTGGGAGCGATTCGAATGTAATTCTAGCGGAGCTTGGGTAGCTGGTGACTAAAAAAGCACGAGGCCTTTGGGCCGGATTAGGTGGAGGGCCGGAATCTGAAAATATACAAGCGGCGCCGCGCTTGCAACACAGACCGGCAATTTGAAACCGTGTCATGTTGAGCACGCTCATGTAGATCGGTATACCCCGCGCGCCGCAAATATTATGGGGACAGCAGCCGCGGACGAGGCGGGCGATTTGATTGACGAAGAGTCGTCATTCGACCATCTCGCTTACACGACGCCTCAACGGCGTTGCTAACCCCAAACCCGTCCGCGGCTGTTTTGAGGCAACCGGTTTCCCTTCTTATTATGCGGGATTGTCGCGTGCTCCCCAGCATGATATCACCGAAAGGCCCTCGGCAGGTCCACTTGCTCCGCCAGCCCGCACCGCCTGTATCATGTCGTCGTTGGCCAGCAGCCCGCTCGACGAGCTGAGTCCGATCAGCAGGCGATCTCGTAAGTAGATGGGCGAAACACGCGCGAGAGCGACGTTTGGCGAGCGCGCCGGCAGACCACACTGACATGACGCAGGTCGCCGCAGCTCGACGGTCCTGAATCCACGATTCTATGTCGACAACTCAATATGGAAGGAGGCGCCCGTCCTCATAGGCACGACCAAGTTCAAGCCGCTGCCCGATGCGCGCAACATCATGGTCACCGGGGGCGCGGGCTTCATGTACGCCGCAGCACGGCCTGCCGGGGCCTTTCTGGGAGAGCTTTGCTGACCCAGAGCCTACAGCGCGTGCTGGTTCGTCCGACACCTGACGTTGACGTATCCCGAATACCGCATCTACTCGTTTGACAAGCTGGACTACTGCGCGTCGCTCAACAACACGCGCATCCTCGACGCGGCCCCGAACTTTACCTTCGTCCAGGGCGACATCACCTCGCCGGCCGACGTGCGGCGCTGTCTCCGCACCCACGACATCGACACCATAGTCCATTTCGCCGCGCAGTCGCACGTCGACCTGAGCTTCGGGAACTCCTACCAGTTCACCAACACCAACGTATACGGCACGCACGTTCTGCTCGAGAGCGCAAAGGCGCACGGAGTCAAGAAGTTCATCCACATCTCCACCGACGAAGTGTACGGAGAGGTCGAGGAAAATGGCGACGATCTGGGCGAAACCAGCCTGCTGGCCCCGACAAACCCATACTCGGCCAGCAAGGCGGCAGCGGAGATGATGGTGAACGCATACTGGAAGAGCTTCAAGCTGCCCGTCATCATCGTCCGCGCGAACAACGTGTACGGGCCGCACCAGTTCCCAGAAAGTAAGGACAGGGCATCTTTTTATATCTACTCAACTCCACAACGCACAGATCAAGTCAGGCAAGCGATGCTGATCACACCACAGAGATCATTCCCAAGTTTGCGATGCTGCTGCACCGCGGCCGCAAGTTGCTGCTGCACGGCGACGGCACGCCCACGCGGCGATACCTATACGCAGGCGACATCACCGATGCGCTCGACACCATCTTCCACAAGGGCGCCGTGGGTCAGATCTACAACATCGCGTCCAAGGACGAGGTGTCGAACATGGAGCTCTGCCGCAGGCTCTTGAGGCTCTATGGGCTCCCGGCCAACACGCCCGAGGAGTTCAGGCGGTGGGTGGTGCACACCGAAGACCGCCCGTTCAATGATCACCGGTACGCCACCGACGGTTCGAAGCTCGCGAAGCTTGGATGGAGGCAGCAGACGAGCTTCGACGAAGGGCTCCGCATCACGGTCGACTGGTATCGGCGCTTCGGCGAGGTCTGGTGGGGGGACATCAGCCGCATCCTGACGCCTTTTCCCGTGGTCGAGGGAAACGAGATTTTCACACAGGAGGAGCATGACGCTCTAGACGAGGGCACGCAGACGTCGGAAGAGGAGGAGTACGTGTGGAACGACAGGGCGCTATATCATCTGCAGGCATCAGGAGGCACTGTGTGACTGAGCATTTTAGAAGACGGCACGCGAGGGTGTAATATTAATTGCGGAAGACAGTTCGTTAGATTGATTAGATACCAGAGAATACATTTGCTTTTCGGTTCCTCATCATGTCGTGCATCTTCACGTGAATAATGATTGAGCCCAGGGCCCGACCCGTCAGGCGCCAAGGCCGCGTTTCGGTGGCGGGGAGCGGGTGCGGAGCGGCGGTCGGGCGGGCAAAGCGCAGCACCTGCAGCGGCGGCGACCTTGGGCCGCGAGATACGGGGCCGGGGGGCGTTTCATGCACTGCCTCAGACAACGTACGAAGCGCCGCAGTCAGCCCTCCCTCTCTTTCACAGCCCTCTCCTTCCTCTCACCTTTCTTGCAATCCAAAATACCCAGCTGCTGCTGCCTGAACCAGGAATTGCAGCGACTAAATACAATCGCACGAGGCTTTCCCGCGGAAACCCTCGCTCCCCCTCCATTCGGGGACCTAAGCTACGCAGGACCCTTAGGCTATCTCCCCTTTTAAGGTCATATTTAACCTCGAACCCCTCCAACGCGACCGGGACCAAAAATAAAGGAAACACCAATCTTCGAAAGAAATTCTATATTTCCCTCCGCAAAAAGAAATCATGGGCCTCTTCAGCAAGAAAGACAAGTCCGCCTCGGACGCCGCCAGCGACGCCGACCGCAACGCCCTCTTCGGCAGCAAGAAGGGCTCGCCCGCCCCCTCGTCCGCCAACCCGTACGCGCAGCCCCCCGGCGGCGCCGCTCCTCCCCCCTACTCCGGCGGCGGCCTCAGCGACCGCGCCCGCGCCGAGAAGAGCCCCGTCCCGCCGGGCGGCTACGGCGCCGGTGGAGCCGCGTACGGCGGCAGCGGTGCGTACGGCCAGGACAGGTACGGCGGTGGAGCCGGTGCCGGCGGCGGCACCACGAGCAGGTACGGCGCGGGCGGATACGGAGGCATGGGCGACTCGGACGCGGGCAGGCAGGAGCTGTTTGGCAACGCCGCGCAGAGGGCGCAGCAGCAACCTGCGGGGCCTGGCGGTCCGTACAGCAGCACGGTGGGAGGCGCGAACAATGCCGCGTACGGCTCGTATGCGGACAGGCAGCTGACGCAGGAGGAAGAGGAAGAGGAGGACGTGGCCGCGGCGAAGCAGCAGATCAGGTTCAGTGAGTTGCCACCACCCTTTCCCCGATGGTTTGAAAGGAGGCGCCGGTGTTCGGGGTGGATAGCTGGGCTCGAGGAGACTTTGCCGGTGCTGACTGTTTGAATAGTGAAGCAGCAGGATGTTTCGTCAACGAGGAACGCGCTCCGTTTGGCCGCTCAGGCTGAAGAGACGGGTCGGGATACTTTGGCGCGATTGGGCGCGCAGGGAGAGAGTGAGTCTTTGCCCCCTCATGGCACCCCATGTGCTACTTTATGGCAATTGGAACGCATAGGGGCTCATACAGCTGGGAACAGGAATCCACAACACGGAGAAGAACCTCGATCTCGCGGAGAACCAGAACAGGCTTGCGGAGGAGAAGGCGCGCGAGCTCAAGACGCTGAACAAGTCCATGTTTGCGTAAGTGCTTACAGCTATTACTACCACACCACAAGTGTAGTTCAACGCGGCTAACTTGTAATGCGACGTCGCGTAGCATGCACGTCTCCAATCCCTTCACCGCATCTAAGCGCCGCGAGGCCCGCGACCAAGCTATCATCGACACGCACCGCAAGGAGAAGCAGCAACGCGAGGACACGCGCGCGGCGGCGTACGATTCTGCGCAGCGCCAGCAGCAGATGCAGAAGGACGTCAACCGCCCAGGCAACTTCGGCGGCAGCAAGCAGGCTAGCCTGGCTGAGCGCTCCAAGTACCAGTTCGAGGCTGACTCCGAGGACGACGAGATGGAGAACGAGATTGACAGCAACTTGGACGCCCTGCACGGCGCCGCCGGCCGTCTCAAGGGCCTGGCCGCGGCCATGGGCAACGAGGTCGACCAGCAGAACAAGCACATCGCCCGCATCACGGACAAGGTTAGTCACAGCCATTCTCTCCTTTTGCAACGTCTTGGATTCCTTACTAACTCCCACTTTCTAGACCGATCGTGTCGACGAGCAGATCGTGATGAACCGCTCGCGTCTGGACCGCATCAAATAAGCGTGGTCAGCATGAGACACCTCGCACACTGGATCCGTTGCCTTTGTACATACATGCGTTTTGACTTGGAACGAGAGTCACAGAAGAAACACAAAAAGATGGGGCAACGAATACGGATAGGGTTGCTAAGAACTGAGAGGATAGAGACTCTGCTCTCTTCTTCTGGCAGAGTTCATGGGGCATGGCGTTTTGGGATCAATCCTATTTTTTTTTCTGGATGCTTAACGGCACGAAATTCACTTTGCTCGATGCGTTACACACGTGCATAATGCAATATCGTCATGGGGATCATTTTGCCTTATGTCTCATTTTTTGACTCATGACAGTGATAGATTAGAAGAAATGAGCTGGACAGTGTTGAAGCTCTTTGATATTATCAATTAAATTGCTGTTCTACTTCTCAGACTCGCAAGTGAACTAGAACGTCTGCTGAAGAGGTACACCTGATTTAAAGTGATTCGTTTCATCCGCCGGCGAAGTCAGGCTTGTTTGTGCTCAAAGACACACCGAGACAAAAGTGTCGAAAGAGGCAAGACAATACCTGTGCTCTGTACTAATATGACATTTTATGCAGCGCTTGCAATATGCAGAACAGAAAGAATACAAGACCAACGTAACAACACATGAGATATCTGATATCAACGCATCGATGTGAAAAAAGTGTAGCATGCAAATGCGGCGACCAAGCTTGGTTTAGGAACCCCAGAAAAAAAATTAAAACGCCTCTGTGTGGTCCCCCAATCGCCAATTCTCCTCCCTCATGCTTGTGAAGGTTATAAGATGATGCTGCGTACAACCGCAACAAAAGGAAGGATGCTGCCGATAAGAAAAGTGGATATATAAGGAACGCCTATTCCCATGCCTTTTCTTTCTACAGACCAGCCAACACCGTCTGCACGCCGATACTGCTCGCATCCTCCCTGTTGCGGACGAAGCTCTTGAGAGCTTCCCTCTCACCACCGTTGACACCGCGTAGCCTCTCGCGCAGAGCCTCGGGCCCGATGACGAACAAGTTGGCAACATCGACCAGAATATCCATGCCGTTCTTTTCGAAGCCGCCGCTGTTTGAGCTCGCGGTCTGCTTGTTGTTGTCTGTGGACCCGCGCTTACCGCCGGATGCATCCGATGAAGAGCTACCCGACGTTGGCCATCCACGCACCAGCTCTGCGTACTTGGTCGCATCCTTAGATACGACCAGGCCACCGGTAAGTGAGACGGTGAAACGGCGGAAGTGGTCAAGCAACTGGCTGCGCAACCCAAGGGCAAGTTCGCTCAGGAAGAGACCGAGAGCGGGCTGTGATAATGTGGCAGTGGCTTGGTTGGCAACCTTGTCAAGAAAGCGCGTCACTGCCAGACACGTCGGCGTCTCGGCGCCCAGCGACACCAGGTCCTCGTCACGAGGTCGGAAATCCTGCTTTTTCTGGCCTTGAAGTAGCTTGGCCGCCCAGGAAAGACATACATCGATGGTCTTTTGGAGGATATTGCTGATCTTGTTTTCGAGATTTGTGATGGTGGTATTGGTGGTCTTCTCAATCTCGCGGCGGGTTATCAGAGATGGGGCAGCGAGAGGAAGAAGGACAGTATTGATAGACATCTGCAGGAGATGTAGAATTCCGATCGCAGTACGAAGAGAATAGAGGTATGAAATGTCCGGGGGGTTGTTCTTGACGTTCTCCTGAGAGGCAGCCAATTCGGCAGCACTAACACTTCATTAGCGTACTTATGAAAAGGAATACAGTATATCATCAACTTACGCGTCCAATGCTGTCTCCAGATAGATCTCACCGACGTGAGAAAGGAGCAGCCCAAGCATCGCTTGAACATCCTTCGGTGTTTCGTTGCCACCACTTAATTCGAGGCTTCGGCCAACCCCTTCGGCCAACCACTTGAGCATGCGTTTGGCATTGGGCAGACTGAGCTGACCGTCCTCCTCGGAGACCTCGATCTCCTTGTCGCTGTCTGCTTCCTTGATGCCAGCAAGCTGAAGCATCATACTTCTCTGTGAGGTTGAGATATCGGAAGATCCTAACCTCTCCATGTAGGCGTCTTTTGCTGACGCGAAGAGTTCACGACCTCTTTGACTCAATGAGCCCAGGTAAGATGTTGCGATCTTACGTCTCTTCGACTGGTAAACAGTGAACTTGAAAAGTAGCGACGAGTATAGTTCTTCTAGGTTCTTCTTTTCTCTTTCGATATAAGAAGACCCAAGGAGGTACGGGATGAAGAGGTCCTCAAGCTGCTGGTCCAGCATTGCTGCAACTTGTGAAGTCACTGGTTCCGGATGTTCAGTCAAGCCGTGTGATTTGAGGTCGTCGACAAGAGAGCCGATGTAACTTCTTGCAGCTTGCAAAGAGCGGAGGAATGCTAGTGAGGAAATGGAGTTTGCTTTGTCAAGAACCATTTCCAACCGGGCTTGAATCTATATGGAAAGTCAACTTCATCATCTAAGTTTAGTAGCGGAGAACGTACGGATTGCTGGAACACGCGCTGCAAGAATCTGATCAAGACCTCGTCGGCGTAGGGGAATGCCTTCTTGATTATGAACGATTCTTCTTGGACGACGAGCCTGACCTCGTCGACTAGGGACTGGAGACTTGGCTCAACGCCTGGCGGTTCCGCATCCGGGTCGGCAAGACGGTCCCAACTACAAGAAGGTCAGCAAGTCGAGCTATAATAGCTTTAAATGGTGGGGTAGTACGTTTCACCGTCGCCTGCCAGCTCCTCGGTGACCAATTGGCTCCTGTCGATGAAGAACTGATGTTGGTTGACGAACAGTCCCATGACACTTGCACCGTCGTTGAAATCGCGTAACGCAGCAGCGCATTCCTTTCGCATGGATCAGTGGGAGTCGTCGTAAAGACATACAGAATGGTCTCACCCTCATGCCGTCAAAGTTCTGCCTCCGGTAGAAGTCATCAAACTGCTTCAACAGATCCTTTTCCAGCATCTCCAGGAACTTCTCAATTATCTCCCTCGTGTTGTGTTTCTTAGCCGGTGCACCGTTTTGCCCGTTGGCACCGTCGACTCCGTTTGTCCTGGGAACGTTCACTTGGCCATATTCTGGGTCTAACCTGTGGCTGAGTCGGAGCAATTGCCTGGCAATGTGCGCACACCGGACCTTTCCATCTCCACCTCCAAGCCGTCTGACGTCTTCTAACGATGACAGATCTCCTCGCTCGCTGACCTCCATCCAGCACTGGATGAGGAACTTAGCGTCCTGCGCACGTTGTCGCTGGCGGTCCAGTTCCTCCAGCCGTTCTCCGATCCGCACAGCGACATTGCCGCCACTCTCGCTGTCTACGTCATCGCTGACACCTCCGTTGAGCGAGTTATCCAGCCTATTGAACTGCTCTATGGCATCCTCGAGCTTCCTGCCCAGCGATTCCGTCTTCTGGCCGTGCTGTGCCTCGGCGCGGCGCACCGAGCCGGAGAGTTCGTTCTCCTGGAGCTCGAGGTCCTCGGATAGGGTGCCCAAGCGAGCCAAGGCATGTTCGAATGTACGGATCAAGGGCTTCGGGTCAAAGGCCACCTGGCGGGCAGGGTTTCCTGAACGACGGCTGGCGGGGACGGCGGCGTCAGAGAGAGTCTCGATGAAGTCCTTGACAATGAAGTCCTGGTTTTTGAAGGTTTCGAGGGAGAACTCGGGGCCGCGGTAGGAGGTGGCGCGCGAAGTGCGGTTGGACGTGACCGACTTCGCGTCGGAGGCGGGGCCGACCATGGCGATCACCAGTGGTCGCCGACGAGACGCTGATAGGACAGGCCGGACGAGGCGCGACGGCGGGCTTCTCGGAGTTCCTCAATGGCCTGCTGCTCGCGGAGGTGGTAGCGGTGCTCCTCGGCGGCGCGCAGGTCTTCGTAGGAGCGGAAGGGGAAGTACTGCTGGTAGGGCACGCCGGGGGGCGGATCGTCGTGCAGGCCCTCCTCGTGCTCGGAGGGGGTGACGCAACGGATGCTCTGGTAGCCGGGCGGGGTCTGGCGGGGCGGCGGGAGCGGCGAGTCGCGGTGGTGGTGGAGGGCGAGGCGGGCGTCGGGTTCGGCGTCGGCAGGTGTGGCGGAGGCAGACTTCTGGTCAGTGCTCGAGTCGTGGGTGGCGTGGGCGTGGACGAAGACGGCGTGCAGCAGGCCCTTGAGCTTGTGCACAAAGCGCACGAGCTCGTGGCGCGGGTGCAGGTCGCGTAGCTTCTGACGCAGACGCTGCACCGGTCGTTTCTTGCTGCGCGGAGGGGGCATGCGAGAGAAGGAGGGAGCTGGAGCGGCGAAGGTCTGGACGGCCATCCATGTCGGCCAAGTTAAGCTCGCGTGTTGAGCCACAGGCCACATCATAGCCGTGCGTCGCGTAGGGCTGCGCCGAGCCTTCTGCGCCTGCTTCTCTGACGACGCCTCAACACTTTCATGCCACCCTGCTATATACATGGCGTGACCCGCGCGCATTGATGCACAGACACTGATCCTCCCGCGCCCGCCTCCGCTTTCCCAGTGCTGCCTCCGCGACCTCTCCGTCCCTGTCCTCCACGCCCGCAGCTATGGTCGGCCTCCGCGAATCAGCTGCTCTCCGCAGCGGCGCCCATCCCGATGGCCGCCCGCTAGATCCCCGCGAGCGCGAGGCTCTCCTCAAGCCGTACCTACCGTCCAGCGCGAACCAGCCCTCGCCCGCCCGCCGTCCGTCGCAGAAAGGCCAGCGCAAGAAGCCTATGCGCCAATTCCTCCGCCAGCAGCTCTACCTCATCACCTACCTCACCATCCAAGCCATCTTTTCGCTCTACGTCCGCCTACGAACCGCCTACCATGCCGTCGGCGACCGCCTATGGGCCCTCATGTACTACCACCACCGCGCACCCGAGCTTATACAGAAGGACACCAAGCACCTCAGCAAGCTGCCCCAGCACCTGAGCATCGTCCTGGACTTCAACGACGACGAGCAGCGCGGAGCAGGCCTTGAGGGCTTGGTGAATGATATCAGCGAAGTTGCTGCATGGTGCGCCAGTGCCGGCATTCCCGCGCTGAGCGTCTACGAGAAGACCGGTATGTCCGCTGCCGCGCATAGTTGGCGCCTTTTCTAAACACTCTGTGACAGGCATCCTTAAGAACTATCTTCCTGCCACCCACCGTGCAATTTCTCAAAGATTGGAGTCCTACTTTGGCGCTGAGAAGAAGCCCACTCTCTCCCTCCGTGCTCCGAACCTTCCGTCCTTCAGCCCCCCTGGCACGCCTCCCGAGCCCGCCGCCGCGTCGTCTCATGATGCCAACGGCCGTGCTCCTCTCTCCCACCTGACGATCCTCCTGCTCAGCGCCGATGACGGACGCAGTACACTTGTCGATCTGACGAAGACGCTGACAGAAATGTCGCAGCGTAACAAGCTTGCGCCGTCTGATATTTCCATGGAGCTGATTGATGCCGAGATTACCGAGAGTGTTATGGGGGAGCCTGATCTACTGATCCTGTTTGGCCCGAGAGTCGAGCTCAAGGGATATCCGCCGTGGCAAGTCCGATTGACAGAGATCTAGTAAGTTTAACCCAAGACTTGCCTGTATCGCGCCAGCTAACAGCATTCAGCCATACTCCGGATACCTCGAGCGTCAGCTACCAGACCTTCCTACGCGGCTTGCACAAGTTTGCAAAGGCTCAGATGCGGTTTGGTAGGTAGATTCACGAGGAGAGCCGCTGAATGGCTGTCAATATTTGGTCCTTTCAAGCGAAAGCAGGCAATGCTGCATTCTTATTTCGATAGAAGCGTTCCCTGGCGTTGACGCTGGGTCATTTCTGCTCAAACATATGTCCTACAGCAGGTTTTCTTTTCAAGCATTGTATCTTCTAATAGATACCCTGAAGTCCTCTAAAGGAGGATTCAAATAGAGCGAGATACATTTCTCTTTTCAACCATCTTAGCTGTGAGAAAGCTTCGGCATTGCCGCTCAGCGTAGCATAATTCTTGTGTACAGCGATCAACATATACATTTACAGGGGTGTATGATGCGACTTTGAATCCCCAATGCCCAATAGCATCCCCATCACAATTCCGTCAGCTCCCATAACTCATCACCCAAATCACCATTCTCTTTTTTTTTTACAAAAAAAAAACAAAGAAAACCAACCATGTCCACTGCTGGCTGCTGAATCTCATTTTGGGAAGATGACAATCGTGTCTGGACCAAAGCTGCGTTGACTGCGTACAACATTACTAGTCCGAAAAGACCAACCCCTAAGTTACTCGCTTCGACTGTTTAATTGCAAGCAAATTTCGATTATGGGATAACGACCCACAGGATATGCCCACTCGTAGCCCTGACTCACCACTAAGCGAACATTGCGGCCATCCTTGAGCGAGAAGCACGACGAACTGGGAGAAGGGAAGTATTGAAGCAGCGCGGAAGCAAGCGGCTCGTTAAGAAGATCAATAGTCCCTTTTTACGATCTACTTTTCTCAAGCAGGCAAGGCAAGCTTGCCGGAAGGAGAATTGAAGCTGCAAGAGCGAACGACAGCGAACAAATGATAGTACTAAACAAAATAATAGATTCTATACTAAACTCACGTCTCTTCTCTCAAAACTGAAAAGTCTGACGTAATCTATCTCTCCCCCATCACCATCGTATTCCTTCAACCTTGTGAGAGAGATATCTGCATGTCCTTTCCCACCCTCTCGCCTCATCAACGCCCAGCGAAGAGTTACCGAAGTAAAGGCAAGAGAGAAACAACTACAAGAAACCAGCCGCAAATAAAATCAAAAGAGTCTCATGTCGGCGATATAGGTAGAGGATCCCCAACTAGACAATGGCAGAAGTCCCTGCTAGCCCTGACCACGTTCATGCATTCCCTCCCGCCCGTCAAGCGCATAACATCCATCAAAGTCCAATTCCACAATAAACACCCTTACCTGTCTATCACCGTATCGGCGGTTCGTGCACACCTCTACCAGTCGTCTTCATCATCGTCCTTCTTGTTCATTGCGGCTTGTCTCGCCCTCAAAGCCTCCGCCAATCCACCAGCCATGCTCGGCGCACCACCGCCTCCATTGCTTGCTCCGCTCTCAGCCGTTGAGTAACCGCTGTCCCTCGGGGCCGGCGGCGGCGCAGGTTTCCGGCCGGCCGGGCGTTTGGCCGGGGGAGCCGGAGGAGCCGGCTTCTTGGCAGCTGCGGCTGCGACACCGTTGGGAGGCGTGGGGACGGGGCGGGCAGTTGGTGGCGGCGGAGGAGGGGGAGTAGGTTTGGCGGCCTGGACGACCTCTTCGAGGTACGCAGAGGGTGCCCAGCCCTGGGCCGAACCATCGAGACGCTTGGCAAGCCACCAGCCTGTTAAAAACGATGTTAGTCCTTGTCTTATTCTCTTGAAGTAAAGTTTTTTGGGGTGGGATAGAAGCGCATACCGTTGTTCTCCTTCTGGAGGATGAGGATAACCTCGTCTTTCTTGACGCTAAGCTCGCCACTTGTTTGGCCACTGAAATCGTAGAGCGCCTTGAAGGTAGGTTCCCTTGGCGCTGCGGGCGGTCCAGGCGGAGGAGGCGGAGGCGGAGGAGCCCGCCCTGACGACGATGACGGGGTGCGCGAATGGCCATTTGACAACGCGGCAACTGGCTGTGGTACGGCTCTGGGCTGCTCTGCCGCAGCAGGAGCAGGTGTGGGCTTCGGACGGTTGGCCAGTTTCGAAGGGCCGCCGCCAGGGCCGCCAGGTCGCAGAAGCTTGCCCTTCGAGATTGGCTTCGCTGCGATCTGCTTACCCTTTGGTGTAGGCTTGGAAACAGAGTTGGGCGGCTCTCCTGCGCTGGTATGAATCGTTGAGCTCTTGTACAGGTCCTGTTGTGCCGGGACCTGCGGGTCCTTTTGAGTCTTGACAACAGCTATCTTGCCAGGCTTCTTATTGTATTCGACGGTTGGTCCGATCTTGAGCTCAAAGGTGCCGCGGGTGGCATTCGTAAGGTGGGTGAAGAATTCGGTCTTGAAAATGCAGTGGACAAGGGGGTCCGGCTCCTGTGGTGAAGCGGCTCCTATCGAGAACCAATCATCCTTGAGGTTCGAGCAGCTTATGAACTTGATAGCCCCCAGGGTGATTGTCCGTTCTGCAAGAATGGTGATTTGCTTGTTGACCATGGCCTGCTTGACGATGTAGACGTTCTTGTTCGTCAGAATCAGCGTACGGGGCTCAGCCTTACTCGAACGACCAAGCTTCGAGACAAGTACTTCCGCCCTGCATGAGAAGAGCACCGGTTCTCCCTTGATGTTGATGGAATCCGCCATGACCTCGCCGGGGCCTCCGTGATTAGCAATACCCAGGTAGTCTCCCATGAACCGACGGGAACCAGTCAAACTGTAACGTCTTCTCTCCTTCCTGCCGGCCAAGACTTGGTGGCCTTGGTCACGCCACTGAATGAACTCCTTGCCGCCGTTAAGCTTCCTCCAGAACCGCTGGATACGGATCGCACACTCGGTGCGGTATCGCAAGTAGTTGCGCCAAGCACGTTGGATCCTAATGGCCATGTTGTGCCAATACCTGTCTCTCATAGTCTCCAGAGCGAAAAGCGTCTCAGGAGTCTTGATGAACACCTTTGAAACACCCATTTGCCACTCTTCCGCAGGAATGCTAGTGTCCTTAAGGATCTGCTTGGCTCCCGTCTTGTAGTCACCAGTCCAGGTGTATTCTCCTGCGTACGAAGTCTTCGGTGACAGAAGGAAGAAGCGCTCGACGAACTTTTCGAATGTTTGACGAGAAGCAAAACCAGCACGGCGGATTCTGACGTTCTCCTGAAGACCGAGATACTTGATCTGATGCAGGACGTTGGCCTCGTTGAACTCGCTAGGCGACTTGTTCTCGTTCGGCTTGATGGTGCGGATGTACGACGGAGAGGCCTTCATGAGGGTTGCGACTAGGTCGTTCGCGGAAACCTTGATCTTATCACCAGCGGTCGGCGGACGGCGCTTGTTGTCCGTATCAACCTGGTGAGGGAACAGCGTGTGGACGAACTGGTTCGAGCTCTGGCCGACCAAGACAAGCAAGTCCTTGAGGAGCTGGTCCTTATTCTTGTCCGTCATTCCCTGGACCGCGTACTCGACGTCACCGGCGTAGTGCTTGATGATGAAGTTCCCTTGGCGTGCCGCGAAGTTGGGATGCGAAGAGAGACCGTTGAGACGCTGGACGAAGGTGTTGTCGGCGGCGGAGGGGTCGGCGTGGGCGGTCGCGCAGGCGTCGTTGAGGGTAGCGAAGACACCGGCGGGCCTCTTCTCTTCGATCAGTTCGCAGACGACCTTGTTATCGAAATACTTGATGGGGGTCCATTTGATCTGTTCTCTTTCATATTCTTCTTGCTCAGTCTTCAAGGTCAGCTGGATGAAGATCTGTTGCAGCTTCTCATTGACATAGTTAATGCACAGTTGCTCAAAGCTGTTGCGCTCGAAGATCTCGAAGCCGTAGATATCCAAGATACCTATCGAGTGGGCCTGTTCTCCACGAGCCTTCAGGGACATGTTGATTCTCATGACGATCCAATCGAACATGTTAAAGTAGATGGCCTTCGCCAGAGCGTCTCGGACAGACGCTGCTTGTGCACGGTTCAATGGAACATCGTAAACAGAGCCTCTCCGGCCGCCGCGGCTGGTCTCCATGACTCTCTGGGTGAGAGCCTTGTTGACGTGCGCCGAATCCACCTCCAATAGATAGGCAACGAAATCAACGACGGACTGGTCTGATATGGCTGCATTCCCCTCATCGTTTTCTACGAATGTTACGTTGCCCAGCCACAGAATGGTCGAGAGCATGCGGAAAACGTTGTCCTGCTCCTCTTGTGACATGCCGATAATCTTCATGGCGTTGAGGGTGTCGTTGAATTCGGCGAGATCGTCTATGCCGTCCACATCATAACATTGCGATTTGCTTGTGTAGACGTAGGACTGCGGCTGCTGTATGCCAAACGACTCCCTGTAGCTCTGCGAAGCGCCCTTGGCGAATTGGTAGAAGATGTGGAAGTTTCTCTCGTTCTTGATCTGGCCGACAACTCGCGACTTCTCGAGAAGGTAGTTGTTGATGTTTGCTCCGACGGGCTCTCCTTGCGAATTGAACTGGATTTCGAGATACTTTCCGAATCTCGACGAGTTGTTGTTGCGCAACGTCTTTGCGTTTCCGAAGGACTCGAGCAGCGGGTTCGTTGCTAGCACCATGTCCTTGATCTCCTGAATGGAACTGTTGCTGCCGCCCGACACGTTGGCAATGTACTGCATAAGCCGCTTCGCTGCCTCGGTCTTGCCGGCTCCTGATTCGCCGGAAATGATGACACACTGGTTCTCCTTGTAGGCGTTCATGTTGTAGTATGCGGACTCGGCGATGGCGAAGACGTGCGGCGGCATCTGTACAGCGTAGCATCAGTACCTCAGCAGCGCAGGCACATTCCCTGGTACTCTCACCTCTAGCCTGTTCTTTCCCTTGTAGCCGTCCAGCACCTGATCCGTGTATATGCCCAGGTCGCGGAATGGGTTGACCGAGACCAGCACGTGGCCGATGTAGGTGTAAATCTCGCCATTCTCAAAGCGCTTCTTCAGGTTGTCGTTGATGGCCTCGTTGGAGATCTTGCTGATCAGCGTCAGGTCGGACACGCCGACTTCCTTCTTCTTGGTCGTCTCGAAGACGGCCTTCTTGGAGAATCCCTTTCCGCCGCCGCCGCCAGCAGCGGCCTGCTTGGAGCCGCCCTGGTCCTTCTTGCGCCCTGCGCGCTTGGTAACGGCCTGGGGGTGGACAGTCTGGTTAGTCAAGTTGCTTGAGCTCCTGGGGCGTGGGGTTGTCGGCAGCTCACCATGGTGGGTCCGGTGTGCGCCCTGAAGGCAGTCAGGAACAGCTGCACCCCACGAGTCGGGGGCGGGTATGACGATTCGGGGCGGCTGTCGCGTGTTCAGAGAAGCAGCCTGGGTCGAGTCGACAGGCGCAAGCTGCGAGAGAGGGTCGCGAAGGGAGAGAGGGTTTGCGCGCAATGGTGATCGCAATGGAGCGCGGTATGTTACGGGAGGGCGAAATGAGAGGCCTGGCGTCACTTACTGGGCAGCGTCACGCCCCGGGCTTCGCTGCGTAAGAGGGGGCCTCGAGCTCTTGGCCGTGTGGCGCCCAGTGGCGGTGCCTGCGCCCCGACGCGCAATCCGCCCGCTGCCAGCTGGCCGCTCCCGCACATCCCGCTGCGCCGTTGCTCTAGACCGAGTTGATTGCTGCCTGCCTGTTCATTATTTGCCAGTACTGTACGAAATCCAACGCTGCCTAAGGTATCCCAACAGAACAAGTACGAGAAAGAAAAAGCGTGCGCTGCTCGTCCAACGCCCAGCCATGCCGCCAATGCTGCCCAAGCGTCATCAGGTAATCCTAAAGAACTCCGCCCGAACACCCAACCCGAAATAAGTGCTGCCTACGCTGAGCCCCGAGGAGCATCCCCTCCATAGCGTCCCACCGTCACCCATTCCTGCTTCTTCTCATCCTCCACCAGCGGTCCCTCCCATCGGAGCCGCGCCGTTTCCCGCGTTGAACAGCCCAGCCCGCCGCCCGCGACCCAGCCGTCAATGACCGTCATGATGAATTGCAGTTTCTCCTTGAGGTAGTTCGCCTCTGCGAGCGTCTTGATCGGCGCACCCTTTTCTCCTGTAGCATTGAGTAGGGTGCGCAGAGAGGTCGTCAGAGTGTTGCGCGTTTTGATGTACCTGTAAGGCACCTCGCCGTACTGCTCCAAGTACTGTGCTGCCTCCAACGACAGACACGTAAAGTTACAGAAGCAGCCGTCTGACGAGAGCACAAGCTTCGTGTGGTCGGGGAAATTGAACTGCAACTTCCGTGAGTGATTATTCTCACCGCAATGATCTGCTTAACTTCGCTTACCTGGAACGAGCCATCGCCGAATCCCCAGATTCCCACGCTCCCGAATCGTTGATAGAACCGGACAAACACAGCAACCTCGTCGTCTTCTTCCTGCACCGAGTCGCCTTGGGCGGGGCCTTGCTGGCACATGTACTTGCCGAACTTGGCCCATAGAATGCCAGTGGTACGTCTCCTCTCCTTTGCAAGCTCCGTGTTACGCAATCCCTTCTCGCCGCAGTCGGTGTAGTACTCAAGTGGCACTTTATCGACTGAGCTTGGTTCTTTTCCAAGCGACTGCAGGTGCCTGTAGCCATCTCGGACCACTACATGCGTCACTGGATCGCGCGCCGTGGCTCCTAGGATGCATCCAATATTACCGTTTTCAAGAACGTATCCGACGCCATGCTTCCTGGAGTAGTCCACCCATTTCGATACGAATGGGAGCGAATACGAACTGGCTGGCTTCCGCGTTGCGTAGGGCCGGTTGGCCAAAGCTCGGGCAATGTTGTCGCGGAAAGTCGAGACTCGCGCAAGTACCGACTCGGGATCAGAGTGAGGGACCACAGAGGGATCGGAGGGCGTGGACGGGCGCGAAGCCGGTTCCAGTGAGTCTACCCTCTCAGGTTGTCTTCTCTTGACCGGCGCCGGAACCTTAGGGATAGGCTCAACCTCGCCTAGTTCCTCTAAGGAAGAGTCCGCCGGCATTTCTCTGGTGGATTTAGCCGCTGGCGCAGTGTGAATCTCTCTTGATGGCCTTGGTGGTCTCTGCGCACTAACTGTGCGAATTGTTGCCTGTACGCTTCTAGTGCGCTTCGGTCTCTCAAGCTTCTCGCCTGTCTGAAGGGGCTGTGGCGCGACATTCTCCTTGTGAGAAAGCGACCTGCCTCCTCTCGTGGGTGGTTTCATAAGTGCAGATTGGGCACGGTCGTTTCCGGTAATCTCAGCCAAATAACCCCCTTCCTGAGACGATTCTTTTTCCTCCACAATTTCACTCAGACCGCAGGGGTTGACGTCCGGCCAGTCATTGCGATCTGGGTATGGCACATAGACACTGTCGGACGGGATAGGAACGACCGGCTGGCGCCCAAGGGCGAGTTCCTTTTCGCAGTCCTTCACGACAGACCTTATCTTCCTGCCTCCAATGATGGAGAAGACTTTCCCCTCCGCAACCTCACCGACGCCCGACTCCTTACACAGCTTGAACCACTCGTCAGAGTAGCCGCGGGCACGTGCCGACGGAGGAAGCGATCTTGTGGGCCATTTGGGAGCACCTGCCTTGTATTTAACATCCAGCCTTGCAGGAATATATCCAAGCTTGAAGAAGTCGTGGCTGACAATCTGGTCCGGACTTGGCCTGTCATCCTCGTGTACCAGAAGCGATCCCACGAGATCCTTTAGCTCGAGGCAAATGTCGTTGGTCGTCTTTCCAGCATCCGGCCAGCTGTAGTCGCGCGTCTGGAGCTTCTTGTAGATGTCTTCCCTCTTTGGCGCATGGAACGGCGCCTTGCCAACAGCCAGAGTATATGCGATGATTCCGATGGCCCAGAGATCGACCTTCTCGTTGTGGCCCTTACCACCCTTCTCGAGAATCTCCGGCGCGAGGTAATTCGGCGTTCCGCACATGGTAGTTCTTCGCGCTCCAAGGTCGTTTTGTGAGATCAACACAGCGGCGAGACCGAAATCTCCCACTTTGACATTCATGTCCTTATCAAGGAAAAGATTGCCGGTCTTCAGATCTCTGTGGATAATATTTCTGTGGTGGAGGTATTTGACAGCGCCGCAGGTCTGGATTAGGAAACGGCGAATCTCAGGCATGGTAAAATGCCTCCGCTTCTTGAGGATATCTGCTAGGGAACCGTTGTCGCAGATTTCAAGAACAACGTATGTGCTGCTTTCGAAGGAGAAAGCACGGTAGAAATCGACAATGTTTGGATGGTGGAGCTTGGAGTGTATTTGCAGCTCCGTGACAAACTATGCTGAACGTCAGCACAACGCGCGCAGGTACGCCAAAGTCCGCTAACCTTCTGCGCAAGCTTTGGGGGTTCCATTTTCGACCTGACGATCTTCAAGGCGACCATCCGTCCGGTCGCCTTGCCGTTGTCGAGAAGGGCGGCGCGATGGCAGATGGCGAAGCCACCCTTCCCGAGTTGTTCTCCCGTCTCATATTCAAACCTGCGTGGTTCCCGCACCAGCGATGGAGGCGGGTCGGCGTGGACAGACATTTCGCAGTGGTGGTTGGAGTGCTTCTTGGAGATTGGGCAGAAGCGGTCTGAGAAATCGGGGTTTGTGTTTACAGTCCCGCGTGCCCTAGCAACCAGCGGGGCCCCTGCTTCGACTGCCAGCCACCAGCGAAATGCGTCCCCACTAGGCCCGAACAGCCAGGCGCTACCAAGCTTCCCGCCGAGCGCCGACATGACGCACCTCTCAGCTCCTGCATTGCCCGCAAACCGTGTCCATCCCGAAGACTAAAGGAGAGCCCATCGCATTGGGAATCGACATCCACAGATTTCCACCCGCACTCAATTTAGATGGCTTGAAATCCCCGCGCGCTCTCTCTACACGCTTCCTGCTAGCTCCGCACATCCGTTATAGGCAGCAGCAACCATGTCCCTTACTCTGAAGATCGGGTCTCTCTTCATCCGTACGCTCGCCAAGCCGATTGCCGTGAGTCTACCCAGTTAGAGCTTCCGGGACATAAGCTGATTGCGCCCAGAATGGCATAAAACGCGGCGCCCGCAACCATGAGGGCTTCCGACGAACCTGCGTCGCATTCGCACAATCGCTACACCGTCTCGACGTCCGATGGCGCGTGGGACTGCTACAAGACCCAGCAGTCATAGAACGCCAAATTCAAAGGGAGCTGAAAGAAGCGGAGGCGAAGCGACGCGCATCGCAAGTTCCTACAGTCAAGACCGAGGCACAGACAAAAGCCGACGACCAGGCGCTGCAGAAAGAGAAGGAGGAAATTACGGAGAAGCACAAGCACAAGTCGCCCAGAGTCAGGCCCCTGGCCGAGAACAAGGCCATTGACATGGGCGCCAATTTTATTTCAGAGGCATTCATGTTTCTCGTTGCCGGCAGCATTATCGTATGGGAGCAGTGGAGGTCGAGAAAGAAGGCCAGTGACCGTCGGGACGTCGTGGATGATAGGCTGGACGAGCTTGCGGAGAAGAATTCGCAGCTTATGGAGGAGATCCGATTGCTCAAGGCCCGCGTTGCCCCGGAAGAGGTCGCCCGGGAAGAAGCAAAGAAAGATACGGAACACCGTGCCTTGGGCGCATCAGCGGCTCGTGCTGCCCCGTCGGAACCATCAGCAAAAGAAGTGACACCGCCAGATGCGGAAACTCCCAGCGCCTTGAAAGCTGCAACCTCACAAGCCCGAGAAGCCTAGATTCCGCTTTTAGGAATCACTTCGGTACGAACATATTGTATAGTTCCGTCGTATGTTCACATTCTCTACTCATGACCACTTGTAGATACCCGAATCTCCTATAGTATAGAATCTTCAGTCGAGCTGCCAGGGGAAAAAAAAAATAGAGGGACCAAGGCGTTTACAATCAAGGAAATCTAGATTTTTATTCTGTGCAAAGAGTGATCATTTCGTGTTCATTATCAGCTAACTACACAATTCTCGGTTACTGCTACTGCGCGCTTGCGACTTGCTTTTGATGTTCCTGCTGAAACGGGCAAGATCGATCATCGGGTAGCGCCTTCCCTCTAAACTTTACAGCTCACTTATACCCAAGATCCCAACAAATGAACAAGGACCCTATCGGGCCCATCGAGATAGGCGGCTAATGCTTCGTGATGTTTTGTACAACTCTTCGCCGCCGCAAGTCCTTCTCAACAGCCATCCCAGCCCTTACCGCAAATCCAGGTCTGAATCTACGAGGTGAGCGATTCATTGACCCTAAAATCGAAAACCTCACTAAGAATCCTTTTCATCAGAGGACCGTCTTGATACCCATGACCTCGCCATCCCTCTCCCCCGCCAAGGCAGCGCAGACACCACACGCACGCTGCGCATCCTCCTCCTCTCGCCGACCTGCACCGCACCATGCGCGCTCCCCACCACTCTTGCGCGCATCCAGTATTTTGTAGTGCTTAATGGTGGCATTGACTCCATAATCATCTTCCTACTCAACTCAGACACCCCCACCACGCACATGAATACAAGCCAACCCGACAGTCACCAGCAACAACAACAACAACAATCCACTAGCGGCCTACACGCCTACACGCATCTCAGTGCCACCCTACTCACAGACCCCTCCCTCTCAAGTATCCCGCTCCTCCCGCTCACATCCACCTCTGCCCTCTCGCCGCTGCTCAAAACGTACATCCGAACCAATTCCGCGGGGCGCGCCGCGCGGCAGGTGCAGGAGCGACGACAACCCGACGACGCATTCAACACGGCATTCGATCTATTGCCACAGTGCACGGCGGCAGGAGCGGCTGTGGCACCGCTGAGCAGGGACGCACTGTTCCGGCTGACCGATCTGTTCGGGTCGTTGCATGAGTTGTCGGATGTGGCTGTCAGGCACGAGCAGGGTGACGAGAGGGTGAGCGAAAAGGTAAAGAGGATGATGGGGTTGTTGGGAGAGCAGACGACAAGCGATGTGCTGGAATTCTGGGTTGATGAGTGGGTGGCTGATTAAGTGAGGAAACGTTGTGGACATTATGGGGGATTGAAGGTGCATAGGTGAAGACCTCGCTACAAGCTGTTCACTACCCGTTCGCTTCTAGGGTTCAAGTACGCTTTATTTATGTTAAGGGAGTAACTTTGCAGGGAGATATGTGCCGGTACTAGAAGACTTGTTAAGCAAGAGCTATTCGAGCAGGACTGCGAGGGTGTCTTAGAACAAACTGGACACTGTCAGAAATATCATAAGCCGCAATCTTGAATGTATGCGAGCCTGTATTGCCTTGGTGTACTCTTGCTTAGAGCCCAAGGAATATGCATGTCAAAGCGGAAGGGAAACGAGATTTCTCTCTTTGGGCACTTTAGCGCTTTTGATCACGACCGCACCAACACATTTCCGGCTTCTGGCACGCATCGTGCGATCGCAGCCTTGAGTGCAGTCCATCAGCGGCGCCGAGGGTACTATCAATTTGATCCCTCGTTGCTTCGGAATAGTAATCACGTTGTGCCGCCTGTTCGGATGGTCGAAAAGGGTAAAAGACAACGGCTGCAGCTCGAGCCTCTTGAAATAGGCTCAGCCACTCACCACCTGCGAAATGTTGCTGCCTGAACGCGATTACTGATCGTAACGACAAGGGAAAAGGCTGAGGAAAATGGCGCCATTTCTCTTGACATCAAAGACGAGAACCTGCTTTGTTAGTGGGTCGCAATTACGGGGCAACGCGTTCGGCGGTGGCTGAGTTATCGAGCGGGCTTGCAAGCAATATCGACAGTAGAAGATTACATTCGAGCGGTCACTGTCAAGGAAATCGATTGTCCGCAGGAGGCTCAAACGCCTTCTGATGCGTTGTTGCGTTGCATTGCACTGGTGGAGTATGTACTCTATTCCACCTGCGGCCAAAGACAGGGATGCCTATCTAAGGCATACATCCATTCGTCTACCAGAAGCTGGTATATCTCATCCATAAAGTCGTGCTTCTCTAGCAAAGGGGGAATTAAACAAAGAGATAAGAATGCGGGCGCTAGATTGCAGCCGCGGAAATATTGCGTGAAAATTTGGCTTTTACAACGTCTCGATGACGATGGCAGAGGCGCCGCCACCGCCGTTGCAGATGCCAGCAGCGCCGATCTTACCGCCCTTCTGGCGGAGGACGCCGATCAGAGTGGCGACGATACGGGCACCGGAGCAGCCAAGCGGGTGGCCGAGGGCGACAGCACCACCGTGGAGGTTGACCTTGTCCTCGGAGATGCCACACAGCTTCATGTTGGCCAGAGAGACAACGGAGAAGGCCTCGTTGATCTCGAAAGCATCAACAGCGCTAATCTCGAGACCGGCGTGCTTGAGAGCCTTAGGCATGGCGAGGGAAGGAGCAGTGGTGAACTCAGAAGGATTGTGAGCAGCGTCGCCCCAGCCCCTGATCTTAGCAATCGGCTTCAGGCCGTGCTTCTTGACAGCCTCCTCAGAGGCGAGGACGACGGCAGCAGCGCCGTCAGACAGCGGGGAAGCGTTGGCAGCAGTAACAGTACCAGTGCCGGGGATGAAGACGGGCTTCAGAGACTTGGTCTTGGCCTCGTTGAAGTTCTTGGGCTCATCGTCCTTGTCGACGAGAACGTTAGGCTTGCCTCTGCCGCCGCTGACCTCAATGGGAGCAATCTCCTCGGTGAACCAGCCATTCGCCTGGGCAGCCTGAGCCTTCTTGTAGGAGCGGATGCAGTAGTCGTCCTGGTCCTCGCGGGAGAAGCCGTACTTGGCGGCACACTGCTCAGCCTGGACACCCATGTGCTCCGTCTTGTAAACATCGGTAAGACCGTCCTTCAGGACACCGTCGACAAGCTTCTGGTCGCCGAACTTGGCGCCGGTGCGCAGGTTGGGGAGGTAGTGGGGGACGTTGGACATGGACTCAGTGCCACCAGCCACAACAATCTCGGCGTTGTTGGTCATGATGGTCTGGGCACCGAGGATGATAGCCTTCAAAGCAGAGGCGCACACCTTGTTGACGGTAGTAGCAACGGTAGCCTCAGGAAGGCCGGCGCCGAGGGCACACTGGCGGGCAGGGTTCTGGCCCAGGCTGCCGACTGTCAGCGCAAAGCGGAGGGCAGGCGTTGTTCAACGACTTACCCGGCGGAGAGGACATTGCCAAAGAAGACCTCCTGGACGTCCTCGGGCTTGACGCCGGCGCGCTCAATGGAGGCTGTTGAAGGCGTAAGATTAAGGACGCAATTGGCGTGGGAAATGCAGACACGTACCCTTGATGGCGTGGGAACCAAGCTGAACGGCGCTCAGGCTGCCCAGAGAGCTGGTGGAGAGTCAGCGACGGGAGGGTAGTAATTAGCGGGGACGCCAACATACCCTTGGAACATGCCCAGCGGGGTGCGGGCGCTGGACACGATGTAGACAGTCGGGAGGCTAGACATTGTGAAGGCTGGACTTGTTCGAGAGGAATGAGAGCTTGGAGGATGCGCGAGGAGTGAGGAAGAAGAAGCAAGAGGGCTGGCGGTCAGAGAAAATAATGGCACGAGGGGTGTCTCCGGCGCCGGAGCTTGGGCCTGAGCACCAACAATCGCAAGCACAAGCATCGGAGCGGACCCCTCGCCCCCATCCGCATCTAGCGCCACCCACAAGCCACGCACGGCCACTCCGTCGCGCCAAGATTGCGCGCGCAAGTCGCCCAGCTCGCGAAACTCTTCCGTCACGGCAAAAGCTCACAGCTGCTGAGCGCTCACTGCATCCCCGCCACCTCCACCCCGCACCTTGAGCTCCCTGTCGCCCACCATGGATGACCTATACGACGAGTATGCGATCGCGTTTCCGGGCAAATTTTCTGGCCCATTGCTGACGACGCTGCAGGTTTGGCAACTTTATCGGAGAGGCCGAGTCCGAGGAGGAATCCGACCATGGCGTGGCGGCGGCGGACGCCTACGTCTACGATGACGAGCCCGAAGACGATGAGCCCGTCAATGACCAGCAGCTCATGGAGGTCGACGATGAGGGCCCGTCCAACGCCGTGATTCTGCACGAAGATAAGCAGTACTATCCGACCGCCCAACAAGTCTACGGCCCCGATGTCGAAACACTGGTACAAGAAGAGGATGCGCAGCCCTTGACCCAGCCTATCATCGAGCCCGTGGTGCAGAAGAAGTTCAATGTCGAGGAAGCCGATCTCCCGCCCGTGCGCTTTGCCCGCGACTTCATGACCGATCTGATGAACTACCCGGACCAAGTACGGAATGTAGCTTTGGCGGGACATCTGCACCACGGAAAGACTGCGTTCATGGATATGTTGGTGCTGGAGACGCATGATATCCAGGAAAGGCTGGAAAAGCGGGTAGGCCGCAGACGCGACGAGCAACTGCGCTACACGGATACGCACCTGCTGGAGCGGGAACGTGGAGTCTCGATCAAGGCAGGCCCCATGAGCTTGGTGCTGCAGAGCTCCAAGGGAAAGTCGCATCTGGTCAATGTTTTGGATACTCCTGGCCATGTCAACTTTGTGGATGAGGTTGCCGCATCGCTGAGGCTGGCAGACGGTGTGGTGCTGGTTGTGGACGTGGTTGAGGGTGTGCAGGTGAACACCGAGCAAATAATCAAACATGCTGTTCTGGAAGGAATGGCCATTACGCTGGTCATCAACAAGATGGACCGCTTGATTCTGGAGCTGAAGCTGCCCCCGGCAGATGCTTACTTCAAGCTCAAGCACGTCGTCGAGGAGGTCAACACCGTCATCGAAAACACCATTCCCGGACAAGGCGCAAAGTACCGATTGAGTCCTGAAAGGGGCAACGTAGCCTTCGCATGCAGCACCATGGGATGGTGTTTTACCCTTGGATCCTTTACGAAGATGTACGCCGACAGCTACCCCGGCTCTGGAATTAACGCAGATGATTTCGCCAAGCGTCTGTGGGGTGACATTTTCTTCAACCCAAGAAGTCGCAAGTTCACCAGGAAGGCCGTGGAAGAGGGCGCGAGGAGGTCGTTCGTTCACTGGGTCCTGGAGCCTATCTACAAACTTTACTCCCACACAATTAGCGAGAGCCCCGAGGATCTGAAGGAAACGCTGGCTTCGCTTGGGATCCAGTTGAAGCCTTCTCAGTACAAAACTGATGCTAAACAGCTCCTCAAGCTCGCCTGTGAGCAGTTCTTTGGTCCAGCCACCGGTTTCGTGGATATGATTGTTCAGCACGTTCCGTCGCCCATCGAAGGAGCCAACAGGTATCTGGAGCGGTACTATACCGGCCCTACGGACACACAAACAGCGGACGCCATGAAGAAGTGCGATCAAGATGGCCCTCTCATCGTCCACGTCACCAAACTTTTCAACACCACTGACGCAAGAAGTTTTCATTCATTTGGACGCGTTCTCAGCGGTATTGCGAAGCCGGGCGACCAGGTCCGCGTTCTTGGAGAAGGGTACACTATCGAAGACGAGGAAGACATGGTGACGGCGACTATCAGTGACACCTGGATTGCTGAGTCGAGATACAATGCCCCCGTCAGCGGGGTGCCCGCAGGAAACTGGGTATTGCTCGGTGGTGTGGACAACTCGATCGTGAAAACGGCAACCATTGTTCCACCCAAACTCCCAGAAGACGAGGACGCATACATCTTCCGTCCGGTCAAGCACTTTTTCGAGTCTGTTCTGAAGGTGGCCGTGGAACCAATCAATCCCTCAGAACTCCCGAAGATGCTCGAAGGCTTGCGGAAGATCAACAAGAGCTACCCGTTGATCACAACCAAGGTGGAGGAATCAGGGGAGCATGTGATTCTCGGAACCGGAGAGCTCTACATGGACTGTGTTCTCCACGACCTTCGGCGTTTGTACGCGGAAATGGAGATCAAGGTCTCTGACCCTGTGACTCGTTTCTGCGAGACCGTCGTGGAGACTTCGGCCATCAAATGCTATGCCCTCACGCCTAACAAGAAGAACAAGCTTACCATGGTTGCAGAGCCTCTGGACCAAGGCATCGCAGAAGACATTGAGGCAGGAAAAGTCAACATCAAGGACCCAGTGCGCGTTGTCGGCAAGTTCTTTGAAGAGAACTACGGTTACGATTTGCTTGCCTCTCGCAACATTTGGGCATTTGGTCCGGAAGACCAAGGACCCAACATCCTTCAAAATGACACTCTCCCCTCAGAGGTAGACCAGAAGATGCTAAGGAGTGTGCGCGATACCATTCGCCAAGGATTCAGCTGGGCGAGCCGTGAAGGTCCGCTTTGTGAAGAGCCCATCCGCAACACCAAATTCCGCCTTACGGATGTCAGTCTAGATTCTCAACCAATCTTCCGTGGTGGTGGTCAAATCATTCCGACGGCAAGGCGGGCGTGCTACTCCAGCTTCCTGATGGCGAGCCCAAGGTTGATGGAGCCTGTATACTCTTGCTCAATGATTGGACCCGCCGACGCTGTTAGCAGCTTGTACACTGTACTCGCACGGAGAAGAGGTCACGTCCTCCAGGATGGTCCTATTGCCGGCACGCCGCTTTACTCGGTGAAGGGTCTGATTCCCGTCATCGATTCCTTCGGTTTCGAGACCGATCTTAGAGTGAGTTTCGCCGACCAATCACAGGTCGCTGCTAGATGGGGTTTCAAGTCAACTAACGTTTTCGCCTATAGATCCACACCCAAGGTCAAGCAACCGTGTCGCTTGTCTTTGACCGCTGGTCCATTGTGCCGGGTGACCCGCTTGATAAGGACATCAAGCTGCGCCCGCTCGAACCGGCATCTGCGCAAGCAACGGCACGCGACTTCGTGCTCAAGACTCGCCGCCGCAAGGGTCTATCGGAAGACGTCACCATCTCGAAGTTCCTCGAGCCGGAGCTGTTCCGCAACTTGAAAGAAAGCGGTATCTTGGACGGCTGAGCGCGACCATATTGAGGGCTCAGAGTCATGCTCCTTGTCTTGAAACGCGGTGAAGACGTGGTGGGGCAGAGTGAAGGAACAGGGAAAAAATGTTGGCCGCGGGTAGCCGCATAGCTACTGCGCATCGGCTACCGCTGAGACAAACGTGAAGCGGGGAAGTTCTGGGCAAGTAGGGAGGACGCGGCACTATATCATTGGAGACCCAAGGGATGAGATTTGATTGGCGCCTTGGTAATCACTCGACATGTCCAGAAAACAAAAAGAGTGCGGGTCTGCAACAAACGGCGTTCTTGGCGCATGCAAACGTGGGCGCGTAGACACCGGATGCTTTTTTTTTCCTTCGCTCGGCGCCGGAAACCTCCTTTGGCAGGAAGAGTTGGACGGGCCGAAATATTGAGCATGTGGTTAACAACGGACCGGTCAGCTGCAGGGCCAGCGCAGCAGCGTAGTATGCACAGCAGAAACCATACAGATGCGCGAAAATTGAATTGGTCATTTCCTGCCGTGAGATCCCTCTCGATGGTTCTTTGGTTTGAAAGGAAGGCTCTAAGATGACGAGCTCGTAGTATCAAGGCGCTATCAGCCGCGTCTGTTGCACAACATCGCACTCTATGCAACACGATCAAATTGACTTAGTAGAGTAAGCATACAGCTCCGCTATGATGCAACGCACGAGATTGTCCTTGTTCGTGTATGTACACCAGAATTTTGCAGTAAGAGAGATTTCCACATTTTTTTCTCTTCTTTCCCCCCTCCCCGCACGTTGCGAGGGACGGATTCGCGCAAGCACATGTGGGTGGCAGATTAGGCATTAGCTCGCATCTATTAGTCCATTCACATGCATACTGCAGCGATTTGGCCCGGAAACGGAAGAAAATCCTGGCACAATATCTCTCCAAGACCAAAGCTCGAAGATGGATGTGCGTGAAGTTGCAAGTGAATGGCAGCAAGCCGGTACCACCACTGCCGCTATCGCTCAACACGGAAAAGAATGGCCGCCACAGGCAGCCGCCAACATCATCTGTTAGGTATTGTCTTTACTTCAAGTATTATTAAATTGCGATAATGCAAACATCATGCAGTAAAGACAAGGAAACAGAGGCCGCAACCATCTCGGCTTTTACTGCGAAGGGTAGGCTAGGATAACTTTCGTCTGCCCTGTCCGACATCAAGATGAGTTATAGTAGTTTTAGCATTCCTGCGATTGTATAGTCGCACAAGAAGTGCAGTTTGAGTACTCATGTGACTCGATAAAACTAGGGTAATGCTTTGAGGGAAAGCACTGTACACTACCCTGCATCGGGAATCCTTCCTACCTCAGAGTCCACATGCATACGCTCGCAACCTCTGACTCCCCCCAAAAGCACAAACAAAGCCCCAAAAAATCTTGACTACGAAGGAACCTCCGACAACGGCAGTGAACGGGCAGAAAGAGCCGTGAGCACCGGGTAGTAAAGATATGGGAGGACTTATCGCCGAGCGATCGTTGTCGGAGATCCGACCGACCGGCCGGTCGATTACACAGCTGGTTGCACTCGTCATGATGTGTTAGTTCCTGCAGGAAAGTTTTGTAGTGGCTTGCAGTCGCGTGCAGCGTGCAGCGGCTGGCCGGCTGACGAGCTTTTCACCGCATGCCCTGCAGGCTGCATCTAGCCGACCACAAATTGATCAAAATACGTCGTGGGAGCTGGACTGAGAGACTGATTGCTTCTGCATAAATGGTCACATGTCCTAACCGCGCACGGAATGGGCCGTCCTCCTCACAGCCAGTAGTCAGAGGACGAGCCTGCCCAGCAGCCGCCCACATACACCTACCCGCGTCACCGAATCGGGCCGGTGGTAGGTAACCGGCAGCGGTGCGATGACTGGTCCGTCGCCTCCTCCTTCTCTTCCCCGATCCCTGTCCCGCTGGCTGCTACCGTGTTCCCCTCTAAGCTACGCTTTGACTCTAACTTGGAAGCTAGCCGTACAAAGCGAAAGATTCCTAGAGCTATTAAGCGCCGTGATCTTGGCAGACCCATGTCCATTCCAGAACGCGGCGATTGCAGGCGTAGATGCCGGATAGAAAAGCGTGTCTACCAGACTTTGTGGTGGCTGTACAAGAAAAGAAAAAAAATTAAACAGCAAAGAAACGGGACGCGAACCAGATTAAGCAATGGCACGTAATAAACATGGGGGTGAGTAGTTGTAGGTAGCACGCTGATCGACGTTGGCGAAGTTTACCGGGAGATCCTTCAGCACCACGACCTTCGCACTGGCAGGCTCAACTTTCATTCTCATCTCCACGAAATCTGCGCATAAGATCTAGATTTGTCTGTTGGAGACGAATGGAGTCCTTAGTGAGACGTGATAGGACGCAGACGGGCGTTGATTGGGTGCAGTCTTTCATTAATGGTGGGGTAGTTTGCATAAGGCTGCCAGGTACCCATTCCCCGGACGTCCGCTAGCGTTTTGGACAGCTTCTGGAACGCCATTCGTTGTAAACCCAGATTGTAAAGTCTTCATGCGGATCACCTAGCCGATGTACTTGAAACAAAACGTCTTGCAGGTTAGTTGTGCCACTTATATGTCTTGGACAACCCTGGAATGCCAGAGTCGGCCGAAAGCTCTGGATTGGGGAGTGCAACCCTTGCGCAGCAGTCCCAATCATTCTCCAAGCAAGACTTCAAAGCGGCTTAGACGTTCAATTATGCCGCAGGAGGAGCACCGAACCCAGGCTTTTGAGAAGATACTGGTTCAGGCTATAGCCACTTGCGGCAAGGCATTGGGGGATCTTTTCTTTGTAGGCATCCTAGAGAGTTAAGCGGAACCTCCGACGATAATGGTCTTTGCGTTACGAGCAGGAAAGACTGCCTATTGGGTAGGTTCGCTCTGGCCCTTCGCCTCGACCAGCCGAAGGGGCGAAAGTCATGGCCGCATAAACAACCCCTCTCTTGCATCCCTTGTTCAGGCGACCAGATATGCACATCGCCACGAGGCATTGCACCTGAAAGTTGGCCTCACTGCCCCGCCGAACACGAGTAGAGAGGAGTAAATTTAGCAGACAGAGCGGCGAGGTGGGGAGATATTTTGGCCATGTACTTTTCGTGGCGTTGGCTGCGTAAGCCTTCGTAAGAGCTTTTTTGGCGTGCCTGGCGTGGCATAGCTCCACTACGGCTGGTGTGCTGATTCAAGTCTGCGCGTCACCCTCGGAGACATGCAGTGCCACCGCTCAGCCTCAGGACATGTGAAGAAGTTGGTCGGATTGCCGGTGCACTACCTGTTGGTCGCTTAGTAGCAGTGCCGCATTTCCTGAGTCGTCGAGCAAGCCGTGATGATGTGCATGTAGACGCTAAATGATGCTAGAAATAGTGGAAGGGTAGCGAACGTTCGGCGCACGGCCTGACGGGTGGCGCAAGGCAAGGGTCAGAGCCGTTGCTGTCAACCACCGGCTCCGGCCGGGCATTTGTTGTGTGGTAGGTTGGTATGTTAGCTCCGGGAAACATGGCGAGGGCCAAGGAGTTTGAAGCGACGCATGATAGATCAAGTAGCAGCGCAGAGCACGCTAAAGGCGCGAGGGCCCGAGTCTCACATGCTGGCTTCTCGGGCGCATCACCGCTGCCTTGCCTTGCAGGCGTCGGAGATCAGCTCTGCGCAGTTTCGCGTCGAGCGTGCGTGGAGCAGGCGCGCTGCGGTGTGCAGACAAAGCCCAACACGCAGAGAAAATCGAAGGCGAGTTGGTATTGATTGGTCGTGGGTGGCGGGCGGCGCGGCTGAAACGCAGCTTGGCGGGCGACGCGGACGAATCGCGTGGCCAGCAGCGCGCTTCCCCAGCGCGTCCCCGTCGCGGCCGCCAGGCCACCGTCGTCGCTGCGTCGGCGTTTCACGACACCTGGTCGATCGAAGCCACATGTGGCAGGCCATTGAGCTGTTCCTGCAGCTCCCGCCCTCGCCACTGGCCAGCTCCGCCGCCCTTAATCCTGCCTCCTCGTGCAGCGCCGCGTTTCACGCCTCCGACTCTCCAGATGCCCGCCGTGTGTTTCCATGGTTGCGACATGGGCTAGCGGAGACCCACCCTGCGTGTTCACTGGCGTTTTCCGCCCGCACGCCCAATGGCATTCACGGCGGCCCCTGGACGGCGAACCTCCGCCGTGCTGGGATCTCCAATCGTTAGGCTCGCGTGGCTCGCTGCTCACACGGGGTATATAGCCGCCAGGCCACGCTGCACTCCACACCCTTCAATGACCAGCCGTTGACCGCGCTTTGTTGATCCGCGTCAGCCTTTCTTTCCAGATCTTTGACCAGATCTCACCCCATTCCTTTCTTTGCGGACTGGTTTTCGCTTCTAACCCTCCTTCTACAAACAATCAATATGCGTTTCTCTTCTTTCATCGCCTCGTCCGCCTTCGTGGGCTCGAGCATAGCTGGCTATGCCATCAAGGACGACTACTCCGCCGACAACTTCTTTTCCATGTTCAACTTCTTCACTGGCGCCGACCCCACCAACGGTTTCGTCGACTATGTCGATTCTGATACTGCCAACAGCTCCAGCTTGATTGACACCTCCAATGGCAAGGTTTACATGGGCGTCGATTACTCCAGCACCTCCTCAAGCGGCCGTTCCAGCGTCCGCATTTCCAGCACTGCCGCCTACAACGAAGGCCTCGTTATCCTCGACCTCGAGCATTTCCCCGGCGGCATTTGCGGTACCTGGCCCGCCTTCTGGATGCTTGGCGATGGAGACTGGCCCGCTGGGTAAGCTCATCTCATCTCACCTCACTCCTCAAAATAGATCTGACACGTGATTAGCGGCGAAATCGACATTATCGAGGGAACCAACAGCCAGGTCGCCAACCAGATGACGTTGCACACGGCTCAAGGATGCTCCATTGCTAGCACTGGGGCTATGGCGGGTAGTGTCAGCAGCACTAACTGCTATGCGTATGCTACCGATGACAACGAGGGCTGCGCCGTCAAGGACAGCGAGGCCAACACTTACTCGACCTTCAACCAAAACAACGGCGGTGTCTTTGCTACCGAGCTTGACCCTACGAACAACAAGATCCAGGTGTGGTATTTCGACCGCAGCTCCATTCCTTCCGACATCACCAATGGCAGCCCCGACCCGACTTCGTGGGGCAACCCGCGCGCCCTCTTCCAAGGTGGCTGCGAGGTCTCGTCGCACTTCAAGAACATGAACATCATCCTCGACACGACTTTCTGCGGTGACTGGGCTGGCAACGCCTGGAGCTCGGACGAGACCTGCAGCGCCAAGGCCAGCACCTGCGAAGACTACGTCCAGAACAACCCTGAAGCTTTCAAGGACGCCTACTGGTCCATCAACTCGCTCAAGGTCTACTCGAACGACGGAAGCACCGGCAGCAGCTCTTCCGCCGGTGGATATGGCTCGACGACGCCCATCGTTGGCCGCACTACTTCAGTTGAACCCGTGGCTTCGACTCCCTACGGATACACGCCCGCTGGCAACCAGCCTTTGACGCCCGCTGCTCCGTACCCCGCCGGCAACCAGTCCAACTACTACCCCACTGGCTCCATTGGCAATTCGGTGCGCTCCAAGACGACTGTTTACGTCACCGTCACACCTGAGGAAGCCCCGACTCCCGCTTCTACGCCGACCGCTGCTGCCGCCAACGCTGCTGATTGGCAGCCTGGCGAGCCCATCCCGTACTCTTTCTTCCAGAACGGCCGAGGCACGACGGTGGAGACTGGGGCTCCTAACAAGGTTGCCCACATGATGGAGCACAAGAAGCGCGCTCACGGCGCGTGGAAGAAATAAGCGTCTTTCTTCGTTCATAGACTTGCCATTTGGGGTGTTATGTGGCTTGGTGATCTTCATTTCTTCGTCATTCTTTTACATACTTTGATTCTTGTGCATGGTTCACATCTTGTTTTTTTAGCTGGTCTCATCTTCTTTCTTCAGAGGTTCACGACTTGGTACGGCATCATATACCCGGGGGTTTCATTTGGGAATAGGGAGGTTCTCTTCGTCAACGACACGCACAATTTGGACCACGACGCTACAAAGCACACCGGAAACGACACGGAAAAACTGCGCAAGACACGGGCTGGTCCTGGAACGCTGTTGACGGACTCTTTGAAACTTTGATGGGATACCCTGGGAACATGGAAAAAGGAATTTCGGCAGAGGGTTCATGGGATTTAGACTTTCATTCTTTCATTTAGCATGAGCAACACAATGCATGCAACGACTTTATGACCATTTACACCTACTTCGTCTGCTCAGTGATTCTCTTCACGACGCTTCTTGTAAAGATATGTGTGTCAGTCTCACGTAAGCTATACCTTCACGCTGGCCTTCGGCTGCGATACCCCTCTGTATGTACATACAGTCGATGGAATTCTGTGCCATTCTACCTCTCATTGACTAAGCCTTCTTTGTTCCTCGCGACACAAGCTTTCGGCGCGGGTGATCGACATTCATCAGCCGCGAGTACATTCCTTTATTATCCTTGACTCCTTGATCGACATGTAAATGTATCACCCACCAACAACTAAAAGGCGCAGTGTGGACCCTGAGATTCAAACAGCGTGTTGTAACGCGCGTCGCCAACGGCAAGGCCCAGTCTCCCAGCCTCCCCTCTGCTCCTATGGTGCAACGCCCAACACCCTTTCCCGCGCACAGGCCGGGTCTATCCATGGGAGAGATGAAGCCAAAAAAAAAAAAGGAACAAAAACGGGGCGTTAATTTGAGAGGCCAACAAAGCCTCCGAGTTAGTATTGGTATATTTGAGAGCGTCCGTTCATGGAAAGGTAAAGTTCCAACGCAAATCCCTCTATCAACCGCCACGGGAACGGTAGCACGGCTCGGAAGGACCAATAAGCGGGGCAAAGTCGCGTGCGCGTGGCTGATCACTGTTTCACTGAAATCTGAAAGTCAAAGCTCGACGGAAGATCGACCCGCACTGAAACGTCGGTCTCTTGCTGACACAATGTGGTGTGGGAGGTTAAGAGAGCTCGTCACAGGCGTGGAATTTGATCTGTCGCTTGCACGGCTCGTGCCAGCTTGAGGCACTTTGATAAAGACAAAAAAAGGAAAAGGGCTCAAGTAAATATGATTTTCTCCTGGAAGGCTACAAAGCTTTGAAAAGGAAGTACAACCGTTGATCGTATCACGTGCTCGCGCGTTGTGGCGACTAGCGTTAGCGCGACGGAGACGGCAGGCACCAGTGTGACCTCATCATCCGTCCCCGTCGCGTTGCGCATTCCGCGCATCACGAAGACAGAATGGTGCTCCAGCAGCGAAGTCCCTCAAAGCACAATCAGATGCTGGGCAAAAAGCAGACCACGCTGATCCCACACCCAAAGTCCACCAACTACGATGATGACGCTCCCGCCCGCCCACTGAAACGCATCAAGCGCAAGGAAGACGATGATAATTCCGAATATGCGCGCTCACCGGGCTCGCCCAAGTCTGCTGCTAGAGCCCGAAGAGTGGTTCCCGACTCCGATGCTGAGAGCAATGACGAGGATGCTGACGCGCCGGACCCCGCGGCTCGGACCGATCTCGAGAGCGCTTTGCCGCCGGTTGAGACGGACAAAGAAGCCATTGAGGCGTACGAGATACAACGAGCTGCCGAAGAAGCCAAGAGGCTGGGCCAGGGTGACCGGCTAAAAGAAGGCAAGTGGGTGAAAGGGAGAAGCTCCATCTACGTCGATGCTTTCAACCTTGCGTTGGACACTGTCCTGGAGGAAGAGCGCCACCTCTTTGACGAAGCAGAGATAGAGGTCTTCTCACAGTGGCGAGCTCTAGACTACGAGGCGCAGTACTTGTATGTCAATTTTCATCCATGCGTAGGAGAAAGGCTCATGGTCTCGACAGATACGTCCGTCTCTTCCTCCGGAAAACGTCAGCCTGGCACCGCATCAATAATCTGGGGTACCACAGTGACATTGCAGATATCGATGCGGCAATTGAAACTCTCCAGCAAGAGAGATTATTGCCTGATTCGGAAGCTCCAGTGCAAAGCAATCCAGGCGAGCTTGAACCTCCAGAAGGCACAACCCTTGGACCCTCGTTCACCTTTGCGGACAGGTCAGAAAACCACATCGACACGCTTGAAGAAGCATCATCATTGCTAAAGCTGGACGAGCTAAAAGCATTGGCAAAAGATGCCAAAGTCCAAGGCAAAAATAAGCAGGAGCTCCTCAGATCTTTTAGGAGAGCAAGCCAAAAACAGACAGGGCTCGGATGGGTGGGCCTGAAGCGCTCCGACACCGAAGCATCCACAAAATCCACTGATGGCGATCCTAATAGCCCCTCAACACGTGAAAACACGCCTTTGCCCGAGGATGCGAACAGGGACGCCCATTGGGTACGGAAGATCATGTCCGAGACAGGCCCCTGCATACGGCTTTCCTTGCCGGCGCTAAAATTATTTGAGAGAGTTCATTTGGTCTTCTACCGATCCACCGAATGGACTGAAAAATCCCTGACGACAATCATCCTGGCCAGGATAGCCCGGCGCAATTTTCCAGACTACATCGTGTCCAGGTCAGCGAATATTTTTGCATCCCGAGCCCTGCTGCTCGAATTCGAAGCATCTCTCCGGACACAGTTCCGGGTTGACAGCATTCTGGAATTCAACGGCACGCCGAGTCCCGCAGACTTGCGAACGATTCTCGATTTATTTGAACAGGTGTATCCCCGCTGGCTTGTGCTGCTCCAGGAAGAACAAACCAAAGAGGATAGTATATACATCAGTGGTGAAGGTGCATATCTAAGACGGCTATCTCCTGCTTGGGTTTACACCCGAATTGTGCACAAAGCTACATATGTGCTTGGGAAATTTAAACAACACAAGCGCGAACACGAACTATTGACGGAATTGCTTGCTCAACGCTTGTTCCACGCGTCACGCCGTGGTGCTTGGTATCAACGGAAGGCCTTGTTGGAAGAGCATTACATGGCATCTCTGATGCCATCAGAAGGGCGCAGTGAAGAATCACAAAAGAAGCATTGGAGACAAATTGCACTTCATACGTGCGAGGAGGGGCTGCAGGATCACCTTGTGCATCAAATATACCACTACGACCTCCAGAAGCGCGTCACAAAGCTCGAGAAAGCACTCAAGATTGCCAAACGCTTTCAGCATTCTTTCGGCCATGTCCGACTGGCTGCTCCCGTCGAAGTGACTATCGAGGGTATTAAGCTCGAGCGGGAACCGACACCAAGTACCAACAATCGTGGCAACAGCTCACCGTTTCCCACTACTCGCCGCGGTATTCAACGTACCATTTGGCTGGACGAGCGCGAAGGCGACGGCGAGTGCACTGTCGAAGCCATGTGTCTATCGCATTACCGTTCGCAAGGATGGAAAGGCTATCATAGTGAAGGCGGCATTGTGCGGACGCTCTTCGCGTACCTCTTCTACGACATCCTCTTTACGTACGTGCCCAACGTCTTCCAGACGCCCTTTCAAACGTGCCCGCTCGACCTCCATACCGACGCCTTCTACCCAACCCGCTTGTCGGAGATCAACCATCGTCTCGTGCAGATTGCAAACGGCGAGGCGGCGCGCCTGATGCGCGAGGTGTGGGATGCGCATGCAGAGCGGAAAACGTGCATTATTGGTCTCGATTGGACGTTCGAGATTGAGGATTTGATGGAGATTGCAGGGTGTTTTGAGGGCGAGGCATTGGCGACGGTGTGCAGGGTTATGGCGCAAGAGTACGGGCAAAGAGGCGGAGGGGTGCCTGATCTGTTCTTGTGGCGTCCGGACATGGGTAAGGTCATGTTCGCGGAGGTAAAGAGCGAGAATGATAGGTTAAGCGATACACAAAGGCTGTGGATACATGTGCTGACGGGCGCGGGAGTGAGTGTACAGCTATGTAATGCGGTTGCTAAGGAAGTCAGGACAGGTTAGTGCGGGAATTGTTAGGAATCGGGCCAAGATAGTTCCATTGCCAGGTTGGCATTTCATTGGACACTCTGCTGCTCTCCAAAGACTATAGTGAATGTAGCAGGAAAAGCAAAGGCCATCCTAGGCACATGATGTCAGCAAGGCATGAACAATCACTGACAAACAAGCCTATATAATTCCCTTGGTTTCCTCAAACCCACCTCCAACAATTTTGTCTGCCTACAGTTTACTCTCGCAATCATGGCGGACGCCTCGGACTCCAACTCCAACGCCCTTATCGCGGAAGCTGCCACCTCTACCGTCGATGAAGTCCTATCCAGTCCTTCTGTCGGCATTGCTTCACCCTCACACAACCCCAACAACAACGGCAGCACCATGCATCCGCCTACCACCTCGGCTTCTGCACCTACCAACAGCAACGACGGCCACCGTAGTAGTCACCCTCAGCTCACCAGCACCAACGACCAGACGCAACCGATCCTCGGCGTCGAGGCCAAGAGTCCCGCTGCTGCTGCTGCTGCTGCTGCTGCTGCTGCTGCTGCTACTACGCCCAACCGTCCGCCCAAGAGCCGCCTCGACCTTTGCCTCGAGACGATGGACTTTACGAGCATGCTGGCGCAGCACAAGGCGACGGTAGAAGCGGTGCGCGACGCCGTCGGCTCCATCGAGGCGGCCGCGGCGCGGATCGAGCACCGGGTCAAGGCGTCGTCGGCGGCGGCGCAAACCAGCAACGGCAGCGCCCGTATGATGAAGACGAAGGACAGGCGCATCGTGTGGCTGATGATGAAGGTCATTCTGCGGAAGGATGCGGAGGTTCTGGTACGTTGATTCTTTCCTCTTTCGTCTTTTGACACCCAGCTTTCTTTTTTTCCCCTTCCTGCAGACTTTCACTGTCACAGCCGGCTTGACTCACCCCCAATATATTTCCTCCTTTTCTTTTCCCCTCCTACGCTTTATGATGAACAAACGACTAATGCATGTTTCTATCGTTTACCGTGCTGCAGAAGAAGATCGAGTCGGAGCTCCAGCGCACGCAGCACAGCATGTGGAAGCTGAGCCGCGAGATGCGCCTCATCAGCATGAAGCACAGCGAGGGCGAGGACATCGAGCACGAAATGTACGAGATGCTCGAGGGCTTCGTCATGGCGCTCACCAGCAGCCGCGGCGAGGACAGAACCAAGTGGGGCGAGGACGGCGTCGAGCTCGGCCAGATTCTGGACGAGATCAAGGCGGATATGGAATGGTGGGATGACGGGAAGGACGACTGAGTGTGGGAGTTTGGGGGAAATTGGGGGGCCCGGCCAGCATCGCTGCAGGGAGGTGGTTGATTGGCATTCTTTTTTTTTTCCTTTCTTTGGCAGCTATTCACTTGCCGTTGCGCAAGTTGCCGCGGTTTCTTTGCAGAGCAGTATCCGACTCACTGCGTCTGCGATGGTCGATGATTCAGCATTCGAGCCACTTTATTGCTTAGGAGATTACTAAATGGCCATGAGACATACTGAAGCCACTCTTTTCTAAATCTATGTGCCAGTCAGAAGAGTCGTGGTGTCCTATTGGATCTAGAAGACCGACAAATGTCTCATGGGTTACCCCCGTAAGAGAATCGATCAAAACTCGGTAGTCCACTATTGTTACTGGAAAAATACATCATTCTGGGTCTACATCAGGATCTGCCTTCTATTTCCTTTTTGATATCCACAGCCAAAAGCAACCCAAACACCGTTGTCGTCAACTAAACAAAAGTGAGTCAACAATGGTAACGCTGAAGGATGGGGAACTGTTACTTACAATGGTACTCCCTATCATGATAGTCAAGATCTCCCATCCACCGGCGAAGACTTTGCCGCGCACGATGGCATTCTGCTGGCGCCAGAAGCGGAAGGCGCCGAGCAAGACCATGGCGATGGCGGCGATGATGAAGACGGCAGCCAGCGGTTTCCCGAGCGCGTGATAGCCGTAGTGCGGGTCCGGGTTGGGAGCATGCTGTAGGCGCAGAAGCTGGGCGATCATGACGCCAGCCATGGAAAGGGCGATGGAGGTGCGCAGATAGCCCAGAAAGGTACGCTCGAGAGCTTTTCATCACTCAGCCTCTCTCTCTCTCTCCCAATAACAAAAAGATAAGACGACGAAACTCACCCAGATGGTCCCTCATGCCGCCCGCGGGCACCGTCACGCTGACATGGCGCCGCCACCACCTCGTCACCACGTCCCACCAGCCGACCTCCTGCCTCGTCAGCATCAGCTTCCTCTGCTCCCGCAGACTGCAGTCGTCCCTGCAGGTTGGCACCTCGGACGGCGGCGGCGGGTTCCCATGACTGAGGACGGGTTCTTCGGTCGTGCTCGCCGTCTCGACGCGGCTCATCCGCTGCGACGAAGAAGAACGAGGCAAGGACGCGAGCTCCGTGGCCTCGCGGTCGTTGGCGGTGCCGAGGGCTGTGTCGTCTGCTCTCTCTTCTTCTTCTTCCGCCTCTTCTTCTTCTGCGCCAGGCACACCGCGGCGACGAAGACCTCCTGGCTGCGCGATCAAGTCGTCGTCGTCGCCGGCCGTGCCCTCCTCCCTCGCTGCGCCGGCGCCGTGCGCCGTGTCAGCCCCGAAAGCAGCATCGTGGGGTTGATTGTGTGTCTTGGTGTCGTTGTTGGTATTTTTCGCCAAGTCGGATGGTGGCTGATGGTTGGCCGGAGGTGAGGAAGGACGATCGGCTGCGGATGGCGTAGGGTCGCGTTGTGGATGGTTGTGGTAACCAGGAAGCGATGACGTGCTCGCGGCGCTTTCGTTCGATTGGGCGTGCTGTGTGGAGCGTTGCGGAGAGCCCCCGGCGCGGGTCGGCTCGTCGCCATTTCCGGTGTTTTGGTCCATGATTTCTTGCTTTTATGCTCGCATCTTCATATCATACTTCTCCCGCTTGCACGCACTGTCTCGCGGGAATGCAAACGTGGGGAGGCAGAGTTTCGGCGACCGTGCGCGTCCGAGAGCGTCCATTGGATAGTCGGCGACCTCCCTTCTGCAGCTCCAATGCCGCGGAAGGCGGTGACGTCGCCGACGCGGGGAAACCGCTATCTCGTCTTGGCGATCAATCAACTTCACCAGCACATCGGTGCCAAAAGAAATAATTGCTCCATTTTCTCTAGAAGGAATTATTCGACATACGTGGGCCTATCTAGACGCAAGTGTGTATTAAATGATCCAACATCTACGTCCAGATACCTACGTAAGTGGAGCTTGATTGCTGATAGAAGTTAATTAGTTACGATGGCTTAGATCTTTCGGCACGCACTGTGACCAGAAAACAAATATTTGGAGCGAAATCTCGTCTCATTCCTTTTCCCTCGCTATTAAAGATAAGAAGGCCGTCAATCCACCAACGTAAAAATAAAATATCAGAAGTGTATCCGTTAAAGCCATCATCCCTTCCCCTCATTTCCTTTTAATCCATGATTAAACCCCCTTAGATAGCCTGGAGACCACCACCAACGGTGAAGGCCATGGCAGAGCAGTCGGAAGCAACACCGCCGACAAGGACCCACTTCATCTCCTCCTTCTCCAGAGTAGCAGCACCCTCATCGGGGTCGCTGACCAAGAAGAACTTGGTGCTGTCATCATCGACATTGCACACAACCATGTAGAAGGCGTTGCCCTGCGAGTCGACCGCGACGACGATGCCGCCGCTGGTCGTGGTGCTCGAGTCGTCGACGGGCATCAGGGTGATGATGTCAGCGTTCTTAGGAATCTCATCCGAGCCGGCAAGACGGAAGCGCGACGCGCCCAGCTTGTCCATCTCGTCGGGGTGGTAGATGAAGACGCGGTCGGCATCGTCCGAGACAACCACGTTGGAGTAGGCCGCGAAGTTGAGACCGGCGTCAGCGTCGCCAACCGCCTGCAGGCCGAGCACTCCCGTGTCCTCATCGGCCGAGAGGTGCCACGCGCCCGTCGTGTCCGTCAGAGTCGTGTAGGTGAAGCCGTCGGTGTTGGTGTCAGCATCATCCGTCGCGATGTTCAGGAGGGCATCGTTGGACAGGGCGCTTCCATCATCATCACCATCAGTGGAGGTAGAAGCGTCGGTGGTGCTCGTCGTGCTGGCGCTGTCAGTCGAATCCTGGCGCTTGTACACGCTGGAAGACTCGTCGCTGGACGTAGAATCATCCGGTGTCGTCGAGCCCTCGACAGTCTTGACCTCGTCCGATCCGGCAGAGGTAGAAGACTGAGTCGAATCATCGCTGTTGGTAGCAGTGGAGCTCTCAGTGCTGTCCGAAGTCTGCTGGTTGGAAGAATCCTCCGTGGTGCCGGTATTCTCGCTGTCACTGGCAGTGCTAGAAGCATCCGTAGAACCCGTGCTAGTCGAGCTATCAGTCGAGCTGGTGTTGGCAGAGTCGTCAGTGGAGCCAGAGCTGGTCGAGCCTTCAGTCGTGGTAGAACCGGAGCTAGCAGAGCCGTCAGTGCTAGTCGAGTCAGCACTGGTAGAGCCCTCGCTGGTGGTCGAGTCAGAGCTGGTGGAGCCTTCAGTAGTAGTCGAGCCAGAGCTGGCAGAGCCCTCAGTGCTCGTGGAACCAGAGCTGGTAGAGCCCTCAGTGCTGGTGGAACTAGAGCTGGTAGAGCCCTCGGTGGTCGTGGAGCCAGAGCTGGTCGAACCCTCAGTAGAGCCAGAGGTAGTAGAGCCATCGGTGGTGGTCGAGCCCGAAGTGGAAGAACCATCAGTAGTAGTCGAGCCCGAGGTGGAAGAACCATCAGTAGAGGTCGAGCCCGAGGTGGAAGAACCGTCAGCGGTGGCAGTCGAGCCGGAAGACGCAGAGCCGTCAGTAACGGTTGAACCGCTGGTGGTCGAGGCAGTAGAAGAAGAGCCAGTGCTGCTACTGCCACCGGGGAGGAGAACACACTGCGCAGCCATAGCCTGAGCGTCCGCCTTCCAGATGGTCGACTGGGACAGGCCGAAGAAGTCCATGCTCAGCTCGTCACCGAGAGTCAGCGCGTACGAGACACCACCGTTGCAAGTGCCAGGGTTGATGCTGTCGTAAGCATACTTGGCGCTGGCAGCGACGTAAGGCTCGTTGGTGATGGAGATCAGCTTGCGGTACTTGAGCGGGGTGATCTCGAGGCCGACACCGACAGTCAGGGGCAGGCCGACGCGGGCATCAGCACTAATCTCGCCAGAAGCGGTGAACTTGGTCGTGAAGGTGGGCTTGAAGTTCTTGATGGTAGTCTGGTCCTTGTTCACAATGTCCAGTTTCGCGTAGAAGTTAGTGATGGCAGCCTCGGCACCGACGAGGATCTGGCCCTGGGCCTTGATGTCGAGCGTCAGCGACGCGTCCATGGTCATGACGGGGCCAACAGAGATGACGTTGGGGATGGAGAAGCCCGGAGCACCGTACGAGGCAATGTTCTTCTTGAACTTGTTGTTGTACGTGCCATCCGCCGCAAGACCCAAGTAGAGAGCAGCCTTGGCGCTGCCATCAATCGTCACGCTACCCTTGTTGAAGCCGCCACCAAGAAGAGAGAAACCAATCTCACCCGCAACGTGTGCGTTACCGGTGATACCGCAGTCGACGCAGTAGAGGTCGACGGTGCCAGTCAGCGCACCGCTGGCGGAGCCGTGGTAGAGCTGGTACTGGCTGCCCCAGTACTTGGAGTCGACCTTGTTGCTGGGCGTAAGGTTGATGTTGAAGTTACCTTCGGGCTTGGCCGTCGTCAGGCTGTCGATCTTATCGTTGATGAACTTGATACCCTTGGAGACAGCGCCGTTGGTGTACTTATCAGCAACCTTGATGGCCATGTTCTTGAGATCGTCGAGCTTCTTGTCAACCTTGTCGATGGCCTGAGAAATGGCCTTCGGCGCAATCTTCTTGATGAGAGACTTAAGGCTCCAGCGCTTCCGAACGATGGCGCTGGCACGGGCGGCAGGGCTGCCATAGGAGCGGCGGCGGAGCTTGGTGCTGGTCTCGGCAGTGTCGTCATAATCATAGTCATCCTCAGAGTAGTCGCCAAGGCCGGGGGCAAAGTCCTGCAGGCTGGAGCTGAAATCGCTGTCGAAGTCGTAGTAACCGAGCTTGTCATCAAGAACCTTGTCGAAGTCATCGCCACAGGGAGCAGTGGGGAAGCCAGAGATGGTGGCCTCAGGGGGAGCACCGCAGGAGGACGAAGAACCGGACTGAGAAGTGCTGCTACCGCCAGTCGAGTTGGAGAAGACAGAACCGCTGGTAGAGAGAGTAGAGTTGCCGCTCAGGGAAGTGGTGCCGTTGACAGAGCCGTCAGTGGGGAGAACAGTTCCCCATTTGACTTCAACATCACCGATAGCCTGTTCGATAGGAATCTCCGCGCAGTTCAAGGTGCAGCTGTGGCTGCTTTCAGTGAAAGTCTCGCTAGAAACCAACCAGTAAGTATGCTGGCCAACAGTCGCGTTGACGCCAGCCACACTGGAAGTGACAACAACCCATCCCGTGGTGCTTCCCCAAGCACGCTGAGCATACTGGAAGGCCTCAGCAGTCGCAAAGTCAACCTCCAGGCCACCGGAGATGACCGAGATTCTCGTAATGTACGCAGAGTTGTCAAGAATAACCGAGGGGTAGGTGAAGTTAGCCTTCATAAGAGCGAAGAGCGAACCATCGGCGCTTGACGAGCTGCCAGTGCTGGAAGAGCTGCCAGAACTGGAAGAGCCAGAGCTGGAAGAACCAGAGCTGGAAGAGCCAGAACCGGAGCTGGAAGAACCGGAGCTAGAAGAGCCGGAGCTAGAGCCAGAGGAGCTAGAGCTGGAAGAACCACCAGTGCTTGAGGACCCGGCAGTGGAGTTGGTCTGAGTAGTAGTGGAAGAGCTGCCCTCGTTGAAGTAGAAGGAGCCAGTATCCTTAGGAGCCAAGTGCGTGAGAACGGAAGCGTCGTGGCCCGGTGGGGTAGCGGGCTGCAATGTGGTGATGGGGCCGGCAACGGTGGTCCAAGAAGATTCGTTGAGAACAACGTCGCTGGATCCGGACTGAACAATGGACTTGGAAGAGCCGCTGTTAGACGATCCAGAGCCGGAGCTCAAGCCGTTGCCAGATCCAGAGCTGTAGCCAGAACTGGAGCTGTAGCTAGAGCCGGAGCTGTAGCTGTAGCTGGAAGAACCAGAGCCAGAGCTATAGCCCGAGCCCGAGTTGGACCCAGAGCCAGACAGTGAGTTACCACCAGAGCCTGAACCCGAGCCGGAGGAGCCGGAAGAGCCGGAGCTGTAGCTAGAACCCGACAACGAGTAGCTGCCAGAGCCGGAACCCGAACCGAACGAGCCGCTGCCCGAACCGGAACCGGAACCAGAACCAGAGCCAGCAGAACCAGAAGAAGAGCCCTGGCCACCGCTGCCAGCCAGGCAGGGCAGGCCGGTGGTGATGACATAGGCAGTCTGGGTCTGGGTCGCGACCGTGGTCTCAACCTTGGTCGTCAACGCCGTCCTGTAGATGGTGTCGATGACGGTGGTGTGGTAGACACCGGCGTCAGACTCCTGCTTGTTGCTGTTGAGCTGCTGAGCTTGGATAACGGCAGAGGAAGTCGAGTTTGTGTAGCGGATGGAGCTTGTCGCGGTGACAGCTCCGGCACCCGCGAGGGCAGCAATGAGAAAGTTGCCGCGCATGGTGAAAGTGAGTGTGGTGTGCCCGAAGGGCAGATTAGAGTATTAGTTATTTGTCGAGTAGAGACTGTGGTATGGTAAAGAGTGACCAAAGAGTGGGAAAGAGAGAACCCCCGAAGGGAAAGAAGGTGGAAGGGACACTGAAAGAGTGAGTGTGCAGAGAAAATCTCAGAGTGGAAGTGATGCATCGTGATATATAGTCCACCATGGAGTTTTTTGGAGGCTGTCAGGAGAGCAGGGCGCTGCGGATACGCCGACGGAGTAAAGCCACAAGACATTTTGCCGAAACCTTGAGGCTGCGCCCGGTAGTGGACGGCGGTTGTGGTGGGCTGGATTGGGGGAGCTGAAAGACCTGTGGCTGAGCTAAGAAGACTGCGGCTGTCTCGTGGCTTTTGTGGTATTTTCTCCAGACAGCTAGAATACGTAGAACTCAGAACGTATTGAAGATGTCGTTTGGGAATGCATTGGAATGGCTGTTGTCAGAGCGTTTCTGTGGCCGTCGTCAATTCTGCAGCTGTCCTGTCATTCTAGTGACCTGAAAGGTGCTGCAGCGTCTCGCAGCAAGCTCGTACTCGCTCAAATTAAGCGTCCGTACCAAGCTCCACCACGTGCGGGCACATCAGCCCTGTGCCAGACAACCACCGAAAGGCGTTCGTAGCCGCCCTATCGTGAGCATCGCGGTTGCCACATCAGGCAATATTCTCTGCACACGGGCTCTCACCTGCTCCGTGCACGCATCTCTTCTCCACAAAGAGGACGGAGAGGTCCGGTGGCTTAGCTCCGCTGTCAGAGAGCTGTCTGCCAGAGACATAGAAAGGAAGTGCCAAGAAGGCCTGGATTAGGGCCCGCCCGATGGCGCCCCTACGCGAGGGTATGTGCGGCGCGGGTTGCGCTCCGCGCACATCCGTTGTGCTAGGTCTGAGCGAAAACGGGTCTTTGGAAATCCTCTCGGGGTCGCCGCCCGCTCGAATGGGAATTAAGCCTTCGGCATTGGGAAAACGGCGGCTGCGGAGAGAAAGGAAGGCGCTTGTTGTTGACCCCTGAAGCAGTCACGCCATGCACGTGACTTCGCACCGTCCCGTCTGAGGTAGTCCATTTCCGATACCTTGGCCCGAGAAGTCAAGATTGAGGCTGGACACTAGGAAAGCATATCGGAGGTCATCTTGCCGTGGCTTGAGTGTCACTGACTACCCATTGAAAGCGCTCTACCACGTCCTTTTGTTGTCACGGAAACGTTCTATCATCAGTACCGGTTACACGATGGTTAGCGTACCAATGGCTGTCTATTTAGCCCCATCCCTCGCAATCAGGACCTTGCGGCCCTTGAACTGCCGCCGTCGAAAACGGCCGCACCACAGGGAATCGCCAACCAATAGGAAATGTCCGCGTTTTAGTCAACAGGACAAGGGCAAGGGAAGGGGAACTTCCGCGTCCAATTAGCCATGTAAGATTTACCTCGCATAAGCCATGTGGGTCAGCAACGTGCGGAGAGCCCTAAAGCGAGCCAAGGCAGCGGCACGTCCCTTCTGTTGTTGGTAGAATCAAAAAAGCAATTGTACTAAAGAGGCTATCGAAAAGCGTAGTTACACCATGCCTCCGCATAATCTTCCCTTATTTTCAAGCTCGTGGAACTCACTGAGCGAAGGGTCCAACAAAGTAGGATTACCCAACCTTTACCTGCGCCAAAATCACTGCTTCGTACGTCTAGTACTCAGCCTCCTCGAGATCGCCCTCATCCAGCGCATCGCTGGCAACCTCCTCGTAGTCCTTCTCGAGAGCCGCGAGATCCTCGCGAGCCTCGGAGAACTCACCTTCCTCCATACCCTCACCAACGTACCAGTGGACGAAGGCACGCTTGGAGTACATGAGGTCGAACTTGTGGTCGAGACGGCTCCAAGCCTCGGCAATGGCCGTGGTGTTGGAAAGCATCGAGACGGAGCGGTCGACGGGGGCGAGCTCGCCACCGGGGACACGCATCGGCTTCTGGTAGTTGATGCCGATCTTGAAACCGGTAGGGCACCACTCGACAAGGTTGAACGAAGCCTTGGCCTTGAGCGCGGCAACGGCCTGGTTGCACTCGCGGGGAACGACGTCGCCACGGTACAGAAGAGCGACGGCCATGTACTTGCCGTTGCGGGGGTCGCAGACGACCATCTGGTTGTTGGGCTCGAAGCCTGCGCACGTCAGCATCCAACCCAATATACCAATTCTGCCGCCACTTACACTGGAAGGTAAGGTCGTTGACCTTGAAGCTCTCGTGGGAGCTCTTCTGGGCCGAAATGACGGGGGCGTAGCTGATGAGCGGGTAGTGAATACGGGGGTAGGGGACCAGGTTGGTCTGGAACTCGTTCAGGTCGACGTTGAGAGCACCGTCGAAGCGCAGCGACGAGGTGATGGAGCTGACGACCTGAGCGATGAGGCGGTTGAGGTGCTCATAGCTGGGACGGGGGATGTCCAGGTTGCGACGGCAGATGTCGTAGACGGCCTCGTTGTCGACGAGGAAGGTGCAGTCCGAGTTCTCGATGGTGCTGTGGGTGGACAGAACAGCGTTGTAGGGCTCGACGACGGCGGTGGAGACACGGGGCGCCGGGTAGACAGCGAACTCGAGCTTAGACTTCTTGCCGTAGTCGGTCGAGAGACGCTCCAGGAGGAGGGCACCGAAACCAGAGCCGGTACCACCACCGAAGGAGTGGAAGATCAGGAAGCCCTGGAGGCAGGAGCAGTTGTCTGCGACATCGTCAGCTGCATTCGGCGCAATCCCATGGCGGATGACGTACCTGCGACACGGCGGACACGGTCGATGACGTTGTCAACGAGCTCCTTGCCAATGGTGTAGTGACCACGGGCATCTACATCGCGTTAGCTTCAGCTGCAACAACGGCTGGATGTCATCGACCCACAGTTGTTGGCGGCATCCTCCTTGCCGCTAATCAGGAGCTCGGGGTGGAAGAGCTGCCTGTAGTCGCCGGTGCGGATCTCGTCGACGGGCTGGCAACGCATCAGCACATTATCCCTTGTCCTCCATCGGCTGCGTTATCCTTACAGAAGGGTCCAGGTCGACGAAGATGGAGCGAGGGACGTATTTGCCGCCGCTGGTCTCGGTGAAGAAGGTCTCGAAGGAGCCGCCCTCGGTATCAGCCTGGCTCTCAGGGTCGGAGCGACCATCGGCCTTGAGGCCGTGCTCCAGGAGGTAGCTAGCGCAGCAGTGTCAGTGGCGAAGAAGCTCGAATGGATGGAATTGGACTTCATACAGCTCCCAGGCGCTGTTGCCGAGCTGGATACCGGCCTGGCCGATGTGGATGTGGCAGACCTGCGCGTCGAGACACGTTAGCTGGACCGCGCAGATCAGGGGAAGGCAGCTTGGCAGCGGCGGCGTAGGTGCGCGAGGCGGATTTGGGCATTGGCGAGGTCGCGTCGGGCGGGCGAACGTACTTCTCCCCTCATGATTGCTGGTGTCCGGGTATCTTAGTTGGTGGTGGGCAGGAGTAATTCAGATGCTGGGGAAGGGCAGCGGTGAGCGAAGCGGTTTTGGTGTTGACGCTGGAGCGAAATAGCGGGGCAGGCCAAAATAAAGGCGTGCATGGATGCGCTCCGCGCACCAATCACACGGCGCTCTCCGCCTGCCGCTATCCCCGTCGCGTTACCTCCCCAGGAACCGCCAACGACGCGCTTGTATGCCTGCACCTTTGTCTTGCTCACGTCCGCACGTGCTCAAGACGACCACATAAAATGCCATGATGTCCATTCGAGCTGCTGCTAGTCGAGGCTTCTATCTACTCGATATACCGTTACAAAATGCTTCGTAACCGTGCTCTCGTCCGCTGATCCTTATCTCATGTGATCATTTGCAAACGCGTCCGCGCCCCTTCATCTGGTGGTCCAGCCCGTTGCTCACCAGGCCTAAGCACCATCAGCGGAGCGGTCCGTCTCTGCCGCTTTCTCCGCCTTGACAGCCGTCTCAGCCGGGGCACAAGGCTCCGCATCACCGGCAACCGCAGTCTCCTCGCACACCTTATCCTCCTTGATCTCGACAGGCTTAGCAACATCCTCGTGCTTAGCATCCTCGTGCTTAGCATCCTCGTGCTTAGCAGCCTCGCGTTGGACCTGAGCAGTAATGCTGCCCTTCTCCGTGGCACCATGGGCGCGAGTATCGACACGACGCATCTGGACAAGGATCAGTGCTCGAGTCATGGGCATTTGAACAGGGCAGCAGCTTACCAGGGATGCATCTTCCTTAGTGATGTCCTCTGGGTGCTTCTCAAGCTTGTCCTTCATCTCCTCAGCGACGGCCTGGTAGACGTGCTCACGAGCGGCAGGAGACTGCTCAGCGGCGACGATGCTCTGACGACGACCACGAACAACAAGAGCCGGCTTCTCGGTCGCAGAACTCTCTTGGTCCTTCGTGTCAACAGTGGGCAGCGTGGCAGCAGGAATGCTACCCTTAGGCAGCGTGCCACCGTAGACCTTGCGCTCCGCGCTCAAGACTCTCTTGATGTCTTCAGGAGTGACGCTGGCTGGATCATCTTCGAACTTCTTCTGAGCGGCCTCAGTTACCTTGCGAAGATTCTGCTTCGGTGTTAACGGGACCCGTTCAAAGACCAAGAGGATGGTTAAGAACTTACGTCGGTGTTGTCGCTCATCGACTGAACCTGAGCAGCGGCGCTGCCAGGGGGAGGGCGGAAACCCAAGACCTTGTGCTCGGCGCTCTGGACGCGGGCAGCATCTTCGTGGGTAATGTGCTCAGGCTCTTCCTTCAGCTTGGCAACTCCTTCGGCAACGGTCTTCTCGAAGCTCTCGCCAAAGGGTTTGGCTTCGGCCGGAAGCGCGGGGGCACTCTCCTTGGGTGTCTCAGTGGCCTCCTTGGAGACCGGAGCGGCGTTGTCGGGCTGAGCACTCATGGTTGCGGTAGTCAGGAAGTGTGATGCTAGACGGAGTTCAGTGCTTGATTCCGATGTGCAGATCAAAGTTGGTGGGAGTTGTTGAAGAGTAGAGGAAAGGATTGCAACTGGAGCGAATTTAATGGGGTGGCGCGGTGGTGACGGAACGGCGCTGGAGGTGGAAGGCGCGATCCCACTGGAAGGTGCACTCTCCTCTGCAGCTTCCCTCCAGCCCGCTTCACAGACTCAGAAAGCGCACCTTGCTGACAGGCACACCGAGGATTGCTTGCTATGATCGTAGGTGGTGTAGACTTCTATCGCTTGACGAGCCGTACACTGACTGTCGATTTTGAACAATCCTAGGAACAGTAAGGCAGGAACAAGATGTCCTGCGCATTTCGACATTGACAAGGAACATGTTGGAGCGACGTGTGTCTGTGAAGAGCATATCTTAGATAAATGACCGCCACAAGCGCACTGGAAGACGAATGGGTTTTCTGAAGTGTCTGATGTCAGCGATCGTGGAGCGTCCGCCGTCTAGCATACACCACCTCTTTTCTTGCCTCCACTATCCCCACGCCACAAGCTTTTGATGAAGAATCGGGTGTATTTCATACCTTTCACTTCCCTTCCCGTTTGCTGTTTCCTAGATAGCTGCTTGTAGGTATGCTACGCATCATCCCGCGCAAATTCTTCAGCTCTTCACTCATGTGCGCACGTGCCGGACGCGGCAAGCTGCTGAGAGACCTCTGCAGGAGCAAAGACGCGATATCTCAATGCATGAAGTAAGCGATGGGCCGCGCTTTGTTGCTTCACGCACCAATAAGAATCCAGATACTCATCCGCCTACAATCGACCACATCACCAGACCTGCCATCGCATGCAGGCCACAGACCAGATTGATCTACGTCGGGGAAGCACGTCCTTATACCACTGTCAGATGGAGCGATGCGCATTATCCAAACGCACCTCTCCTCATTAGCCAAGTAGTCTGAAAGAGAGACCAAATCAGACGACGCGAGAAGACGATGAGCCACCAGCGCGCGACTGCCAGCCAGATATCGCTTTTCCAAACATCAACGACGTAATGAAGCCCATCCCTGTCTCCACTCATCAATTTTCGCAGATTCCCTCATCATCCGCCATCAACATCACCATAACAATAACTACACCACATAATCATTAGGATCGTCATCACCACCACTCCCGGCGCCTATCCGCATGAAAATACAAGCGCCAACAGGCTGGGCGAGTACACGCGTCCGTCCTGGCAGACAGCTTGCGCATGCACGGATAGAGCTAGATAATATTGTATTGTAGAGCTATACTGCGAGCAACGATGAGAACCACGCTTTGCCCAGAAAGGCAATTTGCTGCGAGGGATGATCGGGTTTATAGCTACAGAACTCGGATTTATGCAAGTGATGTGCTCTGAGCGTGTGGGGCGGACATTGCATGACACGGTGCCCAAGCAGCTTTCACAAATTTCGACGTCAGCGAGCGGACGCGTTTACAAACCTCTCTCGTCAACAGTGGACTGAAGACCAGTCCACCCGCAGAAACTGATTCCAAACATAGGAAAAGCAGTTTGGAGAAGAGACGAGACGAGAAGACGACCGAACGGCGGTGTGGAAACGCCAGCCAAATAGTGCCGTCCCGAACAACCGCAAAAGCGCAGAACGCTGCCTGACTCGGTCTTTCCCCGCCATTTGCAGCCTTCCATCCACCTCGTCATAATCATCTGCACGCAAGCAAGAGCTGGCTACGGGACGGGCAAGTGCACGCGCCCATACCAGCAGCTAGCTCGTACACGCATAGATAGTGCCAGATAGAAGTTTGCTGTGAGCGAATAATAGGATGCACATCTTGCCAAGGAGCGCATAGGACCTTATTGTGGCCACGGAAGTCGGGTTTACATAGCCCGTAAACTTTGAAAGTGTCAAGCGGCCACCGCATGCTGCGCAGCGAACGAAGCCTTTACCTCAGTCGACTTTTTTTTTTTTTTTTGCTGCAGGCTGTAACACTCAACTCTTAACCATGAGGGATCGACGGAGAACGTAGTGCTCCTTAGCTGGAGGCTACTATGAAGACGAGCGGGTATTGGCCGGACCAAGTTGCGGAAGGAAGGAAGCGACCCGGCGCTGTAGGCGCAAACATCGTAAACAAGACATGCTCATCAAATCTGGCGGCCATTAGCAAAGGGCTACCGAAGAAGTGCCAGTAAAAATGGACAATCCTACACGAAAAAGGAACCCCTGTCGTGGTTGTTCATGTGCTTCGACGATCTTTAGCAGCTTGTTATCAACCGTAATCACTTACAACGGCCTTCACCGTTGCCCATGGAGCAGTGGCTGGCGGCTGCAGATGCACGGTGGTGGTACGCGTACCGAGTAAGAGGTCGGCGGGTGATCGCCCAGGTCAGGAATCATCAGCTCGGCAGCGAGCAACGTCATGGCAGTCCCCAGGCGCGCGCGGTGGAGAGATGGTGCAGCTCAAAAGGTCCAAAGAATCCTGCTGAAGGAACAGCACAGCAGCGGTGAGGGCATTCCGCCGTTGTCTGTCGAAATGGCGCCCCATCGAGTGGATATGGCGAGTGCAGGGGTAATGCGATCGGCTTCCCAGTGGCCAGGCTCAGGAATGATCGCTCGGGGATGGTGCTGATATGGACGCGCACCGGGAGAGTCCTCCGCGATTCACCCTATCCTCACCGCCGGATAGGCCGTCGCAAGACACAGGCGAAATGAAGGTTTGGATTGCCGCGGGATGGGATGCCTTTCACGAGCGGGCTTCGGCATGACGGGCGTACGGGGCAGCGCCAGGGCCTGCCGCGCAGCAGCACCGCAAAAATGCCGTCACGCGAGGCTGAGGGCACAAACGAAATCCCAGAAAGTGACGCGACCTCCAGCTGGGGTCGAGACAAGGCAGCGGCAGTGACGCTGCCCGGAGCGGATCGCCGCGGACGCCGTGCTATCTGGTGGGAGGGTACGGCGCTGGTGCAGAGAGGGTAGTCCCTGAAAATTTCGACCTTGCCGCCGAGCTAGAAGAAGGCTATCGCGGGTGGAAGACGCCGCGGCGGCTGCTGTGGCGCACCCGGGATGGCAGGCGCCGTGTGTGGCAGTCTGGCGGGGATCAGCAGAGGTGCGGAGACAGGGCCGTTCAGGGGAGGGTGCGTAGTGATGCTCGCAGGCCTGCAGCTTTTCGCGAGCGCAGAGCGAGCGCGCGGCCCAGCGGTTGAGCCGCGCTGGCATGGCTGGGTGGGCGCACAACGTCGTGCCAGACGGCGATGGCCCTGCATGGCCGCACCAAAGGACGGAGCGGACATGAAACGGAGCGCCCTTGGTACATGTACGGGGATCAGCCACTTGGCCGGAGTCAGGCACGTCAGGCTGTGCGTTCTCGACCTCACCTCCAAAAATTTGCGCGAAAATGAGCCGGCTAGGCAGGTTTGCCGCACAAACGGCGCCGGCTCTCCTGCAGCGTGCAGGTGCGGGTTGCCCCTTCGCGGCTTCCGGCTAGCAGACTCTAAGCCGCCCGGCGCGCGGCGGAGCGCCACAGACGTCGGCCGGCTCGCGAGCTTTCTGCTGCGCGTCCGCTCCGCCCAACAGCCTTGACTTGGCGACCCACAATTGGCTTATTTTCAGACGCCCAAAACCGGAGTGATTCGCGGCATGCGCACGCTTGGAGTCGCGTCCACCGGACCCACTGTGTCCGGAAACAATCGTCATCCCAGATCGCTGGCCTCAGCGCCTGGCCTGCCCAGCCGCCGTATCTCTCGATCGTCCCGTCGTGCTACCCGCAATATAACACACTTTCCCTCCTTCTTGCTCCCATTGATTCCGTCTTGCCCCCTCTCGTATTGCCATTCTTTTAATTGCGCAACCGCACTCGCTGCCCCGCCCGCCATCGTCCATGCTGTCTCCAACCTGCCACTGAGCGTGCAGATAACCTCGCGATCCCCCGCGAAAATCAGTGGAGACCCTCCTTTGGATCACCTCAGCAGCCATGACGACCCCAATTGACGAGAAGGCCGAGCCCCGCTACTATCGCCCTCACGTTGAAAATGCTCGCTTGTCCGACGAGGAGGACCACACTGTCATTGGCGAAGATTCCACCAGGAACAACTCCGACCAGGATCACCATGTCGACCCCCTCGACACCACCCACCTCTCAGCGACGAATGAGTCCAACTACCTGCGCCCCCCGAGCGGCGTGACATCGCCGTCGGCCACGCGCGAGCAGGCGAGCCGCCTGGACGATGACCTGCAGATGCTGCAGATCGAGAGGCAGATCTCCGCCGCCGAGGAGGCCAAGAGCAATGACGGGCGCTCAATGCACCGCTCGCGCTCGCGCCACCAGGAGCCCGTCGACGAGTTCGACGCTGCCACCGAGCCCATCCACACCCAGGCCTCCATGTACAAGCCCCCGGAGAACCCGACCACTAGCTTCGCCAAGTTCTTCAAGAAAATTCACAATTCGAGCTGGGTCATTCGCTACCTCACCTACATCGTTCCCGTCGTGTGCATCATCCTCATCCCCCTTCTCCTCGGCGCCCTGCTCTTCACCGATGCGTCGGTTGGCGGCGTCAAGCTCGTTTGGTTTTGCATCTGGCTTGAGATTGTCTGGTTGACCCTATGGGCCGGCAGAGTAAGCTGTTCACCCCGCGTTTTGCTACCACCAATTTGCGCTGACGTCCATCCCAGGTTCTCGCAAAGTGTCTTCCCTGGCCCATTGGGCTTGCGGCAAGCTTGTTCACGAACAACGGAAAGAAATGGCGTGACATGGGCAAGCAGCTGGAGCTTCCGGGAACCCTATTCTTTTGGTGGCTGGCCATCATCATTTCCTTCTACCCCACCATGACCCAGCATCACATCAACGGCAATAAAGGCATCAAGAGTTGGGAGAAGACCATGTACAAGGTCCTGGTGTCCATCTTCATCGGCTTCGTCCTCAACTTCGTCGAGAAAATCATCATCCAACTCATCGCCATCAGCTTCCACTTGCGTACCTACCAGGACCGGATTGAGATGAACAAATTCCAGATCGGAAGCCTGGTCAAGCTCTACACCTTCTCCAAGGCGAAGCTCACCATGGAGGATTCTGAGTTTGAGCAACGCGAAACCGGCCAGAACTCAGGGGCTCGTACGCCTGGCATGTTTGTCAAAGAGGCCCAAAAGAACACGAAACAGGCCATTACGAAATTCGGAGATGTTGCTGGAAAAATTGCAGCTGACTTCACCGGACGCGCCACACAGAGGAGCAACCACCCCCACCAGGTCGTCCTGGCATTGCTCAACACTACCAGCGGCAGTCAGGTGCTAGCCCGTCGTTTGTTCCGCACCTTCTCCCACGACGACACGGAAACGGTCCACCCCGACGATCTGGCCAGCGCTTTCGACAACGAGGACGAGGCTACCGCTGCGTTTTCCATGTTCGACAAGGACATGAACGGCGATATCTCCATGGAAGAGCTTGAAGCTGTCTGCGTAGAGATTGGCCGTGAACGCAAGGCCATCACTGCTTCCCTCAAAGACCTCGACTCCGTCATTTCCAAGCTCGACGATGTGCTGATGTTCATCGTTGCCGTCATCACTATCTTGGTCTTCATCTCTCTCATCTCTGCTTCCGCCGGCAGCGTCATCTCTAACGCTGGATCGGCCGTTCTGGCCCTGTCTTGGCTCTTTTCCGCCACTGCACAGGAATTCCTGCAGTCTATCATCTTCGTCTTCGTCAAGCACCCGTTTGACGTTGGCGACCGTGTGAGCATTTATGGTAACACTGGTGCCACTGGCTTGGGTGATGACTATTTCGTCAAGGAAATTGCATTGCTGTACACGGAATTCAAGAAGATGGAAGGTCACGTCGTCCAAGCACCCAACAGCTACTTGAACACCCTGTTCATTCTCAACCAGCGGCGTTCCGGTGGCTTGGCCGAGGCTATCCCTATCATTATCAAGTTTGGCACGACCCTCGATCAGATCGAACAACTCCGGTCAAGATTGCTGGAATTCGTGCGTTCGGAGAAGCGCGAGTACCAGGGCAACATTCTCACCGAACTTCGGGAGGTCAAGGAAGCACACTCGCTGACCCTCAACGTCGTCTTCTTTTACAAATCGAACTGGCAGAACGAGCTGCTGCGCCTGCAACGCCGCAACAAATTCATCTGCGCGATGATGGTGTGTATGCAGGATCTCGGCATCGAAGGTCCCCGCATGCGCTTCCCTGGCCAGAAGGAGTCGTTCCCGGTCTATCTCCAGCAAATTCCTCACCTTGCGACTCCTGGCATGGGCCATGGTGGCAACCCGGATAACCCGACCGGCTTCGTTGAGCGCCCTGATACTGGCAGGAGCAACGTATCAGGTCCTCAGGATCCTCCTTTCGTCAGTCCGGAGTCCCCGACCAGTGCACGAGCGCTACAGCCCTCACACTCGATTCTCCGCACTGGCAGGCCCCGTGGCGAGTCTCTTGCAGCTATGGGCAGGCGTGTGGATTTCTCGCTCGGCATGAAGGACATCTCGGCGGCTGACATGACGGGAGACGTTTTCGAGGATCGAAAGCCCTCTCTTCCGGCGAGAATAATGTCGCCTAGCACCTCTACTCGTGGCTCGCAAGACTCTCGCCCTCGTCCATCTCACGACACTGCCCGTTCGACGGGACATGACTCAGACCTTGCTCGAATTCCTACGGACAGCTCGGCCGCGCGCAGTCGCTCCAGCCACCGCAATCGTTTCTTTTCGCGCGGAAAGACACAGGGAGATCTGGAAGGCGGTCTCTCTATGGAGAACATTCCTGAGACAACAGAACGCATTGATCCGCGCAGCGGAACCGTCAGTCCTGCGGCATGGCGGGCAAGCCATGAAGAGAGCAGGACACCTACTGCCTCGGGCGCCCTGGATGGCGCCGAGGGGAGTTTCGCCCCTCCACCGAGGAGCATGACCGAAAATGCCAGCTTCAAGACGAAGTAGCGGTTCACGGCCGAACTAGAACTTAGACTTGCGTTACATATTTGACTTTCGGGCCGGCTTCGTCCGGAATAGAGTGAGCGTACTCAGCGAGCGTGGACTTCACAGGTTGAACTCGTTTTTTTACACCAACACCCCAGAAAAGACATTGTTTTCCAAGAGTATTAGACCGTCAGCCATTTGAGCTCGTTTCTTGTAATTAATTTTCTCAATTTCACGTAGGGCGGCAGGTAGTCCGCGGGATCGATGGGTAGGAAGGTTATTGCTTTGGCCTCCTTTGTTCCCTTATCTTGTACTCATACCACAAAGCAAAGCACACACACGAGCAACGAATCTCGTTTCTTCATGGATTCTTCGCAGCCCAGGATGTGGGTTTAGCAGTGAAACAGATGACAGATTGACAGGCCCTGGTTTGACTCTTTCAGGCATCCCACTCTTGCATGTGATCGCAAAGTGGCCCTCACCCAGACGTCCCCTTGCCTTGTCTCTCCACTTTTTATCTGGTAGTTCAGGTGGATCGACATTCGCGCCTTCGACTGGTTCTAGAACCCGGCATTCTAGAATCTTGGTACCCGCACGGCCGATGTGAGGGCAAAAGTGTTTCTGATGGCGGGTTCGTTATCCGAACAATATTTTTGGCGCAGAGGTCGTCGTTTCAGACTTCGGGCGAAGATAATGATGGGTGCACAAGCGACTTGTGCTACCTATGTACCTGCCGTCCCACCTTCCCCACTTCTGCACTTACTTGCATGCGCCGTCTTTCCTGACCCCCACTCCACCATTTCCTCCCGTCCCGCCCGTGCTTAGCCGCGCAGCGGCAGCTATCTTTGTATCAGTTGCACGTGTACGACTCTCTGTATACTCTTGCTTATCAACGAAGTGCGATCAGCAACGGCGAAGCCATGCAGACTCCCGATACTCCCCAATGGTCACCGACCAGCAGCATTCCATTGGCTCGGCTATGCGACGAGGGTTGTGATGGCGAGAAGTGGAGGTGAAGCGGGAGTAAGACGACAGACAATATAGAATGGAGGTTTGCACGCACGCCGTGCCATCACGCATGAATTCTCGACCCGGTCGCCTTTGTTTCGCTCTTCAGGTCTCTTCTGGCTACGCTGCACTTGCGTGACGTATTTCTTGAAATACAGCTTGCTTCTTCCTATCTTGCCGACGGCGCTACTGTTGTGTAACCGGTGCTGGACAAACGTACTTTCTCCCCCCCCCCCTCCTGCTTCCCTCGAACTGGGACGGGGAAGGACTGCGTCGGCTTTACGCGACGACCCAAGCCCCCGTTCTCGCAAAGACGACGATATGACAATGGCGTCATCACTGGATCCGCGCGAAGCAGAGGACACGAAGACAGGACCGGCAGCAGGAGATGGCGAGAAACCGCAGCAACATGTCTCGAGCGCCGCCACAGCGTCGTCCTCTTGGGAGGCGGATCGGGAGATGGTGGTGGGTTCGACAGCAGTGTTCGTGGACAAGGTCGCCGAGAGGTCTTACGGTGGGTGGCTTCTGGATTTCTTTCCAATCTGCCGTGTTCAGGAGAGATGTCGTGAGATGATGGTGGTGGAGACGTATCTTTTTCCTTTTGCTGATAGCAGGCGTCTGTTGTAGTACGAAAGCTGGATTTCTACCTCCTGCCGATGATGAGCCTGGTATGTACGACGCTTGGCGCCTGTCGATTGCCGGCACCCGGTTTCAGGGGCCGAGTGGGCTGATGGCTTGATTGGATGGCTGACAGTGCAGATGTACTTCTTCAATTCGGTGGATAGGGTGAGTTTACTGATAGATGGCGAGACAGGATGCGCAGTGGCGCAAAGATGGCGAGACATGGAGCTGACACGCAAGGCAGAGCAACTTGGGTAACGCCAAAACGGACGGCATGGACAAGGATCTGGGGTTCGTTGGCGAGCAGTACTCGTTGCTGATCCTCCTGTTCTACGTGCCCAACGGGCTGTGCGACCTTCCGCTCAACATGCTGACCAAGCGGTGGTCAGGGAAGGTGATGCTTCCAGGATGTGAGACATGGGTTCTTGAGTTCCAGATATGAGAGTCAATGCTAACGCCTGTTTTTGGGGAAGTGATGCTCAGCTGGGGTTCATGCGCATTGCTACAATGCGCTGCCACCAATTTTGCGGGGATGTTGGTGCTTCGGCTGCTTCTGGGGTAAATGCATCTCGTGTCTACTATTGAGACGTACTGGAAAAGCTGATAGTTTACGGCAGTGCGTTTGAGGCAGGCTTCTTCGCGGGCGCCGTCTTTTACCTCACACTCTTCTACACCCGCGGCGAGCTCGGCTTCCGCATTGCGATTTTCTTTGGCAGTGCGCTTTTGGCAGCGGCATTCAGCGGACTGATATCATTCGGTGTGTTCCGGATCCAGCATGTCTCGATTCCAGGGTGGAAGTGGCTGTTCATCATCGAAGGTTGACATGTCCCATTCCCACGGATATCTAGCGCCAGTACTGACAGGTGTTTCAGGCGCCATGACCGTGGTGGTGGCTCTCGTCGCCTTCTTCTGGCTCCCAGCCTCGTCAGCCAGCGCCTGGTTTCTGACGCCTGCCGAAAAGGCGGCCGCTCTGGCGCGCACCCGTCGGGACGCCTCGGGCGCCGCATCGGAAGAGTACGACGTAGGCGCCATGTTCCGGAGCTGGCGCTCGTGGAAGTTTATTCCGTGGTGCGTCATCAGCTTCACGTACCCGGTCGCGTTCGCGACAGTGTCCAACTTCCTGCCGCAGATCGTCGCGCGGCTGGGCTACAGCACCATCAAGACGAACCTGTGGACCGTCGCACCCAACGCCGTGGGCTTCTGCTTCTTGCTGCTCGTCACTTGGTCCTCTGATCGTCTACGGGAGCGCACGTTTCACATCATCTTCTCGCTCGCTGTCAGCCTTGCCGGCCTGATCATCCTCGCTGCTATCGATCCGCTAGCTCGGCCGGCCGTGGCATATGCGGCGACGTTTTTGCTGGCAGCGGGAGCGTATATTCCATCTTGTCTCGTTCATTCTTGGCATAACAACAACAATCTCTCCGAGAACGCGCGTGCGGCAACAACCGGGTTGCTTGTGGGGCTGGGGAACTTGGGAGGCATCTTGAGCGCAGCAACGTTTAGGACTGAGTATGCGCCTGCGTACATACCGACGCTGGTCGCAACAGCGTGTTGCAATGTCACATGCATGATATTCACGCTCGGATTGGGCGGTTGGATGAAGTGGGAGAACAGGAGGAGGGACCGCCTTATGGGGTGTACGTTGAGTGCAGGCGATGTCGATACAGCGGAGTTGAGAGAGCAGGGAGAGAATGATATAAGGTGGAGGTATTTTACGTAGTCATCGAAAGAGGCGACGCTGGGTGCTGGAGCGGCGATACTTCAGCTGAGGAGGAGGGAGTGATGCATGAACTGTGATTCAGTACATTGTTGATAAGTATTTCCCATTACGAACCCGCAGTTTGAACATGACAAAGAGGCCAAAGCTGCCACATCCGGGGTCGAGGAACAAAGGATGCCGAATATAACAAGACGGGGTGGCTTCAACAGATGCAGTAGGCAGCAACTCAGCAATGTGCTACCATAAATTCTTCATCTTCGCAACGTGCGGGCACTCATTCTGGCAGCCAGCCCCGTTGGTGCAATGTCGCGACGCGTCCTTTTCGGCTAGCTCGGCCTTCTCCAGCACCTGCAGACCTCGTTCGCACCCATTCCAAACCCGCAAGGTCTACGCGCTCTGCTGGGAGTGCAGGCGGCAGCGTGACGCGCTTCTGTCCGAGGCGGAGCACCGGGGCGAAGAAGTGCGATTTGAAGAGTGGAAATGGCGCATGAAGTACCAGAGCCCTCAGGCCGAAGAGAGCTCGTGGGGCAAGTGGGAGGCAAGCAGCGGGCAGCGGTCGTCGCGGATAGGGAGGATGAGCGACATGATCAAGTCCGGGTTGCGGAAGAGCGGTGGTGAGAAGAAGTGAGGTAGATCGGTCTTGGCGCCAGCGAGTAGGGCGAGCGAACGACGTGCCTCTCATTACCGATCCGACAGCTACCGTCCAGCTTCGCATCCACCCACCACCACTCAACCCCACGCCCGCGGCCCCGCGCTCCCAGACACTCTCTCTCCACAGCGGCGCGTCGCCAATTGCTTGCTACCGACGCCCTCCTCGCCCGCCCGACCGCTCCTCCGAACAACCCTAGCGCAATGCCGACGCCCGAGTCCGCGGCCTTCCTCGAGAAGAAGCCCAAGGTGCCTCCGACCTTTGACGGCGTCGACTACAACGACAACGCCGCCCTCAAGGCTGCCCAGGATGCGGTGCTGCGTGAGCAGTGGGTCAAGTCCATGATGGCGCGCCTGGTCCGCGAGGAGATGGGCAAGTGCTACTACAGGGAGGGCGTCAACCACCTGGAGAAGTGCGGCCACCTGAGAGGTGAGTTGCGGGCGGCCTTCTGAAGAGCAGCGCCCGCTTGGTGCAGCTGCGACGCTTGACGCAATGGCTGACTGCGATGCCGTACAGAACGCTACTTTGAGCTGCTGAAAGAGTCCAAGGTCAAGGGCTACCTGTTCCAGCAGCAGAACATCGCGCCCAAATAAGCGAAGATGGAGGCGAGTGACGTAGGAATTGGCGTGGATTCAAGGGATAGAGAAAGAGGAAGCAATGGCAAGATATTGGCGAGGTTCGGCCCACGACAAAATTCTAGTGCATACGTGGGCCAGGCAAATGAGCTCAGGGAGCTTGTATCATATTATCGGCACGCTGGGCAGAGACCAGCAACCTCAATGAGCATGTGATTTTTAAAGCTGCTGCGCGGACCTGAGTCTTGAAATATGCCCGACATTTTGCCAGTTGCGCTGCTTCCATCCATTGCTCCCCACTCCACCTTGCACTAAGCGGCACATGGATTCCTCCCGACCATGAGGCTGTGCAGCCCCCGAATCTGCCAGCGAATGCCGCTCTCAAGCCAAGCCGGGCTGAGGCCACCAGGAATTCGATAAGTTTAATCCGCCGCGAGGGAGGGGCAAGAGATCGGCCAGCCTCAAAAGCCCCAACGTCACACCTTCCCCACCATCCACCACAACCCAACTTTTCGACATGCCGTTCCCCTTCGAGCTCCCGACGACATCATCTATCTCCTTCGCCGACTTCTACAGCAGCTCGACGCACCCGTCGCTACCCCTCGCCGCAACAACATGCCGCGGCGTGCTCCGCGACGTGCTCAAGAAGCACAAGCGCCTGCCCCCGCCCTCACAGACGTCCGACCTGCCCGCCGTAGCCACTGCGCTTAACGAGTACATCCCCTATCTTTCTGCGCTAGACGCCGGACTCAGCGCGCGCCACACCCTTCCCGGTACTGACGAAGCAATCGACGTCGCTCTGCTGCGCGACCTGGCCATCGAATGGCGTGCCACCCTCACCGCGCCGCCCTTGCCCGGCCGCGACCCGCCTCGCGTCAAGCTGCACGGCCTGGAGTTTGAGTTGGGCTTCGCTCTGGCAACGCTGGCCTACGTGCACAGCCTGCAGGCTCGCGCCGCCCTACACGCGCTGCACAACTACGCCACCGCCGCGCCGCCCTCTCCCGAGCAGCGCACCGCCGCCATTGCCGCTGCTATGCGTTCCTTCCTCGAAGCTAACGCAATCCACAGCTACCTGGTGCAGCGTCTGGGCAGCATCCCTCCCCAACCAACCAGCACCAACGCCGACATCGGCAGCAGCAGCAGCATCACCAGCAGCAGTGGTATCAGAAAACTCTCCCAGCACCAACACCAGGCAACACCAGCAGCATCAGCTACCCCGCCGGACATGACGCCGGGCGTGCAGACAGCGCTGGCGGAGCTGACGCTGGCCGAGGCTACGCTGATCGCTGTGCTCAAGGACGACCCGTACCCGGCAGTCGTGGCCGAGGACCGCAGTCGCGCGAGTAAGGACTGGATGTTCAAGGCTCCTGACATCCCCAAGGTGCGCGCCCACCTGTTCGCCCGCCTGTGCCTGGCTGCTGCCGAGCATGCCGGGAAGGGGAAGGCTGGATTGGGCTGGAGTAGCAGCAGTGGTGGTGGTAGTGGAGGAGCTGGAGCGGCAGGCGCAACGGCCGGGAAAGTGGACGAGGCGCTAGCCCGGTACTTGGATGATTTGAGAAGAACAGCGAGGGGGAAAGCGTGCAGATTCTTTGGGATCGATGCTGAACTGGAAGGAAAGACAGGCGAGGCAATCGCGTGGTTGAGGGCGGCGAGGAGGGAGTTGGGGTTCTTAAGCGGCAGTGGTTCAGCTGGAGGCGGCGAGGAAGAGAGCAGCAAGAGTAGGGGATTCGCGTCGAGGCTGAAGAAGGACTGGGCGGAGAAGAGGGAGGATCGGAGAATCGAAAAGGGAGCGGATTGGGGAAGCGATGCGGGTAGGTTCGAGGAGGGGCGAGTGGTGGAGATGTTGGAGAAGAAGTGGGTGAAGATGAACGATACGGTGAGTTGCCCTTTCTTTCGACTTTCCCGCCCCTGTATCTCTCTCTATCTTTTATTTCTGCACCCAAACCCGCCATCATCTCAATTACCTTCACATGCAAGCTCTCCGATTATGAAAGAGGAAAAACTCACAATCTCTTTTTTTCTCTCCTAAGGTCGGCGTCCAAACAATCCCCCCAATCGAACCTCTCCTCGCCAGCATGCCTTCCGGCCGCGAGTACCATACACCGAAACCCTATCAGCTGCCCTCCCTCGACGAGTTCACTGTCGCACGCATGCGCGCTCCGCCTGAACCGTCCGCGGGTGGTGGAGGCTTCACAGGTGTTGAGGACGACAGCGGCGACGAGGAGGAGAGTCAGCACCGAGCAGCAGGAGGTGGTGATCCTGTCGGCGCATTCCCAGGTACAAGCGCTGACTACGCTGCGGGTGGTGATAGGGGCTATTATTAATAGCCTCCTGTCTGTACTTTGCCTGAAAGAAGCAGTAGAGGTTTCAGTGCGTAGAGGGCATAAACCTCTTTTTATTCATGTTCCTCATTATCACAGTTTTATTCCGGTGAGGAGGCACCATATCACCAATTAATCAGCTCAGCGTTAGGACATTGCTCAACAGGATGTTCCCCTGTGGTTTTCCTTCGAAGTGTTTCGTCTTTTACCTGGTTTCCTCTCTCACCTGACCGCCACGGCCAGAAGCTATGGTGGCTGAAGCTCTTGCACCAAATTTGCAGCAACCTTGAACTTGGGCGCAACACTAAAATTAAACCCAAGACTGCGCTCTACTTAACCAGGTGCAGGTGGGTACGTCAATGACTCATGAGGACACACTTGCCGACCGGCAAAGGTGGCTCAAAATCCGGCATCGGGGAAGATGCCGCAAGAAAAATGGTTGATTGGACGGTGGGCGCTTATAAACACCTCTTTAGGTATCGTGGATGATCTTCGGATGCGGTCGTTCAGATGGCCTCATACAGGATCCGCAAAACGCAATAGTGCCCAGACGACAAAATTCGCACTGGGCCAATAGTAACCAAGGGTGATATCGTTGACATATTTCGCAACGCCAATGTGCAGGTTAGCTATTAAGTGAATGCCTCCCAAGGGTTTCCTCGCCCGTTAGATTTCGACTTTGCAAAATGTCGGCAAAGCAGGTGGAGCCCGAAGTCGGGGCTATCGAGGAAACCACGTCCAAGCCAGTATCGCGTTTCACGCGATGGTATCGCAGCCCGCTGTTCAACGTCATCGTTGTCGGTCTGATCTCGTTCACGCAGCCTGGAATATGGAACGCACTCAATAGTACGTTGCTTCCAAAAACCGCACCAAACAACACTAACCGTGCAACAGATACCGGCGCCGGAGGTCAGCAGCAGCCGTACCTTGTCAATGGAGCCAACTCTTTGACGTTTGGCATCATGGTTTTTGGTTGCTCTGCCTTCTCCATCCTCGCGAACAAATACGGCTTGAAGAAGATCCTCATTCTTGGCACCCTGGGATATGCCCCGTATTCAGCGTCATTATACGTGAACAACCGCTACGGCACTGAATGGTTTGTTCTGTTTGGAGGTGCCACTTGCGGTATTGCCGCATCTGCGTTATGGGCATCTGAGGGTGCCATCGCACTTGGGTACGCAGACGTGCGGGATAGGGGTAAGTTTACGGGCATATGGTTAGGGCTCAGAGAGCTGGGCCAGCTCATCGGCGCGTCCATCCAGCTGTCGCTGAACGTGAAGAACGGGCAGCGCGGCAAAGTCGGCTACTCGACGTACCTCATCCTCATCGGCCTGCAGTGCCTCGGCCTGCCCCTCGCGTTGCTGGTGTCGCCTCCGGAGAAGATCATCCATCGTGATGGGCGCAAGGTGCAGAACCACCCCAAGAACAAAGCCGTTACGAAGGAGTTCCACAAGTGGTGGGCGCTGCTGAAGATGAAGCAATTCTACCTGCTGATCCCGATGCTCGTGGGGTTCAACTGGAACGGAACGTACCAGGGCATCTACCTCACGCAGTACTTCTCCGTACGAGCAAGGACCCTGGGAGCGCTGACGTCTGGTCTCGCCGCCACCGCAGCCAACTTGGTCTGGGGCTGGGTCTATGATATCAAGAGTGTCAGCCGTCCGGTGCTGGCTAAGGTCACATGGAGCGTTTTCTCCGTCATCATGTTGGGTCTTTTTGCGTGGCAGGTTGCCAACGAAAAGATGTACGAGGACGCAAATCCCAAACCCACTCTTGACTGGAGTCAACCTGGTTTTGGCCGCGGGTTTGCAGTAAATGTGCTGTTTCGGTAAGTCCTTTCCCCGCGAGTTCCAGCATTCACGTGCTGACAAGTGTGCAGTTTCATGAACGAGTCCCACTACATGTTCGTGTACTGGATTCTTGGGACTTTCTTTGACGACATCGAGACGTTGACCTTGGCCGTGGGTTTGATGCGTTCCTTCGAATCCATCGGCTCTTGTCTATCCTTCGGCGTTGGTGCTGCCAAGGTCAGCCCAATGGTGAACTTGGTCATCGCATTCGCCATGTTCGGTATTACCATTCCGTCGACATATGCCGCAACACTCCTCGTCCCAGACCGCCCAGTTGATCTTCGGAAATCAGAGGAAGATGATGACATGACGAGCGAGGCTAGCTAAAGGCATTAGATCTTCTTAATTACCGGGCTGTAACAGTCGAAACATCCGTAATATAGGACACGCATACTTCAAGTCTGTAATATAAATCAGAGCAGCCCATTTTAGGAAGAGTGCAAAAGTAACGTTGCTGGCAGCGAAATGTGATAGCTCTTTTCGTTTTGTTGCGGAATTACCATTCTTGTGAATTGCTTGGACCACTCCGTCGATAAAAACGGGGCAACTTGTCCCAAGGCACCTTTCTGGATGCTTGGATAGTCTAAAAGATATGTTGGTTTAACACGACTCAGCACTTTTTTCCCTGGAAGATGAGGCCTTCATGTCAAAAGCAGGCGATACTATCGATGCTTACTTATTAAGACTTAGTCTACACTGCGCAGACTTTTGGATATAGAGTATAGTAACCAGGGTCGGGGATGCGTTTCATTAGTGGCACAGAACAAGCGGTCGCTAATTATATGGGTTTGCAGAGAGCCCTAGGTATTGGCAACAATATTTGCGTTTAATATCCGTTTTTTTTTTTAAATAAAAACCGCGTAAAGAAGGCCGCGTTTGTTGTTTGCGAAACCCTCCTGGAAGAATTTCAACTTAAAAAGAGAGGCAATGTGACTATGAGTGCAGATTTTGCTGGCCTTTGTATCACGCCTAGCAAGAGGTAGGAACCAAGCATTTCTTGGTTCTACAATCAAAGTGAATGTATGCACTAGCGGCTTTAACACCTGCAGTGCCTGATAGCAGTCACAAGTCAAGTGTAACTTACTTCTCAGCCCGGATCCTCCCTACTTCTCTTCTGCACCGCCTTAATATTCTTCTACCTAACAACAACCCTCGAGACTCTCCAGAAATGGCACTCCTCATATGCAACAGCCCCCAAAACCACGAACTCAGCCCCCAGGAAAAGCCCATGGTCACCAAGTAAGTCCCGTCATACACTCAATTATTTACATATTAACCCTTTTTCCGTGTAGAGAAACCACCGCTGTCGGCTCGGAGATCAGTATAGCCAAGCTTCCTCAGGAAATCATCGAGAAAACTGCCTCTTATCTACCGGCCGGGTGCCCCGACACTGAAATCAAAGAAGATTATGAAACTCAGACCCCGAAGGATATTATGAATCTTCGCCTCACGTGTCGACAGTTAGACCGCAAACTACAGTACCATTTCGTCCACGAGATCATCCTCTCAAAGAAGTGGCGCTATGTAGCGAGGGGGAACTGCTCTTCGTTCGAGGCAGATCCGATCGGCCTACGAACTCTGAATGCGGTTACCAAGATCGACGTCTTACGTACGTCGATGCGCCGCATTGAATTTGAGGTCCCAATGCTTAGCCATCACGGTCTTAATCTCGTTGCTGGTGATTGTGTCTCGTATGAAGACATTTCTACACACTTGGCGAGGTTGAACCTGTCCAACTACAGGTCGGGGGATGTCATTCCCGCCCCATCCGCCACCATGAGCTTACACAAAGTGTACCAGCGCCTCCTTGATGACCAGGAGTCCGTTCTCGCACCCAAGAGCTGTGACGAGTTTATGATGGAGTTGTTTGGCCGCGGTTTTCCTGATCTCAAAATTATTTGCATTAGGAGGACCTACGATCGCGTACTTGGGCCATACAGTTGGAAAGCACGGCTGTCGGACCCCAGAATCAAGAACTACCGAGGATATCCAGCCGATTATGTTGAAGCCAGTCACAAAGCGCTTTCACAGGCAGCTTCGGCAGTTGTTAAGAGTGTTATCAAAAACGGAATCGAGCTCGACAAGCTCATAATCACGCAAGGCTGCCGGTACGACATCAATATCGACGAGGCGGCTGCTGGGATTTGGATCTTTGATCAGCCTGCAGAGGTCCTTCAAACAGCCAATATCAAGGAGCTATGTCTGCAGCTTTCCAACGGAAGCAAAGGATCCACGCCTGCTGGGTGGACGAAGGAGCGTGGTTGCGAAATCCTCATTCGCGTAGTCGACAACCTGCCCAACCTCGAAGCGCTTTCCCTCGCCCCAGCCAGATACGAGATACTCGAGCCCTACTTCGTTGCCGATTTGTTGAGCCACTGCTCTGGCAAGATCAAAGAACTCCATCTCCATGACTTCGCCGCTTTCGCTGATACTCTCGGCGCTTTCTTTTCCAAAAACGAGAGTTCCTCCATGCACACAATCAGCCTCACCAAGGGCCATTTGCTGGGCGCGAGGTGGCTGCCACTCGTGCAGCAGCTCCACGACAACACCAACTTCACTAAAATCCAGCTCGGCTATCTCTACGAGCTCGCAGCAGAGCACTACTACCTACTCGGCTGGCAGTGTTATGACTCAGACAACTGCTGGTGCGGCATGGGAGCATGGGACGAGGGAAGATGGACGCCCGGCTGCTGTGACGGCGAGCATCACGTCAGCCTGAACCCCTCGGGGTCTGACACGGACCGCTCGTGGCTAGAGGCAGGACTCTCGCACATTCTGGCGCACGCCGAGGCGCGCCTGTACGAATGGACCGACAGGTGTAGGAGCAAGTGCGGCACTTTCATCTACGTCCCGCTCAAGCACGAAGTGTACGCCAAGGCCTTCTTCGGGTGGCCTGAGCCTGACTATGATACGGAGGACGGGCTGACGGATGATAACGATGTTCTTGTTGATCCCATGTTGCACGAATTCGAATACGCTGTTGGGAACCATCCAGATGATCTCCAACACGAGGAAGAAGCTAACTATGAAGGTGATGGGGATGACTGGTGGCTGCAGGGAGGTGCAATGGATTGTGGAATATGAGAAGAGGACCTAAGGCAGGATGCTCGATAAACAATTAGCCCCTAAGCCGATTGATCTATGGAACTAGCAGACATGAATATGAAGGTAGTGCTGTAGGAAGTATTTAATCCATACAAACCTGATCGAATTCGCAATCCATTTGCTTTAAAAGAAGAAAGATTGACTTAAGATTAAGAAGTCCTAGATACGCTTCTTGGGTTTCTTTCCTTTTTTTCTGGTGTCAAATGTGTGGTATGTTCTGGGAGTAATGATAACACACTACAAACTATTGTGTGTACGGAGAAAGACTTTAATAACAGAAAGCCTCCGCTAACTAGAGAGAAAAAGGAGTTCTGAAAACGAACGTTTGTAAGGGGGATCTGCCCGATCTTTCACATCATCAGATGGTATGACGTTCTGCTCAAAGCAAAGAGCATAAAGAAGAACGACGCCATCTGACCTGTTTTTCTCTTTCTCATCCAACTCCGTCTGATTAGCAGTCTCTTCTTTCCCTGCTCCAAGTCTCCACATTACTCCAACAAGAGAGCGCAAAGAAAGAAAAAAAATTTACGGCTGGTGTAGTGGGATACTGCTGAGGATAACGGGAATGATGACGATGGCGATGATGCGGCTTTGTTAAAAGGATCGTTGAACAGTAGCAAAGAAAAAAAAAACGGTACGGATGCTCCGAGAAGAAAGCCAAAAAAAAAAAAGAGGCTCAATTGCTCGATTCCCCTTGAAAACAACAACCCAATCATTCACTCACAACGTCAAAGACGTGTCCAGGTCCTCTTCTATTCGAGCACCGGACCGGCAGTGCCGATTTGACCCTTCGCGGCTAAGACGCTGTTGAGTGCATCGCGGACTTCGAATTCCTCGATGACGGCACCGAAACTAGCCGGGAAAATCAGTATATAAACGAGCCCGGCGTAGAGAGAGTGGCTTACCCATAGCACCGCACTTTCGCCAGCAGGTCGCCCTTCACTGCCTCGATGTCCTCCTTGGCCAGCTCCGAGAAGCGCTGGTCCTGGATGATGGACACCCAAGCCATGACAGGCGTGATTTCGCCCTCCATGGTGGGCAGGCGATGCGACAGATCGAGCAGCTTCATGAGGTCTGGCTGCGACACGTCGAGCATCTTGTGCGGGTACTTCTCCTCGGGGTGCTGGGCGATGTGAGAGTGCGGCGGGCACGTCTGCATGAGCGCGTGACCCGACACGTCCGCCTCGTTGTCCTCGGCCCGTACCAGCAGGAATTGCATGTGCTCCATGCATGGCTTCTCGAGACTATTGCGGCGAAAGACGTGGGTGTCGCATTAGAATGGCGTTCTTCTTTTGTTTTTACTTTTTCTTTGAACTAACGGCGGATTGCGAGTCGACAGAGAAGAGAAATGATGCAAGATAGAGGAAAAAGGCCCCTGAACCTACCTCATCCGGGTAGGCGCATGGCGTGTGGCTGATGGATTGCAAAAGCAAGTGTGTCTACTGCTATTGCGGCGGAGGAGAAAGGTAGGGTGTGCGGTCGTACGTTAAGACAAAGTCTATGCCTATCTGGTCATAGTCCATACCGGTCTGAGCCGGTTGCAGTTGGCCATGCGGCTGCTGAGGGGGGATTCCCTGCATGGGAAGGCCGGGGGCAGGGCGCGCGGGCATTGAAGGCGGCGGCGACGTGTAACCGGTCGAAGCTGTACCTGCGTGGTAGCTTCCAGAGACACTGCCACGTGAGCTGCCTCCATAGCTGGAACCTGCCATCTGCTGGAAGGCACTGGCAGGGCTGTTGGAATCGAAGGCGATGCCGTGAGCGGCGAGAAGCTCCTTCAGGCGGCGATTCTCCTCGGCGACGGCGTCACGCTCTCGTGCGGTGTGAGAGAAGAGCTCTTTCAGGCGAAGCACTTCTTGCTCAAGAGCCTTGATGTACATCTCTTTGCGCTCACGATGCGTTCTGCGGCGCTAGTGAGACGGAGCTGCTTTGCAGAAGATGAAAAAGACGTACCGCTGAGCCTGGCGATTGAGCTCTTGCCTACGCGTCAAGGCAGGCTTGCTGTCGGGCTTCGGACCACGCCTCTTAGGCGGTTGTCCATCTGTACGCGCGTCAGTAGAGTGTGAGGGAGATTGAAGGCACTGCAAACTGACCTCTTGTCTTTTTGTCGGTGCCATAGTTTTTGAAGAACGGGAAGTTGGATAAGGGAGCTTTCGAAGTTGGGTCGGCTTCTAGAGTGGAGTGTGGCATGTGCCTCTCACCCTGAACTAAGCCTCCCGGCGCACTCTTGCCGGCGACGTCATCAACGGGATGTTGGGACGGCGGGCTGGGCAAGAGTGCGTCGGCAGGCAGTTCGTGGGGAGAGAATTCGCCACACGCAGTTAGCGTGCTGTCCCAAGAAGAGTGCGATTGTTGAGAGACCATCATGACTGGGGTGTGATGAAGAACAAGCAGGAGAGGAGACAGGGTAAATAAGGACTCGCTGGCAGGGGGGAGAGACGAGGAGCTCTGGACGGCAGATGGCCGTGGAACGCGATACTGGCAGCGAGGTGACGGCGGGGCGGCAGGCAGAGGGGAATTTGTCAAAGGGAGGTAACTGGGAGGTAGCGAGAGGGACAAGACTCACCGAAGCCGTTGGTGCCGGCGGCGAAGGCGGCGTCCATTGCGTGGTTCTGCGAGAGCTGGGCCATGCTGCTACCGGGCGGGCATGCTTTGGTGGTGAGGATGGAGGTATCTGCGATGGAGTCGGAGTCGGGGTTGGGTTTAATAGCTCAGGCAGGCACAGACAGGGCGAGCCAATCGGGACAGTAGCGTGGGCGCGGGCAGGCTTGTCTGACAGAGCTGAGGCGCAGGGCAGGGCGGTTTGCTGGGCAGCGGCAGGGCGGGCGGGAGCACGAGAAGCACAATATGTCAGCGACAGCAGGCGTTTTGGTGTTTCCAGGCAGCTGTCGAGAGCGATTTGGAATTGCTGTGTCTGGCGGGAGCGGAGCTGGCGGCGGGCCGTGCTTAGCGGGCTGACGAGGAGATGCCTGCGGCGATGTGCGCGGGGGGAAGGGGTGCCAGTGCGCGGCTTTGCAGGCGGGAAGCCGGTCCAGGAGCACCTGCGGGTGCATGCGGCGGCTGAGGCTGCAAAGGGAGCCTGCCGCCTCCGCCCGCTCGATACGCGCGAAATGCCCAGCGACAGCTCCGAGCAGCTGCCCCCGTAATCGATCGCCGTCCGCCGATCACCTGCGATCCCTCATGACTGCCCCTCCAACTCAGCCACGACCATGCCCACCACCGTCACCGCGCCTGTCCGCGCCCTGCGCGGCGTCGCCGTGCTCTCGCCCTGGCTCGCCCACCTGCTGGCCGTTGATCTGCTGCTGTCGCTGATGCTGCCGCTCAAGCCGCTTGCCCCCACCGTCGTCTACAATGTCTCGTCTATCCTCGCCAATTCCGTCTGGTCGTGGATCCAGCGCATCTTCACGCGCCTCAACCGCGCCGACATCGTCCTGAGCACCAACTGCCCCGCCGGCCTGCCCCGCGGCGAGTCGGCTGTCGTCATCGCCAACCACGTCGCCTGGTCCGACTTCTACATGATCCAGGAAGCCGCCCGCCACGCCGGCATGCTGGGCCGCTGCCGCTGGTTTGCGAAACGCAGTCTGCGCTGGGTGCCGTTCCTGGGCTGGGGCTTGTGGGCCATGGGCATGCCCTTGGTCAGTCGCAGCTGGGCCACCGACCGCGCCGAGTTAGAGAGGGTCTTTCGAGGCATTGTGTCCAACCGCTGGCCCGTCTGTACGTCTGCCATGACAATTCCCAACCCTCCCCAAACCCTGCCTGCACCCTCCCGTCCAGCGCCATTTACGGCGTCGTATCAGCTGCACTCACCCGGATGCTACCATGTCCCGGCACGTCGGTGCTTCCAAACGTGCTACCTCTGATCGAGTCTGTTGCTATCTTTGTTGATTTTGTACCACGCGTGCCTGTTGCTTGTTGATTGAATTGCAGTGCTCTTAACAATCGCGCTTGTTCCCAATTCCTCCGCCCTCCGCTGTTTCAGCCTTGAGCACCAAACCATACCCGTTCCTATTTCTATCTTTGTCTTCACCCCGCCACAAACATTTCTATCTTTGAACACCACGTTGCCGGGGAACCGCCCTCATGACCGGATTCACGACCACGTCACCGCAATACTACATCACCACACCACACCGCCCTACCATACACCTCTCCATTCCCCACACTCCCCCACAAACGTTGCTGCCACGCGCACAAACATCCACCAAACAGCACGAAGCAAGACGAAACTAAAAAAAGAGCCAGAGAAAATGATAGAGAGCAAGACTAACACAGCCACCCCCTTCGCCCTTCTCCCGGGGGCGGCAACGGGGGGAAAAATCAACAGGGCTCATCTCCTACAGCGAAGGCACACGCTTCACACCCGCTCGTCACGCCGCCGCCGTCTCGTACCGCGCCGCCGGCAACAAACCGCCACCACCCTCGCCTTATCTGCTCGTCCCGCGGCCCCGCGGCTTCGCCGCAACCGTCACCGCCTTGCGTCGCGGAAGCGTGGAAAGCAGCGGCATCGCCGCCAACAGCCACGTCCGTGCCGTCCTTGATGTCACCATCGCCTACGCCCACGGCAGCAAATTCATGCAAGCTCCCCCGTTTTGGGAGACCATTGCGAATGGTAATTTGTCGAGGGGTCCGAGTGGGTACAGGTTCTATGCACACGTCAACCGGTGGGACATGGACCAGTTGCCCGAGGGAGAGGAGGCATTGGCAGAGTGGTTGGAGGAACGGTGGAAGGACAAGGGGAAGAGGTTGGAGGAGTTGAAGACCATGTTGGACCGAGGGGAGGAGTGGGTAGGCGATGAAAATGTTGATGCTGCTGCTGCTGTGGACAGAAAGAAGGATGAGTGACATAGCAAAACCGTGTGTGGTGGCTGGTCTTGTTAAGGTATGTAGGGTCCTATGTTTTTTTTTCCTTTTTTATTTTGGAAAGCCGGTGGTCTGGCACTGTTAGTGTTTTAGCTCCTGGAGGGTAGGGCCGCTGGTGGTCGTGTAAATGTAGTGGTAGCCATGGACTGGATACTAGGAAATAATATGTAAGCAGTGTCTCGTAAATGCAAATGTCATATGGATGCACGGGCTATTATTGGGAGAGATAAGCCAGACTTTCCTTTCAGTAGCAACGGTCTTGTATACGCAATTCGCGGTTGGCTCTCGTCGTCATCCTTCAGAACTAAGCACCACAGAGCAAAATTGCTACGGTTGTATATACATCCTATTGCCTGTAAGTAGCACATATGTAGTTTATGAGATAGAAAGATGTATATTATACTATTTAGCCGGTACGGATTCTCCCAATATTAGAGGCGAAGTATCTGGAAGGCAGAGTTTCCTTATATAAGTACTGCCCGGCCTAAACCCTTACCTTCCCAAACGCGTTAGATTCTAGCCAACGCTTAAATTTATAGCATAGTAGTACTTGCATAACGATTTTTTCCGTCTCAAACCTTCAACATTAGCAATAAAAGGCTAGCTATTTCTGTTCAATACATTACACATTCCCTTCTTTAACACATCGTCTTTCATCTTTCTCTCTTCCCACCACCTCTTCCTCGATACAACCTTCAGTTTTGACAACGCTAAAAGTGCAAGGAGACAAGAATAATAGAAATACCCAACGCCACAAGCACACAGCCTCACAAGAAACTCCAGACAGGAAAACCCCCGCCTGGCCCGTCCCCAACCTTTGAAGAATCGGGATCTTGCAAGCGATGGAGTCGAAACTAGAACAAGGGATTGAAAGAAGCCAAAGCAACACTCGATACACCTGCACTAAGCGCAAAGTTCGAGAGAGAGCAGGCTAAGAGCGTTGAATATCAACGCAAAAAGAGAGAAACGAGAAACTGTACCTTAACCCAGACATTTCCTCCTTAAAAATTTTCAAGATTTCAGCGAGCGGCGTGTACATCAGAAACGGGCGTCAACGAGAGAGAAGCAAAAGAAATTGGGACGGGGCGTACAAGACCTTACAGGACACTACAAAAAGGGAAAAAGAAAAAGGAAAAAAAAAAGAGATCCTTACAGTCGTCTGAATCTCTAGAAGGGGGGAAAAATAAAAGGTGATAATTCGCTCCACCGGTCAACAAAACAGGGACATATCTCCCAAAGAATAAATGTTATACAGAGAGAGAACAGAAAGGCTTGCTCGCTCGCCGCACGACGAACGTCAGTCTGAGTTGCAAAGCAGATGTGACAAATTGCTCAAAGCAATCTGTGCAGATCATAGCGAGACTAAAGGGGTATCTGAAGGCAAGAAGGAAGAGCAAAAGGGAGCAAAGAAAACAAGGAAATACAAGAAAATGACAAAATTACGGACGTGGAAGGGGCCGAGAGTATAGGCACAGCTGCAAGCCTTGCCGGGGAGGGGAATCCGAAGAAGTGCATGTCTAGGCAAGGGAAACCTTGCTCGGTGGTAAGCTCCCCCCGGACTAGAGAGCTACCCCGCCGGGCGGCAGCCAGCCACGCTGACGCCAGCCTGCAGCCTCGAACCAACTCAACCACCAGTTCCAGAACCACTAATTTCTTCTTTTCTTCTTCCTTGCATGAATGGAGCATCCTCTAGACGAAAGAGGTATAGAACGAACACAATCGAATGGGCGCGAGACGTGTGCGCGCACGCACATGCCCCACCACCCCGCCGAACGGTTGTGAAACCGCAACCGTCAGGAAGAAGCCGGGGCCACCGTCAGCCCAACAAAACCCAACGTGTATACAGGACACGCTTATGAAGCGCAGAGCGATAGGAGAAAGAGTAGGGGCACCGGGTCGCTAAGCAAGGGCGCGTGCGTGGCCTTGCGGGAGGTCGTGCGTAAGGGAGGTGCGCGTGCGCGGAACAGGGCGTCAGCATGATTCGCGGGGAGGAGTTGACCGTTGGCGGGGTGTAACTACGTCTGGCCATGGCGTGGGCGTGGTGGGGTGCGTGGCTGGGTAGGATTCCACACCCGTTTATGCGGAATGACGGCGATTGTGCTCTGCCTGGGCCCCGTTGCTGCGCGCCGGGAGAGTGTTGCGTCGGTTGCGGCGGCCACCGAGGCACGCGGTAAAGAAGCTTGCGATCGTTTCTCGGAACGTTCTCGAACGCACTATAGACAGAGAAAGCGCGACAAATTAACATTCATCCCATGTTATAAGGGGTAAATTTTTACAAAGGAATGTAAGTGGTAGGACGTTTGATGTGTTGTGTGGCTTCTTTAAAAAAGGAGTGTTATGCGTGGGTTCACGATGATGCAGATGATGATGCAGGTGCTGTGACGTTTTCATCGCCAGCAACAGTAGTAGTAGCCTGCTGCTCGCCCGTCGTTGGTGCTGTCGTCTCCTTACCCTTCTTCTCCGTGTCCTCCTCCTCCTTGACGTTGTCACCCTCCTGATTGTTGTTGAAGCTCGGGGCGTCAAAGCCCTTTTCTCTGACGACATCCGACGACACCCTCGGAGTGTTGTCATCTTGCGGCGCAAGGTTTGTGGGGGTGGCCTCCGGTTCTCTGGCATCGTTGTCTTTAGTAGGAGTCGATGGTGCGACAAAGGAGGACTTGTCGTCCACCACAGCGGTGCTTGCGCTGATCGAGTCGACCTTGGTCATGTCCTCCTTCGAACCAGCGTTGTCCTTGGCGGGCACGTCCTCGTTCAATACGCTGTCGTCCTCCTGGAGTGAAAGCGAGGAAAGATCAATCTCCTGGTCTTCCGGTATAGCCAGGGCCTCCTCGAGAGCCTTGATGGCGTCATTGGTGGCCACAGTCATCGTCGATTGACGGTTCGTTGTGGGACCCGTGTTGCTAGCGAAAGTCTGACCGGTGGGCGAAGGTGTCTTGGGGCCACCGAGGCCGAGAGGACGTGGCATAGCCGAGTCGACCGAGGGGCGAGGGGAGAAGGCGTCCAGTGAGTCGTTGCTCTTGTCGGGAAGCGTGCTGCTACCGAAGGGGGTCAGGATAAAAAGAGGTCGACAGCATCGAGGGGTATTGGGAAGACAGGCAACACAACGGCGGGGGCGGGGCATTCAGGCTTACTGCGTGCTGAGGTTAGACTTGATGGAGGGGGCGCTCTTCTTGCTGGCAGCAATCGACGCGGCCTCACTGCCGGCCTTGCCGAACGCTTGCGCTGCCTCGAGCGACACCCTGGGCGTCTCATCGTTTTCCTTGTCCTTCTTCGAGGAGGCTATTGAGGCGCCGGACGACGCAGTCGCTGTAGACTTCCTGTCGCCGGCAGCGTTCAGCGGGTAAGGCGAAGCGAAACCCGCCTTCAAGGGAGCAGTAACGATGGAGGTCTCGGGCTCAGCAACATCGCCAATCTCATCCAGAAGCTCGCCGAACTCGTTCCACTCTTCAACTTCAGTGATGCCCTGCGACACAAAGCCAAGGTCAGTATCTTGCCATTGGGGTCCAACGTGTACCGCAGAGGGTAGTTGCGAGCCTTCGTACGAGTACGAGGAGCATCCAAAGTTGCTCGTGCTTTTCCGAGTCGGTGAAAGAAAGTGGTACTTACACCAAGGAAATAACCCTCCTTCACCAGCAGCGGGAACTTCTTGCCCTGTCCCCTGCGCATGTACAGCCTCCTGGCGTCGTCATTTGTGGCAGTGTCGATGTAGGTGAAGGGAATGCGGTTCGCCCTCAGAATAGTCTCGATGCGCGAGGTAGCGGTGACGATGTGCGAAGAGCCGGCCGTGAGGGAGGTGAAGAGGTAGAGGGTCATGTCATTGTCCCACTTGCTCATATCGGACGCCATGGCTGCGGTTTGGTGCTTCTTTGTCGTTGAAGGAGAAAAGATGCGGTCCAAGTTCTTGCGCGGTCGTCGAGACAGGTGGTTGCTGCTTCTGCTGATGAAAGCTGCGAATGCTTAGGGGTCCGCGGGGCTGATAAGCCTGGTGCAGCGCAAGCACGCAGCTTTGGGCGCTGGTCTCGAAATTTTTTTATTCTTTTCGTCCAAGGCGCGCGCGAAGGACTGGCGTGGCTCAAGGCGCGCGGTAGGCTGAAACAACGACGCTGGCCTGGCGGTGGGGTTTGGCGAAAGGGAGGGACGGGGACGCGCGCGCGCTCTGGCGGGCAATTGGCGAGCGAAGAGGGAGGAGGGCAACGATTATCGATATCGCCTGCGACAGGGGCTGCCCTAGTACCAAAGCAAAATGATCAGCCGTCCACCGCCGGTTCCTATTTGGGCCGTTCCTTCCGTGTGTGATGCTCCCGTCACCTCGTCTTCTTTGCAACCGCCAATGAGCAACTTTTTCTGCTCGACGGAAGCTCGCGGCTGCTATTCCCACGTGCGACGCGAACGGCGTCCAGGCTGGTCTGCTGGCGACACGAGCGCCTCGCCTGGCTTGCCCGTGGGGAATTGCGCCCGTTGGCGAGCAACGTTTGATTGCAGCAAGGCGCCGCTAGACCCGAACAGGCCGGCTCTTTGATACGAAAGGGTGACCTGCACGGAGCTGATGTCTTGATTCTCTGCAGCCCTGGCCGAGCGGAAATTGCATGATGAGCAGCCCGGGAATGACGCAACAACTGACACTGATCCTCCGTCGCCCATCGTTCCCTTGGCTTGGGTCGTTTTACTGAACAACCGCCTCTGGCCTGGCGGGCTGTCCAGTCGAGAAGAGCCACCGCCTCCCTATTGTATGACATCGGGGTTGCCGTATATCACGTCCCGGCCTCTGTCCCGTGTGTCCAGGGGGCCATGCAGGGAAGTCATGCCACGGCACGGCATGGGAAACGAGAAACAAGCACAATGAACCTAAAAGAAGACAGGTATTATTCGTCGATAACAAGCCGCTCTGAAAGCCTTCAGGATCCTTTTCTTCATTTCCGCACTCCCAAGCATCTGGTACAAACATGGCTATTTCAAGCCGCCCGAGCGTTCTGCCTCCACAGCCTTAGCCGAGGGACTCTCGGGGCGAGGCGTTGCGTCTTTGCCCTCCAACACGTCTGTCTCTCGCCCGAGCATCATGTGCTCGATGTTGACCTTCGGGCCCTTGAACCACTTGTGCGCCGACACAGCCCACCAGATCAATACGAAAAGCATCGGGCCGCCGTACACGAGGCACGTCCAGTTCATGCCGGCAGCACTATGGGAAAGAAAACGTCACGTTAGCACTTCGTCATCAAGGCACGGGGCGCGCGACTTACTCAAGGTCGTCACCGACGGTGGCGGGCAGGCAGAGGATGGGCACCATGAGCGCCGTGAAGCACGAAGCAATGATGCCGACGGGGATACTCAAGCGGCCCAAGTTCCAGGGCCCGGGTCTGAAGTTGCCCCTGGTGAGGAAGACTCGGATGAAGATCGGGGTCGTGAAGGCAACAAACGCAGCGATGGCGCCGATCGAGAAGAGTGCACCGACCGCCAGCTCTCCGCCGAAGATGAGCAGCGTGAGCAGAATGCCAATTATAGCGTTGAACCAGACGGCATTGACAGGCGTCTGGGTGTAGCCGTTCACGCATTTCCAGTATTTCGAAAGCGGGAAGCACTCATCGCGCGCGTACGCAAAGGTGACACGGGAGGCAGCAATCATGCAGCCTTGGCCCATAGAAAAGCCAGCAATGATGGTCAGGGCGAGGATGGCCATGGCCATCTTCTGTGGTACACACTGGATGAGGTACGCCGCGAAAGGCTGGCCCAAGTCTGAATCCAGGACGTCGTCGATGTTGACGACCGTGTAGGCGACGACGAGTTGAAGGAACCAACCGAAGATGCCGCCGATGCCCGAAGTCATGACGATAGCCCGAGGCGAGGCAACGTTGGCATTGGAGCATTCCTCAGCCAGATGGAAAGGGGAGTCGTACCCAGACATGGTCCAGATGACACCAATGAAACTGGCAAGCACTCGAACGCCAGCTGGGAACTCCATTCCTTCATAGATGGTACCCCAAACTTCGCTTGACGGCGTGAACCGCGGTAAGCCTTGTTCCTCACGGTTCGTACCAGCCGGGATCATGATGATGACTGCGATCAGAGCCAAGATGTTGAATGTCGAACCAACCGAGTTCACATGAGCCAGCCACCTCGTAGGCAGACTGGACATGAATGCATGGATGATCATGAGCAAGGTTGTAAGCAGGAAAGTCTGGTAGTTGGTCGGCACGTATGCGGGGTTATGAATCGAGGCTGCAGCGAGAATCATGGCCGCTACGCCGTAGTCGACCGAAGGGGCGGCCGTGACCTGAGCAAGCCAGTTGCTCCAGCCGGTGATCCATGCTGCTAGCGGGCCCCAGCCTGGCGGGGCGAGAACAGCGGCTGCATAGTAGAGACCGCCGCTGGTTGGCATCGAGGAGCAGAGTTCTGCCATGCTGGAGGCAACGCACTGGATACCGATCATGGCAACGAGCCAGCCCCAGGTCATACCTGCATGCCGTCAGCACCCGTAAGACTTGGAGAGACAAAGCTAGAGCACAGCTTACCAGCAGTGCCCGCATAGCCCATGCCATAGTACCTGGCCCCCGTCAGCAATGCGTCCCGTAGCAGGAAACACGTCGGGCATCACTAACAGCGTGCTCGCAAAACTCGGTAGCAGACCCAACACAGCGAACGAGACACAAAAGGTGGTAAACAGAGAGAACTCGCGCTTAAACTCCGACTTGTATCCAAGCGCCGCGAGCACCTCCTCGTCGGCATTGAACTCGTGATTAAGGTCGTACGGGACGTCGCCACCTGCAGGATGATCGTCAGCTCACATTCACCAGGATCTCTCTGGTATAACTGACCGGGCAGGACAGATGTTACCGGCTCGTCGGCTACGCTCCGCTTATGGTGCGCAGGGCTGATGCTGCGACTCCGCTCCGTCATCTTCGCTTTCCACCAACAGGGCCTCCAGTTTTCAGGAGATGACAGAAGAAAGGAATAGCAAAGGTTGTTGATGGGTTGGCCTGAAGGACCGAAAAGGTGGTTCGTCAGCGAGCTGAAGGCGGCGCCAAAGGGTCGATAAGTATAAGTATGGAAGTGGGTGCGGCTAGAGCCTTAGGCAGTCGTGGGCGGAAGAACCCCAGGACGCATGCGTACGCCGTCGATCGGATAATACCAAGACGGCCGCGAAGCCGTATGTGGCATGTCTAGCCTGAGAGGCGAGAGATAGCCGTTCAGTCCCACCAACGGGCCGACCATTCACAGTGGGAGCTTGAGCGGGGGTGGAGAAGATGGGCTGAACGACCAGCTCGATGGCCAAGACCGCGCCCCGATAACTGCCAGTTATGGGATCATGCACAGCGGCTGTACGCCAGCTGTTTGGGCAGAGGGCAGATCCGGAGCTTTCTCAGCCCTCAGGCTGGAGGATTCTTGACAACGGCAATTCGGTTTGTGGAGCGAGGCTCTTATCTTTGCAGCCTTCTTCGGCGCGCCGAACTGGATTTGGGCGATAAAGAGAGAACTGTGAGAGGCCGATGGCCCGCACTCATTTCGTCTGTTGGCGGAAGCGCTCCGAACTGCTGCGCAATCAGGATCGAGAGGTACTCCTGCTAAGAGGCCGTCCAACTCCTGTGTACTGCCCGCGTGCCTCTCTTCTGCGCTTGCCGAGAAAGGCTATGGGCTTGAGATGATCTCGAGCGCCATTGACGCTCCCGCCTCTCACAAACCAGCATTTCAACGGGCGAGCCCGCTGTCACCTACCGTCGCGCATCCGTCCCTGGCATCTGATCCAGGCGCATGGGAACTATCTCCAACATCCGCTTGTCCTGACACGCAGCTTCTCCGACGGCGCCGCACGTATTCTGGCTGGACCTACCGCATCCAGTAAGCGCGCGTGTTTCACAGCCTTGACTTCCCTATCTCTGCGCCGAGATCTGCTTTTTGGAGGCGTCAATCGTGCTGCTGGCTGGTCATGAGGGGTTCCGTACGCTGCCGTGGGCGGTTGATAAAGCGCAGATAACCGATCAGCAATGCGTGTGGGGAAGCCCGCTATTTGGTGCGCTAATTGCTAATGAATTCCGCACCCCAGCCCTCACGTTCGCATAAACACCCCTCCCTTCCCAGATACGATACTCTACCAGATGCTTGTCGCGCTCTCATTATATCGGATCGTTGCTCCGAAAAGAAATAAAAAAAAAACACAACGAAATGAAAGTTGGGATATCAAAAATGGGTAATGCACGCCGTATCCTCCAGTGAACCCAACCCAGCCCGGACGCCAGGTCAACCAACCAATGCACCCCGAACGCCAGCCTCCTCATCCGTCCTCGTCAAGTCTGTGGGCGCAAGTCGCCTAACAACAGCTTCATGGTTCTCGTAAGAAGAAGACATTGCGCATGAGGATCAGCTCTTCCCAGTGAACCTCATGAACCTACTACTCCCTTTCTTCTGCTTCGATGATTTTGCTTCAGCGCTCTGGCGCTTTCCTTCATCACCAGGGTGTTCGAGCCGGGCCAGAGCCTGAGCATTCGATGAGGGCGGCATCCGTGCTGCCCTGGTGACCGAAGCAGTCCTCCTTTCCGCATCGGCAATCTGTTCCTCAATGCTCTTCTCCGGCGCGCCGCTTATTGGTGAAGACGTGATGAAATCCAAATCATCGACGCCACAACTTCGCGGATATCTTGTGGGCCAAGGCTCGGAGGACTCGGCAGGTTCTGCCCACGGAGCAATCTCTTTGGGGGTTATTGATGGGAGCTTGCAGATGTTTCTGTGTGCGAATGTTTTCGAATGTCTATTTTTTGGATCCTTGGGCTCTGGTATCGGGGTCGGCACTTGACTCGCCTCCGCACTGCTCCCTTGCTTCGCTTCGGACATTGTGAAGGCCCCGCTCATCCGCTTCAAAGGGTCACCGACCGAGGCGCGCCTGTCTCGCCTTGGTGGGGGCTTGATAGGCTCGTACACTCCAGTTCCACTGTCGTGTCGGGGGTGCGATTTGATACTGAGCGTCTCCAACGAAGGTGGCGGGGCACGATCAAAATCCACCGATGAGGACTCGACCGACTTCTGAGATCTTCGGCTTGCCTTCGACGACGAGCTGGTCGTAGCGACCGAGTTACGGCGTGCTCCATACAACGTTCCGGCCGAGACGGTGCTTGCTCGCTTCAGATCCGGTTTGGCTGGCTGTGGAAGGCCGTTCCATTTCGTATTGACTCTGGGAACTTCCGAGGGAAGCTTCTGCGAAGACACGCCGGCCATGAATGCTGTGCCCTTCTCTGCTGCCTGCTTTCTCTGCAGCTCGGCGTATTGTTCCAGCGCCCCGGAGGTTGGTTCCTTCACGGCCAGGAAGCTGAAGAACGAGCTCCCTTTCTTCTTGCTTTTCTGCTTGGGCTGGGCATCTGGCGCTGCTTTTGAATGTGCGGAGCTGCCGTTGGGAGTGGCTGGTTCCAGAGCCCAGTCAACCTGGCGTCTTGCGGTTCGCACCTCGGCCGACTTGGTCGGTACCACCGTTATCGCATCATCAGCGTCGGACGAGGTGGTAGTTCTCTGCTCGGGTGCGGCGCTTCTGGCGGGCATGAGAGACAGTCGTGCAGAAGACGATGGGTCGCTGCGGTTTCTGTACGTGAGCGTAGGAATCTTGATGAGCGGGGCTGCGGCGGCTTCTTCATTGCTGGCAGCAGCAGCAGCAGCAGCAGGAGGAACAGTCGCTGGAGGCATGCTCGCTCGATCTAGGTGGCAGCGGGGCCGGGCCAGCCTCAGCTGTGCTAGTGGAAGGGTGGCTTGCTGAGCAGGCGAATTGGCGAATCCTTCGCTTCAACGGTACGATGTGGCCAGCATCAGGCGGCTAAAAGGCACATGATAGCTTTGGCGGGAAGAGGCTAGCAGGTGCTTATTCGCTGTCGTCGGAAATGGAGGTGCCGGGTCGAGAAGGCGCCAAGATATAGAGATGGCGAGAGGGCGGCGGAGGTGGCGGATTGGCCGGCTGTGGTGACACAGGTAGAGGGGTGCCAGGAGGCAATGGTTCCGAGAGAGCAGTGGTGGACTCCTTGCCGGAGGGCGCTTCCGCACGAGTTGGCTAGGGCGGGACAGTGATTCGTCAAGAGAGAAGTGGCCGGTGGTGAACAACGGTAGTGGTTGCGCAAACCCAGAGACTTGGTTAAGCTTCGCGAAATCCTGCCCGGAGATCCTGCTGTGCGAGGTGACGGCGAGCGAGTGTCGAGGTCGTGCTCGGGGGGAGGAGTGCGAGTCGACGCAGGCGTGACTGGGACGACGGCATTGCAGGCTATTTCAAAGCAAAACACCCCCGGCTCAGGCTGACTGTGAGCGAAGATGAGACCAGTGAGACTTGCCGAACGTTTGAAAGCCACGCGAAACACGCAGGGTTCCGACGCGCCCGCATCCAGCAGCAAAAAACGAATCAAGGCTGCCGTCGTCGACGACTTGCAGCTGCGGGCTGGCCGCGATACGAGCACCGGGAGCGGAGGATTGTCATTCTGCATTTGCGGCAGAGGCTGATGCGCCGCCACAGCCTGTTCTTCAGCCGTCTTCGCGTGCCCCAAGGCTGCGCGCGAACGAAGGGGACATGCTCGACTGGTGGTCCAGCAAGGGACCGCTACCGATCACGCAACAGACGGGATGACGCGGTATGCACTGCGCTCGAACTGGAGGCCGGCCTGAGGCACCGAGAACCCGGTCCGGGTGCCGCCACACCACGGTGCGGAGAAAAGAAACGGGATGCTGTGACGCTCGGCACGATCTTGATGTTGGAGCTCCTTGCAGGCCGGGGGCGGCAGCCAAGGCTCGTTGCCGCTGGCCCGCCGCCCGGCAACGGTGGCGCCTTCTGGACGTCGCAACAGAAGACTTCCTGAGCCTCCAGCCCAGCACAGCGCGCGCGGGTCTGTCGCCGGCCCGTGGTCCCAGTCGTCAAGTGCCAGGCCGCCCCTCCAGGCTTGACACCCGCATTCTTCCAACATGCCTGCCCTCGACATCCCCTCACCCGCGAAGGCCAGGAATGACTCAACCACATCGACCATATCGCCGCTGCAGATGCCGCCCGGAGCAGTCCCTGCCCCCTCCCCACAGCAGCCTGCCGTCGAGCAGAAGCCTCCGCAGACGCCATATGCGGGGAGCGGACAGCCCAGCAGCTATGCCCCAGACTCGCCGCCCCGCCCACCAGTGTCGCCCATAACGCCCGTCGCGACAATCGCACAGCTGGCGCCCACCGACCCGGCCGACCGCGTGGTTCCTCCGCCCGCCGTCGAGTTCATCGCCCAGCCGCCCAGCAAGCCCTTCAGCGAGAGCGAGAACACGGATGCCATCGCGCTGCGCTCCGCCATTGCGCTGCTGCAGATCCAGCGCGACAAGAGCAAGCGCGACATCCAGACGCTCGAGAAGATCAAGAACGCCGCCGTCGCCGAGCCCGAAGCTTTTGTTGAGGAGCTCAAGTCGGGCCGCCTCAGGCCCAAGCATGCGAAGAACGACCTCCTAGGCCCCACGCTCAATGGCAGTCTGGACAGCGACAGCGATGACGAGGCCCGCTCACCACGCACCGCGGCGCCTCCACCGCCTCGATTCGGCCCCGTTCCCGAGCCGCAGAACGTCTTCCGCTGCCCACCCATCAACTGGGCCAAATACCACGTCGTGGGCGAGTCGCTGGACAAGCTGCACGCCGAGCAGCAGAAGCGGCCCTCGTCCGGAGCGCCTGGGCAGGCGCGGGCTCCAGTCCATGTCATGGCTGCCCCGTACTCTCCCTTCACCGACCATATCGGCTCCCAGCAGCCGGTGCACGCGCAGACGCGGCGGACGTCGAAGAAGCCTGGCTGAGCAAGGTGCCGCGCGGACTGTGGAGAGCATGCTCTGCATTTTATGAAATGATGAAGTTACGACTCGGTTGCGTTCTAGAAGAAGACATGCGCGCCGCGTCTGTTTAGTTTGACAAAAAAGAAGCATTCGTGTCGCTTCACCGCCACGGATCGAGAGGCCGAAGGTGGTGGTTTCCATGGGACCGCGCGTTTCGCGAGGCTGGGGAGCCACACACAGATCTGCCCGCGCCCCGGCACAGGCCTCTCGGAATAGAACAGCAGAAAATCTGTGGCGGCATGACATCACATGATAGACTGTAATTGCAAAGATTCGCGCCGTTCCTCGTTCAAGCTTTTTATCGTGCGTACTCGGTGGGCGCAGCGCAGAACCTGGCTGAACCCTTGCAGCAGGGCTCCGGGTGCCTGAGTGCCGAGGCGGCCTGAGGCCTGTTTTCGCTGCCAATCGCCCAGACAAAGACCCTGCCACCCGCAACGCCAGCCCTGCGTGATGACGCCGGCGGCCCTAGACGTGCGACAAGCCGCCGAATTAGGCCAAGTCACCGGTCTGCGACACGTCAGTAGTCAGCGTTCGCGTTGCCCAACCAGCCCGTTTTCTTTACCGCAGCCTGCTTCTTGATCTGTGCTTGGAGCTTGCTGTGGCCACTCGACGAGGCGCGGCATTCGTAATGCCTGACATAGCAAGTGATGCCACCCTTCGTGGCTTGGATCCTGCTAGTGCAGCGTCCAAGACTACCAGAAGCCCAGCCTCCAATATAATAGTGGCACGGTATCCTGTTTTTGTGCCACATCCATCACTACAATAACAGGTCTCCTTGTCTTTGTTTGACAGACATCTCGCAACTTTCTACCACCTACGACCTTAATTCCTCGACACTCAACACCATACCATGCGGCCGTCCGCGATATTCCCGGCGCTCTGCGCCATCGCCGCCCTCGTTCTGGGCTTCCTCTGCATCTTCGCTGGCCACAAGAAGGACTTCATGGAGGATTACCACATCCTGACGCTCAACACCAGCCGCATCGGGCAGAACGTGCTCAGCGAGCTGGATTCCTCCAGCTCTAGCAGCTCGAGCAACAGTGTGCTCAGCTGGATCCAGAACGCCACGTCGAGCATCTCCTCGGACATCACCGACGAGCTCAACGACGCCGTCAACAGCGTCGTCGAGTCGATCGCCGAGGATCTCGGACTGCAGGACTTCTACTCGGCGCATCTGATGGACTACTGCTGGGGCGACTACACGCCGCAGGCCGTGGCCAACTCGACGGTCCACGCCGACCAGATCCACAAGAACGTGAGCGGCTGCTCCAACAGCACTGCCATGTTCCACTTCGACCCCACCGAGGTGCTCGAGCGCTCGCTGAACGAGTCGGGGCTCGGCATCACGCTCGACGATCTCAACTGGCCCGACGACATCCAGCAGGGCCTCGACGCGCTGCGCATCGCCTACAAGGCCATGTTCGTGCTCTACTGCATCGCCGTCGGCCTGTCCTTCCTCGTCCTGGTCGGCTCCGTGGCCGGCATCTTCCTCACCGGCGGCCGCCTGTCTGCCTTTGTCAACGTCATGCTCGCCCTCCTTGCATTCCTGGCTTTCGGCATCGCCAGCGCTATCGCCACTGCCGTGGCGGTCAAGGGCAGTGATGTTATCAACCAATACGGCAGCGACATTGGTGTCCAGGCGCACCGCGGCGGCAAGTTCATGGCCATCTCGTGGGCAGGCACCGGTGTGTTGTTCCTGGCCATCCTGGCGTGGTGCGTTGAGTGCTGCATCGGCCGCAGGCACACCAAGAGGAGGACGTTCGCCGAGAAGCCGTGAGAAAGGAAAGATTACTCATGAACTATTTTGACGATGACGAATAAAGAGAAATTGTGGATATGAGGAATTATGAGAGCCGGGGTTCCATTTTGTCTATACATACCCTCCTGTTCAGGCGGCTGTTGTGGCCTGCTACGATTTGGCGCTGGATTTGAATTGCCTTTTTAGATACCCTCCTATCAGGAGCACAGCGTGGTTACTTAAATCATTATTTCTATTTTTTTTTAAACTGTACGCGCTTTCCTCGCTCACGTGTCTATTGAAATCCCCACTCGCTGCGAAATGGGTATAATGCTAAGATACTGACACGTCCTAATAATTACTCGAACCTTCCTGATGCCAAAAGAAAGAATAAAAACGCCTGGCTGCCTGCTTTTGCTAGTGAAGCAAGATAGCGATTCCCCGCAATTTCCATCCAGAAAGTTCCCGTAGTGTACCCCTGATCTCCGTCCCGGTGTCAGATATCCCTCTCCTCGCCCCGTGCAGGCACTGTCCTACCCACCACATCCTACATTCGATCCTAGGCCCGTATCCCAACACATTAACCACCCCATCCCAACCGAAGAGTAAAAGAGCAGACGAAAGGTCGTCAATCATCCCATAACCATCTCCTCGCCTTCGTGCTCGCCCTGCCCGTCACGGTTGGCAACTCGGCCACCACCACCTTCGCCCAATGCCACGCAATCGAAGCACCACGTCTCTCCCTCGGGTCCGCTCTCGATGCAGCATTCCCGGCAGATCTTCCTGCGGCTGTTCTCGCCGTCGACGCCATGACCTTTGGTGTAGCTACCACAGCCGATGCCTTGCTCGCACACGCGCATGCAGATGTAGCAGGTGCGGGCGCCGCACGCCGTGCAGGCTGAGTAGTTGTCCAGGTCGCGCTTTTGCTTCGGGGCGCGGTGGCAGCAGTGGCAGGCGGTGAGGTCGGCGGTTGCTGGCCTCGTTATTATTGCTGGTGATGTCGCGGGCGGTAGGCGAGAGACGGGCCGGTGCTTGTCGAGAGTGACGGGCGACTGGCGGGCGTGGTGAGCGGTGCGACGCGAGTGGGCGAATATGCGGGCATGTTGTTTTCGGCGAGGAGGGGAGGGGTAGAGAGCGGTTGGGTCGGCGGAGGAGTAGGGATAGTCGACGGGGTTATGGTGGTGCGGCGGGAAGATCTTGATGTTTTTGAGGGGTCTACTTCTGGTTAGAGTCGGGGGCGGGTTCGGTGGTTGTTTCAAGGGTCCAGCTTACACAGTGTTGGTGGTGTATTCGTCGCCGCCAGCGCCGCGTTTCCTCTTGCCCAGGTGGTCGGCTGAGTGCTGAGTGCTGTCCGCAGGAGGAGAGTAGTAGGGATGGTCGGCAGCAGCGTCGGCCGTCTTGAAGATCTCGTCGGTAAGGTACATGTTGCGGAGTTTGTGGCGACGGCGGGAATTGCGTTTGATGAAGGGAGCGTCTTGGGTGCAGGCGATGCGTCGTGGTGAAGTGTTGAAGGAGTGGGTTGCACGAAGCCGCCGGGGTTCGGCACAAGAGAAAGAAAGGCTGGCGGCTAGACGTGTGCGGAGGCAGCAGCTGGCAGATGACCGTGATGGCGGATGAGTAGAGAGGAACGCGGCTGGCTCGAGCGCTCCGCCGCAACCCCCGACGACTCGCCGCCTCGACAGCTTTCTGCTCCCTTCGCCGACTCCTGACTGCAGCGTGCACTCCGCCAATTGGTGCGCCTCGCATTCTGCCACAACAAACAAACACGGCTGCCATCCCTTGTTCGGGCTGCAACTAGCCCCGATTCACCTTCACGAAATGACAGGCTGACACACATTCATTACTACTACACTGCGATCAGCAAAGACCAATCAATGCTTTATGTACGCCCTTCAATTGCGCCCAATTCAATCGAAGTAGACGGCCTCGGGCTTGTGCACGCAGATCTTCCCCGACGAATTGCTCTTCAGCACAATCCTCGGATCATCTTCGTTGGCCTTCACATCTTTGCCCTCGACCTTCTTCTGCTCCTTTGCGATCTCAATGACCTCCCCGTCAACCCAGCCGGGCATTGACTTCCAGTGAACCTGCTGTCCCTTTTCCGGGAGCCGATTGTTCGATCCTTGCTCCGCAGGCGCATCGGCTTTGTCGTGCCGGGAACCGACGGTATCCTTCTGCTTTCCTTTGCCGGAATTGCTTTTTTGCTTCTTATTGGCAGGTGAATCTGTCTTTGCAGGCCGTCCGCGCTTCCTTCCTTTCGGGGCGTCCTCCGTATCTTCCGTCTCGTCTCTTTCGGAACCTGCTGGAGTTTCGCCGTCGTCGTCTTCGACATATTCTCCGTCATCGTCGTTTTCTTCCTCAGCCGGGCCGTCCTCAACTGCAGCCTTCTCGTTTTGCTTCTTGACAGCATACTCCTCGTCTTCTTCCTCACTCGCCTTCTTCCGGCTCTGTTTGGCTTTTTGAGTGTTGCCGACAAACTGTTTCCCTTCCTTGCTCTCTTCTTGTTTCTTCTCATCCGTCGCCTCCTTCTCTTCCTCAGTCATGTTCTCCCAGGCTTTCTTAGGGAGGTAACGCTTCTGCGTGCCGTCATCCTGCTTTGCGTGCGCGCTGCCCTCCTTGGTCTGCCACTCTTCCTCGCCCCATTTAGAAAGGTGCTGTTGCGATTCATCTTGGTCCTTCTTGTCGGTCGTGTAATCCCCGCCGCGCTTCTTGTATTCCGAGGCCATCATTTGCGCCTGGCGTTCACATCAGCTATCAGCTAAACTACAACTTATCACAATGGCACTAACCTTGCGCGCAGACCATTGGCCAGGTGCACCTCCTTTGTCACTTTGGTGAATCTCTTCCTTGACCTCATCGCGAAGCTCAGGGTCGGTATATTTATCCTTGAAAGGCATATTCAAGATGGCGGCCGTGTTCAATGGGCTGTATGCGAGGTGTTGCAACTTTGGGCGACAACAAGGACGTGATAGGCTAACGACAACAGGAAGGCGTCGCAAGAGCATGTTCTAGGTACGAGTTGCCTGCGCAATCAACGAACTTTAACCTTCGGCGGCTGGCCTTGCAGCCATGCCGTCATAGACTCACATCATCATCACATAGCATCATCGTCGGCAAAGAGGAAGACTGGTTCATCATCAGAAGTACATGGCCTCCAGGAACGACATCTCGTCGATGATGCAGTGATCGACGTGGTCCCTTGCGCTAGACCAGCTCGGGCCTCGCGCATTCGCCCTCCAGATCGCATCGCGTTGCTGCGCACCATCAATCACTTTTCCCCCTTGAGACTGCATGAAGCTGCATGCCTTGTATTTGGAAGTCTATGCCATCAATGGCGTCGGTCGCATGTCATAATATGACGGCAAGGCCATTTCAGAGCCCAGCATCCTGAAGCTCCTGCTCGACATAGGACAACAGGCTCAGGAGAATACTAAGAGGCGATTCAGCTGGTCGTCTTCGCTCCAGTTTCATAACGTATCGACTGTATTCTGGCATAGCAAAAAGGAGCGAGCTCAATCCAATTGCAACTGAAAGAATGGCGTTGGTATTGAATACACGAATTGAATAGGTCCTGGACGCAGCTCTTATGATATGTCATTGAAAACGGGCTGATGGGTTTTGTCAAACTACCATTCGATCAGTATAATCCTCGACTATCACCGCTGGAGAAGAGAACTTACGCTGAAGCCATCAGCCACACTAGCAACCAACACCTCTTTGGTGAACAACACGAACGAATTCCCCACATCAATCTTTTCCTGCTTCTCAAACACCTTCTGTGCCTTGCGGAAAGCCCCAATGGCAGTTGGGTCCTTCAAATAGATCTTGTACACCAATGCATACTTGGGCAAATCCGCACCGCCAAAGTACGACGACGGGTCGAACTCTGGGATCGTCAACCCTACATTAACCACCCATTTCCACACTTCCTGTCTCGTCTCCGCCTCCAATGCCTCCCTCAGTAGTGGCGTGATGATCTTTTCCGCCTGCGCACCATCTCTTTCACCTCCCGGCAGCGCCACAAAATACAAAGCCGTCGTGGCATGCCTTCCCGCCGCCTCATCCACCTTCACAGCGCCCTCGCCCAAGTCCGTCGTCAGAGGAAGCGGCTTCTCGAAAGCCATGAGGTTGATGCTAGCCCCGAGGTCGGCGAAGTGCAGGGCATCTGGTCCGACGGTCGTACGCACGTGCTCGGAGCCGAAGTTGTGCAGCATGTGGTCGAGGTCCTTGAACCAGAGCTCCGTCGCATCGTCGCGGCCAACCCAGGGGTGGTTGGCGTTCGGCGGGGCTTTGCCGCCGGTCGGTGGCTTACGGGCTCCAAAAGCGCTGTCGAAGACGTGAGACTGGATGTATTTGCTGCTCTTGAACATTAGTTATGGCCTCTTGGGCGCAGGAGGGACACACTAAGGTTTGAGATTTGGATCTTCAGGAGCATCAGCAATGGACCCGTGGACCTGGTAATGATAGTCGAGGAACTCTTTGTGTGTCATGTCCGGCTTGCGACGGGTGGCAGCTATTTGCTTGATGAGAGGGTATCGGCTGGTGGTGGTATCTTGAGATGCCATTGTTCCTGCTTTTTCAGAATCGACTTGTTGAGACTAACTACACAGAAGCTTTAATGCCTTTTGCAAAAACAATTAGTTCTAGGTCTGAAATCGCGGGGTTCCTGCACGACTTAAAAGTGTCCTCCGCATTAACCAGCCCCCCTCCTATATGATTCGAAGGAGTCGGCAACGCAGTTGTGGACCACACAGCCGCATGTCCTCCGGGATGTGGGCCACAATGAGTACTCAATAACTTTCTCATATAGGTAAGTCGGCTGCGATCGGAAACGCTATATGTAGAAGAGCAAGACTTAGTGCGGGCGCTGTCGGCCGAGACAGCCGTCAGCCAACAGATCCCAAACTGTCACTCTAATTGAACGACGTTCGTAGTGGGCATAAGCTTGCATCGTTGGTCTATGCGTCATGGTGGTTATACGCGTATCTTTAAATCTGAATATCGGTTTACATTCTAGGTACTCTCAAGCACCAACTTTGGCTTTCTCAAAGCTCTCACTAAAAGGATAGTCCAGGTAACCCTTCTCCTGCATCGGCGTGTAGAAAGTTGACCGATCGTATGCGTTCAGCTCGAGACCCTTCTCCAGCCTGTAGACCAAGTCGGGCGTCGACAGGAAGTACCTGCCGAACACGACGCCGACATCCCAGTCCTTGTACTCCTCGTCCACGGCCTTCTTCGCCGAGTCTGCCTTGAAACCGCCGGCAACCAGCACTGGCTTGTCCTTCCCCCACGCCTCAAGCGCGAACTCAATGCCCTCTTTCTTCTCCGTGTCGACGTTGTTCACGACGCGGGACTCGACGACGTGCAGATAACCCAAGCCCATCTCCCTCAATGCCTTGATGAGGTACGTGAACTGCGGCACTGGGTCTTCCATCTTCATGGCTTGGAACGTGCTCCACGGGCTCAACCTTATACCAACCTTGTCCGCATCTCCAACGGCCTTAACCACCTCCTTCACCACCTCGATCGCAAACCGCGCCCTCCCTTCCACACTTCCACCCCACCTATCCGTCCGCCTGTTGCAAGTATCCTGCAAGAACTGGTCGACCAAATACCCATTCGCGCCATGAATCTCGACGCCATCGAACCCCGCCTCGACCGCCCTCCTCGCCGCAGCCCCAAAATCCCGCACCGCCTCCCACACCTCCTCCTCGCTCATCTCCCTCGGCGTCGGCGCGCCCTCTCCCATCGGCACCGCGCTCGCGCTCACGAACGGGTGTCCGCCTTCCCTCTCCAACACCGCCGGATCCGCCGCGCGGCCGGGCGCCCACAGCTGGCAGACGATGCGGCAGCCGGCAGCGTGCACGGCGGCGGTGATTTCCTTCCAGGCGGCGACGTGCGCGGGCGCCCACAGGCCCGGCGCGTGCGGCATGCCGCCGTGGCGCGCCGAGATCTGGCACGCCTCGCCGATGATGAGCGTGCCCGGGTAGCACGACCGCTGCCGGTAGTAAGCGACGGCCATGGGCAGCGGCGTGTGGTCGGCCGTGTTGCGGAGGCGCGTGAGCGGCGCCATGACGATGCGGTGCGCGGTGGTGACGCCGGCGATGCGGAGGGGCTGGAAGAGTTTGGTCGAGCTGTCGGCCATATTTGTGTGAGGGTCCTTTTTCTTTTTTCTTGGTCTGAGTTTTATTCTTGTACTGGTTGGAGGCCTATTTTTTTTTTTTTGGCTTTCGATCCCTAGTCGCTTGGATGGGATGTGATTCCTTGGTCGGAAGCAGTTGAGTTGGTGAAGGAAGGCTCGTCGATAATGAGATGGGAGGCTGCTGGAGCAGTTAGGGAATTAAAGGAATGCCGCCTGAGGTCAGAAGAGATTTTGCAAGAAAGAGTGACGTTTATGACCATACAGAGCTGGCGTGAAGGAAGTGCCGTCTCAGTAAACGATTGGCAAGTGACGTTGAATGGGAGGGGAGCCCTTCTCTGCTTAGAAATCATGGTCACATATTGGGCCGGAGCATCGCCGAAAACATAAAACGCGCAAGAACAACGTTGGCCAAGACATTTAGCGTACGGGGTCATATCCGTTCTTTTCGTTTGGATTCTTTCTCGCTGGCGGGGGCGAGCTACAGGCTATCCTACGTTTATAGTTCAGTCGAAGACGTCTGGGAAAACTCAGGTGCAATGTTAGAGTTATTGGAGGGTGACATATAACGTCAGGCTCGATTGAAGAACTTCGTTCTCCTGGTCATCACATATGGCTCAGTTACGTAACCATCACACTAGGGCCCAACGGACTTTACAAAACGCTAGGGCAAAACACGCCCACTGCGTCTTCTCTTAATTCGCCTTGGCTGCTGCGAATGTTTCCTTGGAAAATATATTCCGCCTTGGAAGCGCCGTGGGTCCAGTTTTGTTAGTAATGCATTGCAACAAAACAATTCTTATCAGCCTATCGAAGACAACGGGGAACCGTTCTATTGGGTTGTGTGGCATGATAATGTTTGGTAAGCTGGCGGGTCAGTACCTGTGTACATATCACTTGAATAATGTTTTTCGAGGAGATCCGCCTCCCCAAAGCTGGCAATGTCCCCCGAGTCTCGAAGCTGCTCTTCTGGATTTCGTACCCACGGGTGCAGTTCCACCTGTTCACTGCCCCATAACTTCAAGCACGTCTTGCCGATATGCCGACATTGGCTTCTCTACATTATCCCTAAGCAATATTATGCTGATCATCACATACTTACAGCCATGGTAACTTCTAGACCAATGCTCAAGGTCAAAACTCTTTCATTATATTCGAGAAACCAGTTTTCCATAAACAATGCAGTCCCAGTCAATCATTCTGAGGAAGACATTTCTTCTACTCTCGGTGGCTGTTGTGTTTGAATATGGGCTCGAAAACTATTACTGTTAGTGCTGAAGGTATATTAGCTTATTTGTCTTTACCAGGAGTGAGCCTTTTCTCCTGCTGTGAAAATTGGAACATTGTCAAGGGAGAGCCTGGGTACAGTTCTTTACCACCTTAAGGTTTTAATTCATAATCCTCCGTCTTAATCCCTTGCTCCTTCCAGGAGAAAAAAATGGAGTTGCTAGTATATTACTAGAATTCGGAGTGAATACAATAGGCCCCTCAAGCTACTGAGTGCAGGTAAGTAGAAAAAATGCTATGATGCGGGCGGATGCGACTGGTAGAAAAGTGATAACCAAACTGAATATTCAATTAAAGCTATATCGTCGACCAAGCATCGTTCTCGGATGTTCAGGCGCAATGCCGTGTGGTGCCAGGGCGGTCGCTGACGTGCTTGCGGGGAAATCGCACGAATATCAACCACGATTGGAAAAGCGAGCACCGCGCCCCAGATACGTAGACATTTGTACAAAATGATTGGAAGCTGTCGAAGATGCTGTCAGCTGAGACGCAAGTTAGAGAAGTGTGCTGGACTGGGTTTCCTGCGCTCTCTTAAGGCGGCTGGCTTGCTATCACCGTTTGCCTTGCACGTTCCACGGAATCCAAAATGGCTACAGAAGTCGAAACAGTAACGGAGCTGCCCCGGTACATTCAGGTGGCAGAGACGAAGTATGAGTGTATGCAATCGCTGCAATTGCGTGGCATAGCGGTATACTGATTGAAATCAACAGTGGATTGGGCGGACCTTGCGACGCTTGATCTGTCACAATTCGATGCTCCCGGAGGCAAGCAAAGATTGGCTGATCAGCTCTTCAATGCCATCCAGAATGTTGGTAAGTGCTGCGGGTGCGGTGGCGAGGGAAATGGCTGACGTGAGGAAGGCTTCTTCTACATCATCAACTTCGGGTTGACGCAGGAAGAGGTGGATCGGCAATTCGCGATTGGGAAAGAGCTCTTCCAGCTGCCCATGGAAGAGAAGTTGAAGTACCGAGCCAACATAGAGGAGGGAGGGTACAACGGCTACAAGCCGCTGGGACTGAGAGAGATTCGGCCGGGCAAGTTCGACAACACGGAAATTTATAACATTCCAAAGTTCATTCCGGCATACGAGCAGGACCACCCGGCAATCGTCAAGCAGCACAAGCCGGAGATCGAGCGGTTTGCGCGGCACATTTTCGATGAGATTGTGCAGAAGCTACTTGTGCTTCTTGCCATCGTGCTGGAGCTCCCGGAGAATTACTTCCTGGAACGGCATAGGTACGAGGACAAGAGCGAATGCCACCTCAGATACATGAAGTATCATAAGCGCAGCGCGCAAGAGAACACGGAGCTGGAGAACGTGTGGGTCAAGGGCCACACGGACTTTGGTAGTCTGACGCTGCTGTTCCGGCAGCCGGTGGCATCGCTCCAGGTGCGCACGCCACAGGGGGAGTGGAAGTACGTCAAGCCGCATCCGGCGAGCATCACGGTCAACCTGGCGGATTACCTGGACTTCATCACGAACGGGTTCCTTAAGAGCAGCATTCACCGGGTGGTTGCGCCGCCGCCCGACCAGACCGATGTCGATCGGCACGGGGTTCTGTACTTCGTCAGGCCGACGGATGACACGGAGCTGCGGCCGGTGGAGAGCAATGTGTTGAAGAAACTGGGGTATGACCAGGTCAAAGACGAGGCGGTGGTGGGCATCACGGCAGGGCAGTGGGTGAAGGCCAGGGTCAAGACCAACGTCATGAAAGTGCCTGAGAAGGGAAGGAACGACCACGTCATCGTTAACGGCGTCAAGGCGACGTACTACGACTGAAAGCGAGACGGAACACATGGGATATATCATCGTCGTCACGTGACTCTTGCTTGCAGGTAGCCCGTTCGTGCGCTTTGCGAAACGGCCTCTTGATAGCAATGCGACCGTGTTGATGTATACGAGTCGTTTTCTAAAAGCACTGGCGTTATCAGCAAAGTATCTCATCGCGCGCAAAGCTCAGTAATCACGCGCAAGCCTCAGTAATGCGAGCTGGCCCCGCGAACGGGTTTTCCGAAAGTTCAATTAGCTCGCCCATACAAAACCAGGTTGTAAAATGGCGGCGTGGGGCGGTTCGGCCGGCCATGAGCGTGCGCGAGCCAGTCAGAAGCGCAGAAGACAACAGGGTGGGCGGTTGAGCCGTCGATGAGTACATATTGCATCGCTCATGCCCCGGACGGCAGCACACTACTACCTATCTCCTTCACCATGCAAGTGCTCCCTCGGCGGCAATTGGCGTTTTACCGCGGCTCGCAATTTATCAGCCGGCAGGCGCGGGCGGGGTTAAGGTTGCCGGAGAAAGCTATAGCTCCGCCGCGCGATCATGACGTGCTGCTAAAACACCACTTTTCGACAACACGGTAGCGACCCCCATCTTTTCTCTCTCCTCCGCCCCCAACTCACTCTCTCCCGCAGCAATCTCTCCAACCGACCGCCCACCGCAACAATGGCCGTTCGCAGTGCTTTTGACCCCAAGGACATGCCCTTCAGGCACCTGGGCCCCACCGGCCTGAAGGTTTCCGTCTTCTCTCTCGGCGGCTGGCTGACCTACGGCGGCACCCAGAAGGGCAGCATTGTCAAGGACTGCATGCAGGCCGCCTGGGACAACGGCATCAACTTCTTCGACACGGCCGAGGTCTACGCTAACGGCCAGTGCGAGATTGAAATGGGCGAGGCCCTGAAGGAGCTCGACTGGCCCAGGGACGAGTACGTCCTGTCCACCAAGGTGTTCTTCGGCACTGGCAGGAAGGAGCCCAACACCCGCGGTCTCTCGCGCAAGCACGTCGTCGAGGGTCTGAAGTCTTGCCTGGAGCGCCTGCAGCAGCCTTACGTCGACATCGTCTTCGCTCACCGTCCCGACGTCGGGTAAGTGCCCCCGTCTGCTCCCCTGCCTGAGCCCTGATTGCTGACCCATTGCAGCACTCCCATGAAGGAGATTGTCGAGGGCTTCACCCAGGTCATCCGCAACCTGAACCTCGCCTATTACTGGGGTAAGCGCCGCGTCAATCCATGTATATGTATGCAATGTGCTTACGGCCATGCCCAGGTACTTCTGAGTGGAGTGCTGTTCAGATCACCGAGGCCACCTTGATCGCCGAGAAGTACAACCTCATCGCCCCTGTTGCCGAGCAGCCCCAGTACAACGCCTTCCACCGCGAGCGCTTCGAGCTCGAGTACGACCCTCTGTTCAAGCAGTTCGAGTACGGCACCACCATCTGGAGCCCGCTCGCCTCGGGTCTCTTGACGGGCAAGTACAACGACGGCATTCCCGAGGATTCGCGCTTTGCCAACAACAAGGCCTTCTTCGAGAACACCATCAAGTCGCTCAAGGAGCCCGAGGGTCAGGCCAAGATCGAGAAGGTCAGGAAGCTGACCACCGTTGCCGAGCGTCTCGGTGGCACTCCCAGCCAGCTTGCCCTTGCCTGGGCCGCCAAGAACCCTAATGTCAGCACTGTTATCCTCGGCGCCACCAAGGTCGAGCAGATCCACGACAACTGCAAGGCCCTGAAGCTCCTCGACAAGCTCACTCCCGAGGTTCTCGAGGAGATTGAGCAGATCCTGGACAACAAGCCCACCCCCAAGCCCACTTTCGGCAGGGACAGGTAAGCTGTGAGTAGTGGTCAGGGGAGTTCTTTCTTACGGATCCAGCGTCTAACGTGCACAGGTTGAGGCAAGCGAAGCTGTAAGACGGTTTGACGAATGATGAAATATCTTAAACAAAAGAGCAAGACAGAAGAATAATTAAGCGCATTAGCCAACTCATTTCTCTATTCACCCCTGGTGACAATACGTACACGGGTAGATGCAGCTCTCAATTTAGAGTTTCAATTCCGAATCTCTTCAACTCAAGTGCTTTAAGATTTCCTGTGATGGTACAGAGACATATGATTGATGTAGTTTCTGCTGCGTTGGGCTGGGGGAGCTGGCGTAGCAAAGTCACTAAAGGTAAGATAAGATAACACCGCCGCTACTCTTGACCTTATTCTGACTAAGAAGGTGATTTATAAGTACGACGGAGAGGAAACGTATGCCTCCAAACCTTGCAACCGCGCGATTTTGACTGGAATCAGTGAATCCCGGCGCTCAAGTACGAGTTTGTCAGGCCGGCGACAAACGTCAAAGCTTATTCTCCTTGATAGCCAATCTCAGATCAATAGCGGTAAGTATGACACGATGACAGGGCTGTCCTACTCGACAGTGTTGACATGTTTCCCCCTGCGTCTTCCCAATCGCCCGAAGTTCACCCTCGGCCGACTCTTCCCTGGCAAGACATCCACTCGTACACCATAACATTCAATAGTGGAGCCACGCTCCCCGGACATAGGCTCATTAGGCTCTAAAGCCACCTGCCAAGCTTCGCTGATCTTATAGCTCCGTCTTATCTCCCCCGGATGTTTCTCGCATCACGTTTCGTGGAGCCATGACTGCCTATTCCGGAAGCATATCTACATTCACAGCCTCATTGAGTCTCTTGGCTGATATCACAGTGATTCCGTGGAATGCGGCTGTGCCATCTCGCTGTCTCCGCAGTACGCGTATGCCGGGATAGAGGAGGACCAGATATGAAGAGCTGGGAAAGCAAGGAGCACAAGATTGTGTCCATAAATAACGCCCCCAAAACTCAAATTGTCATATCCAGCACCACCACCGGAAGCTTCATTTTACCTGAGACCCATACCGCTGTCAAATATACTTTTAGCTAACTAGTCCATCGCGGGAAATGGCGTTCAACGCTTCGACAATGCGCGGTGTGGTCTATAGCGGCATCCCCTACCAGGTCAACGTAACGGACCTCCCGATCCCAACCCTTTCCGCAGACACGGACGTCATCGTTCGCCTCACGCACGCCGCCATCTGTGGCTCGGACCTGCACATGTACCATGGCGTGCAGGGCGGCAGCGACGCGCCCTGGGTCATGGGTCACGAAGGAATTGGTTACATCTCGGAAATCGGTGATGCTGTGACTTCGCTCGCGGTAGGCGACTACGTCGTTATCCCAGACAACTTGGGCACCGGACACCTTGACCTTGAGCCAGATTCCGGCCTGGAGAGTTATGGGATAGGCAGCGAAGAGTTGGGTGGTCTGCAGGGTAAGCCCCTCCTCCCCCTGCTTCTTCCTCTCAGGAGGAGCAGCACCCCGTATAGGTATCCGTTCTCGAATGTGCCGCGATACTGACAAGGCCACACGCCGCCCCTTCAGCCGAGTACGCCCGCGTCCCGCACGCCGAAATGAACCTCATCCCCGTCCCGCAGCTCTCGGCCAACGCGACCAACGCCACGCTGGAGCGCGACTACCTCACGACGTCGGACATCTTCGCCACGGGCTGGTCGGTCCTCGACTTCGCGGGCTTCGAGCCGGGCGACAGCGTCGCCGTCTTCGGCGCGGGGCCGGTCGGCCTGCTGGCCGCCTACTCGGCCATCCACCTGCGCGGCGCGTCGCGCGTCTACTCGATCGACCGCACGCCCGCCCGCCTCGCCCGCGCCGCCGCCCTCGGCGCCATCCCCATCAACTTCAACGAGAGCGACCCAGTCGCACAGATCCTGGAGCGTGAGGGAGCCGGCGGCGTGCGGCGGGCGGTCGACTGCGTGGGCATGGAGGCCGTCGACGCGCAGGGCCAGCTAGATCCAGCCATCGTGATGAGGCAGATGATCGCGGTGACGGGCGCCCAGGGCGGCGTGGGCCAGGTCGGCGTCTGGCTGGCGCAGAACGCGACCAGCGCCGCCCCGCGCGCCGGCCTCATCGACCCGGACGTCAGCTTCCCGCTGTCCGACTTCTTCGGCAAGGGCCTGCGCTTCCAGGCCGGCGTCGTCAATCCGAGGGAGAGGGCGCCCGAGTTGGTGCGCCTGATCGAGGCCGGGAAGGCCAGCCCGGCGAGCCAGATCGAGACGGCCGTCATTGGGATTGAGGAGGCGCCCGAGTATTACAGGAGGTTCGACGAGCACGAGGAGATCAAGGTGTTTATCAGGTTTCCCTGAGTGGAAGTGTAGTGTGGGTGATAGGGCTCGGTGTTGGAGTGGTGAGGATGTTGAGTGAGGAACTGCGGCGGAAAGCTGTGTTGAATATGCTCGGTTGTTGCAAGATACTTGGGAATGTCAACAGGAGAAGATATTGGTGCCTACGATGTCTCTCTGGCGATTGACAGGGAAGTCACTCAAAGATTGGCGTTGTTGAAGTGCCTTGCAACGGCAATGAGAAATCCAGCGTGTTTGACTGGCGGACTAAGATTTAACCTCACCTTCGCAGGATGATGTGAATCAATGCAATTAAACTTATTGGTTATTATTGTTTGACTATCTCTGTTCTTCAAGTCACTCCCCTCACACCAGCACCTTCAGCACGCATCCTCAAAGCTTAAATTACATTTACTTCCTGCCATGGCCCAAACCAGACTCCTACCCGACGTCGCCGTCGCGCCACCTTAAGTCTGGATGCCCCACTATCGGCCTCACTCACTTCGCCCCATTTCCCTGCTCCTGCCTCTGTGCCAACAGCTTTTCCGGCGGCGGCAGCACATCCGGGCCAAAGCTCATGGGCAACAGCTCTCCCATGGTTTTCACAACGTACTTCCCCTCGCTCGTATGCATAAAGATCGGGGTATCCAACTGTAAAGAGAATCACCGCCACAACATCAGCACTCATCGTCTCTCCCAAGCTCATATTTCCTTCTCCCTCAGCCCTCAAAGGGGAGAAGACGGATCTCCAGATGTATCATGCACTAACCTCCAAGAACTCCCTCAGAAACTGCCTGCACATGCCACACGGACTGCAATGCTCCTCGCGCAAGTCGGTAGCCACGCCGACGGCCTTGATGTCGCCCCTGCCATAGCCGAACGACGTCACGGCGGTGCCGACGGCGACGCGCTCGGCGCAGGTGCCAACGGGGTAGGCGGCGTTCTCGACGTTGGCGCCAAGGATGATTTGGGGGGCATCATCCGCATTCGGGGTGGCGGTCGAGGCAAAGCGCGAGGTCGAGGTGGGGTGGATGAGCAGAGCGGCGCCGACGCGGAATTGGGAGTACGGGCCTGCGAGCGCATCAGCCTTCTCTTCTTTGTCTCGTGCTGCGCCTGCGGCTCTCGCTCCTCCTCTGAGCCGTCTCCCGTGCTCTGCATGAAAGAGAGAGGCTGCGGGAAGCGGATGCGGAGCGATTGGCAGGGGCAGTGCTTCCCGCGCGGCTCTTGGGTTGGGGTTTGGGAAAATGACATACAGTATGCCCTTTGGCGCGCTTCAAGACATCCCTTGGACAGGGCGTCAACCTCCTTCACCGTGAGTCCATGGATGAGCTCGCCTTTCTCTGCCGCCGGCATGGTGAAAAAAAGGGAAAGGAAAAGGGAAGGAGAGGAAGAAAGGAGGAGAGACAGGAAGGAAGCGGGTAGAGAGGGGAATGCTGCAGTTTGGGCGCGTGCAGCGCGCCGTAGGCAGGGTTCAGGCCAGTTGATAAGGCAAGATAAGGAGCCATCTGGTCGTCGCGGGCCGCCGTAGAGGCGGGGCTCGCCTGGGTTGCTGTTTACGGGTTGAGTCGGATCAGGAACGCGGGGTAGGTCGGTCGCTCGTCGGTTTCGTCATGTCATGAGCTGTTTGCTATGTTGGGAAGCATCGAAAGAGGAAGTTCTTCAGGGCTCGGGCGTCATGGCGGGATCGTCCGAGAGCGCCACACGTGGAGCCGGATGAAGACTTCCAGGCGGCAATTGACCAGAGGATATCGATAGGCGGTGGGCGGAAACTTCCCTTCGCAGAGCCGCTGCACCCTGAGATGGGTCGCCACATTGACGTCGCCGCCCGTGCCGCTGCTGTGAAGATCGTCAGGGAGCGGCGGGTGACTTCTGCGCGGGTCCAAGGCTTAACCTACCCGCCGATCCGCCCGCCCAGCCATGACGCCAACGCCATCTTTCGTCGTCCACCGCGCTTCCTTGATCCGCGCGCTCTTCCCACCCGTCCCCCCGAGCTCACTCTACGTCAAATAGATCCAGACGCGCCCAGAACCAGGCAATTAAAGGATGGACAGGGACGAGGGACCAGCGTCTCATCTATCTTCTGCGCCGCCCTGTTGCTTGGACTTCGATCATCCCTCCTCCCGCCTATAGCGGCACTCAGCATCTCCCGGGCCCAATGATCGGCATTTTAGGCGCACGTGTGCTGGACAATGCAAGGCGCTCGGAATGGTCGTGTTTCATCGAGTGGCAATCTGCCACCATTCCTTCTTTCAGCCGTCCCTACATGTGAATGTCATCACACGAGAAAAGGCCGCGTGTGCCGTGGCGTCGACTCAACTGTGGAAGCGTCGTCATTGCTGACCTCGAGACTGCGGCTTTTTCAGCCTCTGCAGCGATGAACCTTCACCCTTTGCTTTTTACCATGCAACGACGATTGCCATTTCGGACCCCGCGAAATGGGGAACATAGCCCGCTCCTCAGGAACCACCTCCGGCGCCTTGGAAGATCACTGCCCCATTTTAATATCGCAGCTACCGTACTTGCACCGATGCTGCCGATCTGCTATGGATACGAATCAGTCTTGGCCTTGGTCTGAACGAAAGGCCTAGAAACTCCAGTAAAGCAGGGTCTGTGGGATAATCCTCCGCATACAAGGTAAAAGCTGAAGCAGCCAACGTGGAAGCCACGAGGTCTTGCCGGCCGACGGGGAGCGAGGCTGAGCAAACTCAATCGAGAGGGCGCAGCGAGAAATGAGGCCAGGGGCGTCGATGGCGGTTCTCTCGCTCATTCGCAGCCCTTTTCCCCTGCCTTTCATCACTCTGCATCACGCGAACCGCAGCCTTCCCAACAACACTTTCGCTGCCCCTCCCAAGACTTTGTTCTGCGCATCGCGTGCGAAAACGGCATGCCGGCCACGCGTAACCTTACATGCGACTGCACGTGTAGGAAAAACGTGGCAATGCAACCAACCATAGCAAACCCCAGGAAGCAAAAACACGAAAAAAGGGAGAGGAGCTGCACTTTCCAAGGAACCACGCCCGGTGCTGCTTTTGCCTCTCATGAGGTCAGACGTCTGACTTGGACCCCGGAGAAAGGCTGATCCAGGCCTGCTGGTCGCGCTGCATCATGGCATCAACGCATACGTCGATGGCTTGCGGGAGGGCCCTTCTTTGCCCTGCTTGTCGACGAAAAACACATCGCAGATCAATCCCACAGCCCTGCCCTACTGCTCCTACTGCGCCCGACCATCGTACCGCAATCGCAGCCCTTTCCTCCCACTCCATTGGCCTTGGGGGCCGCGCAGATCCACCAAACCCCCCTGTCCTCCATTCAAACCTTAAAACAGCTCATCCGGGGATGCAAGATCTTGTATCCCCGGATGCATTGTTACGAACCCCCAACCGTTCTCATGTTTATTTCCGTCAAGGGCGCATATGGCGCCCAAATTAACCGCACTATTGCTTCCATTTCGCATGCCAAGCGTGACCAAGGCTTTAACCTGTCCGCTATACACAAGCCTCCGGCCTCAAAAACAAGCGCCGGTCGGCCCTGTTCAACCCCAGTCTCCATTCGGCCACGACCGCAAGTGCATTTCTGCCGAAAAGCTTGTTTTTCTATCTGTGTGCAGCAATTCGGTCGGTGTACTCTCCGTCCCTGAGGATCGCGATGATCAACAAACCCGGGTCTTTAATCCACGAAAGAGGAGGGGATATCACGCTTGAGAATCGGGATTGAAAAAGCACTAGGAACGTCCTGCTATCTCTGCCCAATCACCTCTGTGCTCGGTGCCTACATCCCTTTACCATTGTTGAAGTAGCACCTAATCGGCAACCACTCCCTATAGTCCTCCTACTAAGTGCCATCCCGCTGCTTTACCCCATCCCTACCTGATCTGCCGGCTTCCCCGGCCGCCGCCAGTTGCGCGCAGCCAGCGCCCCGCTTCCGATCGGAACCCGCGGAGCATTCCGTCGTGAGGCAAGAACCACATGGCCGTAGGAAGCGGTACGCGGCGTGGGGGGAAGGAGCCCCGTCCGTAGTGTCTGCTTCAAATTGCCCGATCAAGAAGGAAGAGGCGAAACTTTTTATACCGCACGTACGTAGCGGTGCAGCGGCGGCAGGGGCCCAGAGAAAAGAGCGACGAGGGAATAACACGGCCGGGAGCTAACCTCCGCTTCGAAGAATATTCAAGAAGAAATTTTCTTTTTGCGTTATTGTGGATTCGTCGTGTGTTGTGTGACACGGGACGTTGGCACAGGATTTGCCGCACCGTGCCGCGGGTAGTTGCCCCGTGCTGATCATCCTCTCGCCCCGTCTCGCCTCCTGTCTCTTCGAACGTTTGGCCTCGTCTCGAGCCAGCTCTCCCGAGAAATCGGGGCAAGGCAAACGGAACCACAACCCTATCCAAAGCCCGACATCCGAGCTCCGAGCTTCCTCGAGCAATGAGGGCCACTGAGCAGGGAGCCAAGCCTCAACTTTGACTTTTGCTACCGATCATGCACCGGGAAAGAAACGCAGAACACCGTCTCCAGTCCCCAGGATCGGTGGCACATGTGGAAAACCAATTAGGAAACTACATCCTGTTGCATGCCTGCCTCCTCAACCACGACCCCCACACGTCCCACAAACCCACTCATCTACTATTTTTTTTTTCAGTTGCCATGTGGGTCAGACAGCAAAGCTGCCGCCTCAAGGATCGGCTTTCTGAATTCTCATTATTCAAAAGATAGAAATGTGTGTACACACGTGGTTTTGAGAGCGGGAATTTATTGTGGATAACAGAAATCCATCGCGTGGGCTTAGCTGCTGCTTTCAAAACGTCGGCCTGAGTGGGCTGTGACGCGCCGGCGACCCCTCTTTTTCCTTCGTTAATCCCATTTCCCGTCTTTCCCGCCTCTTCCAGTCATTGCCCCTCAACCGAAAAAACATCAAGCCGCCCAGCGATTAGTAATGGTTCCAGTTTGGCATGTGAAAGGAGGATAGAGAAGACAATGGGCACAGCCAAGCAGAATCAAACAGCTCTGAAGGAAGGAAAACTATTTTCTATCATTGTCGCTGGACTTTTCTCGTCCATGCACGTTACGAGTTTTTTTTTTCCTCGTGTCGTGCATTCCAAGAATTTTTTTGACTCTTGGGTCAAGGTAGATAGCTAAGATACATGTCTCGAACATCGCTAAGTAGAAAGAATTTTCAGGTAAAGAAAATAAAAGGAGGTATTCCGCGATGGGCTGGAGGCTGCTGCAACCAAGCCAAGAGATCGGGGAAAGGGATGGGCTTCCAGGCCGGTCCTGGGCCCCGAGAGTGCGCATGGCAACTCCCCTTCCGAATAAAACAATATCCAGGGAGTGCGGCATGCCTGGGGAAAAGAGAAGACAGTGCAGTGAAAGCGTCAAAGCCAGACAGCGAGATGAAGACCAGGCGGCACCGCAAGAAGGAAAACGACGCTACCATGATACTACCCCGCAGGTTACACCCATCTTTTTATTCCATCCACGCCGAAATGAGCCATTCACCATATGCCTTGCGGCATCGTCACCTCGTCTCACTCTGAAAAAGAAACCAGACCCATTCAGGCAGATGCCTGCCGTGAAATCAGGAACCGCGCCGGGAATATGTTGCGAACCGAGAAAAGCCTCCGGATGAGAGCAGATGATACGCCAACCCGATGGGAACAGAAGGAGAGCTCTGGTGCTCGTGTTGAAGCTGTTATGTCGAGATCGAGCTGGGGGGTCCAGCATGGCACAGTATGGCATGCAGCGCTAGACGTATCGTACAATGCGTGAAAAAGAATCTCTTTGATGTCGAAGCCATGTGCTTTTTTGTTGGCACTGCGGGTGGGAGCCAGAGGATATCATTGAAAAAAAACGTTGCGGTTCTATGCCGTTCAACGTTGGACATGCCAAGGAAAGGGAGGAGGGCGGAAGTGCGACCGCGCGCAAAATTATCTGTGGTTGTATGGCCTTCCACCGGCGAATTCCACGCCCTGCATGGCAGTGGGCTGCGCTGCGGGCTGTGCGCCGTTCTGCCATTGCGGTTGCTGCAAGGGCGGAAGAACGTTTTGTTGGCCTTGGCCAGTCTGCTGTTGGTTGTGTGCCAGGAAATTGGTCATGGATCCGAATACGTGTGGATGGTTTGGGTCCATCTGGCGTAGCTGTTGCCACGCAGCATGGAGCTCTTGCTTGAGCTCTGTGTTCTCACGCTCGATTTCGCTAGCCCTAGGGTTGTAAGCAGCAGACTCCTGTCGCATACGGGTGTTGTCGCTCTGTATTCTGTCATAGTTCCTCTGCAGGCTTCTGATGTACTCGATCGCTACCAGAAATTGTCAGCATTTCAGCACTGTGATAATGAAGGGGTGTGCCACTTACACTTGGTGAGGATTTCCCATTTGCTGGACTTGTTGCCCGGAGAGTTGGGCAGAATGCCATTCAGTTCGTCGAACAGCTGCTTCATTTCGCTTCGTCTCTTTCGCTCGGCCATCTTGTGGCTGACGCGCAACTCGGGGGTTCGGCTGTAGTTGCCGGTGCCGGGAGTTGCTGCGTGCTCGGACTGGAGATTGGTGATGTTGCGATGCTGCATAGAATGGTGATGGGTGTGGGGAATTTCTGCACGGGATTAGCTTTGGGAAAAGTGGCGTCGAACATCAACAGAACACACCATCTTCGAATCTCTTCTGTCCGGGCGGAAGGGCTTCTGCATAGATGCTGCTGTTGATGGACGTCGCGAAACTGTTCTGCCTCGAAGGGATGGATCTCGTGGATCTCTCGATGCTGGAATCACCGCTGCTGGAGCCGCGGCGCTCGTCCGGTTCGGCATCCGGGAAGGCCCATGGGAAGCCCTTGGTGGGGGCGGCGGCCATAGGATCGGGCATGCCGGACACACTTCGCGGGTTCGGGTTGATGACGGGAGCGCGGCGGGGAGCCTGGTTGGAGCGGACCGAGTCCCGAGGGCCGAGAGGAGAGAGCGGCGGGCCGCTCTGCCGTTGGTCGGTGGTGATGCCGCGCTGCTGCTGGAGACTGGACACGAGCGATACACGTGAGGTGTTTTGGGACTCGTAAGGCGAAGACGGGCTGATGGCGAGATGGGTCATGCCGGCGTTCATACGGCTGTCGACGCTGCTGCGCCTGGATTCCAGGTAGGAGGAGGAGGCATCCAGGCTCTGGCGGTTGTCGAAGGTGTGGTTGAAGGGCGGCAGTGCCTGGGGCGTCTGGGATGGTTGCCGTATCGACTGTGGTGTGTCGGCGACGGAGTTCCGCGACGGCGAGTCCTCGGCATTGAGAATGGTTTGCAATTGGAGATTGGTAGTGTTGGAGACGCCCGACGAGTGCTTGCTCTGGGCCTGGGACATGGACCACGCGCCGGAGTCGCGGGCGTCAATGTGGTGCTGACGCGCCTGCATCTGGGCGGCGTCGGCCTGGGGGATGCTCTGCGTCAGCGACGCGATGGAGGGGAGAGCTTGCGCCTGAGACATGTCGAACGCGACGCTCACTCACGTGAGACAAACAGCAAGAGAAACGAAGGAAGAGAAGAAGGAAAACGACGACTTTTGAGGGAGAAAAAGGCCGGGGTTTGGGGAGCAGGCCGGGCGGACGGGGTGCAGTCCGTCAAAAGGGGATGGCGTGGTGGTGATGGTCCGTCAGGGCCGTCAATTAAAGAGAGGCTCGCGGGATAGGGTTGCGGGCGCTGGCCCACGTCAGCGAGATCAGAGCAATTGCCGCCAAGCGGGAACGGGGGGGTGACGTCGGGGAGGGAGAGAGGCAGGCACTTACTCGAGGCGGGGGCGTTGTTGAGCAAAAGAGCGGTTCAGGCGCAGCGTGGACTTGAGGGCGGCGAGCCGGGCCGATTGTCGAATGCAGGGAAGGGCTCAGGGCATTGGGGATGCGGAGGGGGTGGCAGAGTCGGAGGAGGACGACGGGGGAGTCGCGGGAGGTCGTGTGGAGATCACGGGATTGTGCAGCGCACGGCAAACCCGAGGGGAGCGAGGAGGCGGGTGCGGAGGCAGATGAGATATTGCAGCGAAGGGAGGCGGAAACGGTGGCGCGCACGGGCGGTTGCACGAAGCGCTTCGGAGCCTGACACGGTCACGGGCGGGTGCCGGCAAGGGCAGTGGGAGAGTCAGGCCGGGCGACGCTTTCTTTTGGCAGCAGGCTCAGGCGTCCCTTACATGCACGACTCAGCGGGGGCGACAGCACAGCGCGGGTTGGGGGCGCGCGGGCGGGCAGCAAAGGGCGGGCAGAGGGCGCGAACAGCCAGCACAGGAGGGCGGCGATCTGCTGGCCATGCACGTGGGCGGCCGGGTTGCGAGCCTCCAGATCCGCCCACCCTCGCAGCTGCCTCTTGCCAAGCGCGTGGAGGCAGCGCCAGGCCAAGGCGGCGCCGGCTGCGTCTCGCGTGGCTCCCGCCGTCAATGCGGGCCTTGCAGCGCTGCTTTAACCACGCGCTGCTCGCTTATCGCCCGGCCTGACTCGATCTGCTGCCCGGCGAAACGCACCCAACCCGCGATCGTGCGACCGCGATCTGCAACGTCGCTGCCACCCTTTCGCGCTCGGCCCTTTTCGCTCGGAATGGCAGCCTGTCGCACCGCCGAAGCGTTCCTGTCCTTAGCGGCCGCTGCATGTCATTCGCCTTCCCGCTGCTTTCGAATGCACTCCTCAGCCCACCTGTGGGGCCAAGCCGTGTTCCCCTTTCAACCCGCCCGTTGCACAGCGCCGCCGCTTCGGGCAGGACCAACACCGGCAAGCCAGGGGCGCTCCGCGAGTACCACCCTCCGCCGCCGCCCTCTGCAAACATGGAGACCCGTCGCCGGTGCACATGGCCGCATGTCTCACGCCTCGGAGAATTACCCCCGATGCCAGCACATGGCCCGGAGCCCGCTTGCAGCCGCGAGCGCAGCCCGCCGCGACGCCTCCCACCGACCGGGTTTGGCTCTGCACCACCTAAGTCCCTCGTTACACGTCCGTCGGAAACAGACCTCACCAGACGTCGTGCACTGCGTCGCGCTAGCCTCGGTCCCAGCGCCTTGAGCAACCCCGCCGCTGTTATGTTTGGCCCTCCGCCTCACGAACCGTGTTTCAGCGCAATTTCTCCCTCTTCATGCCAGGAAACCAATGTCGTGCTGGTCGAGAGTTTCATGGGTCCCTTTCCCCTCTGGAACCCATGTGCTAAACAAGCGTGAAGGACACGCTCCGCTCACGTTGTCCTCGTGCTGCAACCGTCAGCATTCCCAACGTCCGAAAGCGGAACCACCACAGCCTGGGCAACGTGCCCCAAGTCCAGCCGAACACCATTTATTCAAAGAAAAGGCGCTACCATGTTCCTCGAGCCCACCCCGCCGGGCGCTGCTTTCTTGCGCCGTGGTTGTTTTGGAGGAATGAGCCCCACGCGTACAAAGCACGAGGCCTGTTGCTACAGCACGCCGCGCATTCCTCCCCAGTCGTACGATCATCAACGGCATGACCACGTATGCGGGCTGATCTGTTCATCCGCCGCTGCTGCTCGACGAGGTTCGGCCCAGTTCATCCGCCCCGCACCGAGGTCATGAACTGCGCATCGAATACGGGTCTATGGCACCCCTCCTCGAAGATCCGCTCGGCAAACTTTCCTCTCGCATCGCTTCACGAGCGCGGCCGCTTTAAAGAGCCATTTTTTCTCTTCACCTACACTTACCACATACACCTGCACCCACACCTCCACCTCATCGGGGACACGCCAGGCTAACTCATCTCATCAGCGGCACTCTTGGAATACGCATGACCACGCGCCATTCCCGAATCGAGCAGGAAGATGGATGCGGGGCTTCCGAATTTGGCAGGTGGTGGACTAAGACTGACTGACCTTCGCCCACCACCACCACCACCACCACGGCTCAACAACAAAATAACAGCAAAAGAACTGCCTCCCTGATGCCTTCTAACACGGCATTCACTCTGCTTTGGTTGTCAGGGGCGTCAAATTCGGCTGTGTACCCCGAAAGTCGCCCGGGCTCCAAAAAAATTTCGATGACCATGATCAACACCAACCCCGACCACCACCCCCCTATCCAAATCGCCCAAAAAGGATAGGCGTGTCTCTCCGACGGGGAATCGAACCCCGGTCTCCCGCGCTTGCTAGAGCTGCTGCTTTGACAAGCGGAAATCATCACCACTAGACCATCGAAGATGTCGAGCCTGAGGCCCGGATGGTGCTGTCAACTGGAAGTCAACTAGCTGTCGATGGAGAAGTTTGAGCCATGATGTTTTATGAACAGCACAGTGAATCTCTCGCTCTCAAACTACGTAAGAATGTCGTCAGGTAAGCATCTCGTCTGCGGAGGCGGTCCGACAAAAGCAACAACCGCCTCTGCAGCGCATATCCAGCACAACCGAGGAACGCCAACCACAGACCCACGTCCACCGAGCAGTCTGGACCGCCGGCAGAGCTTAAAGCGGCGTGTCGTGCTATGACTCGCCCAGTTTCTCCTGCCCGACGGGGTTCCAGAATAACGGAACTGGGCAACGCACCAACGGCCGAACGACAAATAGCGGTAACAACAGGGGAACGCTGTGTGAACGTACAGCCACAAACAACTGTCATGGTGGCAGGGCAGGGAGGAAAGGCTGTTGCTGACAGCCCCATGAACAGCCTCCCAGGAGCACCCCGGCTCGGAGCTCTTCTGTAACAGGCATGGCGCAGCACTCCGCGTGGCTGATCAGCAACGAGCGGCTCCTCGTCGGAAGATGCTCCACGTGGGCGGTGGGCGGATGCCACGCGGTCTGCCGCGGGATGGCACGCTACGATTTGTCAGTGCCCGATTTGCCCTGGTCCGCGTCTTTAACCTACGCGAACACATGCTGGGGGGTTGACCAAAGAGGAAGCGCAGCTGACAAGGGAAAGGACAAGATGCAGAGGGGTCGCGCGGAACATCAGCGGCGGAGCAGCATGTAAGTAAGCAGCGTGATGATGGTGAGAGCGAACGGTTGCAGCCGTGGCGAAAAAGGCCGCCGCAGACGCTGCGTAGGCGCTCGTGCGCTGCAGCCCGTTCGTGCTGGCGAACCGGCCAATCGTAGGCGGCCCCGACTTTCCACCAATGAAAAGCCTAGGAGGATGGTGTTGCTTACGCCCCGGTGCTGGCACCGCGTGGTAGCTCTCTTCCCTGGCCCTTCTTCTTGTCTAGCTCTTCAGGCGGTTCCTTCGCGTGCCGCGACCCGACCTTTGGGTTCATTTTGTCTTTTCTTCTGTCGCGGCTCGCCTATTCTCAAGCCACCACACTTTTACGATCGATGCGCCGCGATTACTGGACCGTTGCAGCATCTAGACCAGCGCCTGAGGTTTGGGGTCCCGCAGTCAACTTTTTAAGCTCATCGAAGGTTTATTTTCCATCAACCGCCGTCTCGGATCGCATCCGAATGGCTGTCACTAGGCCACAGACTCCTTCCCCAGCACTATAACACGACTATCATTCCAGGACGTCATTGTCGATGTGACCCAGCCAACCGCCACACAGATCCCTGAAGAATTAGGAAAAATTCCGTATCCCTTTGCTCTCTAGTATATTCAGGCCATACTAGGGAATATATTCCTACTCCTCCTTGATATTCCCGTCTTTATTTCATGCCCTTTTCGCTTCCGCTTGGGGTTCGATCGGATCATGGAGCGCCTCGATGTTATTGCCCAGTGGGTCCAAAACGAAGGCCGCGTAGTACGTGGGCCGATACTGGGGACGGATGCCCGGGGCACCGTTGTCCTTGCCGCCGGCTTGTGCGGAAAGCGCCGCTGCGTGGAACGCCTGGACGGTGTCCTTGTCTAGCGATCGCAGGAAGCGCACGTGTGAGAATTATTGATATGATAGACAGTGAAAAATAGTGATCTCCCTTCCAATGAGAGGCACAGTCTGGCTTAGGTGGGTGGTTTCAGGAGCAAAGGGAACTTGAATGAGGACATGGTGGTACGGAATGCCACCGTCCTTCAGTGGTGCATGAATAACGGACGTTACGGACAGAAGGAAAAAAACTGGGGGATCGCCGGCGTATTTGACCGCAGGTTGCAGATCCAGATGCGACACGTGTATAAGGCACGATAACCTTAAATCTTTCTCCATTCGTCCTCGGGTATGTACACGCATAGGCGACCAACAAGACAGAACACGGCCGCAGGAGACAATCAAGATGGGAAGAGACAGCAAAATAAGACTCACCTTTCGCATTGAACGCAATGTGCGTCTGCTGCTGCGCTGCCGCGTCGTCCTTGGAACTGATCCAGAAGTCAGGCACCTTTGTCTGCGCAGAGCCCATGCCGACGAGGCCCGGGAAGGTCAGCAGAGCTGTGTAGTCCAGCGGCGCAAGCGCGTGCGCATAGAAGGCGACGACAGCGTCGTACTTTGAAGGAGGGGCCGCGATTCCGACGTGACTAAGGGACGACATGATAATAATCAAAACAACGGGACAAGAAACCTTTCGTGTCGTGTTGTCTCACCCGCAGATATATACACATGTCCATGCGCATGTCTCACGTGCTCTCGTGCGGTTTTCGTGCGCTGATTGACTAACTCCCCCTTGCTTCATTGCACGCCTGACGCGCGGTCTAGGCTGCCATCAGCATTTGTTTGCCAGATCGGGGACCGAAGGAGTCAAAAGCGGTTCCTTCAACCACTGCGGTGGGAGCGGGGGCCAGAATTCACATGTTACAAAGACCAGCCCGTCAGCAGCAGCTGAAACCACTCTCGATCGGAGATTTCCTTGCAGTACCCCCACGCGGCACTCCGGCGCCTCTAATACTGGTTCCTTGGGATCTGTTTTCGCTCAAGTCATGGGTAGTTGAAGCTCTCGTCCGGACGTGTTTGTAGAATTTTTAATTCGACATTCTCATCCGGACGATAGCTTCAAATACCCACGTATGTTGTTTTCCTAAGGGGAAAAAAGAAGAAAAGAAAATTCCGAGACATAGTCACGCCTGGCGTCATATTATTCTTCACACTAGCCTCCGGCTACGATACCCCTCTGTAGCAAAGCCGGTCACTTCGGAGCTCCAGACTCCAAGTTGCCCCACATCGCCGCCCAAGTACCTTTTACCTACCTTGAACCCCTCGACTCCACTACTACGATGCTTGATTGTGAGTTCAAAGAGACCGTCTATACACGCTCTCCCTATGAAGGTGAGCATGGTTCGGAGATTATCTCCCATACTTCCTTTAAAGACGCTTTATTGCATGTTTTACAATATCCGTGACCCCACCGAGGCTTTGATTATGCCTAAATTAATACCATATACTGGCGCAACTGTTTTGGAAACGCTAACTTAACTGGTAGAATTTAGGAAGGCTTTTTGTAGCTGATCCAGAGCTTAGGCGTAGTCTGATTGAAGCTTTGCGCCGAGACTCTTCAATCGTCTATTCACTCGAGCTTTCAGTTTACTCGATTATGCCTCTTAACGTACCGTCCGCAAAGAACATAGTGGTTACAAAAAGCCCAGTGCTTTCGCAAATGAGCGGTTGAAGTATTCGCTCTCCGATGCACCCTTATTATGCCCGTGCTGTCTGAAATCAGAGGAATAACCTCGCCTCAGTGATGTCGAGCGGCACATCAGAGACAGTACTCTCAGGCCTAGCAACCCAGAGTCGGTTCGATATGAACGCCTTAAAAATGAAGACGGATGGTTTGAGGCTGATTGCACAGGCCATTCAAGCAAGGAGAGAGAATACCCACGGGAGCAGGCTATGAAGAGAAACCTGAGGCCATGGGTATCGAGTTCACTGACGATCCTCCCGAACTTTCCGAGAGTATCCCAGCACCATGTCATCCGAGTATTGTCCTCGGAGGCCCACCACCCAAGATCTCTCGTCGAGTACTGGTACAGTATTTGTCGACGAATCTAGAGGAGCGAACGCAGTTCCTCCCCACCTACAAGGTGTTCCGAAACTCGTAGATATTGAAAACATTACGCAGCACGAGATTAGTCCGCCCATTTGCTCGAGTACACCGATCCCCCCGGCTCGATGCCTAACACCAAGGGCTTCAAGTTTTGAACCAAGCCATGCCTCTGCGTGCCTTAGAACGGAAGACTCAACATTGTCCATGACCGTGGAAGTTGCAGAGAAGGCGATTTCAATTGATTCTACTACAATTCTGGTTGTACGTGGCACCGTTCACTGAAAGTAAGGAGCAATCATCTGGGTATTTAAAACTGCATACATCCAGCTGCTTTTGCTTCCCATGCGTACATTGAATGCCATTCTGTATTTCTTTTTTTTTAAGACTGCTGTGTACACACGAGAAAAGGGTAGACTGGTAAAACAAGAGTAAAAAGAAAAGAAAGATGTTTGTTAAGGTAAACTCACGGCTTGCAGGTGGGCATAGTGTATTATTCTACACTCCCTTTTGCTTTAATTTACAATAGTCGAAGAGAAGAAAAAGTGACGGAAATCTATGAAAAATGGCTTTAATTGTTTAACATACATGGCGGTAATAATCAAGATTCATTAGCACAACAAGAACCTCACGCATCATCTTGGTTGTGTACAATTGCTATATTGATTCTTTCTCTATCATCATGAAGGTGAGCAGTTCCGTAATGGGGATGGTGTTGCAGAAATGGGATCAAAATATATCACCTTGCTGTCTGCCATCACTCCCAGCAAGGGGCGTCGCTTCTATTACTGGAAGCACTCAAGCACGTGCAGTCCTGACATGCTCTTTCTGGAATGCACGTGAAGCATCTGGCTGCTGTCCCGGGTATATATCTTCACCAAACCTTTCGCCTCTACCAACACATCTCGCTCAACTTTCCCTTCTCACCCGCGACCCGGACACTCTCCTATCCAAAGCAAAGCATTTACCATCCGTCACCATGGCTCCAAGCAAGAATTCGGAGTCAGAGGAGAAGATCAAGCAGACGATGAAGAAACTCGCAGTACTGGCCGAAGACCCGCGTTGCAAATGTGAGAGCGGAGAGAAGAAGGTTCGTATTTTACCTTTCCGCTCATCGCAAAGGCTCTACTGACTAGTGAACGTGTGGTAGGTCTTTCTTCAACAAGTCACCAATCCTAAAGATCGGAACGACACCGCCTACGTCTTCAAGCACCGCCAGTATGCACTTGCACGTGTCAATAAGACCTCCGGAGTAGTGCTCAACAAGCAGGAGATTTACGGCGAGATACGCACTGTCTTGACTGCAGGTGGAGAAGGGGAATTGGCCGCTTTTGATCTCTTCAGCAAGAGCGAGCTTGATACCCTCGGCGAGTTGCTACCATACATTAAGAATGATGTAGCAGTCCTGGATCTGGCGAGAGATTCCTGAGCCTGACGGGCTTGTGGCTGGTGTGGCGGACTGCGCACTCTGTACACTCTCAAAATTACCGGAGAAGAGGATCAATATCGTGGTGGGCGTTTATGGGGAAGTTTAGTGACTCGAAACCACGATCAAGGGCTATAAAAGGGTATCTATGAGGAGTTTTGCAGGCCATCCAAGTGAGATTGGTCGGGCAAGGTTTTCAAGGCAGCTTTGGGGAGAGCTTTTGGATGGGATTACATGCAGATAAATCTCTGACCAGAATTCATTTCACCAATGAAACGAAGTGAAAGATCATTCTGGGAGCAACTGAAAGTGACTTTGAACCGCGATCGTAATGTCTACGTCTACAAATTCCAGAAGGAGGGCCCTTTCGGGAATTACTTTCACGTGAAAGCTCGTAGTTGCCATATCTGAACGCAGCCAGGTGGGCCAATGGTATATCTTCTGTCCCCATTCGCCCTGTTCCCCAAGCCAAACCACCCTTCCGCACAACATTATCTCACTGAACTCTTTGAAGGTCCATTATTCAATCCATGAGACTTGTTTGTGTCCGTCGTCCAGACATGCCGCCCAACCCCACCAACAACAAAGCGCCTGATCGTGAGAAAGAGCTGCAGGAGCAGATCAAAGTGACTGGAGAGAAGCTTGCAAGCCTGAGAAAGGATTTGCAAGCCGAACAGCAGCGCAAAGCCCGTGAAGAAGCCAAAGTGAAAAAGAGAGTGAGAAAACTCTATTCCATGGCCAAATGGATGGAACTGACGTGTGAGTTTAGAAGTACGATGACTACATGAAAGGCACGGATAATACGGATGGCAAGATGGATCTCACTTGCGAGATTCATCATATCCTTGACAGATTCGAAGCGGGTGAATATCAGTGGAAGCAGAGGCAGAAGGAGTACACAGGCATTATCGAAATGCTTGATGAGCTGAAGGTGGCTCGACCCTCCATCATCAACTTCAACAGCATCAGCATCGGCGAATTGGATGCCCTGAAGACGGTTCAGGCTCACGTTAAAGCCGATAGGAAGATGCTCAACACTTTGGCAGTATCTCTACTTCCGTCGGTCCAGGAGAAGATATCGAAGCTGAAAGACAAGATCTGCGGAAAGAAGCCGCCGGTGGACTATGAGAAAAAGCCACTCTCTTCCTAATGAATCCGTGGGTGGTGGTAATTAGTGGGCCACAATCTCGGCCACACCGATATGAGCGTTTGTCATATCTGGGGCACCAATGATTATCTCGACTACAACTTCAGACAAACTTCATGCAAGGGGGAATTTTGTTCTGGCGAACAAGCTTGAAAAAAAGGAAATAGAGGCATGCACTACGTGCTTCATACTCAAATTGCGAACATATACCAAGTAGAACATTTTGGAGTTATGGGAAGTTCAGGGTGGAGTTGAGAATCCAGGGAGCATTACCGGGGATGCAAAAGCTCAGACAGTGAGCCTATTGAGTCGAGAGATACATCAAAATATCTAGAGTCAGTTCCAGCGAATGCGGCGGAACATTCTACCGAGAGTGACTGTTCGATTCACTGTTTCTTCGGCTGGTTGCTAGGCACGTGGCGTTGGAATATGGCAGGTGCCGCACAGACAGAGCCAACGCTATATCTTCTGTGCTCCGTCGACCTTCTCACCTACACCTCCCGACATAACCCGTACATTATTTGTTTTTCGGCAACCCGATCATTGCTTTTCCGCGCGAAGATGTTGCCCTCTGGCAAGACAGAAGGCCATCAGCTGGCCGAGCTTAAGCAGCAGATGCGACAAAAGCAGAAAGAGATAGACGACCTTAAGACAGCGCTTGGACAAAGCCACATTCCGCAGCAGAGCACCAAGGAAGCCGTAAGCCGCGCACGAATCTCTTCACTGCCCACCTACATCGGCTTCCGGACTGACCAACTTCCAACAGGCCACCGCCACCGCAGCTCCGGCAACCTCGAGCCTCTCTCCCACCGACTTCACCGACCTGCTCCTCCCGCAGCTCCGCGCTTACATGTTCGTCTTCTACATGCACCTCAAGAACCTCCACGACCAACAGCTGGTCTGCCTCTCCATTGAGAACCTGTTGACTTCGATCCGTGATGGCGTGCGCGAGGGCAAGCACCAACGACCGTTGCTCCATGCTGAGTTGTTTACCGAGGAGGCTCTGGAGCCCCTGGCAACGTTGAAGGAGAGGATCGCGGCGGACCATGAGGCCATGAGAGAGCTGCAAAGGAGGAGCCGCGGACGGGATGACGTCTTGAAGCAGGTACAGGAGGGGCTGGAGTCTTTGTTGCGCCAGGTTCAGAAGGGCAAAGGAGACACGCCCATCACGTCCCCGGGCACCTTCCCCACCTCCATGCGCGGCCTGGGAAAGGAAAAGATGCACGTTATGGAGAGCAATGCTCACAATGGCGGCGACAACGGCGATGACTCCTCCTCCTCCTCCTCCGGTTCTGATACCGATATGGAGTAGTGTTAGCTGTGCAGCGAACTGGAGCGTGTTGCGACAATGCGGGATGGAGGATACATGTCGTACTTGGGCGGAGAAAAAGTACCAGGAGCGGCGGTCTGGCATGGTGATTTCATAAAGCTGCAGCTCTTTTGTCCTGCATCGACCGCAGCTAGTTTCTGGCCCTAAAAATCGGTGATCAGCCGGCAAAGGTTGGTCAGCGTACACGATAGATACTGCTCATCCTTCGAAGCCATTCTATAGAGAAAGGCGCTGTAGGAGGGGAAGGAGCGCCTCGGAGCTCTCCAAAGCCACACTCATAAGAATTGATATAAGTTGGAAAGATGCCGAAGTGTTTGCTGTGATTATCGTGAGGAGCAGGCATGATGACGATATCAGTGGACCTTCCCGTCTCTTGCATAGAAGAGAGAAGCTTGAGCACATGTCACTCGCTCTTGCCTCAGTAAGCGCGGCCTGCAGCCACGTCCGGCAGGCACACGGGCGGCCGTGGATAAATATCTGCTTCGCCTCCGTCCGTCAAACTTGACCACCAACTCCACCCAGCCCGTACGTGTACTTCACCATGGCCCCGAAGAAGCGTGCTGCAACACCAGAAACACCCCCAAACACGACGGTCTCAAGCTCAGAATCTCTAAAAGAAGCAGAACTTGCAGACAAGATTCGGAAGAACATGAAAGAGATTGAGGATCTGGAGGCTGAGCTTGCGGAGGAGAAGGCCCGCCGCCTCCAAGAAAGTGTGAAGAAGAACAAAGTCAGTGGACCGCCTCACTCTTGAAAGACCAGATACTGACGAAGTGCAGAAATGCGATGAGCACTTCACAAGCCCCGACTTGGGCAAAGGCCAACGCTATCTCATTGACCGCGTCAGGGACATGCTGAAGGAAATGAATGCGCTGTATTCGAAGGAATTGCCCGATTCGATCTCACTCTACCGCGGAATTCACAACACGTTGTTGGCGCTCACAGGACCGCAGTTGGACCTTCCTTTTGACGACTTCACCATGGAGGAGATTAATACTCTGGACTTGCTCAAGGGAATTATCCAGGGGGACATGAGACATCTCACCCACCTCCGTGCGTCACTAGGCAGCATCGGCAACTTCTTCCCCGAAAGGCTTGCCGCAATGGCTGGAAAGGTTGAGGAGTTAGAAGACGAATGAGTGGACGGACCAACATCTAGCCTCGTAAGACGGTTTGGGTATTTCGAACGCTTCACTGAAGGATTGGCCTCAAAATACGGTGCGGAATGATCTTTAGGAGGGTGAGGGGTTCTTACACAAGCATGGTGAAATACTACACCGAAGGACATGAGACCCCATCAAATATCAGGGCAAGGGAACCAGACCTTTATGGTAAAAGGCTCGTCAATGTGCATATAACAAACGATCAAGGCTCTGAATATCGTTTTCCAGCAGTGCTTTGCGGAGGTGAACAAGGAAATAGCGTCGTGCGTTGCATCTCAACTCTTACTATTGCAAGATGACCTGAGCTACTAGTAAGCCAGAGGCTTAGAAAGATGGCGAATTTGCTTTTGTCAATTCGTCATTTGCTAATGATAAGACGAGTTTTGGAAGATGTAGCTTTGAGCGCGGCTCGGGGACCGTCAGTGGTTCTGAAGCACGGGCCACTACTTACCCGCGGCGTGTGCATCACCACCTGCGCGCGCCTCGCAAGCCTACATACGCACAGCATCACATTCCCGGCTACATCCTACCACCTACCCCCAACATCCACCGCCGCCATGCTTTTCTTCAGGTACGCATGAACTGCGCCTCGTCCCGCGCCGAGCCCAATGCCCATCCGCGCTGCCACCTCAGCTACCGGAGCCTCCCCGCGAACTACCTACCTACCTTCGCGCTTCCACCCACACGTCCTGTCTCTCGTTACCCTCCCTCCCAGTAGATCCCAAGCCCTGCTACCGCAGACCCCGCGCCCGACAACCGAGCTTCCCTGCAAGAGTTTAGCTAACTGCCCCCCACAATAGCTTCTTCAAGACCCTCGTCGACCACGAAGTCACGGTCGAGCTGAAGAACGACATCTCAATCCGTGGCACGCTGAAGTCGGTCGACCAGTTCCTCAACATCAAGCTCGACGACATCTCCGTCGTCGAGGAGCTCAAGTACCCGCATCTGGTAAAAAAGCACCGCCGCCCACATGCACGAACCCTCACCCATGCCCAGCGGGAACACATACACACACATAAATCAGAAATGGGATAGTGGGCTAACGTCGGTCTTCACCACGCACCGCAGAGCTCTGTCAAGAACGTCTTCATCCGTGGCAGCGTGGTGCGATACGTGCATCTGCCCGGCGCCGCCGTCGACACGGCGCTGCTCGAGGACGCGACGAGGCGGGAGGCGGCGCAGGCGGCCGCTAAGGCGAAGCAGGGTTGAAAGAGAGAAAGAAAAGAAGACAAACATACTTTCGATACCATGATCATGAACACTCATAATCCCGTCTTCTCCCCCCTTCTGAGCTTTCTTCGTGTTGGGGTAAACTGCGCTTGAGGCGCGAAAGGGCGGAGAGAAAAAAGGGTTGGAGCCGATCCCGTGGCTCGTTCGACAGGTCATACCTGTGGAAAAGTGAAGGCAACGTAGGGAGAAGATGAATCCTTTCCACATAGGCTCAGGAATAAAAGACGTGGGAATTGCAGTCTGGAAGGTTTCAAGGCCTGCTACCTGCAGAGCCAGCCTTAAGGTGCTGGTTGTTTTTGAATTTAGAAAAGATTCCCCAGCGTGTTGGAACGATGCACTTTATAGTCAGCTTGCATACGCACGGAAGAAAACAAAAAGTGAGCAATGAATACTCGAAAAGAATGCGAAAAGAAAAAAAAAATCAGTAACCACCAGTGCTGCATGGCCGTGCGTGCTTGAGCTTCACGAATTAGACACCTGACATCACGCGTAACAACCATGAAAGCCTCGCGATCGAGACCAGGAATAGTCCCTCGAATAAGATCATCTAAAAAGGGTATCAAATCAAAAGGCCAAAAGGCTAACAGGCGAACGCCAAAATCCCCACTCCCTTAAGCACCCAAGCAAACGTCTTTCTAAACCTCACTCTCTAGGAGAGGAGTCAGGAAAAAAAGAGGCACAAAAGTCTATCACGGGCTCTCTCCCTTCTCTTCTTCGCCTTTATCGCCCTTAACCTTCTCCTTCACCTCCTCGATCTTGTCGCCCGCCTTGTTAGCGACGTCGACGGCCCAGCCCTTCGCCGAGTTAACCTTGTCCGTAAACCACTCCCACCAGCTCATCTTTTCCTCTTTCTCTTCCTCATCTCCCTTCTTTCCCTCGCCATCATCCCCATCACTCTTTCCCTCGTCATCACCTCCTTCACTCGTCTCCTCATTGCTAGGCGCGGGAGCCGTCGTGGTCGCAGCAGCGGCGGAAGAAGCAGCAGCAGCAACCGAGGACTGCGCAGCCGTTGCCGAAGGAGAAGAAGATGGGGCAGAAGGAGTGCTGGACAGGACGTGGCCGGCTAAGGTTGTCGTCTCCGCTGCCGGCGCAGGCGGGTCTGCGGGTGACTCCTCGGGCTCGACGTCCGAGTGCAGACCGACGGGCTTGAGGGGCAGGCGGAGGGTGCCGTTGTTGGGGGCGGGCTCGATGCCCAGGGAGTCGCAAATGATGTTGTAGAGCTGGATGTTTTCTGCCAGGACGACGGATTAGTAACGAATATGAGGGTGTTGAATAGAAGAGCGAGGGAAAAAACTTACGGAACGGCTCCAACCTGCTGCCGGGCTGGTGCGGGAAGGCGGGGCCCCTGGCCAAGAAGATGGCACGCATGAGCGGGTGCTCGTGGTCGTAGCCGTGCAGGCCATGCGGCTGGTAGGCCGCGCCCGTCTGCAACCCTTGCTCGACGTCGAACTCGTCCTTGGTGACGATGGCCCAACCGGCCTTCGGCACAATCCAAAGCGGTGCAATACGGGAGTTGCTGGCAAAGTGGTAGCGCTCCGGCATGTTGAAGTCGCGGAGGTAGACTTCGATGTTGGGGTTGTGCTCGGCTTTGAGTTTGAGCTCCTGGTACAGGCGGTCGAGGTTGTCTGGGTTCTTGGGCCACAGGCCGTAGAGCGGCCAGCCGTCGATGTGCTCAATCAGACTCGGGTCGATGAGGTCCTCGAGCTGGATGAGGCGCGAAATATCAGTCGTTGCCATGCCGTGGTCCGAAACAATGACCACGTTGACGATGTTCGTCAGGTTGCGGTCCTCGAGCCCCTTGAACAGATTACCGAGCATGGTGTCGACGGCCGTGATGGTCCCTCTGATCTCAGTACTGTTCGGACCGTACCTGTGGCCATCGGCATCGACGTTGGGTACGTAGGCAGCGATGAGCTGAGGGCGAGGCTGATCTCCAAGAGCATGTGGACTATCTGGGCCTGGGAGATCCAGGAACCCAAGAATTCTGTCGACCTTCACCGACAGCTTCTCCGAGCCGTTGTATTTGTCAAGGTGAGCAGGCTCATACTCGCCGACGTGGGCTTCAGAACCCGGCCACATGTGCACAGCGGTCCTGATACCTTGGCTCTCGGCTGTCGCCCAGAGGGGATTACCGCCCCACCATTTGCTCTGCATGCTGACCTCAATGTGCGTGTAGTAGAAGTCCTGCTCAAATTCAGGGTCCCAGAAAGTGTTGCCAACAATGCCGTGGGCCTCAGGATAGAGGCCTGTGGCCAGTGTCCAGTGGTTGGGAAAGGTTACGCTGGGAAAGCTAGGGTTCATGTACGGTGGAGAAACGCCCTGATCAATGAAACTCTGCATCGTTGGGGTGAGGTTTCGCTGGAGAAAGTCTGCGCGGAAGCCATCGAGAGAGATGAGAATAGTGGTCGGGGCAAAGGTTGCAGAACCATTGCTCAGCATGGTTGCATAGTGCTTGGTCGGCCGCAAACCAGATGCTCTGTAGGCTGCAAAGAGCAGAATGAAAAACAAGATAACGATGAAGACGTAGATGATAGTGCGCAGAAGAAGTGGTCTCGAAGACTATGATTCCACGTTAGTGCCACCGTCCGTACCGGAGCCGTGAAGTTACATACCCGTTTCTTCTTGCCCAGCAGGGCGCGCAGCCGCTCCTCGTCAGCCTCGGAAGAGTCCCTAGACGACGCACTCGACAGCCTCCCCCCTTCTTCGGTATCATACATGAGTCCACTCTCTTCGGAACTGTGGAGGTATCGCCTGCGGTCTCGCCCGGGCTCCATCTTGGACTTACGTCGCGAGGTATCGCCATCTCTCCCGCGGAATAGCCTGCCCAGGCCGCCTTTCCTTGCGCTGCCTGCGGACGAGCTGCGGGCGATCAGCTTCTCGCGCTCCTCCTCTTCTTCCAGCAGCGACTGGTCCTCCCTGCGGAGCTCGGCCGATGTCTTGCCCTCGTCGAAGCGGTCGTCGTCTTCGTAAGCGGTATCGCTGTCGGAATCGGCGAGCATTGGGTCCGTATCCTCGGGCGCGCGGCGGCCGCGTCGGCCAGAGTGAGGAGGCGCCATGGTCGTCGGTCGGTGGAGCGAAACGTTGATGACAGGTGGGTGTTTGGTGTAGGTACGGGTTACCGGGCCTCACATCCCTTGAGACGTTCGCGTCGCAATATTAGGCTGGCGTCCGTGTTGCCGTCGTGGCCGAAACGGTCGATCGCCGAGAGAATGGCTCCTCCTGCTCGAGTGAGATCTCCTGACGAGCGTAATCAGTTTGGACGTGATCTTAAATACTAGTCCTCTGTACGGATGCTGAGGTATGCGGCACGGTTGCTCCCCGCGCCTGTGAAATGCGCCATCGTCTGCGCCAGGCCGATCTGCCCTGACTCGTGCGCCAGACACATCTGCAGCTCGCCGATCACCCGGCCTATTTTTACAGCCAGGGTCCGCCGAACATCAACTGCTTGCTTGTCTGTATTCAGTACAACCTAAATGCATACTAGCTGATATCACTGCTTTGGATCAGGCATCCGAACCACCACCTCCAACTTCTCCATCGGTCCGACCGTCCATTGCGCTCTTGACTTCTTTCTCCGGATCTCCAGATGGCTTTCTGCCAGTAGAACAACCCAAAGATATGGCACCGCCTGGCCCCAACAAAACATCCAAACCACTCCTAAGCCCTTTGCTTCGTTTCCGTCCGTTCCGCCACGCTTCCAATCCTTGGGAATATTCCTCTGCAACCATACATTGCCCAAATAGTCATGTTCTAGTAGATACTGGATCCGTGTCCAAAAGTCATGCTGACGCATCAGGTCCCAATCTGATGTGTCAAACATCCAGCACCCACGCTCCGTGGGTTTAATCTCACGGAGGACTGACTCGGGCTTGTAATGCTTGGCTATCGAGGCCTTTTCGACATAGAGCTGAAGCATCGATGTCACCTCGCTGAACACCCGCTTGTTCCCTGGAGGCGGGGGTTTGGGGAGTAGTTGTAGCGGAAGTGAACTAAAATCGCATTTCTGAGATTTTTGGGATCCAGCGGACGTTGCTGTTTCTGAAAGGGCTGTAATCGAACTAATAGGAGTCATTGCCGCGCCTGCCTGGCGTGCATTACGAGTAATTTGCGCGCTAGTCTCGATATCAATGGAAATGTCCTGCGTGGATGGCTGAGAATGTTGTGATGTTCCCTCTTGATTTGTACCACGAGACTCGGAAATATCATGTTGCTGTCGCACACCCTTTTCAGACGCAGAATTCAAACTTTCGTTCATCCCGGCCTTGCCGTCAGCCACAGGTCCGGAACCACCGGGTATTCGCAAGGGTGACTCGGAATTGCTCAAATCGTAGTCATCGGGTAGCTGTGAATCCATGCTTCCCCTTGGGGGCGTCCTTAGGAGCGGCATCCAGGGAGCAGGAATCAGCGGAGTACCCAACGCTTGACTCTCTGCATTGTGGCCCATTCGAGTGTCGACTTCGGACGAGAGGCGAGGTCTCTTGCTGCTTCTCTGTGAGATTGATGATTCAATCTCTGAGAACGGAGGGTCAGAACCATATGACGACGTGTCAACGTGGTCTTCGAGCGCGGTCAAGGCCTTCTGCGTATCTTCGATGTATAGCAGCTGTGGAGTGCTTCTACCTGTACTTGCCTTTGGCTGACCTGATGCAGAACGTTTGGCAGACGACTGTTGCTGGTGAAGCCATCGTTTCTCAAGCTCGTAGAGTTGGTGAACAGGCGACGGGGAGGCGGATGTGCTCATGAAGCTCCCAAAGTCCGGTGCTTGAGCAAGGACCTCGGGTTTCTTGCCTTTGGCTGCAGAATTTCTTGAGGCAGGAACAATCTGTGCGGGCTCCACGAAGCCAGCGACGGTCGGCGCTTGGGTGACTGGGGTACCCGGGTTTATTTTGCTGCAAAGCAGGTTACGACTGTGGGCTGCTTTAGAGCGTTCCGGAGTCATAGGAGCTCGGCGATGGTCATCTTGGTTCACGTAGCTGCTGATGGTATTTGCAGGCTCGAAGTCGTCGTAGGCTTCGGCGAGCCTTCTGTATCGCTCATCATCTTTGCCAGATGCGGGCGCAGAGAGATGGACTAGGATTTCTTTCATATCCAAAATCGTCGGAGGTAGGCCTGGAGGAAGCAGAGAGGTCCATGATTCCGGAAAGGTAAGGGCCTAGCTCAGGACAGGCACATAGATGGCTACGTGTTAAAATATACCTGGCGAGAGCCTGTGATGGAACACGTGCATCGGCGACAAAGCGACGGGTGTTGATTGTTGTAGTTTGGACTGAGAGCGGCAGGGTCTTCGCCTCCACCCACCGCCCGCATCGCTTAGTCAAAAGCGCCAAGATATTAAAATTCCGGCGTTGACGCACTTCTGGCCCGCGAGACACCACCATCCAACCCCACAGCAATCATGGCGCCTGCTTCGCTCCTCGACCTCGTGTCGGCTCTGCCCGCCACCGACAGCTGGGGTCCCGCCACCTCCAGCGAGACGATGCTGGATGGCGTTCCCTACGCGCCCTACTCGAAGGCCGACCGCCTAGGCCGCATGGCCGATTGGACTGATGGCAAGGACCGTGACGGACGCGGCGGTCGCCAGCAGTATGGTGGCAGGAACTACCGTGGTATGTGTCTCGCTCGGCTTGCACGAGTTGCCGCGCGCTTTGTCACTCGAGCTTATTCTAACCCACAATCAAGACCAGCAGGTCTACGGCGCCTCCCAGGCGAACAACCCCTTCGCGATCCAGGTTGCCGAGGAAGAGGCCACTTTCTCCGTTGTCGACAACACCCGCACTTCTGCGAGGACCCGGGGTTTCGGCCGTGGTGGTGGCACCGTTTTCCGCGGCCGTGGCCAGCGCGGTGGACCTGCCGCGCGTGGCGGCAGAGGCACATTCCAGCGCGTCGGTGGAAGGCAGCAGCAGGGCGGCTATGATAACCGCGCCCAGCGCGGTGGCCGCGGTGGTAGGCGTTTCGGCTGGAGGGACGACAAGCCCCAGCGCAACAGGGACGCCTCTGTCCAGGTCAAGCCGGACTGGACTGTCCTCGAGGAGATTGACTTCTCCCGCCTTGCGAAGCTCAACCTCGAGACCCCCGACGGTGAGGACCTCGACAGCTACGGCTTCCTCTACTACTACGACCGCTCCTACGACAAGGCTCCCGGCGCAAAGACCTCGGAGAGGAAACTCCAGGTGCTTGACCGTGCCGCTTACAACGTCACCACTTCGAGCGATCCCATCATCCAGGAGCTTTCTGAGAAGGATGAGGCCACTATCTTCGCCACCGACAACATCCTGTCCATGCTCATGTGCGCGCCGAAGTCGGTCTACCCCTGGGATTTGGTCATCACCCGTCGCCGCAACCAGGTCTTCATCGACAAGCGGGATACCTCTACCATTGACATGGTCACGGTCAACGAGAATGCCATGGATGCGCCTCTTGAGACGTCGGAAGGCAACAAGGACACGATCAACAACCCCAATGCCTTGATGCTGGAGGCTACCCACATCAACAACGTCTTCCCTCTCCAGGTCGTCCAGGAGGGCACCAAGAAGGATATGGCTCACGCTCACCCCTTCTACAACGAGGAGGAGGAGTCGGCTCCCCCGGCATCCAAGTCTTACAGGTACCGCCGCTTCGACCTGTCGCTGAACAATGATGAGGAGCCTCTTCACCTCGTTGTCAGGACGGAGCTTGATGCCGCTGTGAAGAACAACATCAGCGGCGAGGACCAGTACCTGACCATCAAGGCCCTGAACGAGTTCGACAACAAGGCCCAGGGCTCCGGTGGCGCCCTTGACTGGCGCACCAAGCTGGCCAGCCAGAGGGGTGCTGTTCTTGCTACCGAGATGAAGAACAACAGCTGCAAGCTCGCTCGCTGGACCGTTCAGTCTATCCTCGCAAAGGCCGACTCTATGAAGCTTGGGTAAGAATGCTCCAACCAAATGAAAAGACTAAATTGCTAACAGTCGCAGTTTCGTGTCCCGTACCAACCCCAAGAACAACAATGACCACGTCATTCTCGGCGTCCTCAGCGCTAAGCCGCGTGAGTTCGCCGCCCAGATGGCACTCAACCTGTCCAACGGCTGGGGTATCGTCCGTACCATTGCGGATATGTGCCTGAAGATGCCCGAGGGCAAGTACGTCCTTGTCAAGGACCCCAACAAGCCTGTTCTCCGCCTCTACCAGGTGCCGGATAACACGTTTGAGGAGGAGGCTGAGGATGGAGCGGTTCCAGAGCAGGACGATGAGGAGTAAGAGTGATATCACAGTAATCCCGGGATGAAGGCATGATTTGTGCTTTATTTACGAACAGGATGGTTATGGGAGCCCTTGAGCAGTGTCGGGCTTTGGGTTAGCTCGGCGAAACAAAAGCAATGGAGACATTCAATCACACACAATCCTCTTGTCCAATGGCGAATAGGCAATTTCAGATCTTAAGCAGTTCAGAGATACTTGCTCAGTTCCGCAATTGGCTAGGTGGCAGAGAGGAACTAACCCTGCTTGGGATGTTGATTGTCAAAGATGCAACTAATCATGCGTGTAGGGATATAAATGGGTTGATACGTCATGCGATGCGATAACCGATAAGCTCATTACTTCCACGGAGATGTTGTGTTCAGGGCCGGCGTGGCGAGCTTGAAGGGTGGGTTGCTAGCGTGCTTCGCGGTGGGGGCGGGCGGTTGATGGATGAGGGTGTAGGAACGGGCGTGAGGATCAATTGCGTCTCTCCCGGTCAGATTGATATGGGCATTGACCTGAAGGGCTTCGGTATGCGCGGCACGAGCTCCCAGCAGCTGCCGCTGTCGAGTCCGCAGACGGAGAAGGTGAGTGCTATGTCCGAGGTTTGGAGCTTTGGAGCTGATTAGCGTGCTTTTCTTGCAGGCGCAGAAGGTACATATATTGGTCTTGAGCGCGCTGGGCTGCCACAAGGTCGTCGGTTTCTTGGCGAGCGGGCTTAGCAGCTACATCACTGGCGCAAACTTGGTGGTTGCTGACGGTGCAATGCATGTGGATCCTTTCGTCAATCATTGGGGGAGCGAAGCTACTGGCTATCCGGCAGGACGATGAATCCGCTGACCGTGCCAATTTGAGGAATCGACGCCGACGAAAAACAAATGTGACTGGCATGTACACATTTTCGCACTAATTGAAGTAGACATATCAACTATCAAGCTACTTTTGCAGTTTGTTCTCTCATATCTATTTAATCAACCACTACATCTAAATGACAAGCTCTATCGTCCTTTTTTATTATTTTAAAAAAAGGAGAGAAGGTAGAGCACTCCCATTTACTCATTTCTCACGGTCAGCGGTTCATGTAATTCTATGTTGGATACATATGAAGGGCCTGCCGGTTTCCAAAGACGGAAAGCCGTGGCGCACTCTTGTTCCACAGGCGCTATGTTAGTCGCATGTGATTATTGGAGAACTTGTCTTGTGAGAGTAAGCACAGAACCAATGGAAAACCCCGCACGCATCACTCAAACTTATTCCTCTGTCAGCTGATTTTCAGTGGTAAGTTTTTTCTAACGTATTCTTAGAACCATGGAAACTCTAAGTCAACATATCAGCACTTACCCGTCAAGCGTAACAAATCCGGAGGATTCGACCACGCGTAGCAGAAACTTATGCATGCTCATGAGACTAGGATCCTCAAAGTCTACCGGGCCGCGATCATGAATCACTTCACTGCATGCACCTGGTCGATTATAGCCTCAGCGCCGAAGATTTGCTCATCCGATTCCCGTTGTGATTATTTTTATCCGTGATGATTTTGATGTGCTTGTCTCGTGCGGCGAGAACCCTGGCACCTAGGTTCCACGCTGGTCGGGGCAGCAGCAATCACGTCCGCATTCCGACCGACGTGGGGCATTGCCATGTAGATCGGATTCTCAGGCATTCCCAGTCAGGACAGCTGATCTAAGGCCAACTCATCATTCGGGCCTTGAGACGGCGTGTTTATTCTCATCAAATCGCAACGACAGCCAGGAATTCATGCCGCTTGGTGAACAACGGTCTGAGTATTGATTAACGAATATATTTCTTTTGCTTCAACAAATCCATGGCTCGGTATGGAAGATGTTGCGAAACGTGAGCCCAATACCTTCGCCTTCTTGTAATTGTTGAATGAAGAGCTGCAAATCGAGCATCAGAAATCTTTGGTTCATTCTATTTTCTCCCCTTTGATTAGCTCTCTCCTCGATCTCCCTTTCTTGGTCAACGCTACTATTTTCCCTTGATGAAGCATCTCAGAAGGGAATCTATCAGTCAAGGGAAAAGGAAAGAGTTTTAATGAGAGATTGAAACTGCGCGAGGGGGACTAAGGGAGAGAAAATTGACAAAACCCAAAGGATTCTTCGTTGGGACAATGGGTACCAGAAACAATGATACCGTGTTGTTAGGGGTTAGGTTGTTGGTGGAGCGAGGAACGGGAACTGTCTCTCTCATCACACCGCAAACCGTTGGCAGATCCCTTCCCTTCTCTTTCTCCACTTTCATCTGGGCCCGTCCCGCCCGGCCCCGCTGGGCTGTTGTATCGGTGAGGGAGATAAGAAGCACGGAAGCTATAATGTCAGTGGGGGGTTGCGCACAGGGACTAATCCACCGAGGAAACGAAGAGGCATGGATCAACAGGACCGGTGTGAAACTACGAAAGCTTGGGTGCAAAGCTTGTTTTTCTTCCTTAAGTGTACACGTGCGTTACAATACGTGAAGAAACACTATCGATGAACGAATCTTGGGATGCACTCGTCGCATGTTTGTTCCTATTTCATCACTCTTTTTTTCTTCTCGAATGTTGAACGCCACATCGCTCAATAATGATACAGAATTGTCCTACGGCGATCTTCATGAAGCCCCCTTCGACAACCATCTCCAGCACCAACATAATTTAGTGTGATTCCCGCCCACTCACAAAGCATACAGTCCGCCTTGTTACAATAATCAATGCCATAACCAATCCAATCTTGGTGCAGTCGTGCATGGGTATTCCAACACCATTAGGGCGATGATTAGGCCCACGGGTCGCGACTCAAGGGTCCAGTATGCCCCTGCGCCATGGTACGCCGTGGCGCGCCATACCTGTCAAGTCTCTCATTTACCGCGTGGCTGTTTGATGGCGCCACGCGAAGCCGCTATCCGTCTCCTGCAACTTTTTATGAAACACAGGCACGGCTTGAAATATCCCCATCCGGACATACATGTCTCGGAGAAGCACAATCTCCCCGAGGCCGAAACTTGTGTTTCCGAGACACCAATTTGTTTGTTGGGGTAAAACGGCAGTTGTGTTTCGGTTGGGTCGATATGTTTCGAATACATGTTGGGAGTCGCGGTGAGAAGAGTGGATATCTCTTCGACTGTTTCGCTGCTCCGTGGTACCATGCCGAATCGGGCAGTCGCCGTGCCGGAGAACTGTGGCTCCAGCCAAGCAGTTCCAGGGGGAGGAAAAGCAAAGAGGGATGAAGAACTGAAAAAGCAAACGTAATCGTGCGGAAAGACGGATCAACAAACTGGTGTCGTCCCCGCTAAAGGGTATCGTCGTCGAAAGTGAAAGTCGACGGATCAAGGCGGTCCCCGAACCGGGTCCCACAAAACATTCGACGGCATCAAAACCATAATACAGTCCTTCTCTTTTTCGTTACATCAGTCCGGTTTTCAGTAAATCCTCGACCAACCAGGGAGGCCGCGCTGCTTCAAGCCAACGAAGCCGGCACCCTCGGGTCGCAGGCCGTCGTACTTCTCGTTGGCGGCGGCGATGGTGGTGAAGTCGTCAAGGGTGAAGCGCTTAGGTTCAGCGGCGGGCTCGGGCTTGGGCTGACGCTTCATCAACAGTCGGTCCTTCAGGGCCCACATGGTGCTGCTGAATTCGCGCTTCTTTGCTTCAGCGGCAGCAACATCTGTATCTGGTGGGATCGAGGTTAGATCAATCCATTGTTCGCAAAAGTGGATGTTGAATGGTAATGATGACGTATAATGGATTATGTGGTGTGGCACTTTGGCGCTAGAGCAGGTATTTCTGTGGGGGATGGCGATAGGAGAGAGCTTACCAACTATCGGTGATGACGAAAGGTCGCGTTCGGCGATCCGTGCGCCTCCTTCCTGGCCGGCAGCGCTCAGACCGGTTGATGAAGTGGTGACAGCGACGGGTGCGGCGGTGACGAAGGCGATGAGGAAGAAGGCAGTGATGAGGCGGGCCAGAGAAGTGGTGGTGAAGCGCATGTTGGGCGGATGGAGTCGGGCTTGGTTGGCAGTGGTGGATGCAGAGGTCGGAATATGAACGTAAAGAATTCGTAGCACAGGCGCGGCAGTCTTTTAAGTGTGAACTGGCTGGTCGGTGAAGGGTTCGGCGGGCGGTTTGTGGTAGTGGTGTGGGTGATTGTCAGGAGAAGTATTGGATCTTGTAGTACGTCAAAGAAGGTGTGTGAGGCTTTTTCTGGTCTGACCCAAGACAGTGGAAGTCGGTGGAATTGGAGCCACGCAGGCGTGAAGAAGAAGAAGAAGAAGGAGAAGCAGAGTGAAGGGCTTGCGGGCAGCGCAGGCGCAAGACGAAACGGACGGGGAGGGGAAATATACAGCATGACGGGAAGACGTCACCTAGGGCGGCACCAGTGCGCGTGCTAAACAGGGCCATGGTTAGGTCGCGCGCGGGAAAGTGGTGCACACCCAAAACGCAGGCACGGCCGGAGAGGAAGCAGCAAGCGGCGGCTTTGGCGATCGTCAAACAGCAGCCGCCGCCATCCCTGCAATAGTGCATGTCTCTCGCAGCCAAAAGAGAGAGGTTCGCAGGCCAATCAGCCGGCCACCGCAGACGTGCCTTACTGCTGATCAGCTAACCATTCGCAATCTCGACCTCCCGGCCGGCAAGAGAGAAGATCCCCCTGACGGCGGCGATCGTCGTTTCTCCAGCGCGGTTGTTTGGAGTAATGATGAGGCCACAGCCACCCCCAGGGGACCGGCCTAACGTTCTGGAAAAGTGGGGAGAAGGTGAGCATCTCGACAATGGTTCGCACATGCGCGTGCGTGCCGCCCCCCGGCGTCATGGACCCCATGGGCCGCCTGATCTGAGACTGGCCGTCGATTGCCATTGCCCGAAACGGCCGCTCGGCGCCTGAGGGCCAAGGGTTGGCGGCTCTGCTGTGTCTCCGGCCCATTCGATTTGACGTATTGCATGGCCGCATCGAGACAGTGCTGCGGCCTGCCTAAGGGTCTGAGGACGCGACCGGACCATCCACCGACGTCTAGCCGCCGCCGCACCAAGCCAATGGCTTTCTTCTACCGATCGTAGACGGCCCTCCTTAGATGCCTACACTCTTCGGTCCCGCCTCACGCTTTTGCGTCTGTCGCCGCGTTTCAGAAACGCGATGCAGGTACTATTCGTGCAGGTAATTACAAACCTGCAAGGTACGGAAAACAACGCGGGCGCCATGTCCTTTTTCTGCCTGCATGAGCCGACGTCGCACGGGAGTACAATAATGCCCCAGCATTCAATGCCGGGCCCCACTTTTTCCCACTATGTATGAAATCATATCAGCGTCTCCGCGCCAACCTTTTGTCGTCTGGTGACACTAGTATGCAACAGAAAACACGTGTGGGAAAGTGCGCCCCGTCAACCACGAAATCAGAACACCGTCAGGCGGGGGAGCCCATTGCCCAATCTACATAGATTTCGTGCCAGCCACACCATTGACTCACTCACAAGCACTCAACTTGTCATCGCGTGGGTTTGCCATACTGCTCATAGAGGAGGCAAAAGGATTAGTGAATAGTAAATGAATACACTACCCCGCCGCTATTGCCTGGCTAATTGACTAGTTGCTGAGCACGCTAAACAAGCATCCTCGTCGCTGCACAGACCATCGACGCTGTACGCCCATACCATATCCACCACAAGTCACGCCACAGCACGACGGTACACACGCAAAGACCAGGCACCCGCAAACCGATCACATTCTTTGTCTAGCTCCACCGCTCCACTACCATCGAGAGGGCGGGCTGTTCTTAGCTATACCAGTCTGCGAACAAAAAAAAAGAATTAAAGCCTTCTTCAAGGACGCCAGCCTTTATTCGTAGAAGGGAAAAGAGAAAGGAGAAAAAAACCGAACGCACAAGGTATAAGGCTTGAGGAAGATGCGCTCCATAAAACTCCTTTTTCTTTCTCTCATATCGAAGAAATCCAAAAATCCCCCCCTTTCCCAGAATTACATCCCTCCGTCTTCTCTCGTTTGTTCGTATACACATATCCAGGAACCCGAACCGTGCCCATTTACCGTCGTCCCATCATCATCAACATCATCATCGCATCGTCAAATGAGGTTGGAAGGATATTCTTAAAATCCCTTCCTCGCCCATCCCTCCAAGCCTCTCCACGCACATCCATCCCTCGCACCCTCCTCCAGCGCCTGCGTGATACCCTCGCCGAGACGTCCCTCGTCCTCCTTGCCCATCTCCGCCTGCAGCTTGACGAGCCACTTCTCCCACGCGCGAGCGCCGATGAGGCCGGCAACCTCACGGGCGTCCTTGGTCGAGCCCTGCTGTTGCTGCTGGTTGCTGCTGCCCTCGTCGATGTCCTTCGGCGGCGGCGTGGGGGGCACGGTGATGGTGGGCCCGCTGGTGGTCGTGGTACCGTTGACGATGGCGTCCATCAGCGAGTCCGCGCGCTTGTGCTGATGACGGCGAGGGAAGAAGAACGAAGTCGGGGAGAAGGGCTCAACCTCGCCGTTCGGGCCGATGACCTTCTCGCTATGCGGGCTGTGGGCCGAGATGGAGCCACGCGGCGAGTTCAGCACGTCCGGGTGCTTGCTCTTCGCGAGGGCCTCGTCAGCGCCGACGTTCAGCGTCTCGCTCCACTTGGCGCCAGTGCGAGGCAAAGGAGTGGTCGTCCACGCGCGCCTGACGTCCTTGGCGGCGAAGCCGGCGCGTGCGAGGCGGGGCAGGAAAGACTTGGTGGGCTGCGCGTCATAGCCGCGGGTGCGAAGGTTGAAAGAGAATTCGACTGAGACCTTCTGCGTGTGCGAGCCCGCCGCGGCGCGCATGACATCGGCGTCAAGGAGCGAGAACTCCAGGTAGCCACCTGGCTTGAGAATACGCATGCACTCCTTCAGGCAAAGATCATACTCGTCGAGGCAGGAAGTAGAGTTACCGCCAGCGAGCTGTCCTGGGCTGGGGACGGGCTTGGTAGTCTTGAGGAGTGCGTAGAGGTTGCGGGCGGAAACGACGTCGAAGTGGCCGTTGGGAAAGGGCAGCGTCCAGTAGTTGGGCACAACCTTGTGGCGGTGGTTCGGCGGGCCCTCGATGTCGCGCTTCTCATCACCGTCAAGCTTAACGGGTTCCTCGGTCTTGGTGGAGACGGTGAAGACGGAAGTCATGGGGAAGTCCAGAGCGACTTGCCATGCCCAGTCGCAGACTGCCTGGCCGCCCAGGTCAAGAACGCGAGTAGCACCCTCATCCCGGGAGTGGGCGAGAATCTTGTAGGCGGGGCTGGTGATGAGACGACCACCGTGGAGCAGTCGTGAGGCCTCGAGAGCCCAGAAGGCCGGTCGCACGAGCTCAAGAACCTGCTGCTCCTTCTGGGCCTTGGCGATCTGCTCCTTGTGCTCGTTGGGGTCATCCGTGTAGAAGAGAGACACCGGGCGTGTTGAAGGGATCTTAGAGTAGCCGCACAGCTCGTACCTACCGAGGAGCAGGTTGTTGTGCCTTTTTGGTGCGCAGCGACGCTGCAGGTGCACAGCCTCGGCACGGGTAAGACGGTGGATGAAGGCATCGAACTTGCCAGTAGTCTCCCTGAGAAACTCAAGTGCCTCGAAAAAGGTGGTATCCTTGGTCAGAGTCTCGTTAGGCGTCTTAGGCGTCTTGGGGACAACAAGGTCAACAAAGCGGACAGACTTCTTCGACGGGGAGCCGATGTCGATAATGGAGTTTCTTCTCTCATGAGCAACGGGGCTGATGGGGCTGAGCATGCCCTCCAGCCAGTTCTCCTGAGCAGTGATCCAGAGGCTGGTGCGGCTGAGGTTCTTGCCGGCAAGCTGCTCGAGTTCCTGAGCATAGTTTTCGTTGTACTCGAACTTTGTTGCGCTTGGCTGGATCTCCATAATCTCTCCAACGGGAGACAGGAAGCCGTCGAGAGCAGTTGGGGTTTGCTCTGCGGCGCCAAAGTTGGCGGGAACTTCGACAACGTGCTCAACAACGTTGTCCGGGCGTTCCCTCCAAGGCACGCCGTAGAAGTTCTCAGCGACGGATGTCGACGGAGTCTCATCGCGCTTCTGCGGGGGAGGAAGGCTCCAGGTGTGGCGGGCAGAGCCCTGCAGAGAAGAGAAGAAACCGCCGGGCGACGGGATGGTCAGGGCAGAGAATTCGTCCTCATCAGCTCTGAGGTCCGAGGGGGTCGTTGTGAGGTCGTTGGTGAAGATTCTCTGGACGGGGGCGGTCAGGCGGTCACCTCCGACGACTTGGGTCATCTCTTCCTCGGAGACATGGAGCAGCTGGTCACGGGTCTCAGTGTCATCATCACGAGAAATGTGGTGCAGCGTCTCCATGGCAGCAGGGTTGAGTTGCACAGAGCCCGACCACTCCCTTTCCTTCTGGGCTTGCTGGTCCGGGGTCGAGGGACAGCTCAGGTGCTCCAGCTCTTCCGACGACAAGCTGCCGTCCAGGGACGGCTCAGCACTGGTTGCGGGGTCGTTGAGTTTGCGGGCGGCTAGCATGTTGAGAACGTTCTGAGCAGGAGTCAAAGCTGGGACAGGGGCGGGCGAAACTGCACTTTTCTGGAGCTTTTCGATAGTCGGCCAGTGGGATGGTGACGGAATGACAATCGAAGGATAGCTGTTGCGGCTGGACCTTGCGCTGTTGTTGGTACTGGACTTCTTGACCGAGTTGGAGCACTTGAGCGGAACCTCCTCAGTATCGTCGTCGGTCATGTCGTACAGCTCGTCGAAGTCGGGGTCGTTGCGCGAGCGGGCGAGCGGCCAGTTCTCCTCGGTCTGGGCTTGGGCGGGCTGGGGGTTCTGGAGCGAGGCCTTCGGAGTAGGGAAGTCTTCGCTGTAGGCAGGCGACTGGTACGAGGGCGAGGCAACGGAGGCCCTGCCAGTATACTGGGCCCACTGGTGAGAAAGGTTCTGGGAGAAGTAATCCTGGTAGATGTGGGGGATCTGCGGGGATTCCTCGATTATGGTATTAATGGTTGCTCTCCGGTCCAGCGGAGAGACGAGACGCGAATCGGCCGGCGGGCAGTAGGTGGTGGCGGGCAGGTAGTAGCTCTCCATGGTGTAGGCTGAAGCGTTTCGAGTACCAAAAAAATGGAATTATTAGTTGGGCAATAACCCGGTCCGATCAACGGATAGCAATGCGTGAGGCTCCGGTCAACGGAAGCGCAAGAGACAAAGAAAGAAGAACAAAAAAGCAAAAGTCAACGCGTGACGATGGTCGACATGCGTGGAGAATGGGATGGACCATTTAGGCGCGATGCGGCACAGTGTAGCTTAAGAGCAAGCGACTTGTGGCCCGTGAGCGAGCGGCGGTCAGTGGCGTATTGGCTGCAGGGGTGTGATGTTTGCAGGCGCCGTGGAGCAGTGGAGGACCAGCGGCAAGAGAAGAGGCTCTTGTGGCGGTTGGGCGCGGTCACAGTGGCACGACGTGTGCGTCGTGCCAGGGCGGCCGGCGGTTGGCTGGGGTGGAGATGAGCGGGCCAGTCAGTGCGCAGATGGGTGAGTGGTCGGGGTCGACGATTGGATGGCAGCTGCTGTAAGCGCCCGCGGCCCGTGCTGGGCGGGTGTTATTTTGGGCCCTGGAGTGGGGCCCCGGCTCGCAGCGACACGACAACGCTGCCTTGTCGCGCCGTCCTTAAACAAGCCGGCTGCCTCGGTCGTGCATCGCAACAGCCAATTCGGGCGCGTGTGTATATTGTTCGCATGCGCCGTTGCTGCAATGACACGATACAGCGCGGGGTTGCGCGCTTCCTCCTCAGCGCGAACACGTTGCCGTCAACACGCTTCGCTTGCTCCACTGCATCTCTTCCCCAGCTTCCCTCGCGTTTCATTCTCGTTTTTCCGCGAGCTTGGAAACTTATCAACCGTGTCTCCGGCAATCTGCAGCTCATGCTTCACTCCGCGCTTGATTGGGCTTCGAAGAGGTGCCGAAACTTAGATCTGTTGTTGGGACGGCGCTTGTCCTCACCGGTCTCCATCAATATTCGGAGACCGCGGATCTGGCAGCGTCATCTCCGGTGGCGGTGTATATGGCACAGTCGAATCCGTCCAACGAAGTACTCGGTACAAGCGCGCGCATTCCATGTGGGCTGCCACCACACCACCATCAACCACGGCCAAGAGCGGCAAAGCAGGAAACGCATGAAATCTACAGATCATCATTGCCTGTAACTGAACTGTTTCCTTTCTGTTTTGTGTCACTCCGTTGCCTTATATAGCTCCAAGATTGCAGCCCATCATTGGCCCAACACCATACCTGGTCAAACCGGAATTGCCCGCCTATCTCTCTTGGCTATACCATTGCCTCCTACTTTGCCTCACGCTCTACCAATAGCAACATGACTCACTCGGCACTTTCCGCCAAGGCTAACATTGTCTAGAAGTGATGGTATTGCAACGCGCGTCCAAGTTTGACAGCTGCATATGAAGTATCACCATCCAACATTGTGCCCAACAGAGGCACGTCTGCCTCTCACCATTCCACATCTGGCGAGCCAACGATATGCACGATTCTACGGCCTATAAGATTGTTTAAAGTTATTTTTTTTTTAAAAAAAAAACCATCTCGCTCAAGCGTGCTCCACAAAACATGATATACACCGGCTGCATAGGCATTTGAAATCCCCGTGAGAACTCTGTCGTGTGCCTCTTAAATCACACATCTACATCTGTACTCATCTGCCGGAAGACATGCGCCGCGACTGGTTATGTAGTTGACAGGCAGTGCAACAGACTTGTCATACGGGACATGTCATCACTTCGGCATCAAAAGACGGGGTTCATGTCCTGCATACGAAAGACTTCATAGGTACTGGTGAATGCGCAGAATGATCCGTAAGCTATCTGTGAGGCAGCGTAGAACATACGCGCCCGTAGCTAACAAACAGCAAATAACAACCGGAGAGAGGCGAATATCATGGAATCCGCTTGATATTTCGATAGATACAAATATTCCTTGTCATCTTGGACAATCTAATTCCGAAAGAGCACTTTATGCACTTGCCACTTTGTCGTTCCCGGAGCGGGGATATCTGGCCCACTAGCACGTAACTTCACCTATTTACGAGGACTAGGTTTTCGTCATGAGAGTGCGCAGCTGCCGTTCGTGTGCACCTGCCGTTTCGTGCGGGCCGCGCCTTCCCTTCAACATATGCTTCCATGCTACAGCAGCATAAAGTACTTCACGACTAAGGTACAACATTCCATCCCACATTACACGTGACTCTTCCATCACCCACCATGGACCCGACGGAGGCTATGCCGTTAGCTTTGCTTGCACGACGTGCCCGGCTTAAAGAAGAGTCCCTTGCGCTTATGAGGGACGCTGAGAAGAAGCTTCAAGAGCTCGACAATCTTGAGAAGGAGAGTGAGAAGCTTAATGAGCAGATTAAGCGTGAGGGTGCTGCAAATCGTCAGAAGAAGAGGGTGAGAGTGCTTTGGGAATGATGTAGCCTTTCACTGACATTTAGTGTAGAAGTACGACCAGTACCTGGCGGAAGAATGCCTTCCTGGTGGCGCAAAAACGTCAGCGTATCTACAGTCGCAGCTGGTCTCTGCTGTTTGTAGCATGAAGGAGACCATGAAGGAAAACAAGGACAGGCTTGACTGCTACGAACTTTTGAAAACAGACGTCGAGGAACTCATCGCTGAGGCATATGAACACAAAGGACCGATTCCTGTGCACCTATTTACTGAGGAACAACTGGATATGCTGGCATGCCTTGAGAGTCGCATTCAGGCGGACCGGAAGCAACAAAATACGAGCGTGGTACCCGAGCTCCAGAGGATCAGCAAGAGCATCCAGATGATGAAGAAGAGCATGCGAGACCAAGAATGAGAGAATGTCTCTCGCTCCAGCTATTTCTCAACAAGGATACAACGTACGGTGCTACTACGATTCATAAAGACTTCTTCAGGAAAGAAACGGACTTCCATTGATGAGGTCGAAAAAAAAAGGAGAGACATGCATGCCACCTGCACGAGATTTCAGGTTGACTGCATCTACAGTACTGCGAAGGGGGCGTGGGCGAAAATGAAGATTATACTCTATTTCACCTATGGACATGGAGGAACATAGGATTTCAGATTATACTGGAGATCAAACATGAGAACAAATAAAACATTTACGGTCTTGGGGATGTGACTGACTAGACGTGAGAAAGTGGCGGTAGGGCGATTGTATACAGGACTCGTACAAATGGATTATCGCGACTATTGATCCCATATTTCACGTTTGCTCAACAGAAAATACCAGTATCAGTTTCGGTGAAGAAAATTCGAGTTGAAGCAAGATTTCTGTGACAAGGGGTGGCACTTGCTTCACGCGGCAGTCACGCTGCTTGTTTCCCCCAAGGTATAAAAGCGCCTTCTTCAACTGGACATTTTGACCCTTTACCCTCACACCGACACTCACTCCAAACAAACACCTCACTCATGGCAACATCCCGAAAGCGTGAGCTCGAAGAGCTGCTCGAGCAGAAGCAAAAGGAAGTGGCAGAGATTGAGGCGGCGCTCCGAGCCGAGGGCGAACTTCAAGGCCGAGAGACTGCAGAGAAGACCATGATGGCAAGCTCTCCCCTCAAGTTTTGCCTCGCATTAGCTAACAAGTCACGGCTTCGGCCGAAAGCAGAGGTACATCAAGCTCATGACGTTCCTATCGCCTCACAACGCCCCCTCTCAAACGCGACTCTACCTTCCGCACGAGTTTCCCGCACTCTTGGTGAACCTGCACGATGCGATGGAGGTGCTGAACGATAGGATGGAGTACTACCAAACGATGAGTGAGCTGGTGAACGAGATGGCGGCGCGTCACCCGAACATGATACCGTTCGACCTGATCGACGAGAAGGAGATCAGCTCACTGGTGCATCTCGCGAGGTGCTTGAAGTGGGACGAGGATGCAGCTAGCAAGCTGAAGAGGAGCGTCGTACCCGATGTACGATTGATTAGGAACCTGAGGGACAAGGTCGTCGGGGAGAAGCAGTAGGCGGGCCGCGGAAGACGAGGGATGCGGTGCTTGTGGCGTTGTACTGTGGATTGGCCGACGCGGAGGGTCACTCCAACTTGCTGCTTTCAAGAGGACGAGGTCGCTAATGCTGAAGGTTCAGAGAGCTTCATCGGGGAAAGGTATCTGGCCCAAAAAAAAAAAAAAAGCTGAAACGCTACGAATGGGTAACGGAGGAATGGAATGGAGGGATTGGCCTTCATGTTACTTTTAGCATTGAGATTCTTGATAGGAATTACAAGACATGCTTCCAAAATGGACGTGTTTAGGCAAAAAGAAAGGCTGAGGATGAGCATGACGGCGTGATCCCCGAGAGCTCCGAGGCTGCCCCACCAAGCCCCTCCGACGTCACTGCAAACCCTAAACTATCCTCAACACCACGATCCACCTCCCAACTCTCACTCCAAGTCTCACCGCTCGACCACATCGAATCGCTTCCAAGACTCTCCAATCGCTTCTATCCGGCACTCCCGAGCCTCCCGAACAAACGAGCAACAATGTCCCCTCCCGCGATAATAGCGCCCTCGATTCTGTCGGCCGACTTTGCCGCGCTCGGCCAGGCGTGCGCCGACACGATGGCCCAAGGCGCCGACTGGCTGCACGTTGACATCATGGACGGCCACTTTGTGCCCAACATGACCTTCGGCGCCCCCGTCGTCACCAAGATTCGCAAGCACGTCGACCCGCCCAAGGAGGCCTACGGCCGCGGCACCTTCGACTGCCACATGATGATCGCCGAGGTGCGTTTACTTCTCTCATGATTAATCCTCTCGAGGGGAAGGCAGAATTGCATTTCTTGCGGGTGTGTGGGGAGAGTGGGGAGAAGAGCACGATGCGGCGGGGCGAACATAGATTTGGGCGGAAATTTTGTAAAGGAGATTGCTAACGGGTCTGCGCGTAATTCAGCCCAAGCGATGGGTCAAGGACTTCAAGGCCGCGGGCTGCAACCTGTACTGCTTCCACTACGAGGCCGCCGTCAACTCGACCGCCGCCGACTCGCCTGCTGGCACGAGCGACGCCAAGACGAGCCCGAAGGAGCTGATCCGCTACATCCACGAGCAAGGGCTGCAGGCTGGCATCGCCATCAAGCCCAAGACACCCGTCGATGTGCTGTGGGAGATCCTTGAGAACCCGGTGAAGGAAGAGGTGCCGGATGTGAGTTTTATGGCCCCCACGGCCCCCTTTCTTTTTTCGCGTACAGAAAGAGAGGAGAGAAATTCGAATGCGATCGTCAGAGTTTTGGAATTTCGAGGCTGATATTTCTGGCTACAGATGGTCCTCGTCATGACTGTCGAGCCCGGCTTCGGCGGCCAGTCTTTCATGCCCGACCAGCTGCCCAAGGTCACGGCCCTGCGCGAGCGCTACCCGAACTTGCCCATTGAGGTTGACGGCGGCCTTTCGGAGAAGACGATCGCCCCCGCCGCCGACGCCGGTGCCAACGTCATTGTCGCCGGTAGCGCCGTCTTTGGCGCCGCTGATCCCGGCCAGGTTATTGCTAGGCTCCGGGAGGAGGTGAACAGCAGAAGAAAGTGACTTCCTGGTGATTTCGCTGCCGGAAAGCTGTGAGTACGTGATGGTTGCGGAACGTTGTGTTTGGGCGTAATTGGAGCTGGCGTTTTCCGCTGTGGGAAGATGGATGCGTTGGGTTGAGGACTTGAAGGTGATGTATTTCGGAGAGAGTGACTTTTGGTCTTCTGGAAGACTCAGAGGCAACGCAAAAGTATGAAGAACCTTTCTGAGAACCGTAAAAAGACACCATTGGGATACTTGAAAGGTACATAGAGGGACGGCGAGATCAAGTTGACTGACCAGACTACACAGCAATGGTATTTCTTTAACGGAGAGCCAAAACCGAGTTGTTTATGCCGTGTGGTACGGCCTTGAGAGAACGGGGTTTGGAGACGCAGAGGACGAGTCTAAGGTGAACTTGGACCAATTCAAAGTATCGTAGACACCAGGAAATGCGCAGCCAGCAAGCATTCGATATGAGAGTTTCCACTTGGATATTCTATGAGCTCGCAAAGCCCTTTCAGCTACCGGGTAAGAAGCACTCTCCAATGGAAATTGCACAAATCTAGGCAAATTTGAGCGGAAGCGATGTGCTTTGGCAGAGGAACAGTAAGTATGCCAGCAGAGTGGGAGGCCAAAGTAGTCTCTGGGTAGACTGACCGTGGACGGCAATGGCGCAATAGGATATTTGAGACCTTTTACTCTCACAATGCGGCGAACCTCTACTTACTGAAACACGAAGGTGAACCCAAAGATGCGAGTTAATGATCAGAGCCGGGTTTGAAGGTGTAGATAACAACACTGATTTGACATCCTTGATACAACCCCCAAACACTTGCCAACTTAGCCTGGCACCCTCACGGACAAAAAGTTTGGTCTGGCGTGCCGCTATCGGAGACTGAAGGTACGTCTCATCTCGATCTCTAGTCTTTCATGTGTAAGGTATCGGAACCGCAGGACACACCCGACTTCACCCGCAAAGAAGGGCGATCGACGCCACGACCAAAGTCAATTCCTCATTTCACTATCAGCTCATCGTCGCGCCACATACGTGACACAAGAGTAGGGAAGCAAGTGCCGAGGGCGAGTGGAAGTGATCTCATAGAGTGACCCCGGATCTGCCGTTTCCCCGGCCGGAAAAGCATACAACCCCAAGGTTATCGAACCACCAAGCCCTTCCGTCCAGCCGCCCCCCCCCCCGCGCCACCCTGCCCCAGAAACGCCAACCCTGGAAAGTCTTTGCATTGCCTTGCGTCATCCCTAACGAGCGCGGTGCATGCCGGGGAATTTATTCCGATGTGCAAGAAACCAAGAAAAGATGGTTCCGCCAGCCGCGGCGTGCGCGGCTCCGTCCCGCGTATACGAACCCGCCGTATGGCAATAGAAAAGAAAAAAAAAAAGAGAATGTATAGTACTTAACCGCATATATGTCGCTACCGAGATATCCCCATCCGCACATGCTGTAGAACAACAGGTTGTCACGACAGATGCCGAGCCGAGCCGAGCCGGAGGCGGCCCCCCCGCGTGTGCGCCGCGCCGCGCCGTGCCGTGGGCGTTCGAGAGTCCTCGAGACTGACGAGAGAAAAGGACCCCTTGCCACCAGATCCCCGGATTGATGAACCATTAGCAAGAACAACACCGGGTATTGGCTGACGACGACGGGCCGAACAGTCCAGACTTTGCCTGATTCCTGCTCGGCTCCATGCTCATCCACATCCACAGGCGCATGACAGGATCAAAATTTCTCCCTTTTTTTGCTGTTTCGGTAGGCCCCGTCAGTCCACTATGAATAATTTCGCTCTGCCTGGCCGTTTTCTGGGCCGCAATTCTGCCCCGGTGGGTGGAGGCGACGAAGGCACATGCAGCCATGCAGCCATGCGCCCCACTGTACTTCTTATTACGCGCCATGTGTCCGACTGAAATGAAGAGACGTTTCCTGTACCTTGGTGTCTGTACTGCAGGAACAAATGGTGGACCGTTTGCTGCAGCCGCTCATCAATCATGCGGCGCCATGCGCAGCAAAATAAATGGTGGCAGAGATTGATTTCTCTCTGTTTTCTTTTCTGCGGCAAACCCGGGAATATGTTATGAAGCAACCCCCCGGTCGCCTTCCACGCAGAGGAATCTGCCAAGAACAGAGAAGTAGATCATCAACCAGATCGTCCGTCCACACATGAGCCGCCGATCCCGCCGTGGCCGCTTCTTCCGTTCTAGAGCAGCAGGCGAGCAAATCCGAGGGAGATCACAGCGAGATCACCATATAGCTAAGAGAGACGGGCATTGAAGTGCGAAAGGGTGTGGATTGCGCGAGAACAAGAGCAGCGAATCGAGTCGCCACAGGGCATCGTCTCGGACCTAGCGCCGCCGCGACGCCAGACGTCAAGAGTGGATGTGATTTGTGATGAGTAAGTCTGTTCATTGTTGGTGTGCAAGGCCTGATTGGGCCGACATGGGGCGGGTGGGAGGTCGGACGAACCAAGCGGTCGGGTGTCCGGGATGTGGAAGGTGGCTGGGCATGATTGAGCGGGCCGGGGGGCACCGTGCTTCTCTGCAAAATTGATGCCACAACCGCCGACAAAGATGGGGCAAAGGTCTATTAGGGCTGCTTGAAGAATCAACGTCGGCGGGCGCCTTTTCTTTTTCGGGTAGCGAATCATCGCTTTCCGCCGCGGTCGACGTACGCGTCGTTGGTCGCATCAGTACCCACTAGCCAATGGGCCAAGGGTTCGCATGAGGTAAAGTGGGAATCCCTGATATGCAATGTGCGTCAGACACGAGCTTATCTGCAGCTTTGTTGTTCGTTGCTGTGTCCTCCCTCTGAGGGCAATCTGTACAGAGAGGAAACGTGAAGGGGGAGGCCTGGAACTTCTCGTGTATGTGGTCCGCCATTTGTGGCCTGTGGAGACATATGTATAGGAGCCTCTTCTCTGCGTTATGCGTTTCGTCGCTGCTGTATCGGCCTCCTCCAGCCGTCAATTCGACCTTGATAGTGGCGCTTCGACGACGCTCCTGCAATGCTGTGTTGTTCTGCGAAGAGCCGACCCGAGCATGCGTTGATGCCGCCCTGCATCGCAGTTCCTGTGGGACCGGCGCGTCTGCATCTTGCATCATGGACGTGTCTGTCGCTGGATTGGGTAGGATGAGGTGTCGCTGTGACGTTAACCGGGATATATTACAGGGCATTATAGGCGGAGAAGACTCTAAACGGAGTCTCGATGGGGTTTGCCTGGTTTTGGCCAGTTGCCTGCTCCACGCGTGGAGAACAAACCATCAGAAGACGTTGGAGCAACCGACGGTGCACAGCGTCGGGCAAAGGCTGTGGCTTGCAGCCGGCTGCAGTGCTTGCATTTGCCGAACGAGCGCAGAATGAATCAAATCAAAACACCGCACATTGGACCGCTGCCGGTAATCAGGGATTTTTCGAGCGACACTATCGCAAATGGGCCTAATGCGGCAGTGATGACGTACTGAGATGTTAAAACGCCGATTTGTGAAGCGAGGAGACTTCATTCGATCGTCGAGATCTAAGATGGCCGTCCTCTATAGACGTGTATTGGGAGCCTGCAGGGATGAGTGGCTGACCCCGCGCTGAAGCGTCATGACGAGACGCAACCAAGGCACGCGTAATGCCCGCTTCGATGCCCCCAAACGGTCTGGTTGGCAAGGGCTAGGCTGAAGACTGATTGGCTGCTCTCTTCTCCTCATCAAACCTCTTATCTGGAGACTCGGTGACACTACAGATTGTCCATGAGAGCGACAGTGACCCCGGAATTTCAGCCTCGATGCGAAGTGCTTATGGTGCCGGTCTGATTTCGGCTGCGGATTGGATCCTTCACACGCGGTCTAGGCGTGGAGATCGGCGTGAGGAAATCCGGGAAGCTCGTGAGTGAGCAAAGAAGCGGGGTGGGTGTTCAGCGTGACCCTTTTTCGTGCAGATGAAGCCAGTGACGAAGGATCCGCCAACGAGTCAGAGCCTTGCCCTCCACGCCACTACATACAAGTCCGCACGCTGCCCGGCTGCTGCTCAAGCCGAGATGTGCATAAGCCAAAGTTACCGAGCTAGTCGAAATACCATCATATTCATTTCCGTCTTCTGCTTACTCACTGTCTGTTCCAACAGTGAACATTGCGAGAGATACGGAATCGACTAGTGTCAAGGGAGCTTTACACACAAGTAAGCAGACACAAACCAAAGCAAACTGACTTACAAATTCGGGGCTTTCACAGTAACAGGTCAGAGCATCTAAGGAGTGCCAAGGACTGTATGGCCCATTCAGTTACTGCTGTACGTTCTTCCAGGAAAACTGTCTATATGGAGCGGTCGGGATATTTGAACGTCCCCCGCAAAAGTCCAGGAGGAACGGACCAAAAATCAATACTATCCTGCATTCTTGAGGCTTAAGCGAAGGCAGTGGATAGAGTTATTGCTAGGCATTGGCCCTGGCATTGGTTTGCAACCCGGAACCGTCATTGAGGTAGTTGCCATGGTGATTTGGGCATTCTCCCGCGAGCTTTGCAGGCATCCGGTATCTTGTGCGACTGTCGATCCTATTGCCACAGTGATCGTCAAGCTAGAGGTTGGTTGGAATTGTCCGGGCTCCGGGTAGCATCGCAGAACTAGTTGTGTGCGCGCAGGAAAAGTCTAAAGATCCTTCAAGGCATTTGAGGAAATAGGATCCGCGATGCCGCATTGGCCTGATGAGGGTTGCGGAGTTGGAATTTTGGGTTCAAGAACGCATGAGGTCCGAAGAGCGGATAAGCAAAAGTATGCGAGCGGCAGACAAGCGAGGGTGGAAGTCCAGGGGCTCATTCGCTGCGAGAAGTGAGGAGGTTAGAAGAAATCGAGCTTTGTCATAGGTGGCGCACGGCTGCAGGGTTGCAAGAAAGCTGAGACACTCATGTTGCCGACCTGCGGATGCAGAATGCCGCGTGTATATGCGCTGTCAGATATCCACGAGGCCGCCAAAAACCTCTGCCAGTAGAGTTTGCTGAGCAGCCCGTGAGACGGAAAGGCGGCAAGGCGTTCCGTAGACCTGCCGTGAATGGGAAGCGGCAATCTGCACGCCTTCCCGTCCAGCTTTTGGCAGCCGCACGGCAGATGGCCAGAACACTGCCGCCTTTGGCAGGAAACGCGTCTCGCTGTAGCAGTAGCTTTTTAACGTGAGATAGATGCTTTCTTTGTAGGCTTTTCCACCTCCGCATTTGGGTTTACTTTCGAAGTAGGGGGGGGAACCATGTCCTTGCTCTGAGTAAGAGTCTAGCTCCGCATCGTCTCACAACAACTCAATGCAGTGAGCGCGGTCATGCAGCGGTTTGGTTTCCGGGCTTCACGCGTGACACTGCATAGTGTTCTATAAGGCTGGCTGCACTTTGACCACCAACTTAGGAAGCGCTAATGTCGACTAAAGGGGCCTCGGGACAAGGCAGGAGCGACCGACGACCCGTCCTACTGCCCTCGGTCGCGCTTCTCTGCCCCGGCCGAGGCCTTTGGCGGCGCAGACTTTGGTCCAGGAGAAAGTATGGGGAGGCGGAAGCAGAAGAAAATTCTGCATGCAAGCGGTTTGTCATGCAGCGATGCGCCGGCAGTCCAGCTCAGATTTGACCATCTCCGGCACAATGCCGCCAATAGCGAAGCTCGGGCCGAAGGCCATGTAGAAGCATGGAGTGAGGCGGACGACCAAGCAGAGAGTGTCCTCATGACTGAACCCGCCGTGAAGACCAAGGATCGACTGAAAGGCGGTCAAATGATCTGCCCAGTGGCACCTGACGTAAGGCGTAGGTAGTGTTTCATGAAAGTCAGGCAGGAGATATGAAACAGTGCGCTGCTAGTCACTGCCGGACGCTGCGGGGCGTATCTGAGCTGAGCGCCGCAAACAAAAGGCGGGGTACTTAGCAAGGTGCGCTGATGACGCCAACCGTGGCAGGCTCGACCACGACCTCGCGGTAGAGCTCGCACGAAGCGGACGTGTCGAAACGACTTGTTCACCTCCGAGTGCCAGATCGTCATCTCGGCCTAAAAATCTGAGAGGATTGAACGCGTACACAGCAGTCAACCAGTTCTCGGAACGTCGGGATGAGGCCCTAGTCCATCTTCGGTAAGGAGATACGAGGCTGGAAAGTTAATCGCCGCGGGGCGCAGGCGAGGGTGAAGTGAGGCTGGGGATGAGATAGGAAGGCTCGTGCCGAGGACGACGATGTTCGTGATGGAGGAAAGGAGCCCGCTGTAGCAGGATAGATAATAAGAGAGAGAGAGAGCAAGCAACGGGTCGTGGACGGGCAGACCAGAGGCTCATCAGTCCCATGGACGCTGGGCGGCTCGGGTGAGAGTATAGCCTTCACATCGGCGCGGCATATACAGATGCGGAAGGCCGACTGCCACCGGCATGAGAATGATATCTCGGCCGTCCTTGCTGCGGCCAACGATCCAAGGTTCAGCGGCACGGAAGCCTTCAATCGCAGGTCCAGGCGGCTCTACCCCCGGGCCGACCCCGTCCAAAGGCCATTTCATGTGGGCTCGGCGGATGGCCAAACTGGTGAGGGAAAAGCGGGCTGTGGCAGCTTATATGCATTGCATGCCATGCATGGGCAAATCCTGCGCAATGACGAGCATGCCCAGGCAATGGAGCCCGCACCTCAGAGGGCAGCTTTGTTGCATCATCATGCCGGGTGAGTCAACCAAGGGCGAAAGGGTCCACATAATCGTCAACGGCGTGGAAATAACAATAATAACAATAGACGCCCCTGCGGAGCCTGGCCCGATGCGGGAAGGCGGATCCAAGGCGCCGGTGCAACGTCGCAATTGGCTGCCACGCACGGGACGGACGGGCAGGACGGGGTGTGTATCGGGCTTTGCATCAGAGTCGCATCGGCGGGCGTAAGACGAGGAAACTGAGCCGGCAGCAGCGGGGGCCGTTGGCGCGGGAGGGCGTCGCGGCCGCAGGCCACGCTTGCGGCAGGACAAGCGAGGCGGGACGGAAGCTTTCGAGCGCTGTGCGACCAAGGGACCACGGGCAGGAACGTGTGGGGTGGTGGTGGTAGTGGTGTTTGTGACGCTGCGGAGCATTCTGGGAGGCTCCGCCAGGACACCCATGGAAGCGCGGCTGCACGGGCGCGCCTTATCAATGCCAAACACCAGAGAGAGTTTGCAACGCGCGCCCGTTTTCATGAAGACGCCGCCGGTAGATATGCACTCATCGGCTCACGCCCCACGCTTGGCCGCGCGCGGGCAGTCGAGCCAGGCGCAAATGAGATAAGCTCAGGCGGAATGGTATACCCGTCGCCGCGCAGCCAGGGAACGTCGAACCTGCGTCGGTGTTTCGATTGCTAATCGCCGAATCGTGGCTCAGGACAGGGAGGGCGCTCTAGTGAGACCCTCGCGCCGCTGCGGAGAAATTGTACTGGTACTTCGCCCTGGGCCGGGGATGGCCGTGGGCTGGCATTCGCAACAGCAGGCGGCGCATCCATGGCGCGAATCGGCGGGCGATATGGCAATCACGTTCTTTGTGCAGCCTGAGGTTCTCCGGCACGCCATTGGGCGCCAGGATCGCGGAGGCGGAGCATCTCGATAAACCCCGCATCCGCGCGCGGACGGCCAGCAAGCACGGCGAGATGCAGGGCTGAAGCGGCCGCGACATTCTCTAGCGGCGGTCCCCGTGCTGCGTCAGGGATGCGGCATTCCTTATCGCTCGCCACGCTGCAATAATGCTCGCACCGCCCCTTGCTGGCAGAGCGCGGGGGGCGTTGGGCGGAGAGGATCGCTTTGGCTGCACGGGCAGCCCACGCCTCGCGCAGCCGGTGGCTCCAGCGATCGAGACTCGCAACCCCAGCGCCGCGCTGCGCACCTGGATCTGCCATGATCCTCGCTGCTGCCAGCCCGCGCGCGCCTGATTTGCTCTGGCGCGGCTTAGCGGAAGCATCATCAACGGTAACGGTGACCACGGCGGTGCATGGAGCGCCGATCCTGGCTGTTTTCGCCCACGCCCTGCTAGTTTCTTTCGCGCCGCCTCGTCGCCGAATCCTCGCTGAGCCCAGGCCCTACGTGCCGCGACGCACGCCCGCCAACTCCACCTGGAGCGCCTCCACTCTGCAGGCCCCAAGCGCTGCAATTTTACCTCGATGCTTCCAGCACTGCTCTGCGGGCGTCAAATACCACTCCGCCTTCCGTCCTCGCCTTCCCCGCATTGTGCCTGCCGGGGCTTCCCAGCTGCCTCTTCACCATCCCATACATCCTTGCTTATCGTGCGAGGACCCTCGACTTCATCAGAGCCCCAGCCGTGTCCCCGCCGGCAGAGCCGATTCTTCCCTTGGTTCCCTCCTCTGAGCCGACACTATATCTCCCGAGCCGCCCGTGGTTCACCACGCCCCTCAATCGACACCCCCCACGCCCCAATTCCTGGAGTTCAACCGATCTGGTCCATGTGGGGTGGCAGAGACTCATAACAACCACGACACAGCGTGCGTGAAGGTGGAGGGTTTGGAAGGCCCGGGTCCTCGCGTCAAAGCCACAACGGCCCCCGCCACTGTCGCTACTGCCCACTCGTCTCACCACCCTGAGACCATGGCTGAGGTGCTCCCTGCTCACTTGCCTGACGGCCAGTCGTACTTTTCGCCTGCTCCTCTGCGTCGCTCCTCTCCGTCCCTGCTGGTGGGCTCGCCCACCTACACCTCGCCGCCGTCGACCCGCCAGCCGAAGTTCCCCAGCCTGGACCAACGCACCGACCGTACCCCGTCCATCATCGTGGCGTCTCCGCCGTCCATCGCGTCACCTGTCAACCTCAACGAGTGTGACCGGTCCATCAAATCCTTCCGCCCTAACGACGGGGTCCGCGCCGTACCCGAGGTGCAGTCGGATCCGAAGGTGCACGACAACGCCGATGACAACAACGATGACGACGACGACGAAGCCATTGCCTTCCCCTCGTACGACATCGACGGCCGTCAGGACGATGACAACAGCTCCAAAGCGGATACGTACCCCACACCACCCTCCGGCAGCGATTCCATAATTTCGACAAACACATCTTCCACCCCCGAACCCCTGCCTGTGTCCGAAGACGATTCTGCCATCAAGCCCGAGCCTACCCGCCATGTCGATTATCTTTCGCATGACTGGAGAGAAGAGGACATTTGGTCCTCATGGCGTCACATCACCACCAACCGCAAGACCTACGGCCAAAGATCGCGGCTAGAGAACGCATCATGGCGGACCTGGGCGAAAGCGAAGTACCGGTTACGCACCGTGTCACCCGAGACTCTCAACTGGTAAGTCTATGTCTCTCCTTTGCAACGAGCAAAGCAGCAGCATCCTCCGGCACACCCAGAGATGCCGACGTCAAGTCCAACTGTCACCCACCCTTCCAACGGGCGAAACAGCTTGATCCATGTACACTTGAATGGATAGCATGTTCAATAGCGTTGCCTTCGTGGCAAGTCCTTTGAGCGACTGCAGCATCGAATTCTTGTCTTCTATCATGTACGGCTGGGTTTGCATCCTAAAAGCCCTCGCACGTCCCCCACATCTAGCGCCCAGTCCTTTTCGGACACACCGGACCGATTACGGATGTGCTAACTTTCCTTCAGGCTCAAGGATTGCGACGTGACGTGGTTGTACGGTCCATTGCAAACATCGTCCTACACTCCTCTTACCCATCCCGTTTCGGAAGCTGGGAGTAACATGATCTCGAAGAACAACTCATTCATCAACAAAAAGCCGATTCTCAAGAAGCGGAGCATGTCGGAAGTCATGCTACAGCGTTCGATATCGAACTCATCACTCGTCAAACAGGCTGCCGCTGCGGTGCAGGCAGAACGCAGCGGTGCTCCAGCGCTTCGCACCCGGCCAAGTTACGGACGCTCAACCTCGGACTACGTCACCACCCCGTCAATCCCGTCAAAGAGCACAAGTAGAGAAGCTACGGATTTCACCTCGCAATCAACGTCTGGTCTTCACACTCCCGGGGACGGCGAAAGGAAGCACATTCGGTTTGATGACAAGGTGGAGCAATGTATCGCGGTTGAGTGCAAAGATGCGGATGATGACTACGACGAGGACAGCTGGACCAACGAAGATGACGATTCCTCGTCGGACGACGGGCTTGAGATCAGGACGAAGCCGAGGCGATTATCGCGAACCAACTCGAAAACTAACTTCGGAGCTGAGAACAAGACGATCCAAAAACTGCCCGATACGACGCTAAAATATCGGGTCGATTCGCCGGATGTTCCCGACCATCCCCCGACTCATTCCTTAGGCTTTTGGAGGTCGAGTCGACTTTCTCCCTCGCCGTCCCAGGAGACACTCAGGCCTTCGCGGCCGGCTAGTAATTTCCTACTGGGTGAGGATGACGACGATGACGAGGAGTACTCGTGGGAGCCGTCGAACACATTCTCTGGGCAACGAAGTAGCGTTTCGTTCAACCAGCGCTTTGGCCAAGACGATGGCGATGAGGGCGAAAGTAGCCAGTCGGGTGGACTGAGGCGAACACCGTCGGGCATGTTTATGCCGTACGAAGAGGACGAGGACGACATTGTTGCCGCGGGCCTGTTTGGCAAAGTAGTAGACACGGTGAACACGGCGAAAGACATTGCTCACGTCATTTGGAACGTTGGGTGGCGCAGTTGATTGACTGGCTATCCGGAAAAGGAGTTTGACTGATGGTCATAATAGCATTGGGCCGGTACCGGTGTTTCACGGATATTTCACCCTCGCTGCGCTTGCACGAGACACTCAAGGATCTAGGAAACTTACAGGAACATGGGAATCGGGAGTTTTGCATGTATCGCTTTTTTTTTTCCTATCTATGTGGACGGAGCATAGCGAATTGGCACATACGACAAGCGGGATTTTGCAACGATCCATTGTGTCTTACTCTGCTCTGGGATGCGCCAACTTCACCAGGTGTCTGGCTGGCAAGTCGCCAACCAGAGTGTTTCAATAGACCGGGCTTGGTAAAATAGCTTGTGGAAGACTTGAATACAACAATCACATAGACGAAACAGTGGCGTCATAGCGGTGAGAAGCGAGGTGGTACAGGCACGTCTTTGGATGCAGGTTCGCGTGTGGGATTAATGCCGTGACACAGCGTTGACGCGCCACACGCATGTTGCAGTGAGATCAGCTTCCTGTGGCTCTGCGGTCGGCTGGTGGTCCAACGGGCGTGCTGTGTTCTGCGAGTGCTTGGCAGGCTGTGGGGAAAGGCCCTGACGATCTCCGCTACCGAACACGCGCCCCATCCCACCCTGGCCGCGACTCGTACCTCTCTCCGCGACACCCACAACTCCGCCCTTCGCGCCCTCGCTGCCCCGCTGTCGGATTCCAGCAGCCGTCGGCAATGATCTGATTGGAGCTGCTGCTGTCGCCCTTCCGCTGTACCACCCGCCCGCCCCCCTGTCCTGCGTCACGTCGCGTGTCTTCCCGCCGGCCCGCCCCCCGACCTTTTCTTTGAGGAGACGATATGGAGAACATCAACATTCCCGAGCTCGTCGAGCGCCTCGGCGCCGAGGAGGACTCGGTTCGCAAGATGGCCGTATTCAAGCTGCAGTCTGTCATCGGCGACCCATCGTTCGCCGACGTCTTCATCCTGGAAGGCGGCCTCCCGAAGCTGCGCTACCTCTGCTTGAACGCCACCGGCAACACGCTCGCATACGCCCTGACCTCTTTTTCCCGTTTGCTGGATCTTGACCAGGGCTGGGATCAGGTCAACCATGACCTCATTGAACGGGTAAGCCGCAGCCAGCTCCGTCGGGGGAGGGGGGAAAGGAGCCAACCGCTGATCGCGCATGCAGGTCGTCGAGCTCGTTGTGAGCCAGCCGCTTGTGAACATTCTCCGCGGCGCCATGTCTATTCTCGTTGCCGTCGTGTCGCACCCGCACTCACGCGCCTCGATCCCACCCGGCACCTACGGCTTCCGCGCCCTCAAACCCGCCGTCGCCGTGTACCCCCAGTTCCTGGAGATGCTCGTGAGCCGCCTGTCGTCGGCCGATCACGCCCTCTGCGCCAATGCGCTCCAGCTTATCAACTCGCTCATGAGGGATGCCATCACGAACGACTCGGAAGCTGAATGGCATGCCTTCATCAAGAAGCTGCAAGATCTGGGGGTCATAGAGGCCGTCTACGTTCTGATGCAGAGCAGTGCGCTGCAGGACTTGGCACACCCGCTATTCGAGTTCCAGTCGCTTAGCAAGGTTCTGCTGAGGAAGTGGAGGGAGCTCAGGGTGGATCTGGAGAAGTCGGAGCACCGTCGTGCGCTCAAGGGACTTCACCTGGCCAGCAACCCAGAAAGGCCGCCATCGAGCAAGAGCAAGGGCAGCAAAGGCAGCAAAAAGCATCACCCCGAGAAGTGGCGCAGGCTGGGCTTCGAGGGCGAGTCGCCGTCTTGGGAATTTGATCACACGGGCTATCTGGGTCTCATGGATCTTACCGACTACGTCCGCAAGCACGAGGACGCTTATCAGAAGCTTCTTCTGGAGCAGTCTATTCAGCCTTCGGAGCAAAGGTGTCCGATTGCACGTGCCAGTATTGCGGTGACTATGATCTTGTACGACCACTTCGAGGTGGAGAAGTGCGAGAACGAAGACCAGCAACGATACACCATTCTGGAGTCGCGGACCAACTTCGACCGTGCATTCAGGCCTCTTCTGCTCCAATGGTCTCGTCTACACACCAGCGGTCTTCAGGCTTTCTTCCGGCTTTGGCAGGCTACTGGTGCTGAGACGGAGGATTTCCAAAAGGTTGAGGAATTGGTCCAAATCTTATTTGAACAGGTGATTGGGCAGGCACCTCGTCAGAAGGATCTTCAGGAGGTTGAGGAAGAACTCGCTGAGTTTGACTATAAGAGACTGCGCGAGCTGCAAATCGAACTGCTTGAGCTCACGTACGAGGATGCATGGGGCCACCACCTCCGGTATGTATCGCTCTTCCCCATTTGAATCATCGATCTCTAACAGCCAGTGCCCGATTAGCCAAGTTCGAGATGAGCTTAACCACGAGGCTCTGCAGTTCGTTAAGGAGCAACGAATCAGATGCCTGCTCGCCGGTTCATGGTTCCCGCACACGTTGGGATACAGGGATGAAAGTGGTCCCGTCACCAAGAACACGCTCAACCGCATGGTACCATCCTCGTGGCGCTATGTCCGACTGTCACATAACCGACGATATCTGCACTATGCGGACTTCGAGAACAAGCTGGAACAGGACCCGCGCCTCGACCAGCTGCAGAATCAAAGTAAGTCGATATTGTATGGTTCCCGTTTCGTCTCAGCCTAACTAATCAATCCTTTCTCAGTCGACCTTACCATAGTCTCTTCCGTCGTCTCCAACGTCTCGGCCAGCACACCTTCCACCGCTTCCTCAGCCTCCACCCTGCGTACTCTTCCTGCGAGCACCAGCACCAAGATCACTATCTTCGGTTACCCCAACGAGAAGTCGCACGGCAGTGGCACCTCTTCTTCTCAACACCCGAGCACCTCACACTCCTCTCGCTCCAATCCATCCTCCACCAAGGACGGCGCCATCAAAGACATCGCATCGGCCGCTAGCACCAAGGAAAGTGTGCTACTGACGCTGCACCCCCAGAGCCACACGCTTGCGTCCGAGTGGCTCGACGGCCTGCTCATGCTGCTCAACCAGCAGCCCATTACAGCCGACACCAACAAGCTCGTCCAGCTCGTTGGCGGCTACGGCCTGAAGATCCGTCTCCTGAACGTCCGCTTCGAGGAGTTGGACTCTGGCGAGCCGGAGTTACCAACTAGGGAGGGATTGGATGAGGATTATTGGTATGACATTGGCGGACTGGAGGGGTCGGTGGAGTGATGTCGCGGGTGTATTGGGTCGAGATGGGAGTAGGGGGTTTTGCTTGTGCTTGGATTGTTAGGGCTGGATTCTGCTTGGATTGGATCAGGTAGGAGATTTCTCCTTGTTGGGCATATGTTGGATTCTTGGAGGGGGTTTCTTGGTGGTTGTTTGCGTCTTGGATCTTTCTTGTGTCCTGGTTCTTGTGGAGGATTTCCTCTTCCCCTTCTTTTCCCCATTTCTTTTGTGGTTCGTTCAAGATACCCTGCGCGATAGGAGAGGTCGGCCTACTCTTTTTACTACACACTTTTGGACGGTTTTGGACGTATATACATGCATCCTTTTCTCCCTGTATTAATATTATTACGCTCGGTATTTACAAACATTACAATCTTTCAGAAGCCGCTGCGCTTTCTCACTTAAACCGTTTTAATTAGCAAGATAGTATAGCTTCTATTGAGTTCTTTCTAGGTATGTCTCCACTCATCTCACACCTGGTGACCTTGACATCATACCATAAAAGCGAGCGAAGAGTATAATGAAGTAAGGAGGGACAAACCATAAGCTATTTCCTTGAGGATATCATCTACATAAGGATCGATCGCAGCCGTCGCAGCAAAAAAGAAATCACAAAGAAACATACGTCTACGCAGTCTACTCTCTTTCCTCCTTGCTTACCGAAGAAGAATAAAAAAGGAAAGCGGAATAGAGGTGAGGAGGAAAGAGAGAGCTAAGGCCAGTGTCCTTATCAAAGAATAACCATCGATTCGATCCGCGTGGGATCTGCCTCATTCATGTGAATGTTCCAAACATCCATAATTCAGGACCCAGGTAGACAAGTGATGACAAAAACAGAAAATGCAGCAACGAAGACAAAGATGGTGAAAGCAGCATGAACAAGAAGAATGCCCGAAAAGAATCCTCGCTAACGCGCTCAGGAAAAGCCAAAACAATAAGAGCGAAGACTCTAATCTCATCAGCAGAAAGCAATCAAGACGAAGACCCTATCCCGAAGTGGAGAGAAAGATATACAACACGAGTAATCTTTCTCTTCTCACGCAACAAAGTGATTAATTACCTAGGTATATTCTCATCAACAACAACAACAAATCGAATTGCGAAGGGTAGAAACAAAAATAAACGTCCCTTCTTCCATCCTTCCTTTCTTTGCCCGTGTGATACCTTTCCTTTACTTCTTTCATGCTCTTGATCAAAAAACACGTAACATCTACAACATATCCTCAAACGGACAGGCAGTGGCATCGTGTCCGTCCCGCTCGCACAATGCGCACCACTTATCCGCGTCGACCGCCTGGCCCTTGCCCGCAACAAGACCTTCCTCGTAGGGGTTAGGCAAGGCGGGCGCGGAAGTGGGGGCGGCAGCGGGCGGGGGAGCGGCGGCCTTGGGCGCCGGGCTCGGGCTGCCGAGGGACGAGAGCGGGGCGAGACCACTGTCGTTGGACCTGCTGAGTGACATCTTTTCCATGTTCTGAATGATGTCGTCGGCGACGGAGCTCGCGATATCCGTGTCTTCCGAGTCGCCAGTCAGATGGAGCTCGTGGTGGTGCTGGTTGATAGAGTTGCCGCCCTTCTTTCCTGCCGCTGCGCCACCGAGGTCGTTGGTGCAGTTGAGGATGTCGTGACCGCCCGTCTCGCAGATTTCGCACCACAGCTCGCTGACGCCGGCGCTGGAGCTGCGGCCGTCGTTCTCGGCTTCGGCCATGGGAGTGAGCTTCTTGGCCTCCGAGCCATTGCGCTCGTGCTGCTGTTGCTTCTGGTAGCCACGCCAGCTGACGACTGTGCTCTTAGAGTCTCGAGGAGTAGGATGTTCGTTGGTCTTGTTGCTGATGACGCTGTCGCGAGCAGGCTCGCCGCCGCTGAGTGCTGCAGCAGTACGCAGGTGCTCGAGTTCTCGCTCCAGCTCCTCTTCACGGAAGGACTTGCGTTCGATGAGACCACGGAGCTCCTCCTTCTCGCGCTCCAACCGCTCTACAGAGGCTCTTAACTCTGTCATCTCAGCCTCACTGGGTCCGTTGAGCGAGCTCCTCTTGTCCAGCTTAGGGCTCTGCATGTCACCGCCAGCGCTGAGGGAGTGGATGATGGCTTTGAGGCCACGGATCTCGTCGTCTCGTTGCTCCACTTCTCGCGAGGAGTTACCGGAGTCGAGGGCCTGGGCTTCCTTGAGCGCCTGAGCGGCCTTCTCCCTCTCCCGCCGCAGTTCGCTCCGTCCACGCTCGACCTCTCCGCGCAGGAACTCGACTTCTCCGCGGGCTTCGGCCTCCCCGCGACGAGCGTCTTCAAGGCCCTCTTCCAATTCCTGGACGAGCTCTTCTAATTGCTTGAGTTGTTCGGCCACGCTCTCAACATCCTCGGTTTGTTCCTGCAATTCGCGGATCTCAGCCATCAGGTCATCAATTCGTTGCTCGTAAACGCGCTGCGTTTCAGACGAGGCCATCTCCAAGGTATCTATTGTGCTGCGGAAGTCAGCTCGGTGCATATCGAATTCTGCCGTCAGCATTGAGATCTTCTCATTCTTTTCCCGCAATAATGCGCGGAGGTGTGCAGCGTCTGCATCCATCTCGCCACCTTGAGATGATCTCGACATTTCCGATCCATCTGTGGGGAGCAGACTCTGGATCTCTTGCAGACTGGACTCCATCTCTGCGAGACTGTGTGCCTGTTCCAACAGTTGCTTGTCGCGTTCCGCAAGCGCTCTCTGCAGCCTCATGACTTCCTCATCAGCGCCGCGGTTTGACATTACAGCTGAAACGGATCTATCCGCTTCACTCAGCGCAGAAACAGAAGCAAGGTCGTGGTCTTCGTCCATCCTGGAGCTGGCCCGAGAAGGTGATTTGGGAGGCTGGGGAGTCCGTGAACCAATGGTCCGGTTGGGCATAGGGCTTGGGGTGACACCGCGAGGTGTGCCCATCCCGCTTTTGGAGAATCCGCTTTGTTGCATCGACGTATTTCTTCCAGGGGTGGGCATCTTAGGCGCTAGATTTGGCTTGTTCTTGACCGGAGATTCAGGCCGTGATAGCGAAGGCTTGATCGTGCGACCTCCTGGGCCTACAGACTGGGAGAACTTTGGCATCGGCGGTGTAGGAGAGCTACCACCGTCGCCGTTGAAGGTTGCTCCATAGCCACCCGGTGTGCTTGGCGTTGCGGGATAGCTCTCAGAGCTGTCGGCGATGGATGCGCGCTTCGAGGCACGGTGGAGAGGAAGGAAAATTCCGGCACCAGGAACGGACGTGTGGAAATAATGCGTTCTTAGGCAGTATTAGCAATGTGATGCGGAATGCCAGCTCGACTCGGGCTGGTGGTATATAAAGGCACTCACCCATCGACGTCGCCGTCATTCTTTCCACGGGCTGCGTACTCCCTCGCCAACTCGACGCCAACAAAGGTTCCCTTCTTTCCGCTCACACCGCCAACGAACTTCACAACACCATACATTCCGCCAGGCACGTCGACCTCGTCGCCAACAGCGAGCGGGCGGCCATCTCCGCCGGCGCCATTTCCGCCAGGCGTGCGCGCGGCAGGAGAACCCGTCAGCGCGTTGAGCGAGGCTTTGCGATCGAGAGCAGTGCGTGCGGCGGCGGTGAGGTGCGGCGTCGAGGCGGTGTTGATGCCAGGCCTCGCCAGCGACGGGCGGATGTTCGTGCGGCGCGGAGTCTGCAAGCTCGAAGCCATGTTGACGTCGCGCCGACGTTGTGCTACCACGTAGTCTTTAGGCGTAAGAACCTTGGGCAGCGGCTGCGGGCAAGTAAGGAGCGCCCGGCTCGGGTTGTGCGCGGAGTGTCTGAGCTATGTCTTTGCGGGATCTAATACGGGGTTTGGTCCCTAATATGGGGTCGCGTCGAGCGCATGGAGCTCAGGGAAGGATGCGGAGAAGGGTCGAGGGTGGGTGGTCGTGGATGTGTTGTTTATGTTGCTGCGCAGGTGCAGGCCTGACAAAATGACCTTGGGCCCAGGGGGGGTGTGTAGCGGCAGGCGGGAAGGAGCTGCAGGGTGGCAGGGCACGAAAAGCGGCTGGTGCCCAGCTGGGCGGCTGCAGCTCGTTGCCCTGCCCACGCCGCAGCGCCCGATTTGCGCCCGGGCGCTTTTCCGCCTTAGGCTCACGCGTTCGTCATCGCGTCCGCTCAACGCGTGTGCCGGCGCGTCTCCTCTCGAAATTCCGCGCTCCAGCAGTATCACTACTCAACCAGTTTTTTCGCCTCGCACAGCTAGTATGTCTGAATCCAACAACGACCCCTCCGCCACGCCTTCCTTGTCCCACGATCCTCCATCTCTACCCGCCTCTCCGGTAGGCCTCCTCGGCGTCCACCTGCAGCTGAAGATGCGCGTGCGTATATGGATGGGCGCGACTAGCCTCAATGCCGGATTTTGGCAGTCCCACGGATCTGCGTCCAGCTCCGTCTCACGGGTGCTGCTGGACCGGAATTCGGGGACCCAAGGGCTGCCTTGTGCATCGCGCCTTTCGTCTGCGTCGTGCTATTGATCACTGCTGGCGGACGCTGCCACTTGGACCGTGGCTATTGGCGTCGAGATTGAACCTTCCTCTAACGAGCCTCACAGCACCGTAAGCGTACCAAGCACATCGACCTCGAGCCTCCAGCCAACGCCACAAGCGCCCTACACCACGCTTCAACAATAGCCGCCGGCGACGAATCCGGCACCGCAACTCCGACGCCCATCGCAATGTCCACTACCACAGCTGCACTGGCCCCTGCGCCCGAATCGACGACCATGCAGGTTCAGCTGCTGTCGGAGAACGCCAAAGCCCCGACCAAGGGCTCCGCCTTCGCCGCTGGTCACGATCTCTACAGCTCAGCCGACACGGTCATCCCGGCACGGAAGTGGGCACTGGTCCCGACGGACATCAAGATTTCGGTACCAGCTGGAACCTGTACGTCACCATTCGCTGATTGGTCCTCAACCGTTTCATTACTTTCCTTTCTTGTTACGCCTTACTCCTTTTTCCCTCCGGCCGCAAATCTCCTTCCCCTTTTTGCCTTCCAATCATCCTCGCTTAACCACCCCTTTCTGATTCATTGCCAAACGCAATAGTCTAAGACATACACTAACACCAACCAGATGGCCGTGTCGCCCCTCGCTCTGGCCTCGCCTTCAAGCATGGTATCGACACTCTCGCAGGCGTCATCGATGCTGACTACCGTGGCCCGGTTGGCGTCCTCCTCGCCAACCTGTCCGACGTCGACTTCGAGGTCAAGAAGCACGACCGCATCGCGCAGCTCGTCATTGAGAAATGCGTCATGGCCGACGTGGCTGTTGTCGAGAAGCTCGAGGACACGGTCCGTGGTGCCGGTGGCTTCGGCAGCACAGGTGGCTTTGGTGCTGAGAAGAACGGCGCTTGATCGAGAACTTACAAGCGGGGTGGAGAGCCGGCCGGAAAGACGAGTCAGCTTGAGCCCTTTTTTTTTTTTTTGAAAGGCGTTTTCACCAAGGGCACTATCTAGAGGGGTACCCGCCGGTTAGGAAAGAGCTCACTGGATTCATGGTTACGAGAAAAAGAGCCTCGCATGGGTATGGCGGAAAAACATCGAGAACAATATACCAACATAGTCTACATCTACAGTTATTCTCTTCTTGCGCCTGACCAGATCTTTGATATGCTCTTGAACCTCTGTCAACGCCCTTTGCTCAACCTCATTTAGGCCGTCTCAACCTGCACCGCACCTGCACTTGCACCCACGCCCAAGTCAGTAACTCCCAGCTGATCTGGTTTTGGCTTACCAGCCTCCACATCCCAACCGTCCACTAGAACCTCCCTTGCGACAAATTTATCCCTATCGCTCCCGTCCCCAAGCAGGAGCAAATCACCCACATTCCTAACCACCCTCACCTCGCTCGCCCGCATACACCTCAGGTGCCGCTTGAACGTCCTCTCGCGTGCTGCTTCCGCATCCCCTCCATCAGGAACACTCTGCATCCTCCCTTCCTCCTCGTCCAGCCGCGCCATCTCCTCCTCGCACGCCGCCGCCGTCTTCCCGAGCACAACATGCATGCTCTCCAGCACCTTCTCCGTGGCCCGCGCCAGCGGCAGCTCCGCCGGCCTCACGTCGTCGGCGCTGCGCCAGCTCGGCTGTCCCAAGGTCCCGGCTTGGGCGCACGCCTCGCGCAGGCGCGCGACCGTCAGCGCGGCGAACATGTCGCCGGTGCCGGAGAAGAAGTGCGGGAAAGCGGGCGCGTCGAGGCGGAAGAGACGCGGCGCGTGGGCGCTGGTCGCGGTCGAGCCGACGACGGTGAGGTGCGTGGGGTTGTCGGTGGAAGGCGGCAGGATGGTGTGGTCGTCGTCGGGCGAGAGGCGCAGGGACGTGATGATGATGTGCGGGATGTGATAGGTCGAGTGGAGGCGTTGGATGGCGGTTGCGAGGGTGGTCAGGTTGGTGATTTTGGTGTCGGACAGCAGTCTAGATTCAATGGCGTAATTAGCACGTGGTTGCGATTTGAGGTGTGCGGGAGGCGGAGGGAAGAGTTGTGTCTTACTCGGCCTCGAATTGATTCGGGAGGATGAGGTCTGCCTCGCGCAGCAGCGTCTTGTACTGCGGGATCTCATCTTCAGGGACGTAGCACCGTCCTTGGTCACCCATAACAGGGTCCAACACTGCCAGAACGCGCCCGCACCCGTCAGCACTCTTATCGTATGACTCCCACTCTGGCCGTGACCAAGCATACCCCAGAAGAAGCTGCCTGGCTTGACCGAAGCATTAAATCTCAAATCCCTCCCAATCTTGCCCACGGCCTGCACCGCCTCGGCGCTAGGCATGTATCCCGACAGCAAGACATCGAAGTTGTTCAAATCTGACTGTTTCAGGCCCTCGTACAGCTCGAGGATTTCGTCGGCTGTCGTTTTGCGTCCCTTGACCTGTCTGTATGCCGTGTGGTTGCCTGCGCGGCGGCATCGGTATATGTAAGCGTGGGTTTGATCGTGCAAGAGTCATAGCGGTCGAGGTCGGGTGGGCTGACTGTAGTGAACCGTGTTGATGGCTGATACTTCGCACCCGAGCGCTTGCATGATGAAGGTTGCCATCTTGTTCCCGACGTAGCTACATGATAGCGTGCGGTCTTAGTATGTGGTCGAGCGCATGTCTGCGGCGTGTTCGACTTACCCATGAACGACCTGTCGGGCGGCGGCGCGCGCGATCAGCCATTGTTTATGAGGGCTGATGAGGTGCTTACATGGCTAGCGATCGCGAGCACGCGCGTCTCGGGTATGGAGGGCTCTCGGGACATATTGGCGCAAGATCCAATCGAAGATGGGAAAGCAAGGTGTGGGATTTAAGAGGAATGGAATTTCTTGCGCCTTATCTGCGCGATACACGCACAGTGACGTGTGGGGCTACTCCGCGATACCCGGCCCGCGCCTGGAATTGGACCGAATCGCTGTATCGCCTACCATCGAATGAAAAAGAAGATAATGAAAAGCCCACCATTTTTGCTCCGAGGACATGTTGTCTAACCTCCCCCGTTTTACCTGGAAAGATCTGCAACCCAACCCATGCACCCTTGCGGTAGTCCTACACTTGCTGATATCATCATGTTTATTATTCGTGAACCTTGTGATAGCCAACATGTATCCGTGATTTACTCCTCGTCGCCGATCTGAAATGTCCATCAGTATTCGATCGTTGGTTCTGATGCATGCGCAACTCACCTTGGGCGCGAGGTAGAATCTCAGGTAACTGTTGTTCGAGAGCGAGTACTCGACCAGCAGCGGGACCTCATTCGACAGGCAAAGCTTAACCTTGGACGACAAGCCAGTAGCGGCGGTGAAGTTGGACAGGTACTTGAGGGAGAAGGTGAGGGACACGGGCTCCGACAGATCGATCTCCACGTTGTTCTCCTCCTTCTCGACGTCAGTGTGCTGACGCAGGGTAACAGAGCCGGAGCCAATGTCGCCCTGGCACGAAAACTTGACACCCTCCTTGGTGCACTCAATGGCCACTATGCGCCGTCAGCTTGTATTGTGTATGGCGGATCGCTTGCGTCTTACCGGACTCGGAAAGGGCCATCAGGTCCCTGGTGATCCTCTGGAACTCGGTGGACGGCATGGAGATGGTGGCAGCGTAATCCGTCTCAGGAATACCCAGGTGCTCCTGGTCAATGTCCATGAGCTTGATGTCGTACTCGCTGATCCTGTCGCTCTGAGCGCTCTCGAAGGTGAAGTTGACGACATCGGGGGCGTCCTCGGCCTTGAGAGTGAGGATATCCTCGTTCTGTGCGCAGCGGAGGACCTTGGTGAGGGAGGTCAGGTTGATGCCGAGGGCAATGTTCCTGTCGCAGCGGAAGGGCGAGAAGCTCTCGGACTTGAGCATCATCGACACCAGGGCAACGTGCGAGTTGTCCATGGCCTGGAGGGCAATGCCGGAGTCATTGCAGTCGAAGTTGCAGTCCTGAACCAGGTTCTTGATGGCATCGACAACCTGCAGCAGAGTCAGCTTTGAAAGAGGACGACGCAACCGGGCGACGGACCTTCTTCAGCAGGTTGGCCTGCTCCAGACGCGCCTCAAGCACTGTAAGACGTCAGCGGCAGCTCTGCGGGGTTGCGGGAGAATGCAGCGTACTCTTGACGGTATGTGGAAGGAAGGGGTATTGGAAGGGTTAGAAAGCACAAATTGGGGTATTGCTGAAGGTAAGGGTGGATTGCAGGCTTTGGGCGGCGCAAGTGGGTGGTGTGGTTGAGCTGCGCTGCCTGGAGACGAGACCTGGGCTTTTTACGCGGCGCGTGCGACGCGACATGACGCGCCAGGCGCCAGCCCGCGTGTTCTGCTGGTGGAATCGCCGAAACTCGCCGCCGCACTCTTCTCCGCAACACCTACCTCTGACAATTCTCCAGGAATTGGTCGATTTTGGCAGAATATCTACTCATGGCGCAGAGGTTTTTGCCCGGCCCTTTCGTTCTGGGAAAGCAGCACATCCTTCGAGGAAGCCCTCCCTGGCCTGTGCGCATCATTGTGGCCTGAGGCACAACCTACCCTGAGCCCTGGACCAAATGGCCAAACAGCACACCTCAAATCTTCTCCTTCATGCTGCAGTATTTGAATTGAATTGAATTGAAGAGCCGTCTCGGATTCGGAATTGTGCCGCACGAGCTCTATCAGCCGATCGATGGCATTGAACTAATGACCAGACCCTGCAATTGCGCCTTGCCGTGGTTCTTTGCTCACGCGGAGACATATATATGCACAGCAACCAGCACGACACGCGCCCTGGACCTTTACTACGTGTCTTCTGCGTGGCACGCTCACCGCACGTTTGTTTTTCACAACGTTGCTCCCGTCTTCTGCCTCCACCATCCACCAAGTCAACACCCTCTGTGGCAGCCAGGCTTTGTCTCAACCCCTCCAACGCCACTTTCTTTGTCTCGGTCCTTCTATTCTCAGACATTTAGTCAAAGAAGCGGCACCAACAAAGCTTTGTATGCATGATAAATGCCCTGGTCCTCCCTTGGCCCACGAGCCTCAATTGCGCTTGCGGGGTAGCCAGCAATTTTGACCTCTTCTAACAGCTACGCAGGACGTAGTCAAATCGACAACTTCAAAGGAGATCTTCGATTCAACTTTCTGCGCCAACCTCGGTCTCCCATCCAGCAAGTCGCAATCGTCGCTCGCCAAGTGCAAGCTGACACCTCAGCAGCCCCTGGCAAGATGCAGTCCACCACCAACGACAAGAGCGAGGCCTTCGCTCGTAAGCTTTCCAACTTGCGCCTCAAGATCATGCCAATCTACCCCATGCCTAGCGGTCCGCCCCACAAGGACTTTCCGCAGACGATGCTGCAGTTCTACCTTCTCACAGAGGAGCAGCTCGACTCCATGGCCGCCTACTACTCCCAGAGCATCGTCAATGAGTGGACCAGCCAGTATCCCAGCGTCATGGCCTGGGATGCTGATTTCTTTGCCGATCCTGCTCTGCCTGAAGCTGAGCGCATCAAGAGCAAGCTCCGCAAGTTCGGCAAGTTCATCGGCCTGCGTGGCTGCGACACGCCCATTGAGGAGACTGCAATGCAGATCAGATTTGCAGAAGCCCGTATCACGCGAGAGATTGAGCAGGCCAAGGAGGCGAAGCGTGCTCTTGACAAGACCTGGGGGCGCTGGTACGGCGTCTAGGCGCACGTGATGACCGATTTTCTTCTTGTTCCTCGCGCCACGTGGTGGCTTACTCAGGTTGTGAGTCTTTATTCTCCGTCAGCAGCCTTTGTCTGTTCTCTGTCTAACTTCATTGAAGTAATTGTCTCGACTTTCCATAGCGTTCTTTCTTTTATCGACATCAGCATACCAGCAGCATTGGCAGCGATTGTGTGCTTGGCCACAGAATCTTGCTTGCTTTATTTACACAATTACATAGCTTGATTCAATACCCATATATTTCTTTTGAGATAATCTACCAAGTGAAGCCATCAATATCTTGGGGCATGGCTGGCTCGTTACCTGCAACTTTCGCTCGTTAAAGTGAGGCCAGCACATTTCTGATTGCAAGAAGCAGATTAGTAGCTACCGGTAATTGCTATTTGGACGTGAGTGGTTGTACGAGGTAGTATTGCATTATGCGTTGGTTCTCAAAGCTTACTTTGAAACCACTATTCTAGAATTTCCGATGGAAGAGGTGCTTTTGAGTTGCGAGACGCTTGTATCGGTAGACATCTCTAACTACTCTTTGTATAATGAAGTGAGTAGCTTTGTTTCATCGAAGTACCTTTATGTGAACTTGCTTCTGGCTTCTGGCCCAACGGATTCCTTCATATCGGTGCGATACGCACATTATATTCTTTAAGGAACCTCACTTAGCCTTATACGCAGAAGCAGCAGCAACATAATGACATTTAAGGTTTAATTCTCATATAAGTGACCATTATAATAGCGTGATCATGCTGCAAAGTCACAGTCAGTATACAAACATCCCCTTTTAGTCCTCAGTATATCAGAATTAAAGCCTTTTCTCTAGATCTTCTATACCCTCTAGATACCCGAACGAGCGGGCAAACTCTTCCGAATCTAACATAATAAGGCAAAGAGCAACCTGGCATTTCACTGTCACTAGTTTCTCTTATTTTATCCGATGTATCTTCCAAATCATTTAAACCGCATAAAAAAACCTTGTTCGAAGAACCCCTAAGCATAGCGTAGAGTAACAAGACACTAAACTTGCCCGTCAAATTTTTTAAATATTGCTGATCTACATTCTTAATTGCTGCTGTTGCACTCTTTTAAGCAAGTAAACCATGGAGTAAAGGGCGAAAACGTTTGTTTAGGACAAGACTACTGTCCTCCTATTAACAGTGATGTGAGCTGAGACAACGAGTACAGCATACAAATTTGAGGAAAATGTCCTAGTCACACCTTTCGAAATATTACCTCTGCTATCTTATAAGTCCAGATACGGCTAAGGAATATTTGTATGAGGACCAACTCCCTCTTCAACTGGCACCGCAAACCTACTCACCCATGAACACGCCAGCTCATCCTCCGTCCAGATACAGCACATGGAACCAAACAAATACATAGCTATACTCCACCGGCTCATGCTGCATAACACTTGGGACTAAAGTCCCACTTTCCGCTCCGTGTGTATCCCCGCTTTCCTGTTGTCATATTGATGGGGGGGGGGGGGGGGGGGGGAAAAAAAAAAAAAACGGTCCGGATGCTCCGAGAAGAAAGCAAAAAAAAAAAAAAGAGGCTCAATTGCTC